TAAAATACCTTTCATTATGACAAATAAGTACGAACTTTAAAGCGAGTAGTAAAGGAACCCGGAGTGGTATATTGGAAACCCGAAACGTTTTTCTGGGCGTTATTCACCGTATCCTTAACCTTGAGAAAATCACATGAACTCGTATCCCTAGCGGTATAAGGTGGATGCGTGTGTGTAGGTGGGGGCAAGTGGAAGCAAAAATGCAGTTTTTTTTAAATGAACCCTTAATTCTTAAAAGAACAATTTGGCCTCAGCTTACCATCGCGGACAACGTGGTCTTTAACTTGTTGCGACTGCTTCAAGTTCTCAGATTTTGGTGAGAATAAAAATAGAAAATCCGCTGAATAAATTTAAACTGCGTGCAGACGCAAGGGCGACATAAAATGCACGGGGTATTAAACCTCTTCATTATCTGCGGAACTCAGGAAAAACTGACGTAGAAGGCACAAAATAAGCATATGGCATTGTTTTCTTGGATACCAGCACACAGTCTGAGGTCTACGAAATCGGTTAATTTGTGCTTTCTATCCCTATTCGTTACATTTCAAGGAAAGGCAGTAAGGAAACGGGGCCCGCTCATGCAGATTTTGTGATGATAAGGTCCCTATCCATTTTTTTTTTTTTTTAATCTTTTTTGCCCCGCGGGCCTTGTTTGGTGCCACTGTTAATAACACTATTTCCATTGAGTGCCAGTTCAGAACTTACAGAAGTCTCAATGGTCTCAGTTTCCTCGTAAGAAAGGTTCTTGGTCTCCGGAAGCTTTGTGGGCAGCTCCCCTATTTTCTGCATGTCAAGTTTAACCCGGCAGTTGCGACAAATGCCTGTTAAGTGAATCGATGGAAAATACAGGTTTTTGCTGATATGATATAATCACTATTCTGAACAACTACGGTCTTAATTTACACAAGTAAGGGAACCTGTTTTAAAAAACTTAAATGATAGATTTTCCTGCCATTTCCTATACTTCAACTCTTCAATTCCCTACCCTTTGATATACCTGAAGCCTGATAAAGGTACCCTTTAAGGGCTGAGTCTCCCTGTAACTATCTATAGGCCATCAGGGAATCTGCTTTAAAAAGCTGTAATTTTAGGAGTCCGGTGAAGGCTTCTAAATTTACCTTTTTGCTGCTACAATCACTAATATAAAATGTTAGAATAATGAAAGGAAAAGAAACACTAAATAAACAAAGGCTATTGAATTTGCGACCGTCACGGCTACTTAATTATTGAAAAAGTCAAAACAAAACAAAAAGAAAAGTGCTTACAAAGTGCTTTAATTGAAGTGTCAGATTGGACCGCCATTTTAGAGCTGGTCTGTTTGGTTGAAAAAGATGAAAAATGATGTATACATACCTGAACCAACTGGAATAAAAATTCCCAGTTTCTTCCATATCAAATAACAAGCACTTTTGCCAAGTCCTCTTTCTGCCTTTGCGTTTTTTGGGCTTGTCCGCCGTGCTTCGAGATTGGCGGAGGAACTCAGCACAGATTCGATCCTCGACGCCACCTAATACCAAGGGATGAGCTGTGTCGGGGACAAATCGTTAATTCCGAAAGGTCTAACTCCGAAGAAAAGGATGTAGATACTCTTCCCAAAATAAGTTCGATTTCGGTTTCTACGTCAGTTATTAATGACAAGGAAGACTTATGACCCGCGATGTCTCTTTTGCAGTTCAGAAATGGAATAACCTCAGTTGATCTGCTCCTATCTCTGGGGTCATAAGAGCAAGAACCGCCGACTAAGGAGCTAAAAGAGCACTTAACGTCCCTGATGACTCAAAACTGGCAAAACAAATTCACCCCAACTTCGCTAATTAAATATTTCCTCTTTACATTTAATTGACTAATTCAATTTACTACGGCTAATAAAATGCTTCGAGCTTTAGCCAACTCTGTCATTTCTTCAACAAATAATAGAAATGAATCCTCACAATTGAAGAAAATATCAATTTAAAAAAGCATCTATGATTTTTGTGTTTCTGTTCCGATTCTTCTGCAACCAAAGGAAGCGGAAAAAACAAGTATAAAAGTTAAACAGGTTAGCCGAGAGCTAATCAAATTACATCCTGATATTTATCAGGGAAAACATCTTACACTGAAAAGGAAAACTTCCACCTTAACAATGAGAAAAAATAACCTATCTTTGGTCGATTACCTTTTTTCAATAAAAAAGGACGAAAAGCTCACACCAGAATCGTTTTCAGTACGCTTTCGTGTATATTCCGGCCTGCTGTGTAAAAACTCCGCTTGACGTTACGGTCACGCAACAAGAATTGTTTACTCAGTCGTTGTAAAAAAAATTGAATGAATTACTGTCATTTCAAAACCTTCGCGTGAGGCGCTGTAAAGAAAACCCGTGCTGATTCTAACATATTATCAAGGACAACCTTAAATCCCTCTAATGACATAGTTATAAGGAAAATCTGAATTATACCACATAGTGAAAAAAACATTTGAATTAAGGAGGTATTTGCGGGATTTTTCACGTTTGAAAATACAGCACTTTCCTGCGCGTTGTTTGCTATTTATGAACAACAATAAAGATAAGTCATATAGTTTCTGGGAAAGTACGGCACTCACTCTATCAAAATTCGGTGTCATGATCCTTTGAATCGTTTTTCCTTGAAGACCAAAAGTCAGTTTAAAATATCAATTTCACACTTGCTTGCGGGACCTTTCGGGATCGTCGCGGGTCAAATTTGTTTTTCTCAGTTTTCTCAGAATTAAAGCGCTCCGGAAGAAAAAGAAATACATTAAATTTCTTCTATTCTTAGTAGCTTTTTATAGTCGGAAAATAAGCGAAATTCATTTTTCAACTCTTGCCACTCAATGGTCGATATTTCCTGACCGTCGCTCTTAAACATTTCATCTGGGTGGCAATTGTTTGGAAAGGAAATTGTAATCCTTGGCTGACTCAAGTCACGATTGGTTGAGGTTTTGCATCTGATTTATTTTGAGGGTGGTGTGAGTTTTCCTAACTAATGCCAAAGCGACTCAGTGAAGGAAAACTAATGCGAATCAAGTCATTCTCGACTACGTCGTGAAAACACTGCCCTGTTTCGATCAATGTTCTCATTGCAATAACAGTCATTGCGGAATTATAAGAGTTTGTATGGAAATATTTACGACCGCTCTAAGGAATAAAAAAAAATACGTCAAATTCTCGATAGAATTACCTCACCTTTGTTGGCCCGTCACTTGTACCTAGACCCTCCCTGAGGGAAACTACATCCGGGCTCCCCAATTATTGTTGTTGTTGTAACACGAAGTGCTCGTGGTCAAGCTCGGGAATAAAGACTGTGTTCATTGAGCCCTCGATATTGTTTGAGTCGTCTGTACTGCCTGACATGGTGTCAGGAGTGGGATAGATCCGATAAATCGACAAGAGAAGCATTTACGGAGAGCAAACGTACATTTAGCGAATTCAACGACCGCAGCCGACTCGTCAAACAGCGATGGCGAACCTCAAGCGACCTGAATTGAAACTCGGCGGGAATATGTCAGAAAATTTCAAGAACTTCGAACTCAGATTCCACGACTACTGCATCCAAGCAGACTACCGAAACTTAGCGAAAAACCCCGAGACAGAAAGAGCAGATTACTACAAGAAACCGTTACTGGAAATATCAGCGCTCCGATCGGCCATGCCGGACGAAGCCTTGCAAGTGATCCGTTACACAATTGAACCCCAGATAGCAGCTGATGATCAGAAAAAAACCATGGATCTGGATGGACAAATTACGACTTCATTACACTGGATCTATCGGAAGCTCCCTATTGGCGGACAGATTTAAATTCTGGAACACTCAGCAAAGCCCACACGAATCTGTTCAGGAATGGGAAGTTAAGGTCAGACAGGCGGGCAGCCTGTGCTCGTACAATGCACTGACCGACGAAATGTGCCGTGACAAATTCGTTTTTGGCTTGCACGATGGCACAATGAGAGCTGAGTTACTAAAAACGCATTTAAAGTCGGACGGAATGCCCAAGAACATGCAAGATGTCGTTGCCGACGCCAAGGCCCTCGAGTCAGCCCAAAAAAAGCCAACAAACTCATAACAGACGCCACAAAAGGAATCGAGGAACAAGTTAATTGGATAAGCCACAAACAAATGAAACTAAAGCGGGAGCCTGAACCTGCTTTTGGTGTGGAGACCGACGCGGACCTCACCCCTGGAAAACATGCCCTGCAAATGGCAAAACCTGCACTAAGTGTGGAATTGACGACCACTTCTCCAGAGTCTGTCTCGAGACAGGCGCCCCCCAACATGAACAACCAAGGAGAACTACCCAATGGCAAGCTCAGGGTAGGGGGCGAGGCCACAGAGCACCTCGCGGCCGGGTCCCAACCAAAACCCCTCGTGAACAAAACGTACATATGCTGCAGATGACAAATGACCAACACCCTGTGGAGTACTACACTGATGACTACCAAGAACAGTGCTACTCCCTGGAAACACGGCAAATACATAGTATCCACACAACCCACGCAAAGAAAAAATACTTTGTTACACTGCCCATGTCTGCAACAGGGAACAAATTCACCCCAGTGACATTCCAAATAGACACCGCCGCCACATGCAATACCTTGTCTGAAGATACCCTTCTCAGGCTGATGCCAAACATGAAGCTTAGAAAGTCACCCTACCTACTACACCCCTATGGCGACTCCCAGCCGCTGAAACCACTGGGGCAGATCGACCTTCTGTGCGAAAGAAACAAACGATACGAATCGCTCACATTCCAGATACTTCCTAGGGATGTCATGATGAACAAACCAGCCCTTCTCTCTGGCTCCGACTGCGAGGCACTGGGGCTCATCACCATCAGGGCACACGAAATATTCTCACTCACATCAGCAGTAAGAGACTCGTCAGGCAAGAGAGCCCCTACCTACCCAGCCAGCTCGCCACAAACCAATCCAGACCCAGGCAACCCAGCAGCTCAAGCCAACGGTACACTCAAGGGAGTAAAAGGCCACCACCCTGACCAACCCGACAGTGCCAACCCATACGGTGACCCAGCAACGCCCTCACCTTCTAAACCTATAATGATCCCTTCCAAACGACGCCTGGCCCCACCCGGGAACCTCACCAAGGAAGACATACTAACACAGTATCCTGAAAACTTCGAAGGCCTTGGCTGCCTGGGACCCCAGTTCATTTCGAAGTAAAAGCTGACGTCTCACCAGTACAAATGCCAATACATCGAGTCCCTGTGGCAAAACGCATGAAAGAAAAGGAAGCCCTTGACAGATACACCGCAGCTGGTATCATAAAGAAAGTAGAGGAACCCACCTCGTGGTGCTCCAATGAAGTCATTAAAGAGACACCAAAGAAGACAAGAATCTGCATTGACCCCAGTCAAACAGTCAATAAAGGAATTCTCAGACCAGTGTATCAAATGCCAACACTGTCTGAACAGCTCCATAAACTCTGCCATGCCAAATGTTTCTCACTTGTTGATGTCAGAGAAGGCTTTTTACACGTACCACTTGATGAAGAATCGTCACTGATGACGACAATGCACACGTCTTATGGGAGATACCGATGGCTCCGCCTCCCATTTGGCATATCAAGCGCTCCTGAGGAATTTCAAAAGCGCCTCATGTCAGCTCTAGAGGGTCTTGATGGAGTATTATGCATCGCCGATGATATACTTGTGTTCGGAGAAGGAACAACCTACCAAGAAGCTGAGAAAGACCACGACCGCCGTCTTGTCGCACTTATGGAGCGCTGCTCCAAAAAGAACATAAAATTAAACCAGAGCAAACTGCAGTTCAAGCTACAAGTCAAATTCATGGGCAACGTCATAACTGATCGAGGAATGCAAGCAGACCCAGACAAGATAGCAGCAATCTCAGCAATGGCCCCACCCCGAAACAAAGCAGGTGTTCAGCGATTCGTGGGAATGGCCAACTATCTCTCACCCTATTGTCCAAACCTCAGCACCATCATCCGGCCTCTCACCCAACTCACCAAGTCAGATATCCCCTTTATGTGGGCACAAGCACAAGATGACGCATTTAACAAAGCCAAACACCTCATCTCCTTGTCGGAAATGAGACTAAAGAATCTGCGTTCCGAAACTTCACGTTTTATTTTATAAAATCAACCAGTGCTCTGGTCTCTCTCATTTTAAATATATAATATGATCCTATTGTTCACCTCATCGTAAAAATCCGGAATCACAACCTCAGTAAACAAGTCGACGCTAGTGAAGAAGGCGTGGGCGGTGCCCTCCTTCAGCCCAATAGTGAAGGACGCCTCCAACCCGTAGCATACACATCAAACAGCCTCAACGCAACAGAACAACGATACTCCCAAATCGAAAAAGAGTGCTTGGCCATTTGTAACGCATTTGGAAAATTTGACCACTGGCTCTATGGCAAATCAGATATCGAAGTTCACACCGACCACCAGCCACTTGAGACCATCTGCAAAAAAAACTCTGCACAAAGCCCCAGCACGGCTACAGAAAATGCTAATGAGACTGCAGAGATACCGCTTCACCATCCAATACAAGAAAGGAACCTCACTCTACCTGGCAGACACTCTCTCAAGAGCAGCACTACCTACCCCAGTACATGCCAGGGTCACAGGCTTTGAAGTATTCAGGACTGAACTCACAGAGGAATCCGATACCCACAACCCCCGCCTCACAGAAACCACCGAATCTCGCCTACGCGACGAGACCAAAAAGGATGAACACCTCTCCAAGTTAATGGCCACAATCGCCCAAGGCTGGCCGGATGACAGAAAGCAGCTACCACAACCACTACGAGCATACTGGACCTACAGAGACGAGCTAACCACTGACAATGGCCTCATCTACAAAGGCGCCCAAGTTATGATACCGCAGTCCATGCAAGCTGAGATGCTGCTGAAAATCCATGCAAACCACTTTGGTCCTGAATCAAATGTACGCATGGCACGAGACGTACTATTCTGGCCCGGGATGAGACAAGCAGTGTTTGATATGTGCAACAACTGCAGTACCTGCGCACAGTATGGATCAAAGTCAACAAAGGAACCTATGCGATCACTTCCGATTCCAACACTACCATGGCAGATCATCAGCCAAGACATCTTCCAGTACAGACAGAAAGCCTACCTTGTAACAGTGTGCCATTTTTCTGACTGGATCGAAGTGGATGAACTTGACGACACTTTGGCAACATCAGTCATTAACAAAACCAAAGCTCATTTCGCCAGGTTTGGCGTTCCACGTATCTGCCACACAGACAACGGACCACAATTCACCAGTAAGGATTACATGGACTTTGCCTCTCAGTACGGGTTCAAACATACCACCTCAAGTCCCTATCACTCCCAGGGCAACGGCCGAGCCGAGGCAGCAGTGAAAGTATCGAAGTCTATGCTAAAGAAATCAGATGACTTCCAAATCGCCTTGCTCAATTACAGAAACACACCACCAAAAGACCACACCTACTCTCCTGCCCAACGCATGGTGAGCCGCCGGACACGAACGACGCTCCCAACAGCTGACCACCTTCTCGAGCCCATGTCAATCAACCGTGACACTGTATCAGCAGAACTCAAGGCCAAACGCAACACCAGTAAAGCTCACTATGACAAGACTGCGGGCCCAGAGCAGAATAGCATCAACATTGGTGAATTTGTGTATGCACGACCACCGACAAGCAAACCAGGCAACCCTTGGGCATATGGCCGTGTCACCGGACAACGCCACTCAAGATCTTACACCATACAAACGCCCCACAGTACCATTCGACGAAATCAGATACACATCAGGCATGCAGTACCTCCTCCTCCCCAAACACCACCGTGCACCCCACCCACGCTCACGCCTAGACCAGGCCACAGCCTTGCAAATCACTACAATCGTCTAGGATCAGAGCTGAATATGCCCACTAATCAGCCTACACAGCAACCACCTCCCTCATTGGACAAAAGTAACAGCGGCCCAGTTCTCGACACCCCTTCCCCTCCACAACCACAAGAACCAAGCACACCAGCCACGGGCCCAAGTGAGCTGCCTATCGACACACCCCTTGCTACAATTCAAGAACAGCCAAGGGATCACCAACCCGAAATGAGAACACGCACAAGACTCATCAAACCACCAACTCGGTTCAAAGACTTTGAACTCAAGTAATGCCTGCCATAAACGTTCGCGCTGCATAACAGCACGGTTGCAGAACTTTCCATGATAACAGTCCGAACAGAACCTTATATAAGGCTACACCTGCCTACTTTACTCTGTTCTATTTACTATTAATTTTTTTTTTTTCCTTTTTTTTTTCAAAGAAGGGGGGATGTTGGCCCGTCACTTGTACCTAGACCCTCCCTGAGGGAAACTACATCCGGGCTCCCCAATTATTGTTGTTGTTGTAACACGAAGTGCTCGTGGTCAAGCTCGGGAATAAAGACTGTGTTCATTGAGCCCTCGATATTGTTTGAGTCGTCTGTACTGCCTGACACCTTGAATCTAGGGATGATTACAAACCAACAGCAGCAATAAGAACTAAAGAAATAGTGGTAGGAAAACCAGTTCCAATACTTAGAAATAAAATAACTCTTACTGATAAAGTTCTAAAAGGATTTACCTAATCATTTGAAATAACAATAACAATAAAAAATAAAAGAAGACCCTTTAAAAACTGCAAAATGCAATTAAAGTTATCGAGAAATAATTTATAACATTACTATTGGAAATAAATGGTTTCAAATTCATTGAAACATTAAGGATTATCTCCGCGAAAATATCTGATAATAAAAAAGACATAAGACAGGTTATTTCAAAGGTAAATCTAAAATCACAATCAATGATGATGAAATACATGAAGCATTACAAACATCAAAACAGGAAATATTGAATAACATTCACTTCCACGTATCACTTGTTATCTGACCGCTTAATTACTTTGATGAAAAGAACCATTTTAGCGAGTTGTCCATTTCGAGGTTTTCTCCGGACATAAGGAAGCCCTTTTCTTATGTGCATAGAAGACCTCACTGAAATGGGTTCTTTCCAACAAAGTGGTCAGATAACAAGCGATACGCTGTGGAAGTAAGGTGAGGTATTTTTGTTGAGAATTTGACGAATTTTTTATTCCTTAGAGCGGTTGTAAATATTCCCATACAAACTCTTATAATGCCGCTATGACTGTTATTGCGCAAGATGATTATCTCACAGCTGGAGCTTGAGCCGCCTGTGGTCCTTTAGGAAAATAAAATTAATTACAAAATTTTGCAACTGTGGATGGATTCTCAAAATTTAAGGTCAGTGGCCCTTAGTCACCTTTTTTCATCTAACAACATGATTTGGTTAATTGTCCCCTTTTGACTTGTGTAATAATCAATTTTGAAAGTTCTCAAAGGTTACCAAATCTAACTTAATTATTACTCTTTACAGATTCTACAGAAACCAAAATTTCTCATCAAGCATTCCTACAAAGAGACACTTAGCGATACCAGCAATGAAGAATGTAAACTATTTCTCGAATTTCCTGGAGATGATAGAGTGTTAAACACTCTGAAAACAAACTGATTTCTAGATGTTGTTATTTCTTGATTTTATTATTATTAATATTAACATTATTATGGTTTTGAAGTTGTAACTTTCAAACAGAAAATGTTGCATTTGCTGTAAACTTAAAGGCGCTAGAGTGTTTCACTCTCTATGAGCAGGATTTGGATTAAGGATTTGACAAAGCACTCCTCCTATAACTATAGGACCTACAGGTACTTTAACTTCATCAGCTAAAAAAATGTGCAACTTTTATTTGTGTTATGTTTAAATATACCAAGATTATTCCAGTAAGTGGAGTTCAGATCTTTAAATTCTTGAAACTTTTCATATTGTCTTTCAGTTGTATTTGAAATGACAAAACTATTTCCAGTGAGGCCTTAATCTACTTCCAAATTTCCCAGCTTTGGCTGCTATAAGGCATCATTCATCCCTGATGATACTGGGAATTTCCAATAGCTTAGACACCAATATTTATTTTTACAGTAGCTTAAAGCCTTGCTGGAAACAAATATTATATTATTTTGATTCTCTGTTTCCAAGTTCAAGTACGTATAGAACAGTGAAGCTCTTGAAGTAAAGGCAGACAACAAGGTTTTTGTTTTTCTTTTATCTGGTTATTCATTTCCTTATTGTACACTACAACTTTTTTTCAATCAGCTGTCTCTTGTAGGGACTGTCAATGCTGTTATTGAATCAAAAGATGACTGCCACCCAAGCATGAGAAAAGGGACTTGTGATGGAAGTTTTCAAATCAGATAACTTGTTGGAATAGTTTGACAACAGAATCACAGTAATGGCTGCTTTGTCAAATAAGGTAAATACTTTAGTTATCTGCTATATGAAGTGGAACCAATGCGCAGATGACCCAGCTTTTATTTTCAATTATTTGAACAAATTTTACATGGTATCAAGACCATATCCCCTTCACCCCTTCACCTTCATAAGATGGGTTCCAAGTGATGACTGAATATTATTTTGTCCAGTCTTTGAAATTCAAATATATGAGGTTTCAATTAAAGAAGCTTTTTACTGAAAATGTACTCCTACTTGTTAACTATAACTTGTAGTGTCTGGGGTCTATAAGATTACAGTAGACATGGGTACCAGTGGGACTTAAATTTTGCTGCTGGCAACTAAAATTTCTTGTTTGGTCTCCACACCTTGAGTGGAAACACATCATACACTTACCTTTTTTATGTTCCAAAGAGGAGCCAAACCTCAGAACTTTGGATTTTTGTTCTTAGGGGCTGTACAAACCCTTACTTCAAGGAACTCATTGGTGGACGAGAAAATCATAGATCACTTACTATGATCAAATGTGATGATCACAATTAACACCTGTGTATGTAGTATGCTGTGGAGATTCCTACTGATCTCTCTGTGAGTAAAAAAGATAAGGGGAGGTGCAGGGGGTAAAGAGGTTTCCAGCCAAGGCTTAAGACTCTCTTTTTTTCTAACTATAACTAGCTTAGACACCATTAAGAGCTTTGTTTTTCCCCACCAAACCAACATTTTCTATTGGCAAAAACTGATAAGCATTATTTGGGATTTTTTTTTATAGCCACTGACTGTAAATATTGGGAATCCATTTACAATTGCAAAATTTTGTTATTCATTTTATTTCTCCTAAAGGACCTATTTGATGGACCTTTTTCTAAAAAATCAAAAAGGTCAAACTACACCTAGAGAGCTGTTCTCTCTCCCTAAATAGTGTATTGCCAACAGCAAGAATAAATATATATTAGACTGGTAACCTACAATTTATATTCTCTTTGTAGGGAAGGAAATTTGTAAGGCATCTCTGATATGGAATGTTTGCGCTGTGGATTCCTAGCCACTAAGTAATCTGTATTATTCATAAGGAAAAACTCCACTCTGATTCATATTTCTGACTAATTATGTTCTTGATAGTCTTATCCAATGGTCAAGTTTCGTTATTGTTACAGTCCTCTTCATGCAAAGCCAGATTAAATCCTAATGGCTGAGTGGGATGTTGATGTTTTTAACTAATATAAGATACAGACTTCTTTTGTTGTGTCTGTGAAGGGTTGCTTCTCTTATTGCATTTGGTAGTGTTTTCATGACTGGTTTCACAAATCTGGGTTTTTTTTTGTAAATATTTTAACAAGTTTGAAATATATTTTATACCGTTTAATAATTTCTAAATTGAGAAACATATTTTGCTATTTGAGTCTACAGCATTCCTACTTATAGTATGGTTACAGCATCAAAAGCAGAGATAATGAACTTAATTAGTATAGAAGTTTTTTTGCTTTTAAATGAGGAGCCAAACAGAGCATAAACTATTCCTTTTTTGTTTCAATTCATAAAATGTAAAAGTCCTCGATTTAGCTAAACCTTTTATCTGTACATTTAAGCCTTCACACCCTAACATCAGTTTGCATATTCTCCACAGTGTTCTTTATACATTTCCTAAGCTACTGACAAGGAGAATTTGTGTGCCAATCAAAAGGTTTCTTCCCTGGAGACCATTTCTGTTATTCTCATGACCTTACTGAGTGATTTAGGAGAGATATTTTAGGTAGAAATTAGATGCTAATCACTCTTAGGGTTAAAAGAGATAATTTTTGTGAACAGGGTAAAGAGATCCGAAAGTTAACAGTGGAATGACATTTACTTTATTGCATTAACCCTCTTACAGAGAAAGCCTAGAAGCCCACTGATTGTGTAAAACTATGGTTTGGGTTAGACTTTGTGTAAATAATAAATGGCCCTCAGAGTCTAACCATTGGGGTTCTATATATCACAACAACAAGTTGATATCTGTTCACAAAATTTATGCTACATTGATAAATGTGGTGGTTCTGGAACTATTAACAAGCACTGGTAAGTTAAACTATCAAATGTACGTTGGAGCCTGTTGCCTCATCTTCAAATTTTGCTGTGCAACTAATTGGCATTTTCATTCTAAAATGCAAGTAACAGTCCCAAAATCATACATTTAAAAAAAATAAATAAAAATACACTAATATCTACAAAAACTGCAGAAACACCAAATGATTCGTTAAAATTAGTATGATAAAAAATCTCAAACCACTAACCTACAATAAAAGCCTTTGACTTTGAAGCTCAACGATTCGAGTTACAACTGTTTTTGCACTACGTGTGGAACTACTTAAACTGGATCGCTTCAATCAGAAAAAAAAAAAGAAAAAAAGAGCAAAAAAACCCTGGTACTCAATCTACCAAGCAATCTGTACTGTAGTTACTCATCTGATCGGCTTACAATCTCCAAAAGAACATCAATCAGTTCATCAGAAAACTGTTCCGTGTAACAGACTCAAACGATCAAACATACAAAAGCATGGAGAGAGTTTGGGATCAAAACTAACCAATCATATATGACAAAGTTTCCTGAGAAGTCCAAGGTTTGCTCTCTATGCATTAACTTTCGAGTCTTTACCTCAACCTTATTGGTTTGTTTATAAAAAAGTTTGACATCCTTTGTACTCAATAAACATGTTCATTGGTTCATTTTTCTTCATTTCAATCTGGTTCAAATAATCTTGCTGCTTTGAGCACTTCACAGATTTAGTTTGCTTTCATTCACGTTTTGACTTATTTGGTTGTAATTGTTACTGAGCTGGTTACCTCCTAGTTATTTTGAATAGTAAGTGGTTCAAATAATTTGTTTTTAATTTTTAATAGAAATTGATGAGGCCTAAAAATATAGCTTACAATTAGACTGGCCATTGCTTAGTAAATTGCGTGAGTCTTGCTTACCAATGTTTGTGATGTCATGATTGTATGAGAGGTTTAATGTGTGTAGCTGACAGTTGTTGTTATTGTTGATGGCTTCAGCCAAGTGCTGTGCTCCAGTGTCTGAGATGTTATTTACTGAGAGGTCTAACTTGCGTAGCTGACAGTTGTTGTTGATGGCTTCAGCCAAGTGCTTTGCACCAGTGTCTGAGATGTTATTTATTGAGAGGTCTAACTTGTGTAGCTGACAGTTGTTGTTGTCGATGGCTTCAGCCAAGAGCTGTGCTTCAATGTCTGAGATTTTGTTGAATGAGAGGTTTAACGTGTGTAGCTGACAGTTGTTGATGATGGCTTCAGTCAAATACTTTGCTCCCTCAGCTATCAATTGATTGCCTGTGAGGTTTAACCAGCTCAGTTGAGATTCCCTACATTTTAACAATTTGCAAATCTCCAAACAACCTAATGGACCAATGTTATTGTGACTCAAATCTAAATGTGAAATTTGTTGCACATTAATTACATTTACTAACGAAGAGCACTCAACAGCTGTGAGGTGACAAGAAATAAAATTTACCAAATTGAGGTTAGTTTGTTTAAGTTTTCTCTGTGCTTCTAACTTCATTCTACTGTTTTCGTTTATACATTTGATTAATGTCACTGCTAAATCTCGTTCGTCTCTAGTCGGCCAGCTGGTCACTTTCCTTTTCTCGTCATTCTCTGTCCACTTTTCGTTGTAATCTGCACTTTCTATTTCTTCGGTTTCCACAGGAAGAAGGTCAGTGATAATTTCGCTTGGTAGGTGACTTTTATCCTCCATAAGTCCTGCCAGAAACTGAAAAACCAGCTGCCATTTGCCGTTTTTGATGTTCTCGGAAACAAAGTTTCTCAATTCTGTTTCACTCATGTTTGTCAAGTACCTCGCAGCGAAAAACTCTTGCATTGAAAGATGAATGAAACAGAATTGTTTTTCATGTTTTAACGCGTCAATTCGACGGTCGGGTAAGCGGTGAAAAAGCGTGCTGTCTTCCATTCCGCGTACTTCTTTTCCTCCAAAGATCAGCTTTCCTTCTTCGATTCCTTCAAACGCCACTCCTTCTAATTTCTCGAATTTCTTCTTCATACTGGGCAATTCATCTGATTTTAAGTATTCGCGACTGAAATGTTTATCGCAGAATTCTTCCGTGCGTTTGAAATAAAACACTTTCACTGCAATCTTGTAAATCTTGGTTAATTCGGACGGTAGAGTAACAGCGGAACTGTCGCATTGCAGTACTTGTAACAGACTTGTGCACATAATGAAGCTGTTTGCTGGGACATAACAGAGCGAAAGCAAATTCGCGTTGCTGTTGATGTGTCGCCATAGTTTTTTACCCGCCTCCTCTTCCTCTCCGGCTAATTTGTAGACATATTGTTCAACTTGTTCCGGTGAAAATCCGAGAATCTCGTACATTTTGTCAAACGAAAGGTGTCTCAAGCCCGACAAAGCCGTAGATCTCGTGGTGGTTAACACTGAAACCCCTTTAAGAAGTTTCCCGGTCACAAGCCATTGATAGAGGATTTGGAGCGGCTTTTTATCTTCAATGCTTTTGCTATAAGTCGGCGGCGCCTCGACTATGTTTTCGTCATGTTTGAATTCGTCGAATCCGTCAAAAAGTATAAGAATACCTTCAGGGTTCTTTTGGAGGTGATTCCAGAGCTTTTCATTTATGTGACATAAGGGAAAATACTCGGACCTCCTTAACAGTTCCTTGAGGCTAAGGTTGTCGGCTGAGTTAAATCTTCTGAATTTTATTAAGAAAGCAACATAAAAATGGATTTTGGCACCTGATGTCGCTGTGAAAATTTTCTTCAATGCCCAGTCTCTGAGAAGTTTGATACAATATAACGTCTTGCCGATTCCGTGTCGACCGACGATTAAAACTTTCTTGTTTTCAACATTCAGAAGGTCTTCCGGGCTTTCCTGGTGTGAGTGCGCCCTTGGATTAACTTTTAGCTGCTCCTCTCGGTTTTTCGAAAAGTCATGCGTTTCTTTGTTCTCAATAACCACATGGTTTGCGAAAATCTGATCGAGAGTCAAATGTTTAGCTGTTGTGCCGTCGCCTGGATCACCTGAAAAAAGTGATTGTAGTTCTAAAGGTCCTTTGGTCCCTCGAATAATTACGTCCCTTGTGAGTTCGATGAATTTATTTAACGCTGGTTCTACGTATTGCTTGAGACGTATATGGGCTTCTAGAAACTTTGAATCTTGCATAAAACTCCTGTCAATGTATGCCCGTGAAATAAGGTAGATGGCTTCAAACAGAAAGCCAGCGACAAAAGCGCCATTCGCTCCAAAGGCAAAGTACATCAAATAGTTTCTCTTTTTCGCTTGTCTATTATAACAGTCATGGAAAGTAAAGGTTTGGGCGTCGTCAGATGAATTCCTTGGTTGAGTAATTCCATCGGTTAAATAACAGTTAAAGGCAGGGTTTGTAGAGCGAGTTTGTAAGATTAAAAACAAGACTCCTGAAACAATTTTTGTCGATAGTTGAGAGATGTAAGCGATAAAAAGCTTTTTTTCAGTTGATAACGGAGTCTCTTGGTCGAGCAGCTGTCTGTCTTGATCACCGCTAGGGATGCCTCGCGACAGTTGAGCAACTTTGGACCTCGTTATTTTGGAGTAAATACAACTTGCACTTAAAATAATGCAAACATTTAACATTGCTAAAACATAGTCAGAAATTCTGAATTGTTTGTACTGCTTCGTATATTCCTTGAAACATTTTCCTCTGACGATGGTCGATTGAAGATAGTCGTTTTCACTCTTCGCTCCGTCACAGTGGAAATCAAACCTAGACCCTGCGACTCCCAAATCTAGGAATACGGCGAAGAAGATTAAATTGATAAAGGTCCACAAAGTCATTGCCACAAAGTGAATTCTGTTGAAAACTTTGGGCTCCAAATATCCTAAAATAGATTCCATTGACATTGATGGTATTGTCACTCACTTCGTCAAAATTCTGATCAGTTTTGGTGCTTTAATAAACATTTAATGCGTCTTTGGTGTATTTATAGAGCATGATAGTACTCTCATTTGATTGGGTTTTTGGAAACTTTCATCTGTCGAAAAGACAATGGAGTACTTATGCCTGTTATTGTTCTACCTATGAGACAGTTGTCAGAAACTGAGACAGATATTGATATCGACGTATGTGGCAATATACGGGACCTCTTCTAAATTCTGAGTTGCTAGGTATGGACATTTGATCTGGGTGGTTTGGAAGGGAAATTGTAACCCTTGGCTGATCAGTTCGTTGAGGTTTTGCATCTGATTATTTTGAAGGTGGTATGAGTTTTCCTAAACGTAAAAATACTGCCCTGTTTCGATCAATTTTCTCATCTTATGGATAGAAAAACCGTAAAAATAGCGTTGATTTCTCATTCGAACGAAAATGCAAAGAAACAAAATTGTCCAACGCATCATCTCTCAAATCTAACCAGAAAAAGATTGATTGATTCGCTTGAACGGAACTTGGCCATATCATTGAATTTTTTACCTCGATGAATCAGCCCGATCTGAATAGATTTGCGCTTAGTACTAGGCCCCCCTAACTCTTTTTCCCAAACCCTAACCCAATGATATAAATTTCGCAATCTTTTCCCTTACATATTCTCTTTAACAATTGTACAAGTTCGCGCCCAGCTTAAAGAGGGTCTAAAGCCAATTTTAGCGACAATTTTTATCACCTGTAAAAAAAAAGGGGGGGGTGGTATGGATGGAGGATTTTTGAAGGATCACATGGTTTTCAAGGTGGTGGTAGCTCTTAGGAACATGTTTGTCTGATCTTATCGTATACATTTTCGGATAGATGACCTCTTCGTTTAAAGTTGAGCAAGTAATCGGTGAGTTTTTAGCTCAGAAATGCAAGGAGCCTCCACCAAAGAACAAATGACGTGCCAACGTTTTCTAGACCCTGCCACCAACCGTGATCGTGATAATGTAACAACCTTCTTGAAAGTTTGAGCATAACCTGAAATGCAAGTCAATTCTACGCAACTCAAGCAGTTATTTCCTTCCGCGGTCAAATTTTTTATCCGACGAGTGAAAATTTTATAGTCTCTTTATGAGTGTTGTCCTTGTTAGTTTGAGCTCACTTTTTTTGTGCAATTTTGGAAAATGTGTGAGTTAAGTTTTTCAGCTTGCAATCACCTTTTCTCACCACAACACTTGTTTCTTTGTGCCTCTGGGTTTTCTGATGTTAATGCCTCAGTCCATTTCGTGTTTTAAACCAGGATGCTGTCCCTGCAACGCGCTCGTTTGGTCTTCATGCGCCTGAATAAATACAGGTAAACTGCCTGAAGTAAGTAAGTGATACAAGAACGCCGACAATTTTCAGTTTCAACAAGATTAATAACTATTGACTGATTAACGATTGAATTATTTGCGAAGAGCGAATTTAACATTTAAAAAATCCTGAACATCGGCCAATGTGATAAACGTCCCACGCTTCTAACACGTGACAGTTTGTTTGTTTCGTTGCCACTTGATTAATCTCCTTCGCAGTCCTTTTGCTTCAGCGACATCCCCCCTTCCTTCTCTCGAAACAAAATCCGCCGCGAATAAACACTTGATTGGGTGATAGAAAGAAACAATAAAAATTTAACCTCTGCAGTTCATCGTGTTTTAGTTTGATAAAGCCCTAAGTCAAATGCGGCAAGGAAATGGAAGCTGAGCTACAATTTGGACTTTCTCTGCATGAAAGCCATAACGGCCTGCATACACTCTTCTGAAAGCCAGCGTTCTTCAAGTAAAGCGCACTCCTTTTCGTTGGCTTCATGTAACAAATCGCGGAATGAATCACGTATTAACTGCTTGGACAACAGCAGAGACTGTAGAGTGAACAAAAAAAACAAAAAAAAAAAAAAAGAACGAATCACCTTTTGAAGGATACTATAAAACATTGATTGGTCGTCTAAAATAATGCTTAACTGAAAGCTCCGACTGTCTACAGTTAAATATAAATGATCATGATAAATATTAGTATTGATGAATAAAATATGGGAAAACTCCTCTCTTGTATTCACCACTATGATAATATGTTAAAATAACACTTGAGTAAGGCAGGATGCCTTTTATTATTTTTAGGCTGAAGGGAATACACATAAGAACACTGAAGTTTAACTCTCAGGCTTCTTTCAACAATCTATTGAGAGAAGCCATATGGATAAAATTATCCCTAAGAGATTGCAAATCACCCCCTTTCCCCCCCCCCCACTCCCCCTCCTTTGACCAGCATGTCTCCAAATGCTATAACGACTCCATTGTAGAGGGCACCCTGCTGTGAAATTCTACAATGCAATTTTTTACCTTAGGGGGCAACTTGGCCATTGCTTGTATTCTGTTCTGAACTTCTTCTGTGAACTTGTCATGGGGGAAAACATCTGTAACCAACCCACAGTCTCTTGCTTCGACTGCTGTCAGTTTGCGTCCAGAGAGCAACATTTCATTGGACTAAAGGAGGAGAAGAATTCATGATGTAATTTTCACATATTATGACAATAACTTGAAATAGGCTCTTTAACTCAACAAATTATACAAAGGTTACAACAGAAATTAGAGGCAAGTCAATGTACCTTTGCAGGTCCCATTATCCTAGGGAACATAAACGAGGAACATCCTTCTGGGCTTTGTCCCAGCTCCATAAAAGGTGTGTGAAATGTAGCTTTATCTGATGCATAGATTAAGTCAAACAGGCCCATGACTGTTACAGATATCCCCACAGCAGGTCCATTGACTGCTGCAATCAGAGGCTTAGGGAAGTCTATGAAGTGTTGTACAAAGTTCCTGTCATAATGGTAACAACAAAAAGTACTACTTGATTTGCATTCACAAGTAAGATTAGTGTGTAGTAAGATAAGTAAATATGTATTGCATCAATGGAAGACAATTAAAGTCTAATTTCACAATTATTTAAAGGTGACTGAAAAAAAAAAAGAAGATTCCAATGTGGATGGTAAGATGTCTATTTATTCTAATAAAACAATCAGTGGATAACAAAGAAATGAATTTTTAACTGTTTTTAACTGCCTCAGCCCCTCTGAGGGAGAACCGAGCCTGGTTCTTCTGGAGAACACTGGTAGCCCACAGATAGACAAATGATTGGGGAATCTGTGATACAGGAAAAGACATTGAACTGCTAACATACTTTAATACTTTCCGTGCATCATTTGCCATCTTTTGAGGACCCTCAGGCGGAATTCTGGTAAAGTTTCCCAGGTCATTTCCACTGCAGTAATATTCTCCAGATCCAGTCAACACAGCTACCACACAAGCATCATTTTTCCCAGCTTCATCCAAAGCAGTCATTAATTCTTGGTACATCTTTTTAAGATAATAGCAAAAAAAGTTGTCATAGTTAATTAACTAAGCACACACATATGGATAATCAGAGTATGGAGTCTTGTCCATGAACACAACACACTGGCTGCTGTCTCTTAAACCCCACCCTCTTCACCCAGAGTACAATGATTAGGCCACTATTACTCCAGGTGATACTCAGATAACACAGAATATTTTACGAAATAATTGTGAAACCCAAATTAAATAAATACAAAATTTATAGAAGGTCCTGGATCATGCCTGTAGTGTGTTTACCAACAGTCCAGAAAACAGTAGAGACAAGATCAAGATGGCCATATGTATTCTAAAACTTTGAACAGCTGTACAATTCAAATATGGGAAACTGATCAAATGAGATTTGTGTTCAACAAAACCCAAACACAAAAATCTAAGAATGCCCAGCTAGAGAAATGAAAATTGTCTCCAACCTACTACATTGAGGTATTTGGGCAACAAGACTGAGATGTTGAATGTTATCAACAGTAGTCAAACGTAACTTAACGTTCTGAAAAGTTTACATAGAATTTTGTGGTTATGTCATTGTCTAGTGCTTATTAATTTATGAGAACTGTCTACAATGGTGCTGCAATGGTGCAAAAGTATGAAATACTCTAACAAATAAATTAGGAATTGTAAGTTCTCTCCCAAAATTTAAAAAACTTCTCAAAATTTAATTCTGTGATGAATGAAATGTAACGTATATTGTATGTGTATATTGTAATTTGTGTTGTGGGTTCATTTTTGTTTTCCATATTTCTATTCTTATTTTTATTGAATTTACATTGTTAACACAGGCTAAACAGGGCCAGCCTGTTTATATACTGCCAATAAATAAAGATTGAAAAAAAAAAGGAATAAACAAAATAAGATGCACCTCCCAGGTTATGGCATTATATTTTGTAGGCCTGTTCATTTTTATTGTCAGCACTCCATTCTCCAATGTCACCACTAGTTCTTTGTATTTACTCTCCACTTCAACTGATGGGTTATTCTGAGGATTTGGAGACTTTAAATCTTCATCAGTTGTGCCAAATTGTGCTGAAATATTCCAACAAAATAGTTTATACATCTGTCCAGAGCAAAGGAATAAAAATCTGATTCCCCCAACACAATTTTAACATCAAATATTTCCCATTTTGCTGTATGATGCTTTGGTGACTGAGAGAACTTTATGGAGAGCTAGGCATTATACTACATTTTATAATGTCTACAACTGGTACTAGGATCAGCAACATAATGATGCATCCTGTGTCAGGAAAAAAGGATTCATAAATCTAACCCTGATTATAGTAATGAAATTTTAAAACATTTGACCATCATTGTGGCAGAAAAATCTAATTTTTGGGTTGAGATGCTAAATATTTGGTATATCACATAAAAAGGTCATCAAAAAGACACCAAAATAGTAAATGTTGAAAATAAAAATAAATTTTTCACCTGCAAGGTCATTAACATAATCTACATACTTTTGTTGTGCATCAGCCTGAAAATAAAGTCAATCAAAATAGATTAAGTAACAGCCACTGAGCTAGATAAAAAAAAAACTTAGACAGGTAAAAATAATGTCATCCACAAAATTAAAGTGTGTAGGATGTACTTAATGTAGCAGTAGCTGCCTAATTTGAGTTTTTTCAGTGCTATTTTTGTCATGGATGTGTCCCTATAAGACAATTCTTGTTTAGTCCTGTCAACATCAAGTGATACTTGAGTGAACATAACTTCCATAAAAGCAGTTTTCTGGAAATCCATTTAACAACTATCAATTAAGTAATGTATTGGGACAGTTGAAATGCTTTGAAGTTGTTGATTCATTTCAAATATAGACTTTTGATCAAGGGAAATTAGCCAATGTATAGTTTGAGAAAAAGACTCATGTTCTTGATATTTCTTTGATTCTTGTTCTGTTTGATTCCTGGTGGACTGATTTCTTTTGTGAGATTATCAAGTTTTAGTAATTGTGTTTATAATGCAAATTAACTATTGTAGAGAGTTTCTATAATACTGATGTTTTGAGTGTTAGCCTTTGTCAGAACAAATAGAGCAAATTTACATAATCGAGTCAGTTGAAAAAAGCAAATCATCTTGAAATACCCCTTGCAGATGCAGCACGACAGTTCCTTTAGAAATGTACTCCTTTTCTTCATTTATTGATTTCTTTTGAGCTCTATTTCAAAGTTTCCACCTGATTATACAAACTTTCTATGGCGTTATTACATATACAATATTTTAGGGTGCATGGACAAAATAAGGAGAATCAGGTTGGGAAAAAATGGTCTTAAAACAACATAAAGCAGTTTCCCATCAATTCTTTCTATGAATAGCAATAGTCTCATAAATTGAAGAGTGAAAAGCAGGCACTTTAATCAACCTTTGAAAGATCACCAAGATCATTCCATGCTGTCCACTTTGCTTTGCCAACAAAATCAAATGCTCCTGGCTTGGGAGAATTGCATTTTCCGATACTGCCCTAGAAAGAAAAAGAAAAATTTTACATGAAATCTGAAAAGACTTGAACTATGTATATATAAATATAATAACTAAAACATAGGCATGCGTGGCATGCACAAGTTACTTTTTTGGCTGGGTGGGTTGAGATAGGACAATTTGTACACTTAATGTTTTCTTTTTTTGTCGCCAAAAAGAGTATAACTTTCAAAAAACAAAAATATCACAGAAAGACCGGGAAAAAACCTAATTTATCTGAACTCACACAGATATTAAGTGATCTACTGTCTCTACTAAATACTTCTAAGTTAAAATGAAATGCAACGGTGCCATGCTTACTGTTGTCTTTGCACCTGTTGTTTGGTCTCCTCACACAACACCCTCAATTTCCCTTTTGAGAGAGAGTGTGTTGCGTGACAAGACCAAATAACAGTTGCCAAAGAGACTACGCTTACTACAGTTCCCCAACAGAGAGAAAATTAAAATTATTAGTTAATTAGTTACCTCAAAAATATAATTCTGCATAATTTTACTATGAAAATCAAACTGAAACTCTGTTGTACCTCTAATAAACCCTAACCAAAGATGTACTGTGATCTCAAATAAGTTAAGATACATTGAACAAGAGAAAAGGATAGGTGGAAAAGGAAAAGGTGGTTGGCGATCTGGACTTTGCCCTCCTCTGTATGTGAAATGTGTGATAAAATGCAGGCTGTTTTATGAGGAATTAACACACAATTGGTCTAAGTCCAAGGTAGCTTAAAGTGACTTTAATCAATAGAAAAAGTTAAATGTGGGAGAATTGTGTGGAAAACCCAATATCAGTAGTATTAAGTTCCATGTGAATTTTTTTCAGTGGAGTTGGACAATGCAATTGGAATATGTAAAGAAACGTAGGAAAATAACATGTGATAGGGCAAAGTCCAATGTGGCAAAGTGGAATTTGATTGGTGAAATACAATTCAAGCACATTAAAAATTGCCCATTGTTCATGTAGTGCAATGATTAGGTATGTTCTAATTGGACTTTGGACTTTGTTATCATGATGATACATGATGGAATGTAAGTTGTTTGGCGTGTGAGTTGGCGTGTGAGTTGTACCAAAAGTAAATAAGCCCTTTAGATGCTACATCAAATCATTACAGTACATGTATACAAGGAAAAAAAGGACTGGGATGATAACCCACTCTGACAGATAACATACTAATTGACTGAGTGGGAAGACCAGATGGGAAAATATTTGGCATGAGGTCATGAAGTAGTGAGTGTAGCAAGGTCTGTGCAACATGACTGAGAACCAAATATTTTCCTATCCAGTCCGAACAAACTCAGTCAATGAGCACTTTATCATATGACCACGAAATGTTGAAAATTTGGCAAATTTTGTTTTAACCTATAGAATAGGCAATGGACAGCGCTCATGGGCAGCCACAGGCAGGATGAGAGTGAATATTGAGAGATGAATTAAGAATGAATTTTGTAGTAATGAACACTACTTGAGCAGTATTGAAAATAAAGGGTTTATTTTCAGGCTTTAATTTCACCACTGACAGTGCTTTAGTAACATTCATCACCCTGAAGAATCCTCTCATCTTCATTACTCATAATTTTAGCTTTGTGAATTTGAAGTTAAATCGCACAATAACAATTTTTCTTCTCCTAACCTCTCTACTTAAAAATATAGATATTGTAAGGAGAAGTTCCTTTTTGGTCACTCCAGAGATCAGCAGGGCCACTATCATTACCATGTAGACAGGTAACAGGATACAAAAAACTTCCCAGGATGAGGTTAAAAACTTCTTCAATTTGACTATACGTCTCTAATATTTTTAAACAATTCAGAGGAATTAAAAGTCTAGCATAGAAATCTAACTCAATTAAGCTGTGTAGTCAGTAGAGTAATTTACCTGTTTGAACAAGGCATACAACTTCAGTTTGTGATCATTCCCTGGATCTTGTTTTAGAGTCTTTGTCCTTTCACTTGCTGACTTAAATTCTTCCTCCAGATTTCCTAAACTCATAGTTCCTGTATGGATGGGTCTTAAAGCTGACAAACGGAAGAAAGACGGGCGAAACGCTAACTTTCGCAGTCCAAACAAGCTGCGCGCCATCTTAGAGTGGCCAGACTTACATGATGACGGTGCTCTAAAACGAGCAGCCGCTGAAAGCATTCGAGCAAAACATTGCTTTATTCGCGTTGTTGATACTACTTGCCAAAGTTTTATGCTGTTATAATGATGCTTTATCGCAATTGGAACTGTTCTGAACACTCTTTTAAGCGTATGATGCTGGAAGGTTAGCAAAAGATATCCAAAGTTATTTGTAAAAATGATGCGATTTCACGACAGACATGGAACTCATGTGCGGTTGTCACCGTCGAAGACATCCGCCACCAGAGTCAAGAGCTTCGCGAACGCGGTTGTATTTAGTCATCGCCCCTTAGCATTTGGTGAAACGTTCCTTTTTGAGATAGAAGAACAGGAAAAGGACTGGTCAGGTCATGTCCGCTGTGGGATCACAACTCACAATCCATCTTCAATCAAAAGTGTTCCACCGTATCTTCTTCCTGACATGGCCCAAATGGGGCGTACTTGGGTGTTTGCAATCAAATCGACGATGCAAAAACCTTTGGGCGATGAACAGCTGAAAGATTACGGTGGCCACAATTTTCAACGCCAAGAGGCAGGAGATAAAGACGATAACCCGGTGTTTTGCGGTAAAAAAGCGAGAGAAGGGAAATTAAAACCAACAGATGTTGGCTCGCGAATTGGAGTGAAAGTCAGTCCGACCGGGGAACTGTACTTCTTTGTAAATGGTATAAAATTTGGCCCCTGTGCCCTAGATGTACCTGTTGACAGGGATCTTTATGTGGCTGTCGACGTGTACGGAACTACAAAACGAGTTCAAATCATTCAATGTGGAGGTTAGTATGATATAAAAAATAACTTTGCAAGGGTAGGGGGAAAAGTGATCTCTACTGCCCCCAGGGATACTTTGTGTATGAGGGGAGGAGGCAGTAAGGAGATGAATCTAAATCTTTAATTTATCATATATGTGTATTTGAACTTAATATGTAATAAAACAAGAGTTCATGTTATAGAGTAAATTAAGCTCCAGCTGCTAGGCAAGGGTTAAAATGACTCTGATAAGGGCCCAAAACACAATCATGCCCACAAACATAAACTGTATTACTCTTATTATTACTTTGGAGAGCACTGAGAAAAAAGAGAAGTGGAAAAAGTGACAACAAAACAGTCTGATCAGTCACACAATTGTGGTGGGGGGGGGGGGGGTACAGTGGGCTGAAATACACTTAAACCCACAAATACCTCCAGTTAAGCCTGAGAATGTGCCATAATGCCTGACAAAGTGATAATAATTGAGAGCCTGACACATCTGATAAGTGTCAAGGTAAGTTGCCTTGCTTTACGTGACATGAAGAAAATTCAAGTAAAAACTTTGGTCTTGTGATAGAATATTGTCTATGCAACAGGTTGCATGGATTCAACTGGTATGAACAAATTTTACTTGGGGAATGAGAGATTATTCTTAGTTTTATTGCAGTGGTTCCACTTTAAACAATGTTTAACTACAGGTGAAATAAAATACAATAGGCCATCGGGACTCTGTGGAGGGTGACTATGACAGCTTGAAAGAAATTGAAATTACAGTAGTAAAGGGGAAAAACAGGTTTGACTGTAGTAACAGTGGGGAAGTTGTTTAAGAGCTATGGATGTGAGCTAACATACTTTTTTCACTTTAGTGCCACCACTTCTTGATTTGTGCTGTGAAAACATCAGGAAATGTGTAACAAAACAGGAAGATTTGGAATCACTCCCCATTACTGCGTCACTGAAGAAGTACATTGCAACATTTTAACAAGAAATTGTTGTCACAGAGAAAGAAAATATCTCCAGTGTTCTTAAGGGTTAAAACATTAGTAGCATATGTAAATTAAATCAAATACAACTATGATAGCATTTATCCTGTAGGGTCTCACTCAATTTACAGCCTTCCAAAAATATAATTTAACCCTTTAACTCCCAGATCAAATTTATAATTCTCCTTATTGTCAGCCAGATAATTCTTATAATGTTAGTTAGAGAATTTAGTATTGGATCACCTAATTATCCCCAAATTGATATTTTTCTTTATTCTCAGCTCTTTTGTAGTTGATATTGTATTTATATTGTACGGAGAAATTCTTTCTTGGTCATTCATGGGAGTTAAGGGTTACTTTAAAATTAGTCTCACTGTTACTGTACAGATATGAAACAGAAATTTTATGATTTATCCTGGAAAGTATCAGTATTAATTTTTGCCCAGTAGAAGTCAAGCTTTTACATTGGCTGTGTCAGCTTAGAGATTTTTTAGATTTATTTTTAAAAAGAAAATTTGCTGTGGCATACATTGGGAAAAAAACCTTGAGGGTCTTGTAAACTTGATTCAAGCCTTTATGGGTCAAATGATTTTTTTATGAAACAAGATGACTGCAAATTTTATTTTTTCGTGATTTGTATTCTTGTTGAAGAAGTCCTCCTCTGTGATTTTGAATCAATGTGATACAGGAATTGCCTAGTTTTACAAGTCCTTTTCAAGGGATTCATTGTGGTTTGTGTGTGTGACTTTCTGCTTAATGTAAAGAGATATGAACATGACTTTACCAGTAAACCAAACTTGGAACCAAACTTTAGAGTGTCCTCTGGATGTTGGAAATGTGAACCTATTACCCTTGAATTTATTTCTTTCCTGTCTGAAAATGGTGGTGGTTGTTTTTTTCAATAAAGGTGAAATAATGTCTGTGGTTGGTACTAATGACATGAAAAGCCTTAATATTTTTATGTGAGGTCTGACTCAATTTAGCTGCATCCATAGTCTGATGCAGTTAGCCTACTTATAAACAGCTACTCAGACTTGTTAAGTATATATCAATTCAGTGTTTATTTACCAAGATAGGTGTGTTCCTCAAAGGAAAATAAAAGAAAGCTCAGATACTAGGTATCCTTAAAACACTGCAGCTTACATAACTCTGAATAAACTCTTTTCCTTGATAGTAAAAAAGACTTCAACAATAATTAATGGCAATCTGTACTGCAAACAGGTATACGGCATAGATACACTAATTAGGAGAACATGATTAGCCAACCAGAGTCAATTACTTCTATTTTATTTTAGCCAACTAAGTGTTTCCCTAAATAGCAGATATTGCATATCAACATGCATTTCAAAATGTAAAATTTATGAACAGTAACATGTGTATAGAACAACTACTTGAAGATTAGCATAATATTAACAAAAAAAATCATAGATGATGGTGATTAAAAGTTTTTTGTTGTTCTGACTCATCCATAAATGTAGAGTTGGACTTGAGTTTAAACAAAAAAAAAATCTTGTGTCCATTCCCAGGAGGGGAACCAGGATTTTTCATAGCAGGAGGTGCAATGCCAAGTACAGATTTTAAAAGTGAACAACAAAAAAGAGGCTTATGACTGGGCAATACTGTAATGTAAACTGCTGAGAATACATACCAAATGATACAGCAGAATTACAGCAGAATTTGTATAATTGTGAAGTTAAATTAGAAAGCTGCAGGTCATCTATATCCTAAGGTCTATCCATATCAAGAGGCATCTGCTTAAAAAAATAACTTAATCAGGGTCCAGTTGTATACAGGAAGTAATCAATGGATAAATCACTATCCAGTAAATAATTATTAAGAAAACGTACTGTGCTATCCACTAGATAGGGATTTATCCAGCATACCCTTTAAACAACCAAACCAGACCTGTTCTCTAATTCTTTATGAAAAAAACAAAAACAAAACAAATGTTTTTATTTTTTTATCAAGACATCTGATTAGCACATATCTCAGCTGATTCTTTGTTACTTTTATTAACTGCTGGAGGTGTTGATCAAAATGTCTTCAGATAGGTAGAAAAAGTGTCCCTGGAGGACAAAGAATGTTGTGTTATCATGTGTACCAGGAAGTCTGTGATTTGAATGCAGCCGGACTTGTCTTTGGATCCTGCCCATTCATGATTGAACCACTCATACTGGGGCCACTCGTGGGACGTGAGGTACCATCTCCACGTAAAACTGTTATACACTTCCAGTTGTTAAGATAGTTGGCTGACAGGAAAAAAGATTGTATAAGAATTAAGGTTGATCAACCTTGTACATAATGTGTGGCACTGCTAAAGATTAGTGTTCAAGTGTTCCCTTCATATCAGTATTCATTTAGTCAAACTACAAAGTTTGCCAGTCAGTAGAAAGCATCCCAAGAATCAACATTAAAATTGTTTCAATCACATTCCCTTTATTTAAATTCTCATTAAAACAAAGAATGACTTAAGTAATCAAAAACTCCTTGTTCATTACATTACCTTTCCATAAACGTACACAGCCATCATCTCCAGAGGAAGCCAATATTGTGCCTGTTATATTCCACTCAACTCTCCAAACCTACAGCAAATTTGATAGGTTATTTGATTTTTAGCTATATGTTAACATGCAGAATGTAACTGATCACAAAAGTTCTATTTACTGATCTAATGTATTTGAAGTCTTACCTGAGAGTCATGATCATTAAACTGTGCTGCCAGACTGATATCAAGTTTGGCCAGACTTGCTCCAGCTCCTGTTCCTTGCTCTCTATTGGTTTGCAGAATGAAAACAAAGTATTCTACTGACAAGAATTGAATCACCAGGGAGAGTATAATGAACAGATGAGCTCTTAAGAATGTTTACAATTTTTATACTGGTGATCTCACCTGTAAGGTTTGAGCATCATAATACGAACATCCTTTGAAGCAATGGCTAAAAGATGATATGACCTACAAAATAACAACACCAAAAAAAACAAAAAAACAATGGGCATTGTTAAGATCTTTTATTTATGTATCAAACTGACAACATTGACAATAAGGCTGTCGTGCAAGAAAATGATCAATGGGACTGTAAAGTATGCAGTTTTCTGAGTGAAAATCTTAGAAACACATAGCTGAAACAAAGTCAACAACAGGATTTCTAAAACAGCAAAGAAGTACTAGAAATGTATTTTGCATTTAAACAACACCTAACCCAAATAAGTAATCCAACAAATTAACTTTTTGCACAGCAACACTACAGCATACTGTTTATTCCTGTATTTTCACTAAACTAAGACGTTTTTGTCTGAGGAGGGAGGAGGATGGTCTTACTGAGGAAAAGTTGAAAATTGAAGCATTAGATAGGGAGCTTGTTGGAGCATTTACAATCTGAGAAAAGAAAGATGATTTACCTTCCTAAATTTGGAGCAAAGGCCACATCATGAACAGCATCTGTTATTGCCATTAGTGTTTCTAATCTGTGCCACTTTCTGTAGGTTGGATTCACAAAAAACATTCAGTTTCACACTAACAATTTAATAAATTCAAAAGTAAAAATATTTGGTTAAGGTTTAAAATAATTGTTATTATCACTTTCCCATGCATTGCAGTGCATTTTGTGGGCTACAATAGAGATTTGAGATTTGCCAGACTGATAAGCTATCATTTTTTTTTGGTTTGTTTTTTTTAATAGTAAAAGAGTTTATGTTCTTGAGTATAAATATTTTTTGGGCCCTTCTCAAAGTCACTCTAACCCTCACTGCTAAAATGATTCTGAGTTGGGCTCAAATCATATTTAAGCCCTCCTACATAACATAACTACTTTTAACAGCAATCATTTACTGAAACAAAAAAAAAACCATTGTACACTAAATAACACAATGAAAACTAGTTTCCAGGTGGAAAGGTGTTGTCAGAAGAAAGCTGAAGTCACAGCCCTTATTCTGTGAAGCTGGCAAATATGGTTATGACTCTGACTAGTAGGGATAAAATTACAGACACACCTGTTTGCTTCATTGTGTTCATGTATTTGAACTTTTCCTCCAGCACTGGTGTTAGGATCATTACTACCCACTGCTAACATTGGTGGATGCACTCTAAACAAGTTACAGTCATTGTCTTATGAGTAGAAGAATGCAAGAGTAAAAAAAGCTGCACTGTACATTACTGTTAATCTGCTTTCAATACACAGATGGTTTTTCTGAGACATTTTGCTATGACCATTGAAAAAATTCCTTATCACACATTTTAATTCTTTGACTCTTATCACTGACTTCCAGCTAGAATACAAATTATTACTTTTTTCAGACAGAGTGACACATAACACTTGGAGTAGCTGCTTAATCCCCAGTAATACAAATGTGTGAAGACCAGACTTCTACTATGATCAAGTAAATACTATTTGGACCATGGGGGTTCTCCCAGTGGAGAGAATTTTTTCTCTCCACTGCACAATTGAAATACCATAAAAGACTATCTCAATCTTTTGTGAATTTGACTAAATTTTCACTCCAGATTTAAGAAACAAGTCCAAGCCTCAAGGCACCAAGTGATTTTGATAAGAACACAGCTTTGATTATAATTCATTCCTTGTATATAGAATAAGAGAGATGGTAGGTTTTGCGCTTGGTAAAGAAATAGAGAAAGATATTTTTCATCTTATCACAAGTGTGGGACAAAGTAAAAACTGTGAGTTCCCATGAGGAATTGAACCTCAGACCTTCGGATTGCACAGTCTGATGCTCTACCACTGAGCCACGGAAACTGTATGGTGAGCAAGGCCTAATATGTAGATTTAGCCAAGCCTAAAAGTGGAGCTCGCATTTTTTTTTCTGCTTGTCCCAAGGGCACAACACCTTGCCCCAGCCAGGACTAAAACCTGAATTGTCCAACTCAGAGCCCAGTGCACTGACCACTGGACTACTGGACAAAGCTGTAGCATTGGTGTGCACGTGGTACAGTTGATCATGCATGTTAAAAGTAGCATCTTGTACTATTGGTCGTACAGTCATAAGTCCAAATTTTTTCAGCTTGATGGGTTACTACTACCATTTTGTATAATTAAGGGGCTACGCTCTGTGAGCTCTGCTATATTGAAGTTCATGTGACATAAAACATCTTTCTCTATTTCTTTACAGAGACCAAAACTTACTTATTCTATTTCCAAACATGACACTATTGACATTGCTGATCCCAGCAATATTCAGGACCCATGTCATATGAACTGTGTTATAGGCCTTGCCCACTATGGTGGCTCAGTGGTAAAGCATTAGAGTGGGGAATCCGAAGGTCTGAGGTTCGATTCCTTATGGGGACTAAGAATTTCCCATGCTCATAACAAGATGAAAAGCATATTTCTTTAATTCATTCCTTATACCTTGATAAGTTCCATGACACACAGCTACAACTCAACTTGTGGTGGATCTCATTCTACAAGAAAATGTGGAGTTACAGTTAATTCAAGCATCATTTTGTAATTCAGATTAGGGTACACAGATAAATAGAACCACTGCTAACTCCAATGAGATCCGATTTGACCCCATTTTTCCAGTCATTTACTATCAGAGACAAGGTAAAGTCCATAAAAATGCAAAAAAAAGAATGAAGCAAATATGAGCTATCTTGACTGAACAAGCTTGTTCAATAATGCATTTATTACACAGCAAAAATATTTTGCCCTATTATGAATCAAAATGACTTAGTTATTTCAAGAGAAGGGAAAGAAAGCAAACTGTTTTTGTAGCGAAATAAACCTTTGTTTCTCCATTTGACTGTCTTCTGCCATCTTTCGGACTCCAATGCCAAGATTGCCCAAAAATTACAAACTTTGTAAATCTGCCCCAAGTAATTTTTTTTCTTGTGCAGGATCAAAGTGGGTGATCCTGAGCAGGCAAGATGGGGCCATCTTGCCTTCTCAGTTAGCCAATCAAAACAAAGGTTTTGCTTCATATTGCCTAGGGATGCTGCCAACAATGTAATTACTAAGTGGTACAAGATTCTATTTGTTTAACTGATTTTTTTTACAATAAAACCCACTTTCTAGTTGCTAAAACTATCAGCTAATGATAACATTTAAGTTAACATATAAAGAAAAGCCAAACTATTCAAGATTCCACTGACCTGTAGTTGCCACTGGCCTAAATTCATTATATCAGGAGCTTCATAAATTCTAACAGTACCATCCTTGGAGCATGTGGCCTGAACAAAACAAATTAACAATCACTGATCCCTTTTGTGCAATTACATACTTTTTACTTAAAGGTTAGGTCAAGGAGATTCAACATTAGTAAGCTTCACTTACTTAGACCAAAAGATAACTATTGTTGAGGGACCTTTGAGGCATGAAATTTTGCATTGGAAAAAACACACAACAGTTACTTTGTCTGTTGCAAATTTTCTTGATTACACCAAACATTATAAGTCACGTAACATTTGAAACTGACTTTTCACTTATTTTCTGGTGTCAGAACCTACCAGCTGTAGTCCCAAATGCTTTGGAGCAAACTTGACATCTGTTACTGATGTTCTACTATCAACAAGGGAGCTCCTTTTCACCTGAAAAAAGGACAGTATGTTACATTTTGGTGATAATGCTAGGTCTGTAGAATTAGGTTCTTCACATGCCCATCAAGTGTCAATATAATATTATGTTCTCAATATTCACTTTTCTCACCAAAACAGAAAAGATCCAATCTGTGAAGAAGTTAATCCCACAAATTTTCCATGCTACATTACAAAAGTCATAAATAAAATGCTACCACTGAACCTTTTACACCCTAACATCAGTTAAGGTATTCTCCTTACTGTTTTTTAAACATTCCCTAAGGTGCTAACAATGAAAATTTTTGTAACAATCAACAACTTCTTTAGCAGCTGATCATTTTCTTTATTCTCATGACCTTACTGCATGATTCAGGGGTGATATTGTAACAAGAAATTAAATACTAGTCACTCTTAGGGGTTACAGGGTTAACTGATCCTATTTCTGCGAATAAGTGCAATGCTTGAATAGGCACCTCCCCTCTGGGCTGTAATATCAAAAAAGTGCCCCTCTCAAATAGGCATCCATCCCCTTTTCCCTCACCTTCTTAAATTGAAGAGACACGAGAAAAACCTTTTTCTATTAATACTTTACTAATTACTTTTTAAGCTTCAACTGTAACAGAATCAGTACAGGTCAATAGTTTCTTAATAAGCACTCTGCTTGATTAAGCCCCCACCTCCCAATAACCACCTCTCCTTTTGGTCAAAATTTTAAATAAGTGCTTACACTCCTATTTGAGTAACAAAGTAAATTCTTTTAACAGTTCTTACCCAATGACTTTGACCTTGTGATGTGCCATTACCAGACCCTACAACTGAATTCAAAGTTGATGTTTCAGAATTTCAGTACGTGATTTAATCTAATATAAAATTGATGCTTTTCAAGTTGATCAGTCAATGCAACAACAATTGATGTAATTTTTTAAATCATATATCAGGGTGATGAATATGCAAGTTCATCGCTATAGTGTAGGGCATTCTCAATCACCCAAATATAATTTCATTCCAACTTCTTACTGTTGTTACACCAGATTGCAAACACTTTATATTAATTAACTTTTATTAGTTACCAACAGAAGTATAAGTGTCACAAGAGTGCATGGAATGTTATCACTCCAGCCTTGTAACTGATTTCTATCCACTAATTTTTGAAAAGGCTGAAGTTTTCCTGTGTTTAAAGTGAGAGAAAGATATAGGCTAACAGCATGGTATCAAAACTGGGATCCAGTTTTCCAAAGAGGAGAAGTTAACATGGCTGTCGACGGTTCCCAGCAAAACAGTAGAGATAAAACAATACCAATAAACTAAAATAAAATTATATTATGTAGCTAACAATGATTTTAATTCATCTGCACTGTTTTTTTATTTTAACACTGTTGATAGGGATGTATATTTTCATTAAGTTTACATTGATTGAAAATATTTGAAGTTTGGCCTCACTCATCACACAGCCCATTGAGGTCTCTCCTAATAATTGAATTACCTTAAAATGTTCTCACGAGCAATTGAGTCACTGATGTTTTCCTGAGTTGCAAAATTAATGTCCCATACATGTATAGTTGTATATTGATTTGCATTTTCCTGTCTTTTATGAAGCACTGTTTTAAAAATGTGCTCCTTGCATCACACTGAATGTTTGAAAAAACTTTCAAACCTTTAACTCTCAATATTTCAGTCATAATTCTCAAATATGACATCATCATACAGGTAACAAATATAATTCGTTTTACCTTGTTCTTCCCATACTGCAGCAGTCCTGTCAAAGGAACATGATGCCAGCACCTGGCCAAATTCTGGATGTGCCCAAGTTACTTTCCATACTGAGCCAGAGTGGGTCTGTGAAATGAAAACTTTTAATAACTTTCCATGATGACAGGGAAGGTGGAAGGAAAATCTGACAGGAGTAAGAGGCTGAAAAACAGGTCTAAGGTGTTCATGTAAGCTATGGACAAAGTTGAGTCAGAGGAAGAAAGATGGTAAGTTTTGTTCTTTGCTTGGTCAAAAAATATAGAGATATAATTTTTTAGGTCTCATCACAAAAGTTAAACAAAAGAAAACTCTAATGTGGTATCAAAACTCAGATCTCATGGATCAGATGCTCTATTACTAAGCTGCACTACACAGAATTTCATGCTGTGATCAGCAATGATGCAAGCATCTTGGGAGTTGATAGAATATCTTTTTCTGAAATAGTTCTCTGTTCCTTGGGGATAGGGCATGGAAGCTTTCAATCCCTGGGCCTCAAGTTTGATTGCTTATAGGTACTCAGAAAAAAAAACCAAATACCTTGTTGCATCAAGAAGGTATCGTATTATTTTAGAATATATTGTTCTGTACCTTCCAACTTGCTGTACAATGCCACTGACCATCCTCTCCAAGATCCCAAACCTGTTTAAGGTGATATTAGTAACATTACTGGTATATCATATATCACATGATAAACATCACAAATGGTCAACTCAACCCTTGCTCACCAGTATAAAGAAGACACACAAGAAAGGGCTTATAGTTTATTGCCCTTATTTGACAAGGCTTCAAAGTCTAACTATTTGAAGATGTCATAATAAAGGGTGCATAATGTCCTCAGTTATTTTACATTGGTCTGGGCTTGAACCCTTCACCTCTTACACAGCAGTCCCGCACTCTACAACCTGAGCTAACCATGTAACAGTGAAGTTTAAAGATCTCACACAAGACTAAATGTCAATGAATAAAGGAGATAGGTTTCTAAAGAAATTGTAGTACTGTATTGGTGGGAGAGTGTAACAGGGTAATCAAGTATTATCAACTGGGTTGTGTGTGTGTTTATAGGCAGAAAATGGAACTAAGCTATTGGTACAAATATGGTGACAGGAAAACAAGAATAAAATAGTTGCTCAAAACGTCAACTTTAAACTCTTTACCGTGGCCAATTTATGTTATCAACTCAGTTAATAATACTAAATTAACCCTGTTAAAACCTCAATGAGTCTGGTCAAGACTTGAACCTTGACCTTGTGATCTCAAGTCCAATACCAGTCTCCAAAACTAATCAGTCCATTTTTAAAATAGTCTATATATTTGTACCCAACTAAACAGAGAATTCACAACATAAAGCAACAACCTTTGTAAATGAGCAATTTACTGCATTGTATTATTTAATAAACATGAATCCACGTCTATGATTTCCTCATTAATCTCAAGTTTATGTACATTTAGGTCGATTAAGACTTGCATAATGCAAAAATCCTATGGTCAAGGCAAACTTAAAGAAGTAAAAGTTGTTTTTAATGGTAAATTATCAGATTCTGACCTTAACACTTTGATCACTGGAACAAGTAGCCATTCTTCTTCCGTGGTAATCGTACGAAACATCGTGAATCAAATCTTTGTGTTCTGCGGGAATTTCACGAGCTACAAACATGATTTTAGCGCGCCACAGACAACCAGCTCCTCTTTCTTTGTTTTTCAACTCCTTCTTGTGTCATGCGAAACTCTCAAAACACTCGATGGTGGATAAACGAACGGGGTAGTAAGAAAGAGAGGCGTCTACAATGGATAGTTGGAAAATTCAAGGAAATCTTTCAACTTCTTATCAGCCACGACCAGGAACATACTTCATGATAAAATACAATGTAGCTTCCCGTTGACTTCTTTCAAGTAGAAACTATACGGTGTCATATATGACGAGGTAACCACTGTATAGTCATGTGACGAAGCCCTGATCGCCATCTTGACTTTTAGAACGTAATATTTCAAACCGTGAGGAGAGGGTGCAATCAATCTGCATCGGCACTTCGTTATCGTCTCTAGTATTCGAAACACTGCATTTCAGGTCTCAAAGAAACTCTATTGCTGTTTAGCTAGGTATTTTCTCGCGAAAATGGCGGATTTAGATGAAAGTGCGCAAGATAGCTTGCTTGACGCAGCTCTTCATACATCAAAGGACGACGATGCTGTTTTAGGAGATATTTCTGGAGTGGATCCTACAGTAGACGACTCATTGGAAGATCCGGTAACCTTGAAGTTTGCATAGCATGGTGTTGCTTACGATATCTTCTATTCAATGAGTTTAAAGGGTCGCCGCCATTTTTTGGTTATAACTTCTGAGCGTTGTTTTCTTTGTTACTTGTGAGTCGACAGTGTCCATCGGTAACAAACTGAGCTAGCTAATTTTATTGTCTATTCAAGTTTTAGAGAAACTTAGCCACTTAGCCCAAGAAGAGCTCTAAATTACCTTTAAGACGAATGTATTTGTTACTTCAATTTGTAGTTTTTTAGTGTGCACTTGACCTGAGGTCCAACCTCACGCGTTAACAATCTCTTGTGTTTGCTGCAAATATAGCTCTAAGAATTTCCTAGGACCACATCAGTTTGAAGAGAGGAAAAGGAAATAGTTTTCAGAGAGCAAATCTCAAGGAAAACTGTAAGCTTTGATTTTAGGAACAGACAAGTTGGCTACCACCAAAACTCTTTTTTTTATCTAGGGAATATCATTCAGGGAGTATTTTTGTTTAGAAAAGATTTGGCTTGGGCACATTCAGTCTTGTGTAGTGTTTACACCAATCACCCTCAAGCAAAAATATTTAATGGACTAATGAAACCAACATCTCTCTTTGTAAGCTTTGTTAACTGTTTTAGAATATATACTGGGTAGTTTTAGTTCCTCTAGTTATTTTACAAATTATCTGTGGTGGTACATTGAAGGAACTTGAAGCCATTAAAGCAAGAGTTAAAGAAATGGAAGAAGAAGCAGAAAAGTTAAAAGAGATGCAGAAACAAGTTGAAGAATCCATAATGAGTCCCACAGTTGGACAATCAACATGTAAGATTCAGTTAGATTTTGGTTTCCCTCCTCCCTCCCCCCTACACCAACTTTCTTAAAACAGGTATGAGTGGGTATGAATGTTTATTTGGAAGAACTTTTAAGGTTGTTCATAGTGTTCTTGAAGATTGTTATCAAGTAAGAGTTCTCTGCTACAATGAGAGGAACCTTTTAAGTCCAATTAGAATTGGAAAGATGGTTAATTTTGAGCTGATATTTCTCTAACTCAGTGTTATGGGTCCCACTCAGTTGCATTCATACTGCATTTTCCTTATCTGCTTGTTATGTCCTCTTTCCCTCTTTAATTAATGGTTGCCTCTTTTTTTGAAGTCCCAAAAACAATTGAAGAAAAAGGTGAAATTGATGCAAGATCAGTTTATGTGGGGAATGTAAGTAAAATTATAATAGTGAGAAATTCGAAAGAATTTTTTAACTGTGTATTAGCCCCAGCAGAAACCTTATATGGCCTAAATTTAATTCAATTTTCCCATGTTAGTCACCAATATGTAACAAAACATCTTTTACCATCAGTTATTGCCTTGTAAGTTTACTGAAACTAGCACTGAAGTGTGAGAAGTTTACTACGACATTCAGATTTGCTTGTGTTTGTTACCCTTCATCCATGCACCAGTTCTATACCATAAAAAATTTAAATGTTCTCACATCAACTTCTTTTATGCTTTTTTAGGTTGATTATTCTGCAACAGCTGAGGAATTAGAGCAGCATTTTCATGGATGTGGCTCTGTTAACAGAGTCACGATTCTTTGTGACAAATTTACTGGACACCCTAAAGGGTTTGTGATGTCTTTGTGAAAGTGTGTTTTGAACTTTGTGGTCAAATATTGTTAAGCTTGTTAATAAGACTGATGTACATAGGTGTAAGAGATTACCTTGCATTTGGAAGCATTACATAAGTATTAATACAACTCTCTGCGGAGGGAAGTCTGTTAAAGGTAACCACCCCTCCTGCAAGCAATTTTGCTAGTTTCTTAACTTTTCACATTCGTAGTTTTTGTGTAGAGCAGAACAAAGAGTAAGGTTTTTTGCTCAAGAAGACAGCTTAACAATAGGGCCAGGGTTTGAGCTTAAGTTTTGGCCAGTGTTCTAACCAAAGGATCTCTGAGTACTAACAGTTGTATAACTTGCTGCTAGGTTTGCATATATTGAATTTGCTGACAAGGAAAGTGTTGAAAATGCAGTAACCATGGATGACTCCTTGTTCAAAGGAAGACAGATCAAGGTACATTTTCCAGATACCACCAGATTTATAAGTACACCCTTGCTTAGCTGGATAGTTTGATTTTGATGAAGTGTTAATTTGTTAAAAATTCTTGTCATTTTGTTGTCCAAGGTAAATCCTAAAAGAACAAATCGCCCTGGTATCAGCACAACAGACAGAGGATCATCAAGGGGAAGGGGAAGAGGGCGTGGCTTCAGAGGAGGACTGTACAACCCTTATGCAAATTTCATGCCCAGACCAAGGGGTAGAGCTATGTTTAGGTCAGTGATGTTTTCATTTTGGTGCTGGTGCAACCCATTTAATTCCAATAGTGATCAGTGTTAAAGAACTCCTGGCAATGACAGGGATTACTGCTTAGAAATAACACCAAGTTCTAAGAAACCCTAGTAAATAGAAAAGTATAGTATTTAGTGAATGCATGGTGATAAGTGAGACTGTGTCATTGTAAGTTTAAAGCCATCTTAGAGTATTTAAATGCTGGCTTTATTTAGACCTTGGTGTGATTGTCTTGCCTAAGTAGGAACTTCATTTGGACAGGTATATCACTTATAGCTCAAAGCTAGTTTATGAAAATATTCTTTTTTCTCAGAGACATAATTGTTTTTTTTTTCCTTTTATAGGGGCCGTGGAAGGGCATACTGGTATTCTCCGTATTAACAACTGTCCAAAGACAACACTCATTCCCACATTATATTTTAAGTGTCTGTTTTTATATGCTTTGAATTGCTCTGTTTTTGCATATTTTGACAAAGTTCAGGTATTTTTGTCTTCACAGGTTTCTTGGCAATTCTCAAGGGACCACTCTATTTGGTTAAAATGAGAGCCTTGCTCAGCCTGCTTACCTAATGGATATATTCCAGAGTAGGTATAGTGACTTGGAAAGCTCTTTCAATTAAGACAGACTGTGGTGTAAAAAAAAAAAAAGTTAAAATATAGGAAAGGAAAAAAGTTTTTGAGAACATTAAAGAAAAAACAAAACTTTACTTGAGGTAGAAAAAAAAAAGACAATGAGCTGTTTAAGACTGAGAAAAGAAGAATCAAGGAAACAGTGAACAGCTGAGTAACTAGAGAGAGAGAGAGAGAAAAAAAAATACAGATAGACACTTTTTTATGTTGTTATGATTAGTAAATGTATTGGACCAGCATTCAGCCTTACGACAAAAAAATAAAAAAAAAATTTGTAAAAATGTACCTGCAGTGTCTGTTGTTGTTGATTATGACATTTGATTCTGCCAAGCCAGGTGGGTTTTCAGTCCATCGCATATAATCTACTTACAATTGGTCAATTTTTTTCTGACCATTCTGTAGTTATACTTTTGTTTAGAGAGAGGCACGGTCAGCCTAGAATAATGCTGCACGAACCCCTCAGATCCTAAGTGACCAGCTTGAAATTTTTCCTTACTGTTATACAGCTGAATGCTTCATTAAGATCAAGAGGAAAAGATTTGATTGTTAAACAAATTCTCCTTGTAAGTACAAGTGGAAATTTATGTAGAAGATTATGGAGAAAGTGGATTCTGATGTTAGGGTGTAACAGGCTCACACCTCTAAAACCAAGTCTTCCTTCCATTTTCTTTGACCTACTCAAAATACAACTGTGTCTTTGTTTTCTATAAAATACAGTGTATTTGCATAGTCCATTACTTAAGTTTGTGGTGGCCTCTCCACATGTTTAACTTTTGCTTAGCAGGCCTGTTTCTTTGAGTTTCCACTCGTTCTGTGTTACAAAATCTACATTACAATATAAATTTGAAAATCAACAAGATTGCATTTAGTGATGCCTGGTCAATGTGGCTGTCTGTGATATCCATCATGATTTTTCCAGTGAGTCAATTTGTTCCCAATAGTACCATACTTTCAAATGCCATAACCTGCCTGAAAGCATTCACAAACAGCTACACAGCTAGAGTAATGTAATTGCCAAGTACTGCAACTGATTCTGTTGATTAATCTTCTTTCATCATTTTCACAATTGCCTCTTCAAAACGCCTGGAGATAAAGTGATAGGTTAAGGGATGCGATTGAAGTAATCAACTGACAAAACTGCATGTACTTTGATAACCTCCAAATAAGTGTATAGAAGTGTAACCCTTGTTACAAAGTGTTGTGAGCTGTCTTCAGATTCCTTTTAAAACTTAAAAGTAAAATTCTCAAGTTTGGCAGACTGAGTGTAAGATGCATTTAAATATAGCTGCTTCCTTGAAGTTAAAGGCTGTGGCTCGTTTAAGCTTACCTTGATGTTATATTTTCTCCTGGGTTGTAAAAAGGATTGCAGAACATATCTGTATAAGCCACATGAAGTTTGCGAAACATCTGGCGAAAATAGTAATGAAAAAAGAAAAAAAATCAAGAGATTTGCAAAGATTAAAGAAAAATAATGGAAGAGATTGCTTGATTCTTTCTGCCTCTTGATGCCATCACCATGAGTGCAAGTAAGAATGACAATGTGAATATTTGAGAAGGCTATGGCTGAAAATTTATTTCATGGGTAATTTGAGTTAACTTTCCTGAGGGAAGGTCTTTTCATAGAGAAATTTCTTTTCAATCCTTGCAACCAAAGTCAAAGCAGCAAAATTATTGGAAGTGTAATACATAATCACAAGGGTTCCACTAAAAACAGATCTTTTCCCCCAGCCCCACTCCCAACCCCAAGAGAAAAGTCTTCCTCCATATCAGCTAAATAGATATGTGCTGCTATGACTTTGGACCCTTTTTAGTCTGAAAGTGGTCAGTGTTTGAACATCCAGGTGTTACAATCGATATGGTTTCATGGAACCTTGAGAGCACACATTCATTTCCCAAACAAATAAGTAACCACAATTTACCACACTAAATGTTTGGGTTTTTACCAGTTCTTGGCTTAGGTACTGATGCAAAGCTTGATAATTCTTCAGTGTAATGAATGTGTGAACCAAACTACAACTGTGATCAAGGAGCTAGGTATGATCTCAGGGATAAAGTTAAGATACTTGGGGTTGGTTTCTCAAGCTTGTAAAGTTAATTTCTGTTTTGTTGTGTTTTGTTTAAGGTCAAGTAACAAAACATTTCTTAAATTCAAACAACTGATACATGGGGAAACATAAGAATGAGTTGGTTTTTCAGCTAATTTAGACCTGCATTTATTATTCCTTAGAATTATATTTTAAAACATTTCTGCTGGCAGTTAAGTTATGAGGACTTTCAAGAAACAGGGCTTAGATTAGAAAAATGGTGTGAAAAAAAAAATCATACAATACTGTAACATTTGTAAATTTAATAGTAAACCATGGTGAAAAATCTTAATTAAGATATAACTGAACAAGCTTGTAAAATTAAAAAGTTAAAAATTGCTGTAAATTTATAAATTTACATTTATAAATTTTATAGTAAACTAAAGTAAGAATCAAATAGAAACTTGGTACCGAGTAAATAAGGAAATACACATATCAATTTGCAACAGGTATAACAGCTTACCGTTCTTATCTCATTGTCTCTTAATGCAGTGTTTGCTGACTCAACTACAATTACAAACTTGATTTTGGAGTTTGTAACATACCCATACCTGTAACCTTAGTCAAAGATTGTTCAGTAAAATATATATGGAAGTAGCCACCTACATCCAGTAAACTGGAAATCTGCTACACAAGCTGGCACACTTTTTTAAAAACTTCATGCAGAGATATACAGACAAAAACTACAAAATGGTCAAACTCTGTAACAAATACAATTAGATAAATAAAAATGAGAAGCATGGCCAAGCTAAAACAAAATTGGAGCAGTAACATTGTGGCTAAACTGGGAAACATGTTCCAAAAGGGAAATTTGTGTCCTGGAAGCAAAAATACTTTTGACCCAAGGCAATGGAATATTCTTGTTTCAAAGTAGCAAAATTTGTTTTTGGAATATATGTTTCCTACATGGCTATAATGAAAAAAAATTACCTTTTTCCACATTTCTATAACAGATCTGAACTATATACATGTGACAAAGTTTAAAAGGATACACTTTATAGTCTTCAGTGGGATATAATAAACCAAGGTAGAGTTCTCGAGGATCATTGGAACTTTTAGTCAGGGATGACACTAAGAATGCAATATATTAAATACATATCACCTTTGAGAAAGGTTTCTGAGGCTACCCAAGATTAGTCATGAATGATGAATGACCCAAATTTTGAAGGACATAGCAAGGAACTGAACAATGAAATAGAGTTGTTAAAAAAAATGAGCATAAAACACAATAACAAGCAAAACATAATCTGAAACTTGCGGTAGGACTTGACGGTGCAGAATAATTATGGGCAAAAAAATAACCTATTTCCACAAAAGAGGTCACAAAATTTCCAAGAATTTTTGAAATACTGGTATTAAGTGCTCATGAGAGTAAAAAAAAATCAATTGAACGGATATAAAAAAAATTCCATAACAGATAATGGCTAACTTATACTTATTAAACCCTAACCCTAACCCTTACACTTACTTATAACCAGGCATATTTTATTTTGTACGTCCTAGCGATGTCTTAAAATATACAGTTATCGTTCTAAAATCATCCACCTTTTTCTTCGACAACATCTAACGAGGTATGAACTGTGTAGTGAAATTTCAACTCCTCTTCCGGAGAGACGGTCCGAAGATACAGCGGATAATTCTGAAATATTCAATGAACAAAAAAGTATCTGTGAAATAAGCTCAAAATCGTTTCTAAACGCGAAAAAGATGAAGTGTTTACCTCTTTCCCTATGACAGCGACACAGACCGCCATCTTGTATTGGTATGTTGTCATGTATGGGGTCATATACTGTACCAACCGCATCAACCGCAGATAGTAATGATTAGGGGCTCAATATTTCACTCGACAAAGGCCGAAAGACTATCGACATTCCCCGATAGAAATTCTTGACCTTCCACGAAAATTCGATGGAAGATCGCCCATACATAGAGCCCAGGCTGTACACAGCCGGACTGCGAGTAGAAGCTCATGTGATCCAAGTGTAATCTGTGCAGGCAAAGCATAACAGCTAGAGGCTGCACGGAAAAGTAGTAGATGATTGCACAAGTCAAAGGATGAATTCCTCTGTGTTAAAGTTTATATGGGCTGCAGCCTCTTTGCTATGCTTGAGTGCAGCTCATTTTGTCAGAAGCGAAACAAAGCCGAACATTGTTATTATGCTCATGGATGACGTAAGTTACTCAAGTGTTGTAGAAATACTTTGTCGTCTCTCAGAGTTTACAGTGTCAGTTTATTTGGCTGGTTATGCTTCATATTCTTGCATCGCCAAACCTTGCATCTTTTCAATGAACTTGGTAGAGTAGGTTTTGGGACTTTAAGTTGTAAGAACGGCAATGCTAAGGAAGACTCGATTAGAATTAAAAAATGAATCACTATTTTTGGTTAGCATTTAGAAAATGGCTGCATGAGGTTACCGTCTCCTACGCCGTTACACCTCAACCACAGTGTAACGTATATAAGCAGCGTTGACTTCTAACTGGAAATTGAAATAATTTGTCGTTGTGGTTTCTGTTCGCAGACGACACAAATCTTGGTGATTTCACTTTGTAGTTTTGCAGAGGACGGCCAAGAAATGTACAACGTTTTAAAATGAACGTGTTAACCTATTGTTCTGTCCATTAGATCTTTTGTTTTGCCTCGTCCTCGTTGCCGCTCCCTATGTGGTTTGCCCAAGGTCCCTATTGTACGAAGGGGGGTTTAACAGGTTTCTGCGAGAGTACATGGGGCACCTCAGGCCTCGGGAAATTATAGAATGATCCTTTATACTAACCCTGACTTGAACTGACCTTCATTCTAACATTTCTTGGTAAGTACTAAAACAAGGAACGACCTAAAACCACCTAAAACCACCTAAAACCACCTAAAACCACCTAAACCACCTACAACCACCTACAACCATCTACAACCACCTCAAAAATTTCAACAACCACCTACAACCACCTCAAAAACATCTACAACCACTTGCAAACTATCTAAAACCATCTAAAACAAGGCATAAATGTCTAAAATAAGACGAAACGACAACATGTCACGTACACGAAATACGAGAATTGAACGAAACCTCTACCTCCCCCTGAAATCTTACTCTCCCTGGTCCCATGTATAATCAACCATCTCACGAAATGAAATACGATAGCATGCTAATTATTTTATATTCCCTCAGCAAAAGACTTAAAGAACTTTACAAAATGAACTAACAAGATACAAAAAATAATAAATAGGGAATAATACATGGGCGCGCATAGATATCACAAGACGTGAATGGAATAATTTTAAAGTTTAATCGCCCGGTAGATTTAGATGAGACAACTTACTTGTCTTATCTGTAATTATCCTCTGTTTGCGCTTCTTGCATAATTCTCAAAGAAGATAATTTTGTCGTTCTTTAAGTGGTCAGTGATTTCGAAAATTCAAAGGTAGTGACGATCTTTTAAGAGCCGAGGTTAGGATACTCTAGAAAAAAAAATATAACGATTATAACGTCTTGTTCCATTGACTGTTAAGATGAGTTGGCATCATTCGCCTCACTCGCTCTATCATGTAATAGAACATGAAATGTCCCCATATATATGAGTGGGGAAGGGAGAGCGATCTTTTTTTTATTTTTTTATTTTTTAATGGCGATTATCTTACTCTTGTGGGTCGCCAAAAAGCGACTTTTTGAAAAGTTGAACCTGGAGCCCTGACTGCATCTTTTGGAGTGACATCTAACCTCTGTCCCAGACCCTTTCTCAACTTTTTAGTTGGTTTTGATTTTGATTTTTGTTTTTTTCTGTTCTGTTCTGTGGAAATAACCTATTTTTTCAAATCATAAAAATACATGAACATCACAACAGTTTAATCATTCCATGTGGTAACTTATAATTAAGGAGATATTCGCTATGTTCATTATGAAATAGACCTAACTACAATGGCAGCTTTGAAGAATAGTACTGACCAGTGGTATTCTGTCCTCTGTTTCCCATTTCTGCATGCAACATCAATTAGTTCCACTTTCAGTCATCATAGTTGTATGGATAATAACCTGATTTTTAGTGCGATTTGGTGTTAATAAGCACAAGTAAATATTTTTAAAGAACTGCACACATGCAGTTTTTTTATTTCTTGCTTATTTTCATTTCTTTTATTTCTTGATTTTTATTTCTTGCTTATTTCTTGCTTGCTCATAGTGGACCTTTGTACTCAAGTTTCAGCCTAGCACTCATGTTACCAAAAAAAATAAGCCAATCAGATAGGCATAATTTTTTCATGTAGTTTATCAACTGAATAGTTAATATTCATATTGGAAAAAAATCTTATTTTTTTCATTTTATTCTCTGTGTATTACAGATGGGTTGGGGTGACTTAGGTGTACTTGGTCAGCCAGCAAAAGAGACACCAAACCTTGATAAGATGGCTGCTGATGGAATGCTCTTTACAGATTTCTATAGTGCAAATCCTCTTTGTTCTCCTTGTGAGTGAAACATTCTTTTTTTTGATGATTCAACTGAAAGTACATTTTACCACTGATTGTTTAAAATGATCAACTCTTGTTGTTGAAACATTTGGTCTTGGTCATGGTCATGGTCTAGATTACCTATATACAGACAATCACACTTAACAATCAACTTTCAATCACTTTTATATTTGTGTACATAAAGGGAGGCCCAGTTTACAGTGCTCTGTGTTACAAGTATTATCATTTGTCTTTTACCCTGTATCTAGCTTGGAAGATATATTTCTTGTGTACATTAAATTTTGACTCATTAAGCTATGCCAAGCTCTTTGTAGCTTCCAATAATGGCCATAACAATATCAAAGGATGCATGAAACCATCAAGTCTCACTGAATCTCATTCTTTGTTTAAAATGTAATTGACTGCAAATGGGTTTCATATGTGAATTTCACAAACAATTTTTTTTTACACATTTTGATGAAAATCACAAGTTTTTTCACAAATATTGCTTTCAGTACTGTTTTATATCAAGAAATTTCCCTTTTCTATTTACAAAAACAGCTCGTGCTGCATTACTCACTGGACGACTTCCTATTCGAAATGGATTCTACACAACTAATGCTCATGCTCGAAATGGTAAGTGTCATGGTGGCCTGAGAATCCAAAAATGGATTTCTGTTAGTGTTACCTATCCTAAGATCTGATTTTGGATTCTCCTCTCTAGCTGTTTAAACACATTTCCTTGTAAATTAATCACAAGAATTTGCTGTTATATCAAGACAACAACTTTACCTGATAAATTTTGTGTATCCTCATTATCTGTTTGCTGGAAAAAGTATGGATATAAGTGGGAGAAGTTGCATGTTAATCATTTCTGTGAGTTATTTAGGATTAATGGAAGCAAATTATGAACACGGAAAGAGATTATTGAATGCATCCATGTACTCCTGACCAGTGATCTCTATCACTCTTTCTATGAATGGTTGACTGTTAAAGGATAAATTATCCATTTTCCTTGAATTTCTGTTACTAGTGAACTTCAATTTGGATGGTTGTGTGACAGATCAAATAAGATTGACAATTGATTTGTTTGATTTTCTTGATTAAATATTTACATTAGAAAGCAATTTTTACTTTAGAATCAGTTTAATTTTATATTGATTTTCTACTCACAAAGCTTCTGTTTGAATTTGTTTTAAAGGGTATACACCACAGAACATTGTTGGTGGAATACAAGATAATGAAGATCTGTTACCTGAGTTACTTAAATCAGAAGGATACTACAGTAAAATAGTGGGTAAATGGTGAGTTACTTTTGGATGAAAATAATTGAAAGAAGTGGGTAAACAAAATTGGCATAAAATTGTACATTTACTTGTGTTTTGTAGCAATTATTTACTTTTTCTTGTGTCTCACCTTGAAAGGCACCTTGGCCAACAGCTACAGTACTTGCCGCTAAAGCATGGATTTGATGAATGGTTTGGTGCTCCAAATTGTCATTTTGGTCCATATGATAACAAAAAAACACCAAACATTCCAGTATACAAGGATGGCAAAATGGTTGGCAGGTTAGTCAGCCAATCCAGTATAAGCATTCTGATTTCAAGGACTTAGTAGTTTTTTTTCTGAATTGACTTGTCTGTAAAGTTCTATTAGGTGCTTTTCAATTCAGTTGTACTTACAGTATGTCCCATTTTCGCAATGATTCTTAACTAAAAAAACTTGTCAATGAACAACTGATCAGAAACCTTCTTCCAAACTGGATCCTTTTCCTCCTCAACTTCCCTTAAGTACTTTGAGGCTGTCATCAATATTATTTGGATAATTTGTATTAATTTAAAATCATTACTTGGAAGGAGTGCTAAAAGATGAATTTGTACAGTTTTAAAATAATAGCTTGGCTTGAATTAAAGAACAAATAAGAATTAGTGATCCTTATGATTAATCCTTTTGTTTGATGGTGATGTCTTAAAAGTGTACTTCAAAATGCCTGATATTTTTCTTCTCTTTTTCAGGTATTATCAGCAATTTCCTATTAACAGAAAGACTGGAGAATCCAACTTAACTCAAATATACACTGAGGTATGAGAAGCAAAAAGTCTAACTTATAAAACTGTGCCTGTTTACCATTAAATATTGAATCAACAAGCAATAGAAGGACACTTTCATTCTTTAATTTGCTGTTATTCAGTTAGTGGATTTCAAATAACTCCATCCTCTAAGGGAAATTGAAAATCTGTGATTCAAGGTTTCAGAAATTGGGTCAAAATATTTGGAGACAGTGAAAATGATGTTTATTTTGCCCATGCAGTGTACACTTTAACCAAAGATTCAAGTCTGGAAACTGGTCAAGTAAAATTGGAATATTTTTGAGAGGTGAATTCAACAAGCTACGAAACTAACACATGTTTCACTTGTTTTTCTTTTTTTTTTTTTTTTTTTTTCTTCCAGGAAGCCCTTGATTTTATTGAATCACAATCTAAAGTTAAGAGGCCATTTTTCTTGTATTGGGCCCCAGATGCTACCCATGGTCCAGTGTATGCCTCGTCAAAATTCCTTGGAAATAGCCAAAGAGGACTGTTAGTAGAATAATTTATATTAAAATTGTTACAGTTGCTGTTTCTGCATTAGCTTGTGTATATTCCGTCAAATCTTGACCAAAGTGCTACATTCCCACATATAGGCGACAAAAACGCGAGAATTTCCCACATATTCGGGACATAAAGATCTGCGAATAACGTTTTAAATCATTGCTAACGCCCCTCAAATCCCAGAGGAGGGGAAAGAGGAGGGTTGAGATTTACCTTGCTTTACGTATCAAGGTTCCAGGAAGAGTGAGCAAAGTCGAAATTGTTCTTTCGGAATCATATCGTGAGACGGCTTGAAAAAAGTGAACAAGCTCTACGCCAACCAGCTTTGAATGTCACTTTAAATTAGTTTGATTTTGGTTATATTCCATCAGGTATGGAGATGCTGTACGAGAACTGGACGACAGTGTCGGAAGGATTCTACGCAAACTGGAAGATTTAGGAATATCTAAAAATACATTTGTGTTCTTTTCATCTGATAATGGAGCTGCTATGTACTCAAAAGATCGAGGTAGTGAGGACATACATCTGTTTTTTTTTATTCTAAGTATCAAATAAGGTCATAACACTTGTGTTTTCGACGAAGGTCAAAAACGCACGCTGTTGCGCAATTTCGTAGGAATTCATTTCAGTGCTCAGTTAGCGTCAATAATAAACTGAAAGACGCACGAATCAGCTGAATGAAACTTTATTTTTGTACAACAACGCCCAAATCAAAAACAAGCCTGAAAAACCATCAATGGCCTATCAGGCAAAGTTATAAAATTTCTTATTTTGGCAATCAAAATTAATGAAAAATACCCTCTGTCTCAGCCAATCAGCATTTAGTAATTTTTCCTCTAGGTAATAAGTCTTACAATTGACTGCTCTCCCGCTCAGCTTAAATACTAATGCAATCAGGGCATGTGTGGATGATTCTGACCGCGGTAGAAGACGTTCGTAGCTCAAATAAAGCGTAAAGTTTGGTTCAAAGTATCAAATAATTTGTCTTTCTCAGGTGGCAGCAACGGTCCGTTTCTTTGTGGCAAGGAGACAACGTTCGAGGGTGGAATGAGAGAACCGTCCATAGCCTGGTGGCCAGGCAAGATAGAAGCAGGCCAGGTTTGGAATTTCTTCATGTATTTAATGGAAGAGGGTCCATTCCTGTTTTAGTTTATGACAACCTGTAACATATTTCAATCGAATTTGGTACATAAATAGTTCGACATCTGAAAGGAACATTATATTAGGGTCGTTTTGCTTACTAGGAAATATTTTTACATCGTATAAGCGAGCTTAAAAAAAGGCCCATTTTTCTTATTCTTCTAACTCAAGCAGGGCTTTGAAATAGATAATCTAAGCCCACGGGACACAAGTCACATTTGAAGCAAAATATTATTTCCTCTGGTGTGAACATAGGGATGACCCCGCTCACTATAGAGTCTCTGTTGTTCTGTGGAAGAGCGTCGGACTGCGAACCCGAAGGTCTGAAGCTCGATTCCAAATGGGGACTCAGAATTGTTTCTTCCTCCCACTCTCGTGGAAAAAGGAATTAAGCTTTTCTTTATTACCAGATTGTTGCTGAAATGTTAAAACTGATCTACTACTTTGTGTAGGTTAGTCACCAGCTGGGCACACTAATGGATCTGTTTACAACAGCGTTATCGCTAGCGGGAGCAAAGTCTCAGGCTAATAAAGTGATCGACGGAATTGATCTCAGCCAGGTTCTTTTTAATCAGAGCGTTACTGCAAGGTAATTTATAACATGTTTAACTCTTAAATCCCTAAGAGTGACTAGTGTCAAATTTCTCCCCACAATATAACCCCTAAACAAAACATTTAAGGTCACGAGAAGAAAGGGAATGATCACCAAGTGAAAAAAGCTCTTGATTGTTCGACAAATTCTCCTCGTCCGCACCTTAAGAAATTTATAGAGAACATTATAGGGAATATACATACTGTTGTCAAGGTGTAAAGGGTTATGTGCCGATCATTTCAAAGCTTCAACATCCCCAATAACGATATGTTAATATTTTCTAAATTGTTTTGACGAACAATTTTAACTCATTTCTCTAAACTGTAGTGACAATTTTGCAGAAAACTGAAAGTATCCCACGTGCATTACCATGTGTTTTTGTATTTTTCCTCAGACCTGTTTTTTTCTACCGTGGTAATGAGATGATGGCAATCAGATATGGCTTGTACAAGGCCCATTATTGGACTTGGTCTAATAGCTGGGAAGAATTCCATGTAAGATCAGTGTGATCCTGTTTTTCCTCTTTTCAGTACAATATAATCTCTTTGTGGGTCCCATTTCCAGGAGGCACCTCTCTTGAAGAGAAACAAACTTTCCACCCTACCTTTCACCCTTATAAACTTTGCATTTGTCACTTTCAATGAATTAAAGAGACGCCGCTAACAATGTACCTTATTATTTCCCTCACCTGAACAACAGTTACAATTGTCTCAGTCTTGTAAAATAATGAAAATGGAGGGTAACTAACAGCCAGAAATAACGTTTACTAGTTAAAAATACCAGGTCAATTATATAATTTTGCAGTTTATGGTCGGTAGTTTCTCTTTTCTGGATAGTTTATCTCTAATCTAGAGATATTTTATAACTTGCGTTGGGGTACCCTGACTGGCGTTTGCCATAAACGTTGTTTAAAAAAATGTCAACTCTAAATGAAGACAGTGATTATATCTAGCCCTCCTCCACATTAAAAAAATTTGGCAAATATACCATTTTACATCAACCTTCGTCATCAATCAGTAGTGTCTTCAGGGAGCAAATCTCTCACGAGCTTTCCTTTCAGAGACTGTCTTAAAATATTTCCTCACCTGTCTCTGTCTTGGGCCACCACGTTACACCCTCATTTTCCCGTGCGTGAGGGAGATTTTACCTCGAGATCTTAATGGTACCGGTGATTACTTGTACTGGTGAGCTGTTGTGATTAAATTGCGTCGTGTCTTACGACACTTAATGGGCTTAAAATTTGTCTTCTTCTGATATCAGTCGGTTCTTTCCTTCGTATTACAGGAAGGAGTCGACTTCTGTCCCGGTGAGAACGTGACAGGTGTTACAACTCATGAACAAATGAACTATACAGCCTCTCCTGTTCTGTTTCATTTGGGAAGAGACCCAGGGGAGAAATATCCCATCAGGTACACTCAATTCATTCTTGTCAAAGCTGAACTGATAGTGCAATGGTTGATACATTTTATCTAGTCGGCTTTTGTTGGCGAAATTCGCTTCGATTTTTTTTTTCGCGCAAAAGTGACTTATGTATTAAAACAATTATTCCATTAACAGATCCACTGAGCAGGAATACAAGGATGTCATGATAACCATAAGAAAACTGGTTTCAGTGCACAAGTCTAGTTTAGTGCCTGGCGAACCTCAGTTTAACTTGTGTGATGAAGCTGTAATGGTACGTCAGTATGTGTGTTTACGCATTGAGAGTACTTTCAATTGAGGGTTCAAAGTAATTCGTGATGCATTGTTTTTAACGGCTTTACTTTGCTTTTTGATTATTCTTAAGAAGTACCATTCTATCAACCAATCAGATGGCAAATTGAACCTTACGTGGACTGAGCCATTTTTTTTCCTTTTAGAATATTAGACACTCATCGCTACCGTTCACCGCCTTTTACCCATATAAATCCCTACATTTTCATTATTGCGGGCCAACACTACTGGACAGATGTACTTGTGTGTCAAACTCGAACTCCCTTGTGACAGTGGTTTCAAAAGTACACCCATTTCCCTTTACGGAACACGCGCAGTTTGACGGAAACTTATTTTTCACTTTTGTCTTGTAGAACTGGGCGCCACCCGGATGTGAGGAGATCGACGAATGCTATAAAGGTCCAACATCACATCCCTACAAATGCCCTTGGCCTCACTAAATGGAATACTAGTCCTTTTATTTTTTTAGTTGGAATTCATGGAAGACATCATATTTACGTATTTTCCTACTTGTCAAATTATGCAAATGAAGAATTACATGGCAGATGATTCTAAAAATTTTCTTCGAAGATGGATATTTTGAATAAGACCGGAATGGAAGAATACTTAATGACTCTTGATTCACTGATAGATGTGGGCTCTCATTCCCTCTCCGTCGAGAGCTTCAAGTTTAAAGTGAGCCTAACCCCTTCCCTCCCACCTTCTGGGCCATTTAGATAGTATTCAGTATATTCGTTATGAACAAGGATTAAGAAGAAAAAGAGAAAATAAAAACGGGTTGAAAACAGCGAAGGTTCAAAATTTAGATGCGTTTGATAGGGGTGTTTTTTGATAGGTGTGTTTTATGTCCTTTTCTGTAGTGGACACTAAAGACCACTCAGGGTTAGGATCCTAACTTGGGCAAGATAAAATGTGTAATCTACTCTCCGCAGAGCTGATTGATAGTTAATTGAATCCAGGGCTCTGAACAAAATTGAAGGCGTTTTATAAATATTATCCAGTCTCCCCCCTCTCCCCTCCTGCTAAAACAAAAACAAAAAAACAAAAATCGAATACCTTTGGCCAACTCGTGTATAAAGCACTTGATCTAGAGATGAAACATGGACGTGAACTTGTAATTATTGGTCTTGCAGCAACGCAGGGTTGCTCTTATCTTAAAAGACAAGCTGCCGGAAAATCACGGAGAGGTTTCGACAATTATGGTAACCATCCAACTCCGCAGAATGATGAACGCATATAAAATCTTCAAACATAGCACAGCGTAGTATTCTGCGTTTATCGAATTTCCGTTTGCAAAACTCGTCAAATTTAGACGGTCCAATCCAGTGGATGATACTAAAGACTGGAAATAAACGGCATAATCGTAACTTATTCTGTGATCCTACGACCCACTTGCTCCTATCTCTCATTCAAACAAATTCCCTAAGACACACCGTCATTTTGCTTTTTTAAATTATTTGTTGACGTTTGTTTATGTTGTTGATGTTGTTTTTTTTGGTTTTGTTTTAGTTTTACCTAGTTGTCCCAAATTCCCTCTAGAATAAATTCTCGGTTGCCTCAAGACTCCCTTTTCTGGGCTCTTAAGACTTTTATTTCCTCCCATTTTCACACCCATCCCCCTCTCCTCCGTTAAATTATGAACTTTCGTATACATTACCTTTCCCACAATTCACCGTCTTTTAGCGAAAGAAACAAGGCTTTTTCACAGCGATGCGTCAAAAGAATTCACATTTGAAAACGCCCATATATGAAAGTCTCCATTATTCTGCGGTGTCTTCTTAAAACAACTGATGGAATAATCCAAAATGTATGAGTTTTCCAATGAAAACGAGGATTCAGCGGGCTGTTGCTCGGCAAACTGATGAAAAGTTATGATCCTAATTTGTGCTGACAAATGAGGACTAATAAAGCATGGGTGACATACTTATTAGGCCAGCACCCTACCCCTCCCCTCATCATGGCAACATACACGCGCGGTCAACCTGGTAACCAGTGTGTAATGTTTCTACTCCAAATATAGAAAGTGGTTTGAATTTCGACCAATCAGATATTCGCATCAAGCCAACGTCCGAAATTCGAAGTTTTAATCTGGCGTTTAAACTTTTCGAAGTAGGCAGTGTTTTCGTAGAAGGACAAAGACTTATCACATGGAATTGACAGGTTAATCAATTTCTCAGCATAAGAAAAGTTAGATCAACTAGAAATATGGTAAGGGTATCCAGAATTTCACTATGTCAGTGAATGTGTGTCTGATTTAGGAAGCATTCTCCACATAGAGGTATATGTGTTCATCGCCGAGGACGAATTGGTTGTCGTCGACTTTTCTTGTCGAAAGCTTTCGATCATTTGTATGTATTTCAAGTTATGATAACCATGTCCTCTGGATATCACATATTTTGAGTTTTTTACTCTATTTTTGTGTAACACATGTCATTTATAGGCTGGTGTCTTTTAAAGTTTAACGAGGAACGTTTGAAGTGATTAAGGAGAACACGCACACGCGCTCGTGTTATTACTAAAACTTCATTGAAAGGTATCGCTAGATTAACGGGTTCAAGGCAATGAATCACTGCATATTCTCCCTGTTTTTATTTTTCAGGATGTTCTCAAAACGAACGGAGTTAACAACAACGCGAATCCACAACGCGTTGCCCTGAAAGAAACACAAGACTTGAAAGTTAGACTGCAAGAATGCCTTCACTTATCGACATCGAACAACCAGGCTAATCGACAATTGCAACAGGCAACTCACAAGCCGAATGGATGGATAAAACAAGAACACTCTTCTGCACAAAAACACCGTCAACATCATCATCATGTTGAACGAACAGATGACAAATCGTCTGCACATTCACGAGATGAAAATAAAGAAAACAACGAGAAAGAAAACTTAAAGAAGTCCAAGTAAGAAGTTAATTCTTGTCGAATTATGAACCATACGTGAGAGATGGAAATCTTGCGTTGTACTTCTAAGTACAACATTCTTTCCATAATGTTTAAATATATTTCGTTATTTAACAGGACCTGTTGGTCATTGGACGACTTTGATATTGGCAAGCCGCTTGGAAAAGGTTGGTTTCTTGTCAATTTTGCATGCACACAGATCAAATTTCCAAACGAGCTCGTATCTTGGCGCGTTGCCTCTTGTGAGAATTTTTTGGCGATCCTTTCATGTTTGAAAGTGAAATGAAAAACATACACACACCACTGGTGGATAATGCTGTTTCTCAGGTTCTTTCCTTATTTAATATTACACAGGCAAATTTGGAAATGTTTACTTGGCAAGGGAAAAGAAGAGTAAATACATTGTAGCCCTCAAGGTATGTCAAACACGACTGGTTATGGAGATTCATATATATATATAGATTATATATCATCCTTCCATAGTTTATAATTTGACAATATCATCTGAACAACACACCAGGCTCAACTTCAATTTAAGAAAGGAATTCAATTAGATTAACTAAAAATCAAACTTAAGAAACCCTCAACTTCTACCTGAAACTTTGTCCATCATGAAGCTGAGCTGAAATCGGCATAGACCTGTTCACAATTGAAACTGCAAGATAGACAATCATTTAAAACTGATAGATCAGAAATCAGAGCCAAACAGACTTCCCAGTAACTTCCTTTCGTAAAACCTTATTTTGATTTTAAAGATGAGGATCTGAATCTCACATAAATGAGAAATATCAAGCCAAGAAAAATATATCCACTGAGTAATTTCCATCTAAACACCTGTCTACAAAGAATGGCAAATGTATATGCAATTTTTTCCTTTCTTACCATATGTTTCACATGACAGAATCACCTTTGCATACTTGAGGTCTTTCTGTGTTCTGCCATACTCTGCAGACTGGTCTATTCATAACAAATGTGCAAGGGTGTTCTTGCATAGTAGACTTGATCCTTGTTTCTGGTACGTTCTCGCTAAGGTAAATGCTGCTGAAATTCAGGGGAAATATTCGTATTCCTTTTTCAGCATACTATCTCACTTCAATCATTTTTCTTTTTCAACTATTTTCAGGTCTTGTTTAAATCACAGCTAGAGAAAAGTAATGTGGAACACCAACTTAGAAGAGAAATTGAAATCCAGTCTCATCTCAGGTGAGCTTTAAGATTTTGGGCAACTTATGAATACTGATAAAAATAAATACGTGGATTCAGTCTAAAACATTACATGTTTGACTGGTGGCCATTAATGATAATTTAAAATGGTCACTGATTTTCTGAATCAATGGCCTCTTTCTGTTTTAAATTTGAGGTGCTGCCAAGATGTCCAGGAATTAAACATACATGCCATAACTCCTTTTTTTATATATTTTTTTGATAGGCATCCCCATATCCTTCGCCTTTTTGGTTATTTCTATGATAAGACAAGAGTATATCTTATCTTAGAGTATGCCCCAAAAGGTGAACTGTACAAAGAGTTAAGTAAAGTTGAGAGATTTGATGAGAAAACATCCTCAAATGTAAGTATCTCGTACAGTCATTGTAATATCTTAATATGTAACTTGTTTCCATCATTTCATTTCAACTTACCAACAGGAGTGCTTACATATAGTATTTATCATTCAATCAGCTTGCAATATTTGCTGAGGGCCTTTCCACACTAGCACACAAAACTAAAATTGTCGTGAAAAAATCAAAGGACAATGACAATGACAATGACAATGACAAATGTTTCTTTTGTTTGTTACATCCATATTAAAAATTTCAAAGGCATCGCATTCTATCAGTGCCTGATCGGTTCATAAGGCTGGCCATCATAGTTTGGCCAATATCCAGGATTTATCCTATCTTAAGTTGTGTTAAAATTTAAGAATCCCTGAGTTTTGCAACAAAAGAACATTTTTGCCTTTCTTGTAAACTGATTTCAGTTCAATTACACACTGGTCATAGCTTTTATGACAACTGAGCAACAAGTTTATCATCTATGTTGAGTTTGTTCAGTTTTTACCTAGGACAAACTTTGCTAGTGGTGCACCAAAGATTTGTCAGGTTTGGCCAAAATTCATCAAGTCATGACAAACACTAGTGCAGAAAGGCCCTAACTGAAATAAAACAGCCAGAAAATAACTCTTGTTTAAAATTTGTTGAGTTTACAATGTGGCAGTTCTTCTACTGAGATATAACTACTTAGTACCTTTCTTGCATACCTCTTTAGTATATTCGTCAACTAGCACAAGCCTTAAAGTATTGTCACTCAAAGAAAGTCATCCATAGGGACATCAAACCAGAAAATCTTCTTCTTACTCTCAAGGTAAAAACACAACACTCTTCACTCAATTACTAATTAGATGTGGAATTCTAATTTTAGTTGAGGTTTGCTAACTTTAACCCCTTAGCTCTCAAAAGTGATCAATATGTAGCCTCTCCCTATAATATTTATACATTATCCAGCAACCAGGTAATGAGAATACTCAAACTTATCGGGTAGAAGTTGTTGTCTTGATCTAACACCAAATTCCTGTAACTAATTTACAAGGAATGTGTAGCAGCTAGAGGGGAGAAATGACTATCAGATTTTGAGAGTTAAATGTTTGACAACCTTCTTGGTGCTTCTTTATCACAATTTCATTTTTAATTACAGGGAGATTTGAAAATTGCTGATTTTGGTTGGTCAGTTCATGCTCCTTCATCAAGGTAAAAGCAAAAAAAAAAACTATTGACTTAATATATACATGTTGTAATATCCTTTAATAACCTCAGGTGTCCTTTAGGCCTTAGAGGATAAGTCAGTGAGTAAATATTTGCAAAGTAAATGTACTAAATAATGCAACATTATCAAATACCAACATCTCTTTGTTAAGTAACCAGTGGCACATTCTCATCATTATTATTATCATCATTGAATTTTACTATCATCTTATAACTACTGTAATAATCATAAATAATTTCAGGCGAACAACACTCTGTGGAACACTGGATTATCTCCCACCTGAGATGATTGAAGGAAAAGCACATGATGAGAAGGTAGTTCTTTGGAAACAATTTTGAAATAAATTGCCTAACATAAAATCAAATCTTTGTGACAGAAATTTTGGTAAATCATTTGTAGATTGCTATGATTCTAAGACCAGCTATTAGTATGTTACATCTAAAATGTAGAACTCTTGGAATTTCCAAGTTCACAATTCAGGGGGGCTTGCAGGACTAAGTTTCATCCTTATAAAATCTCCAAAGCCAAAGTATGTGCCACAGATAAATACAGGAACAATTTAGCTGCTGAGCATGCCTTGATAGGTCAAAAGCTTTCCAAGTAATGTCCCTCTAAACCAAAAGAAAATTGAAACACTCTGAGGATGATTTTTAAGTAGTTCCTGGTTGAGTAAAAAGGCTGTACTCAAAAATGAATTACAGCCATCATGCTGACTCAGCATTAGGGGGAACACTCCAGTAAACAAATAAAGTGTGGCCTTCTGCTTCAAGATAAGCCCTACCCTGAAATTTACTGAGAATGGCTAATATGTTACAGGTTGACCTTTGGAGCCTTGGAGTGCTGTGTTATGAATTTCTTGTTGGAAAGCCTCCCTTTGAAGCTGATGGTCACCATGAAACCTATCGCAGAATTTCAAGGGTAAGAAAGTAAAGTTTTTATAGAAGCCTCTGTCAAGTTAACTGCTGTCATCATTATCAAGAATTTTATTCAGCTGAATCATTATGTCTACACAGGTTGACCTCAAGTTTCCAAGTTATGTATCTGAAGGGGCACGAGACCTAATTTCTAAGGTAAGCATAAAGTCACATGTCAATTAAGTGTTTTAAAATGACTGGCAGACACTACATGACTGAGCTCTCATGGATCAATAGGTGTGATTAGATGACAGTTTGTCAGCACAGTTGAGACATTTTAGATTTGCATTTGTATAAGGGACTATTTAATCAAATTAGGCAATAGTACCTCTCCTGCTAACAAGACCATGTAAACACAGGGGAAAAAAGTACATAAATTACTTAATTAACATTGGCTGCCTAATGTGCTGTTAAAAAAAATATATGGCCATTTTGAGATGTAAAAAAAAAATGCAATCACTCTTTTATGGTCAAATTAATTTTTGGACTAAGTTTACGAAAAAATTGGCTCCTCTCGTACAGTCATGAGGATTTTTCAAGAATATTGATTTATTTGTTGACTAGTATCATTATCTTGATTCATCCACAGCTTCTGGTGCATGATCCAAGCAAACGGCTTCCCCTTGGTGGCGTGCTTGCACATCCTTGGATAAGAAACAATGCACAGGCCCCAGAAATGCAATCTACTTGTAGTTACACAGCAACAAAGCATTAGTTTCACACATTCTGCAAATTTATTAATAGTTAATGTAAATACCATAGTTGTCTATAAAAAACTTAATTTGTATAGGCAGGAAAGTTTATTTTTGCTGAAGCTGTTTAATTATGTGCCACTAAATGACAAATGAGACTGACAGTATGTCTTTAACTTCAATGATAAACAATTCAACACTGCAGAGTCATTTTAAGACAAACATCTTTACAAAAAAAAGCTTCTATTAGTTAGTGTACCTTTATTACATTTACAGCGTGTGCTCAATTTCTCACTGGCTTAAGGCAATGACATTATTGTATTGTAAAATAAACTTTTTCCCCAACTTCACTACAGCCTTTAAAATGGATATTAGTCAGTGCAATTACTGTAACACAAAAGATAATGTGTTTGTGTTATGTGGTAAAATGCTTTAATGAACCAATTAAAGTAGTTATTATAGATCCTAGGCTACATTTCATTTATCACCTTCTTGCTTAGTTTTTGGGAAACTATTGAAAGTAGAGTTTATCATTGACTTCACAGGTGGAATTTTTTTCTAAAAAAAAAAAAGTGCATGAGGCTTTTTCCATTCTTTGACCAATATTAACAAATCTTGTTTGGATTTGTTGCAAACCAATACATTTGTAATAATGCAGTGACTATTTGATGTATTAAAATGTTTCCATCTGCCAAAAGACATATTGTTCCTTCACTTTTCAAGCTTTGGGGTTGTAATGTGTATTCCCATTAATACCTTTTAAGTCAAAAGTGTTGTCAGGAATGATGGCCTCATTTCAAAAATTTGTGCCCATAAGAACCATGTTACCACATGGGTTTTGGCCAGAATAAAAACATTTAGCATGAAAATTTTCACTAACACAACAAACTAAGAAAACAATGAACACCAGAAATATTTCTGGAATGTGATGGTCTCGAAGGAAAAGAAAAAAAACAGGTTTAAGAAATATTAAATATAAGCAGTAATTCTAAATTCCTCAAAACACTTGGAAAGTGAATTAAGTGTTAATTCTTATTTGGGCTTGCGTGAAATATCCATTAGGTCTGGATAGAAGCAGATATGTAACAAACTTAAGAAAATTAATGACACCTTTAAAATTAAAAAACATGTTTCAACAGTTCTTCAAATTATCTTAGATGTTGCCCCATTTGTTTTCAAAGTGAGTTTATAAATCATTGCTGAAATTTTTCTTTCCTTGCACATATTCAGCTTCTTGGGTTAAAAAATCTAAAAAATTTAGCCAAGTGTAAATTGAAGTTACCTTGAGCTACAACCATTTTCAGAACTACCCTCCCTTGCAAAAAAAATGACCTATAGAGGGTGTGAGCCTACCCATCATATGTTTTCATGTGGTTAAAAATTTGATTGAACTCAAAGTATTGGACAAAATCAGAGATGTGAGTTCACCACTTGTACACATGCTGAACATTTCCTTTATTGTCCTCTGACAAATATATTTACAGTTACATAGAAGAATATTCTTGTGTAATCTTTCATTACAAAAAGTGGTGCAAAGAAATTTACCCCTAATTAGTGAAATCATAACCTTTGCTTTTAATTAGCATTTTTAATTATCAATCACAAAACACCTTCTATGCAAGGAATTAACAAATAGATTCCATGTTGCCATGTGTCTGTTAAGTAATAAATCACAGATGATGTCAAATTGTGGTAAAAACAAAAAAAGTGGCACACAAGGCTGAACTGTTATGGTATACACCCACAGCAACATGGAATCTACTTGTTTTACATCATAAATATAAAAATGTTTATGGTGGTAAATATATGTATCTGTCCTCTAATAAATCACAAAGAAGACCCATTCAAAATGCATGTACCATTCAACTTATTAAATAATGCTGAGAAGACTATGCACTGTACATCATTACTGCCTCAAAGGTTCCTTGAGAATACCCATTTTGCGGAGCTTCCTGACAATGAGTGGAGTGCAGCTTATGGTCATGAGCATTCTCAATGGAGCAAAAACTTTATGACAAGCATATGCCACCACAAAAGTACTTGCCTCTGTTGCAACACTGGAATCTGACACTGTTGGGCTAACACCAATTTTCTGGAGAGCAGCTTGGACATCAATTCCACTAAAATAAGAATATAATTTTATTGATGTTAGTGTGGTTAAAAATTTCCTTCTTAGTTGCATTCATTTCCAGCAAATATCTGATTGGCTTACATCAGAAGAGAGTTATTGGAATGATTCAAAATAGTATTGCACAAGGAAACAAGAAATGGTAGACAATTCATGCAGAGACTGGATCAAGCAACCCTTTTTTCCCTCATCTTTCCCACTTCCAAACCTTTTGCAGCTACACTCTTGCCCTCCCCTGAAAAAAGAATACCTTATCCAAGGTCAGAAACATGATGAAGCTGTTCGTTTAGTTACCTTAGATTAAATAATGTAAAAATCAATGTACTGTGTGGAATCTACTAGTTTTTTCTCTTGCTGCTTAACATCAGCTTAGCACAAATGTTCATTAAAATTTATTATCATAAAACCAATACAACCCTGTGCGTGCAATATTATAAAAGACCATTTATAGTGACAGCTGATGTGTGTAGAGCCGGACAGGTTGACATGAGCCAGTACGGAAAAAGCCGGCTGGCCCTGCATTCACACCGCTTTGTTGCAAAAACTTAAAGGAAAAACGAAGAGAGTTAAATATAGTTGCGTTTTTCATTGAATTGTGAATTTTTTGTTCTGACTCGAAAAGACGAAGGAAAAGGTTTCATTGAAGAATGTATTTCGTGGTTCCCGTGAGCGCCCGTCCTCTATCGCATACTAAATAAGTTGAAACAAACATCTAGTGGTCATATGATAATAACGCTGCGCTCGGTCCGCACAGCCACGACCTCGGACCAACATTCCCCACCACGGCCCTTACGCTCGGTTAGCTAAAAGTTAATATTTCTTTTTTTTTCCTTCGTGATGACTGACCTTTTCACTGCGGTATAACACAACCCCAGGGAAGTCAGAGAAATAGTCACATGAAACACTATAGCTGTTGATCCATATTCTGCGACGACGGACTTTAGTCTGTCCCTTAGCGCCAAATTCTTTCCACCTTCTTCTGTTTTCGCAGTATTGCCTGCTGTAGGTTTATCTGCTACTCTGAAGGTAGATGTATGTAATGGTCTCCCGAAACGTAATAATAATGAATGGTCACTTTGAGCAGATGGAACACCAGTTATGACAACGTTACGCATGAACGAAACAAGGGCTACTTGGCGCTTTGAAATTCCCCGACAGTTTGCCATGACAAGACGTAGAGAAGAACTTGAAATCATAATGCTGTGCATACAGGAGAAGCCGAGGAGTTAAATGCACAAATCTTACCCAAAGACTTTTCCGGAAAAAGCTTAGACTGATGAAGAACAAATTCGCTCAGGCGTTCCATCAGTGTTATGCAAGCGAGGCGGCTAATTGAAGTCGTTCCCAGATCTCCCTCTCTAAAGTGAAGAAACTTGGAATGAGTTTTCTTCGTGAGGTGGAGAGCTTTAAAGCAGAAAAGCTAAAATCGGTAAATACAACAGTCACTACAGCAGAGGGAAGGAAGGTGAAATTCAAAAATCTTTCTGAGCCAATTGAAAGGGGACTCTTTATCTTTAAACCCCGCCATATTAAAAAGTTGCAACATGTGTATTCCACTGGAAAGACTTAATATTTCTGTTTCAAAGTCCCCTACCCCACCCAGGCAAGCTTTAAATTCCCCACATCCATTTGTGACAAATGCTTGTGGGTTGCCATGGAGGGGGGTTTGGGAATGGGATATTGAAGCTTCAAAGTGATCTGAATTATTTTATTCCTAGATATAATCACTGGGCTGTAACTTAACCAGTACCTCATTTTAAGTTTCTAGAGCTCAAGAGTGGAGATGGAGGTATCGTCACTGTAGATACTGGAGAACACAGCTTAGGATTTTGTGAGGACCTCTCACCAGATGACAAGCTTTACAAAGTACTGGACAACTTATTTATAAGCTCACAAGATGGAGCCAGAAACTTGGAGGAACTACATCAAAATAACATAACTCACATATTAAATGTTGGAATAGGAATACAGAATGCCTTTCCAAAGGTGATTGGTCATTGTTGGACATGGTTCTCTAGGTTTGAAAATAATATCGTTCAACATCTTTTCCTGTCTAGTAGCGAAGTTCTTAATTTACACATTCTTTTCATCACTTGCTCCATGTAAACCCAACCCTTTTATCTTCTAGGGAGGGGCACCTTTTTAGTGGCTCAAAAGGGTGTTGGTTTTTGGTCTTGAACCTTAAGTAAGGTGTGCAATCTTACTGTTAGGTATCCAAAGCAGGGTGTCTCTTCCTATTTCAATGTTTTTTTAAGTCTTTGTTTAAATATGCTAGGAGTGGACTGGTAAGGACAATGTGGCAACATAAGTACTAGTTTTTTTTTACATGAACCAAAAACATCACCCTTTAAAACATGGTCAGGTTTTAAAGGGGCCATTGGCACATTCCCACCCATACTTCCCTTTAGTGGTTCCCCCCCCCCCCTTCAACTTCCCTTTCCACCAAACAATAATCCTGATCCTTTAATTCAAAGTCGCACTTTAAGGGCCTTAGCTACAGGCATGCTCCCACCTACTTCCCTTTAGTAATGACCTCCCCTGCCCCCCCCCCCTGCACCACAGGTCATCCCTTTTTGTACATTCATTGAAAGCAGCAAGTATGTTAATTTTTCTTTCCAGGAGTTTGATTACAAGACTGTTGAGGTACTGGATTTGCCAGAAACTCCCATTTGCCAATACTTCCCAGGGATGTTTGATTTTATCCAAAATGGCTTGGAAAGTGGTACAGTGCTTGTTCACTGGTAAGGGAACCTTGGTTAATTAACCCTTTACATCCTAACATCAGTGTCCATATTCTCCATACTGTTCTTTATACATTTCCTAAAGTGCTAAAAAAGTGAATTTGTGAAACAATCAACAGTTTCTTCAGTTGGTGATTATTTCCTTTATTCTCACAACCTTAAAGTGTGATTCAGGGGTGTTATTGTGAGGAGAAGTTAGATTCCAGTCACTCTTTTAAGGGTTAATGCCTCTAAGAGAAGAAGGACCAGAGGAGAAGGATAATATTTGGCAAGTGCTCACTATGGACAGATCAAGTGTAGTTGTGTGTGTCTTGACTGAGAGACAAATATTTTCCAGTCAGGCCCAACCTCATTCAATAATGCACATTATATCTTACAACCACTAATTGCAGAACATTCTGGAGGCAGGGTGTATACAGCACAGGTGCTAAAGATCATCCAGGAAAAAAAACTTGTCCCATCATTTCTTTCTTGACAGAATAAGAAACTCAGAATTCATAAAAAAAGTGTTGACTGAGATCTTTTTTTTTTTCAAGTTAAATTCCACAATTTTTGTTTTACAATACAGCTGTGTAAGCACAGGGCTAGACAGCTTTATCCCAACCTGAGGCCCAGTTCTTGAAAGTCCCAATATTTTTTAGGGGCCCAAAGCCATATTTTTAAAATCTTAATGAATGGAATTGTAGTTTGGCTCTTTTAATCAAAAGCCTGTATGTTCTGTTTTCTCCCCATCAGTTCATTGTTTGAATTTCCAAACTTCTTAATATCCTGATCTTGAATGCAAAGATAGTAAAAGCAAACCAGCTCTTTAGGACCTTTTTGGTCATGTCCTGAAGAAAGACTAGCCTCTAATTTCTGCTCACAATACCACCTCAAATCACACATTAAGGTCACAAGAATCAAGAAAATGATCGCCAACTTAAGAAACCTTTGAATGCTATACAAATTCTCCTTGTCAGCATCTTAGGAAATGTATAGAGAACAGTATGGAGAAGATGCATTTGGATGTTTGGGTATAAAGGGTCGATACTGTGATGTGGGTGCATATTTATCTGGAAAAATGGAAATGTCTCTCATTTATTTCTTGATAGCAATGCTGGTGTTTCTCGTTCTGTGACTGTCGTTCTTGGCTACTTGATGTCTTCAAAAAGATTGCCACTGAAAGAGGCTTTGAAGATTGTTAAAAAAGCCAGACCAAGTGCAAAACCTAATGTAGGATTCCTTCATCAACTAGAAGACTACCAGACAAGGCTTCATCTTCATTAAAAGAACACAAGAAACAATATCCTAATATTAATAGGTGATTGTAAATATATGAAAATAATGTTTGTGAACTGCGTTTAAGAAATGAATAGGAAAGTGGTCTTTGTAGTAATGAACACTACTTAAGCAGTAGTGAAAATAAGGCCTAAAAAAAATTCAGGCCTGTATGGGATTTGAAGCCAAGTTCTCTGTGATACCATACTGTGATGCAGTGCTCTACTAACTGAGCTAACATGCCAACTGGGAGCTTGTCATTATTTTTGGTTTGTAACAAACCAGTGAAGCGAGTTATGATATCACAGCTTGAACATTTCTTTGAACAGTTTAGGATAATTACAATTGGTGTATGAAAATAGGGGAAAATTTTTTTACTTATCCTGAGGAATTATCAACATTTAATTATTATTAAAGAGGTGAAATTAGGAAAAGTTTACCTCTATTAAAATGATAAAGGTCTTTTATTCAAGAATGGGTGTATTTTGTCTCTGTTGAGTTTTAGTGGGAGTGTTTTTATCTATTTATTTACTTTCCTCTTTGTGAGTTTAGATGATATGTATTTAGTTGGATTAATTTATGAGGACTTAATAAGATGAGCATCCAAAAGACAACACAAAAATACAAAAAACCACACGCACACATACCCACACACAAAAACAAAACAAAACAAAATGAGCTCAAAATTGGGCAGGGGAAACTGGGGGGGTGAAGGGGCAGGGTAATGTGATTCAAAATTTAATGACCTTCACTAGTGCGAGGGAGAACAGGATAACTCAGTTGTTGTAGAAGCTTCCTTTCTTCCTTTTAGTCAAATTTGAGGATGCTTCCCTTTAATATACCGTTAAATGCCTCCTCAACGTCGGGTTGCCCTGCTGGTTCCTCTTTAGCAAACGAAAAGGAAGCAGCAATGGTTCTTGTTGGAATCAACATCGTGGCAAGTATTTTAGGCACCTTGGGTAACTTATTCGTATGCATTACAGTGTGTACCACTCGAGGCATGGTCTCAAGTTTTCATTACTTCATCGTAAGCCTTGCTGCCGCGGATTTGATGGTTGCACTCTTGGATCAACCTCTCCTCGTTTCTATGATTTTTGCACACGTAAAATTCAAATGTATTCCGGTCGTGGATAAAATGTTTCGCGCAATAGGCAACTTTGCGTGTGCTGTCTCGTTGTTGACACTGGCCTTGATTGCTCTCGATCGGTGCTTGTTTGTATTGCCATCGATTAATTACAAGAATACGATGACAACAGGAAAAAAAATAGTTTTAGCAGTGGTGTGGACTTTAGCTGGTGGATACGCTGCCCTAAGGCTCACTGTGAACAAAACGGTCACATCCTATCTTACTGCCGCCGTGTTTGGCGTTTGTTACGTAGAGATGATTCTATGTTACACTGTAGTTTATTACCAAGTCTTCAAACAGCGCGAATTTCTCAAAGAGTCACGTGTGCGCTCTGAGACAACAGAGCAAGTCGAATCACTGGAAAACAAAGCCCAGGAAAATACTTCAGAGCGGCGTTTTGCTCGCACGATCGTTATGGTTTTGTTGGTTTTCACGGGAGGATGGTTTCTCCTTTTCTATCTTCGGTTGACACAACCTGAAAAGAACTACGGAATCATGTACAATACTGGACGCACTGTGGCACTTTCAGCTTCTGCCATAAACCCTGCACTATACTGCCTCAATAATAAAGAATATCGGCGAGCGTTCAAAAGTATTTTAATGAAATTCGTCTGTGTTCGTTCAAAGAGAAAGCGAAGGGAAAACTATGAACGGATTAAGTGAAAGCGGAAGTGCAACTCCGGAAGTGAAACTTAGGAAGTGACCGTGACATACTCACGTGACTATGAGACATTGCAAAGTCACAGTGGTGTGGAGGACATTGCTGTGTAAAAGTGAAAAAATAATGAAACAATATTAAGACGATATGTAGCGAAATGGAAAAGTAAGTGAGTTTGTTCTGCTTTGCTAATCTTTTAACTAGATTTAAATTTTTGTTTTGGACCAGTCCTTACCGAAAAAAATCGTATACAGGATATACAACTTGATTTCCAGGGTGTCTTCTTTCCGTCTTCCGTCTCTCGCTCCTCTTGGTGGGAAGACGGGTTAAGTGGGTATATTTCCGTGGACCGGAAGTCTTTGTGAGGACGTTTTCGTTGCTGGTGTGCGATCTACATGTTTTGTTAGAAATTCTTTTTTTAGTCTCCAAGATTTTCTGTTTTCGTTTAGATCATCGTTCAGGGCACACAATTAATGAAAGAGGAGACACGGGAAACTTAGTGAACGCAAAAGTTACAAATTAACATTTAATTGTAATGCGTAATTGAAAATTCTTATATTGATAATTGCGCAATATAAGTCTATAAATTATTTTTATTTTAAATTAAACGGTCATTCTCGCACTCTTTCTATGGAAAAGGAATAGAGGAGTATATGTGTGTATATATATAGATACACAGATAGATAAATAGAGATGGATTTAGATATAAAACTTAAGAAAATATTAAATAAAAAGTAAAAAGTAGGGAAAAAAGAGCCGTAGACATATGTTAAATACATCCATATGTTAAAACTGGTTTATTGAGCTCAATTTACAACAACTCTCTGTCTCAAACAGGGTTACGAAATGTTCAGTAGTGTCAAGTATGGATAGGACTCCAAGAAATCTTCCTAACCCACCCTCTTAATTTATGATTAACTACTTCTCTTGAGTGATCCCCCGGCCAACTCCGTGAGCTGACATTAAAGGTTAAGGGAAAAAGTACGAAATAATAAGTAAAGATTTTTTTTTTCGTCCATCACTCTAATGATCCTATGAATCTATGTCACAACCTTGCGGTTGATTGCTTTTGATTGTTTCTCAAAATGTGCGCTTAAGCCTGAGGAGAAGGCAGGACCTAGTCTCTTACCCAGACCTTCCCAGGCCAAGGCTTTAGCCAGACCTTCAACGGCCATGCCAAGCGGTTGTATATCTTTACACGTTAGAATCTGGGTACGAGATTAGGCTGGACCATGAAATGTTAATGCAAATACGAAAAACTTGGATTGGCCTTTTAGCTTGGCAGATAGGGATGAATTTGCGTAACTTCTGGCATGAAAATGCTTTTTTTTTATGAACAGGTGGCAGGAGCCCAAGTAATGGGCTCCTAACAGGTGGTAAACATTTCGTGCAAAAGTGTATTTATTTCTAGCATGCCTCGACTTCTTGCATATTGGCTGACGATATTTAACGTTTGACAGTGAAAATATTGCATTTTTGATGGTTGACGGTTTACACTATTGAGACCGTCATGAAGCGGTGCCTAATGTTGTTTTATTTCAGACGAGTAAGCATGTTCACGTTATCATCGTGAAACCGCAAGGATACTTGGGAATTATGAAAATCCCAAAAGAGTCCAAATGAGGACATGTGACAGTCGGGTGAAAAATAAATGGTTTCACGTGTACGTTTTTCATATCTTTGGTGCTAAGACACGCTTTGCAGTAAGTTTATACAGGTCAAACGAGAAAACGCAAGCTTTCGAGCTAGTAACTAAGTCATGTTGGGAAGCTTTAAAACTCAGTAAAAAGCCCTATCGTTAGGCGAAGGTAAAGGAGATTTCGGACAATTCTCAATTTCTGTTGCGGTGAAGCTAGTAAGCGTGTTATTTGTCTCAGAAAGCGATATCTCTCGTCATACTTATAATTGTTCCTTTCGAACCTTTTTAAAAATATTTCATAGCATCTCACGCATTGAAAATGAGGAAAATTTTACACAAGCAACACGTCTGTCCATTTCATTTTCCTGTTTCAGTTTCCCGTTTAGTTCAGAAAATTATGGCGTGTGAAAGCAAGTCATTGACAGCCGTAAGTTTGCCAAGAGTTGAAATTGTATTTTTATACATCAACAAACTTAAAATCTGAAACAATGAGTTAACGGAAGTCCACTGCCTAAGCTCGAGAGCAGTTTTCATCTCATCGAAAACAGTATAAGTACAAACTCAAGGAATTGTTTGCGCCAAAAACATTCAACTAAATGAGTCATGTCACAATTTTAAGTTGGATCCCGATCGGTGTAATCTTTATTGGCATTTGTGCCAAAAAATTTGTGAAAAAAACACCGAATTCAAGTTCTTTTTCCGTTGTGGCGGAGCGGAGAGCGAAATTATTGAACTCGTCCGAGGAAAGTGTTTTAAGAAATACAAGAGGTCTTCAAAAAATTCGGTTTTCCTCTCTATGGTTTTAGAATAATTAATTTCGTCCATATTGGCCTTTTTTTGTACTTTTTACTCCCTACTAATGGGAACTACAGTCGATCGACTTGTCACAAAGAACTCTCCGTGAGACTGCGTTTTAGAGGAAAAAACTTTTTATCGCCAACTGTTCTCAACTATCCACAAAACTTGTTTTACGAGTTCTTTTCATCATCCTACAAAAAGGTTGTTTTATCCTTTAAAGTTTTCAGTCCTCCACGTTTGACTGTTACTTAACTTCTGGAACCAATAAGCCTAGGATTTCAACTGACGCCACCCAAGTAGTGAATTAACCTTTTTTTCATTGGCACTCTGATTGAAACCAACTATATTTTGTTGCGGGTATGGAAAGAAATGAGTTTCATGCGAAACATGAGGTTTCTACGAGTTCATCTAAGCCCGTCCCATTACAAAAGCCGCCATAACCTTCCACTACAACTAAGAGAGCGTGAACGCCTTCTGACCCAAGACGAGTTGCACAAAAAACCTGAAAAGAAAGGAGGAGGAGACGAACACGAAACTATTCCCCAACAGACAATAAAGCATGAACACCCTCCGATCCTGAACGAGTTGCACGAAAAACCTAAATTGAAAGAAGAAGGAAACGAACATGAGATTGTTCCTTCACAGCCAAGAAAGTATGAACGCTCTTCGTCCCGGAGCGAATTGCGCGAAAATCCTCAACAGAAAAAAGGAAAAGAGGAACATGAAATTGTTTCCCTTCAGTCAACAGAGCGTGAATACTTTCTTTCCCAAGGCGAGTTGCACGAAAACCGTCAACAGAAAGAAGGAAGAGACGAACATGAAACTGTTCCCCTTCAGCCAAGAGAGCATGAACACCTTCTGCTACAAGGCAAGTTGCACGAAAAGCCCCAACAGAAAGAGGGACGAGGCGAACACGAAACTGTTCCCCTTCAGCCTAGTGAGCGTAAACACCTTCTGTCTCAAGGCGAGTTGCACGAAAAGCCTCAACAGAAAGAAGGAAGAGAAGGAAATGAAACTGTTTCCCTTCAGCCAAGAGAGCGTGAACATCCTCTATCCCAAGGTAAGTTGCACGAAAAGTCTCAACGGGGAGCGAGCGCTAAATAATCCGACCGAGTATCGTGCTACGATACCGTGAGCAAAGACCAAACTAATGAACTACCATAGAGTGTATTTTTCTTCTGTTATGAAAGAAAATGGCATTATTAGGTGATGACTGCAATGGCCGAGAAGTGCGCAAATAAGCCGCGTTCAGGGACGACTACTGTAAACTAAAGTTGCTCGCACAAAATTGACCGATCCAATAATATTAAACCAGCAATGGATTCTATTTGAATTATTTTTCATCTTTTCTTGTTTTGGTCCTGGTCACCGGTAATTATCCGTTTCCTAAAATGTAATTTGTTGATTTTGCATAAACGACTTCGGTAACTGAAGTGGCCTGTTCGTTACGTGAACACTAATTGCGTTTCTAGCTGGTGCGTTACTCAATTCACTGAGTAGAGTAACACAATAACCAGTAACGGATTTAGTGACACTCATTAGTCCCAGATGAAGGACTAAAACATTTGCCTTAGCATTTCTTAACTAATAAGTTTCAACTAGGTTAGAACTCTGTCACAATGTATTGAAAGAATGATGAAAACAGCGTTTGTGTGAAGCAGTTAATCAGACGAAGCGAAAAGCTGCTGTAATCGCAATTGAACACGAATATTTCATGAAACTGTTAAAAATTGAAAAGTACTTAAAACACTCAAAGAAATCGAAATTTATGATTTGGTCCAAGACAAAACATCAGCTTTATCGTGGATGCTGGGATTAGGACATCTCTGAGATGCGTTAATAGATCCTTATTCGATGATTTAACAAATAATACGAGCGGAATTTTTCTTATTGCTTAAATGTTTCCTTGCCCAAAGGCGCGCAAAAAATACCACAACTTGCGAAAAGTCCTTACATTCATAGAAATTATATGATATTAATTATATTATACGAGAAAGTGAACAAGAACGACTGAAAATCCTCTTTTAATGTAATCTCTACAGTAGTTCTCTTTTTTGCTGAAAATCCAACCCACTTTCTTGTTCAAATTACTTTAAACCGACGGAAGAAGATCTCATTACTCTCAAATTCCTTTCCATATTTAGGCAGGCAAAACATCGTTAATATCGTTAAGGCATAATGTTCTCAACTCGTTTCTCAATCTCGCGCTCCTCCGTCATTTTTAATAGCGGTAAAGTTGGTACGCCGCTTGGCACAAGTAATATTTGGCGAAACATCTTTTTCGATTTCAGGAATTTTTCCGGTGGATTTCACGAAGAATCTTGGATCGCAAATTATTTTGGTTTTTTTTTTGGAAAATTTATTCTTGACTCCAATAATTTCACCAGGATTTGTAATTGGTTTTTGGATTTGAAAAACTTTCTAGAAAGGATAGAAAAATATGATTCAAAATATTTTTTTTGGATTTCAAAAATATTTTGGGATTTTTCCCTATCGGCTTCCATACCAAAACAAATAAAGGATAAACAAGCATGCTTCATCTCATATGAGTTTCTTTTCCAGTACTAGAAAATAAGGAAGTCATTCTTTTGCCATACGATAAATCTGTTATCGACCAAGCTTTTTCGGTCAAGATCGCAGGATATTAGCCTCGCCCTTTTTCTGCGTTTTTATGAACCTAGTCTTCGTCTTAAAAGAGAGTTTTCAATGACAATTGGCAAGTTTTTTTTAGTGACGCTAGTAAGCGTGATTTGCCTCAGAAAGCGAAATTTCTTCCCATATTTGTAAGTGCTTCTTTGTCCCTCCTCCAACAATTTTTCATTGCATCTCACGCATCACAAATAAGGAATATTTGACACGAGCAACACGAAGGTGACCATTTCATTTTCCTGTTTCAGTTTCCTATGTATTTTACAATACAAACAGTATTGAAACGATGGATACTCTTAAGGAATTATTTGGGCCAAAAACATTTAACAAAATAAGCCATTTTACAGTTTTAATCTGGATCCTGATCGCTGTAATCTTCCTTGGCATATTTGCCGCCGTGGATAACACTGAATTCAGGTCTGGTTTCCACTGTGACGGAGCGAAGGGCGACATCACTGAATTCGATCGTGGAAAATGTTTCGATAAGTACGAGAGGAAATACAACAAAAACAGTGTTCCTATCTATGGCTTCGTGATCATCAATTTCCTCTTTATTGGAATTGTTTGTCTTATTTACTCTCAAGTGGTGAGACCTACAGTCGATCAACTGTCGCTCGACCAAACTGGAAACAAGCTTTTTATCGCTTACTGCTTTCAACTATCCTTAAGACTTGTTTTACGAATTATTTTCATCATCCTACAAACTCAGTTGCTTTATCCTTTGAATTTTTCCACTAAGTTTTACTGTGATTTAACCGATGGAACCACTCAGCAAAGGAATTCATGTAACAGCACCCAAAACTCTACTTGTTACGAATGTAACAATCAGCAGGCAATCAAGAAAACTTTCTGGTTAAACGCTGTCCTTGCAGTAAATGGAATTTTTGTCCTTGTAATTCTGATTGAAACCGTCTATATTTTGTTACGGGCATGGAAAGAAAGAAGTTTTATGCAAAACTCAGAGTTTCTTAGAGCACATCTAAATCCCCCCAGTAGCAATTCGCACCAAAAACCACAAAAGCAAGATGACATTATCCCACGGCAGCCAAGAGAGCGTGAACATCTTCCTACCCAAGGCGAGCTGAACGAAACACCTGAAAAGAAAGGAGGAGGCGACGAACATGAAACAGTTCCCCTACAGCCGGGAGAGCATGAGAATCTTCCTGCTCAAGGCGAGCTGAACGAAACACCTGAAAAGAAAGGAGGAGGTGACGAACATGAAACAGTTCCCCTACAGCAGGGAGAGCATGAGAATCTTCCTGCTCAAGGCGAGCTGAACGAAACACCTGAAAAGAAAGGAGGAGGTGACGAACATGAAACAGTTCCCCTACAGCAGGGAGAGCATGAGAATCTTCCCACCCAAAGCGAGCTGAACGAAACACCTGAACAGAAAGAAGGAGGTGACATACATGAAACTGTTCCCCTACCAGCAGAGCATAAGAATCTTCCCACCCAAGGCGAGCTGAACGAAACACCTGAACAGAAAGAAGGAGGTGACGTACATGAAATAGTTCCCTCACAGCCAGGGGAGCATGAGAATCTTCCCACCCAAGGCGAGCTGAACGAAACACCTGAACAGAAAGATGGAAGTGAAGAACATGAAACTGTTCCCCTACGGCCAGGAGAGCATGAGAATCTTCCCACCCAAGGCGAGCTGAACGAAACAACTGAAAAGAAAGAAGGAGGTGACGAACATGAAACAGTTCCCCTACAGCCAGGAGAGCGTGAGAATCTTCCTACCCAAAGCGAGCTGCACGAAACACCTGAACAGAAGGAAGAAAGTGACGAACATGAAACAGTTCCCCTACAGCCAGGAGAGCGTGAGAATCTTCCTACCCAAGGCGAGCAGAACGAAACACCTGAGCAGAAAGAAGGAAGTGACGTACATGAGACTGTTCCCCTCCAGCCAAAAGAGCATGAACGCCAACCGTCCCAAGGCGAGCTGAACGAAATATCTGAAGAGAAAGAAGGAGGTGACGAAGATGAAACATTTCCCCTAAAGCCAGGGAAGCATGGGGATCTTCCTACCCAGGGCGAGTTGAACGAGACACCTGAACAGAAAGAAGGAAGTGACGAACAAGGAACTGTTCCCCTACAGCCAGGAGAACGCCAACCGTCCCAAGGCGAGTTGAAGGAATAACCAGAAAAAAAAATTGGGAGGTGACGAACATAAAATTTTTTAACTTCTGTTTATTTAGCCTCGATAGCTCTAGTCTGCACTGTAAATTTATGGCGAGTGAGCGCTAAATATTTGGACCGAGTAATGTTTCACCATACTGTGAGCTTAGTAAGATCGAGGAGAGCTGGAAACAAAATAGTCAAATGACGAGGGATAGACCTCCCCGGACCTAGGGACCCCCCTAGTACATCTTTAAACTTGCTCCCATTCTTCCTCGATCATACCGAGGCTTAAGAATACTTTGTATTAGTCACTACTGTAAACTGACGTCACACACAAATACTGCAATTCGGTCACGGGAAACGAGCAGTGAATTCTATTTTAACAATTTTTTTTATTGTTTCTTGCTTTGGTCCTCGACATTAGTAATTACCCTTTTTATGATGTGATCGGCTAATTTTAGTTAAACAAGTTCAGTAACCGAAGCGGCCGGTTTGTTATGAGGACAGCAACCGCGTTACCGGCTGTTGTTACTAAGTTCATTGGACCAAGTAACACAACAACTAATAACGGATCTATTGATCGGTCACAAACGAAGAACCAAAACATTGGTCTCAAGCTTTTCTCAAGTACTAAGTTTCAACTAAGCTAGAACCCTGTTACAAGGCATTAAAAGAAGCAGGTAAACAGTTCTTGTGTGAATCTGCCTTAGAGTAAGTTAAAAGCCTCTGTAATCGCAATTGAACACAAATATTTCATGAAACTGTTAAAATGAATATGATTTCAAGAACTCAAGGAAGTTTCTGATTTGGTCCTGACAAAACATTTCTCCTATGGGATGGGATTAAGAGTTCTTTAGCAGTACAAATTTTAAGAATCGAAAAAAAAATTCTGGGAAAAAGTTGACTATAAAGAAGTCCATAAATAAGAAAGAAATATGAAAGTGAGTGTCTTGCTTTGTTAATTTTTTCGCTCTATAGGATTTTATTTTAGACCGGCCACCCCGCCGGCGCTTACCTAAAAGGACCTAGTTGTTCGAAGGCCGATTAGAGCTAGCCCGGGGTTAAGTTTTAATCTGGGTTTCTTTATTCCCTTCTTCAAAGGCCTATTTCAGGTAATTTCTTCAATTCTTTTTAGAACATCCAGGCATCAAATTGTAAACAAAAAGAATTATAATGCATATTCTTTGAAAGCTTTCAGATCTGAGGTCGGATTTCACGCTAACCTTAGGTTGGACTAAGTTGTTTAAAGCTGGTTTAAGCTAATACACAGCTTAGTTTCCAAGCTCTCTCTCCTTTCCGTTACTTTTTTCTCGCTCTGCGCGGTGGGATTTGATTTAGCCCTTTGAACAAGGTGGATTTGTTGACCGGAGCCTTAAAAATACAAACTAGACGACTAAGGTTTTTAAGTCTTTGTTTCATTACACTACTAATCCTATATTTTTAATCTAGGTCGGAATCTTGCAGCCTGTAAGCTATTTCATAAAGAAGTTCTCTTGACTGCGGCATGCTCATTAGATTCGCCAACAGCTCCAATTCGTCCACAAAATCTTCGGAATAAGTTTTGTTAGCAAATTTCAGCAAACGTGGAAATTGACTTCGGATAAAGTAACTTGTGCATAATTTCCACTGAAAATAAGTAAAATGTTTCTCACTGGGCGTGGGTTCAATCTGCGGCGGCGGAGGTATGTAAGGTGGAAGAAGCCCTAGAATACCTTTCAAGTAGTTAGTGATGAAGTTTATTATTTCATATTCACTTTGTTGAAAGCGTTCATCTTCTCGAGCCTCCTTGAATCCGATTGTGATTATTGTTAGGATAATATTTAGGATTAAAAAAACATTTGCACATGTGAACGTGTAGGTGAATATTGGTCCCACCTTACTGGTAACAGCCTGACCAGGTGATAATAACCGGAAGCTAAACTTCCCTAACAACATGGCGATCACACTGTGAAATGTTGCAATAAAGGTACTGAAAATCTCATCAACAGTCTTGAGCATGCTGTACGCCCAGTATGTGAAGCACATAATGCTTACGAAGAAAACAAAGGCGAAGCCGGAAATATCTCCTCGAATCCTAGACAGCGTATTATAAAATATCATGAAGTTCTTGTTAAACTTGAGAAACTTTAAGAACTGTATCGTAGGAATAAGGACAATCAAACACGAGAAGTACGCAATGTAATCGTCATAAAAAGCCACCGTCAGAAAGCCGTAAAACGTGCCAGGATTTTCGCGTAGCGCTTCAATAGCGTGGTTTAGGTGGCTTGCGCGGCATGCGTATAAAGCGATAGTCACCAGCGAGAATAGGATAAGGAAAATATCAGTAAGGTTCCACACGGATCTGAAATAACTCCAGCGATCTCGGTAAATAAGACTCCCCACTCGGTAAATAAGCTGTACCACGAAGACAACAAATATTATCTCACTGACAAGATAAATGAACTGGAGCGGCGTAAAGTAGCGGTACAAGCGAAATGAATACATATCAAAACGTGGAAACGTTCCACCGAACGAGGAAAATTCTATTGAAAATATCACCGCTGATAATATGTTAACGTTTGCGTTGTAGACTGAAAACTCTAAGAAAACCACCCTTGTTAGGTCATCCACCCACTGATTTGCCTCTAGAGAGTTAAGAAGATCGATTGCCATTTTTATATCCGTCCCCAGGTAAGCGATATACCCACCACCACCGAACGCACGTCCACTGCGTCCCCACGTTGTGTATGATGTCTCAGATTCTCTCCCGCTAAGGTATTTCCATGGAGAAGTAAAAGTTTGGTTTGGTAGAGACATTGCTCTTTTTTTCCACTCTTGGCTATAGTCATCAGTGTCTTCATTATGTTCAGTCAAGGAAACTGGAGTACACTTGGAAAAATAATTTTCAATAAAGCCCGCCAGGTGACAACTTGCTGAAATAATGAGAGACGGCTTAGTAATGAGAACCAGACAGACCTACGTCAAAGAAAAGAGGTAGGACCCAGGACGAAAGCCGAGTGCAAAAATGAAAGCGAACGCCAGATCTGGGAATCAAATTGAAGACACAGTGAGAAAAGGAGGGGGCGGAGACAGGCCAACTTCCAAAACTGTTGACAATTTATTCAAAATTGATGAAATAGAAATAGCAGCATTTTATTTGTGGAAAGATCTGGGAAGCATGCCTACTCGCTGCTCTTTCAGATAGCTCTGATATACACCCTTGATCTGAGTAAAACCGCGGAGATCAAGGATCTATGATTGTCATTTCTATGTTTTCAATTTTGGATCAAAAGTTATAAGAATGCAGCTCGATTTAAATCATGATCATTGAGATACTTCAAAAGAAAGTTACTCACCTCCTGGTTTAATTCTTTGTTGTCGAAGAATTGCTCTCCCCAGCAGGAAGCTGTACCCATCGGCAAGGAAATGTCTTCTGCCTTTCCTAAGCGTTCCCTCAAGAGGCTCATGAAGCAGCACGGGAATTGTATCATTTGCAAGCCATTTCCAAAATCTTTTACCGTTGTTTACCTGACAACACAGGTTGAAATCAGGGGCATTAAATATTGATGAAAAGGACGACAGACAAGTTTCTTACAATAATCTTAAAGATAACTCAGCTGTAACCAGCTGAGCAAGAACTTAGATGTAGCTTACATGGCCGGCGTGACTGAGGAAAGAAGGAGACGAAAATTGTAGAATGAGAGTGATCTTTGGGGATTCTAATGATCGCTCTCTTAGCTCGAATAACTCAGTGGGAGTTAGACAGGGTAATTTAGTATTATCAACTGAGTTGATAACGTAAATTGACCACTGTAAATAGTTTCAAAGCTGACGTTCTGGGCGTTAGCCCTTCGTCAGCGGGATTGCGAAGGGCTGACGCTCAAAACGTCAGGGATGGGGTCGGGAGGTTTTAATTGGTTCTTGATGAAATCTTCCTAATCCTCTCATAAGACTCTTCTTGTGATGCTCCCTGATTGGCTGTTAATTTGCGGTCAATTTTCTATAATCTCCCCGAGTTATGTTCTGTTGGCGATAACTTGTTCTCCCTCCTCTACCCCCCAAAACATGTGATTCCCCTTCCCCCACAAAAAAATGGGGGGATGGGGGTAGGGGGGTTTTAATTGGTTCCTGATAAAATTTGCCTAATCCTCTCGTGAGACTCTTCTTGTGATGCTCCCTGATTGGCTGTTAATTTGCGGTCAATTTTCTATAATCACCCTGAGTTATGTTCTGTTAGCGATAACTTGTTCCCCCTCCATTGCCCCTGAAAACATATGATCCCTCCTTCCCCCGCAAAAAAATCCTTCGATCCCGAGGAAAAGTAACGAATGGACCCTCAGCTAAATTATATTAATCAAATTAAATTTCATGTTGAAAACATAATTACCCCACGTGTGAAGCTGTTGGAGATGTTGAGGGAGTGCTCCAGGCCAGCTCTTATAGGATAGGAAGAAGAATCCCTGTTTCCAAGGGAAATAAAAATTAACAGCCCTATAAACAAAACGTTAAAACAAAGCATCTTTAGCACGTCTTCCAATTCCCTGTCCTTCCCAGCCTCCTCCTGCGCTTTTTGTATCTCTTCTTGAGTTGGGGGCATGGGAACTGGTTCATTCTCATCCTCATCGACTTCATCAGCATAATACGTTGTCTCCTGTTCCTCATTAACCCAGACTTTATTTTCAAGTTCATTTATCAAATCCTCTTCTTTTACTGGCCGTTTATACCAAACTGAAAAAAAGATAGCTTGCACGACGACATAAAATGACTCCAGGACAAAAATTTGGCCAACGATCGCAATTCCAAACGTCACAAGCCACGACCTTGTTAGTGGGGCTGACCATTTAATTCCAATTGCTATAGCAACGACGAATGATATGAATGGAACAACAAAGCAGTGAACTTGATTGGCCCTACTGAAAATCTCGTTCAATCTGGGCGAAGCCCTCACGTTTGGTTTCTTAATGCTTTCGCCATCGACGAGATGTTTTGGAAATGGAAGGCTTATCCATATGTTTGGAATTTGATCGGGATTTGTTAAACATGCAGTCCAGGCGACTGACTCCGGCCTACTCTCTTCCTTTTCTTCTTCAGCGAGTTTATCAGATGTCTTAATTTCTTCTATTTCTGAGTTCCAACGACTCTCCTCTAAACGTTCCGAGCCACAATGCTCTTTTAAAAACCTGTCCTTTAATCTACCTTGAAAAACATGCGAGTTTTCATCCAAGACCTTAAATAGCTCTTCTTCAGCTGATAAATGCCCAAGAATATCAACCAAATCCTCGAGATCATGGGCTTTGTTCGAAGATGCATTTTCATGGGATCCTTCTATTGATTGATTTTCATAGACATCCAACGCTAAATGGCAGTTTTCGTTATTGAATTGAAGATTTTCTTCGTCTTTAGTCTCGCTCTGCAGTTCTTGATAGTTACTAAATTCCAGGTGGATTCCACTTGTACTGTTATCTGAACTGGATGTGTTTTCATTATCCGTATCAGTATAAGAATCAGGGCATTTACCTTCGTCAGCTTTCATAATCTCATCTGAAAATATGGTCGAGTTTATCTCTTGTAATCTATCTCGAATATATCCTTGCACATTCTTCTCTCCAACTCCTATTGTAGCGTTTTGATGTGAACATAAGAACAGACTCTGTATCAACAGACGATAAATAAAAGCAATTCCACAACAGACGAGAGCTCTGTAAACATCGCCTAGGTTCACTTTCCATGGCCCTAGACTGATTTGTGAATCACTAAATGATTTCTGTGTTGTAAGAACCATTGCTATTGAAACGAGTTTCATCACTCCAGTCACTGCTAGGCAGCACGACATTTTCTGAAATTGACCAAACGTTTTGCTATTGCTTTTGTAAAGTAGAGAGAGCCAAAGATGCTTTTTCTTTAAACTGTAGTCCATTTTACCTTCAAACATGGTTAAAAATTTAAGAAGAATCTTTCTAGGTATGGGTTTTAACTTGCATTCAACTTCCTTCGAGCCCGTGCTTACGTCTAGCCAGCGGTTTGCCGCAAAGTACCATGTGACATTTGTGTTCAAATGACAAACTATGACATCCTCTAAGAACCACGAGGGACGGGGGCCCGAAATATCATGCCATATATGAATTTCTCGTATTTGGTCTAAAGAGCAGTTTAGTGTCACTAGGAAAGAACTTGTAGATGAAGGTTGAAACATTGGGCGGTCCGGATCCCGTAAAATGATAGGTTTTGTCTTACGGCGGTTACCGTAAATTCGGCAGAACACATTTGCAGTAGTGGAACTGTGCCGACCAGCTCCTGTGTAAAACATAAGCAGGTAATACTGTGGAGAGCGGTGAATTGATCTCTGTGGGATGACTGTGACACCACACTGTAAAACAAGACAGGCATTTTACGTATTTAACTAAGACCACATTTTCAAACTCGCGCCGTCTTTTTTATTTCATACCGTCTTTTTTTTTTGTCATGACTTGAAGAGAAAAACAAATTATGACAAAAGTTGAAGGGAAACTTTGTTAGAAACTTTTGCTTTAACATTCATCCGCTTCATTTAATGTAAGAAAGAGATTTTTCCAAAATTTAGACTTTTCTTTTCATAGTCGAATGCTGATACTGAAATATGGAGAAACGCCAGCGAGTTTGGGAATAAGTTGGGTTTAACAGAGAGCATGGAGAGGATTGGTTTAAACTGTCTTTTTGGTTTTGAATGCGGCAGATGATTAAAGACAATGATCGCTCTTTTTTTACAATTCTTACCATTTTCTCCTCCTTGTGGTCTTTTTTTCGGGCATAGAGTGTTCCTAGAATAAGGAGCACTGTGGTTGTCGTTACGACCCCAAGAAAAACAAACATCATTTCATTCTCAGATTTCTCTCGAGGTTCCTCCAGCTCTATACCTAAAGTTTCATTTGTTGTGGTATTCATGACGTGTAACCTTGTATCGTCAGACCTGGAAACGTGCGGCAACAACTTAGAAAACATCAATTATATGTTTGTTTGTATACTTAATTAACCATTCCCGCAATGGGGCCATTCAGAGCCAATACGAACAAACTGAAAACAGACATTGTGATGTGTTGTTTCAAAATCTCAAATGGCCATAGGCAGAAAAGTTGGCGAGAGAATATGGGTTGGCTATATACAAAGCGGAGCCAAGGCTGGAGTTAAAATCGGGGCAACGGAGAGCAAATCCATTGAGTAGTGAAGTGGAAGGCTAGCTTACGTGTAGCCGTACCCTCCCTTCCCCCCAAGGTGATGAGGAAGCGAGGGAACGTCTACGAAAACCTGACACAAATCGTATTCTATGACTTCACACCTTTGAAAGAAAATATAGAATGACTTTTCATTGGTTAACCTTTTTTGCCGATTCTTTCGTGAATTCTGATTGGTTAGAGTTGGTAATTTTCTTTCAGACCAACGAACAAGATGGTGAACAAAATGCTTTCATGGTCAACATCTCAGAGACAACGATCAACAACGAGCTTTTAAGGCAAGTTTGCGCGACTTTTGGGATATAGGCATTTCAAGAAGAACAGTACAAAGCAATAGATATATTTTTCGAAGGTAACGATTTCTCCGTTTCGTTACCAACCGGTTACGGAAAATCTTTAATAAATCAAACACCTCTCTTCTCTAGAGGAAACTGTCACTATATTTATTGTGCTGCCCGTCAAAGCTCTCATAGAAGACTAGGAGCACTATCTTTAATTTTGCGGAGATTTGAGTGGGGGGGGGGGGGGGGGAAGGGACGGCTACGCTTAAGCCGGTGGAGGGGTTGAATCTTAGACTACCAGTCTACTTCACCAGCGCCCTAGGCACTTGGCCATACCGGCTCATCCTGCAGTACTCATGGAAATCAAGAGAACCTAACGAGATATGTTCTCTTGTGGTAGTATAATGGAACATATTGGGGTTCTAATTAATAGACAGATAGAAAACAATCCTTTGTAATCGATCAAGCTGCGTTTTAACTGACAAAATTTCTTCGATCAATGCACCAATGCAGGAAAATGTTTTGTCATATACATTGCAAAAAGCTAATGTGTCCACGAAAATTGGGACAGAAAATCAGCTCCTGAATTTCCCTACAGCCTTAGGCAGGTGCCCTAATCAGGATGACTAACATCAGAAAATTTCGTCCCTCATAACTTGTTCTTGACGATTTTATTTATTCCAAACCTGACATGTAGTATTTGGGCAGGGATGTTGCCTTACAAGGCAAAACTTGTTTTTTTTTTCCATGGCAAAGTTTAAAACGTGGCTAAGTTAAAAAAAAGTAACAACAACAAAACAAACAAAGAGAACAAACAATTTTTGCCCCCTGTAAAAATAAGCTTAGGATTAAACGAAAGTTTTTCTTTTCTCGTTGGGCAGGTTATTCAATTGAAAAAAATTATGTTATGACCTGTTAATTTCCTCGACTGCGCTTCTTCCGTGGTTAACAAGTTACTTTCATTTTTGTCTTCATGACAACTGGATGATTGATTTTTGTCAATCATCAATGCATGCATGCCTCGGGTTTAGCTTGCCTCTTGCCTTTTCAGCGTAATAAAAATATAGAGATAAAACAGCCAATCATTTATTGTCGATGGGAAATACTCACAACGCTAGTTAAAAGACAAGCGAACATAAAGCGGCAAATTTCGAAAACGCAGATATTCTAACCGAGCAGGTATTTGGTTGAAGCTTAAGGAGCTGTTTTCTCAAAACGGTGTCAGTTCTTTGTTGTCGGTAAAATAAATTTTTTGAAAAAATGCCCTAAGCCATTAACTTTTCTTTATCATTAATTCAATCGTAATCGAAACACAGTCTGGTAGAGTCCGAAACTGCTCAAGTATTAGTAAAATTACCCTGCTCGTTTACAAATTACATGAGATCCGCTTGGCCTTTCGTTAGAGCGAAGGTGTACATCACTGACAAGTTCGCTAATGGTATGTATGTCTCAACACGTACATTCATTTTTAAAAAGCACTTGCTTTCCAGCGAAATCCCTCAGAAATTAAGCTTAAAGTTATATTCTTTTTCGTAGGTGTCAAACTTTTTTTTTCGGTGAAGGAAACAAATTCAAAATGATGTTCGCCGGAATTCAGTGTGTTTGTGTCATCTAAATGCTTCTCTGTAAGCGTATTCATTGTGAGAGAAAAGTCGTGTAAAAGAGAGAAACATTTAAATTTTTTTCCCGACCATTCTCATTTGGATTTAAAATTAAAGTTATTTTCATTTGGCATTGCCAATCTTTTGGCATATACCAGTGTTTTGACAGTGTACTGCAACGGTTAGTAAGAAAGAAATACAGTGCATTCCAGCGTGTTTTATCGCCTGACCTGTTAAAACCAGTCTTTCCTGATACCAACGTAATTTATCAGTGGCAGTTAACTTACAGTACACAGAAAACAAAAACCCAACGCTTCTGATCCCGTGTTATTTTTAACTAAGCAACTACTGGTTGAGCATTACAAAATTATATCCTACATCGTTGTTGGCGATGTTACTACTGAATGTTGCGTGTTAATTTTTCAATTGCCGCCTTGCAGCTGATCTGCCTTTATAAAAGGTGCTATACGCAAATAATTTTCTTAGTAAGGTACTAGGCTTTTCTCTTAAACAATGAATTTAAGCATATCATACCAAGGGCATCTTACCTTACTTGAAGGGACATTCGTGTCTTTGTTTTCAATTTTCATCTATTTCTGTGTCGCTATCCACGAACCTGGAAGAATTACAGGGTCTGCGCGACAAAACCATTCACTCCACGGGGTGATTTGGAAAACTAGCCAAAACTAGAGTGAGCGTCAGTCAATACTTGGCATGCGGTACTGTTTACTAATTTGTCACCTGTGGCTAATTTGAATCACTCAAGAACGCACCACAAAAAAAAAATTTATAACTTCTCAAACACTTGAACATGTAAGGCTCAGCGCTGAGAATACATTCTAATCGAAACTTTGTTTGGGTTTTGCTCATATTAAGGGAATGTCAGTCAGCTTTGAAGAATACGTATTTCTTTTCCCATCCCCAAACCTCCTTGGTCTGGATACTATCCATATGGCAACTTAATTTAAGAAAACTTGTTTGAAATGTTGTTTGAGGCGGACTTTCATTCCGCAAGTCTCGTATGGTTCTTGTATGATTTTCAAGAAATATCTGACACGGTCAAAATAAGTCAAAAGGAATTGAAAAAAAATTGAAAATCTAAAAACTTTCCACGACACGAAAGGATTCCAAGATTAAATACATTTAAACGCTTGCTTTTACTTGAGGAGGAGAAGTTTCTGATTAAAAAAAAATCGACCTAGCTATCTATAGATTTAGCAAGAAATTAGAAAAAAATACGCCTGGTCTACAGCTGTGAAAACATTTCGTTTCGATTATATTTCGATTACGACTTGGCAAAACTCATTTTTATTGCCGATGGTAACAACATCCTGTCATTCGTATGGCTTATGCGGTTGACTTCCTTAATGAAATATTCATCCCATGACAATGGCTAGGTTTACCATATAGTTACTATCGAATTGATTGGTGATAAAATTAAAAGATGTGAGCCTTAAATTCAAATTTAGATATGTATACAACAAATAGCTAAATCACCCACGCGAGGGATACTTAACAAGTTGTAATTTGACACTGATTTTGTAAGGTAATCAATGGATTGGCGTAGTTAAGTTTAACGAAACTTTCTCCGTTTTTTTATTTACTTTTTGGGAAAAAAGCGACACATTGAACCAAAACCTCAAATTTCAATATAGGATTCTACAGAATAGTCTTTTAATGATATTTCAGTGGGAATGCAGAAATGCCAAGTTATTCGTCATGTCATTTGACGAGACATCTGTTTATGATCACTGAGTCGGCAACGCGTTTTTGTTTTCCTGTCTTATCCCACGCCGATGTAATTTAAATCAAATTTGGTCTTCAGGGGTCGGGTGCTTAATCACAGCTCCTCGTTAAGTGCATGTACTGCTTGTATTTTCGTTCAAAGTGTCAGCAATTTAAATCATTAATCAGTTCACATTTTGTTAAGGTATTGGAATGAATAAAAGAAAGAAGGAGGGAAGTTAGGAAGGAGTAGAGGAGTGGATACCACTCCTGAAGTTTCCACACTAAAATGATATTAGCAAAGGGACTGAATAGAAACACTATAAAATCAATCAGAACAGCTTCAAACTTTCTATTCGTAGAAACTTGCAAGCATTTTACCATAAATACCGCAATCTGATTGGTTATGCTACTCGTTGTCTATTTCGTGATAGACATTGAGTGAAGCGAGTACTCTAACGGTGTGTAGTTGTAAACAGAGTGAGATTGAAATAAGAACCTGTCTCGTTAATTTAGTTTAACCTGTTCTAGGCATTCACTTCGTAAAACGAAGCGCGATAGCAATTGGAAAAAACGATAAAAAACGAGAGAGACTTGGGTCGGGTCGCGACTCGACCCAAACCGCTTTCGTCTATCATGCGTTTGACATCTCGAATTCAAAATCTTCTTGTTAGATAGATGTTAAAAATCCTACAAATCATTTAAAAAATTTACAATATAAATAGGATAAACTTGAATAGGATAAAATAAGACTTAAGTGAGATAAAAGTAAGACGAGATAACGAACAAAATGAGTACAGTAAACTGAAGGGTGTGTTTTGTAATTTTATGAATTTATTTATAGTTTTCGGTGAAAGCTTTATACTAATGCCTACAGCCACTAAATGAAGTATTCCTGCTTTTGCTTTGATAACTTTTTCCTTCGTAACCTGTCAATGAGGCTGCGTGGTTCATAAATCCAAAGATGAAATTTTTTATTTATTGAAAAAATGAATGCGAGCAGTATAGAACTTTCATGGAGAGAATAAAAGGCAAAACGTAGCCAGTAACTTGTAAGCAGAACATGGGATCTTTCACATAATGGTTTTGAGATGGGGTTAATCCTGTTCAGACCGTTAACAATATTATGTTTAACCACTGCCTTTCATTCCTGTCTTCACGATGTTTTAGTAATTATTAGATAATCCCTTTCTTTTGCCAAAGGTACTTGAATGAAGAATGAAAATTGAAATACGGCTGTTTGTTCTGGTGAAAGATGTTTGGATTCATGTCTCCTTGTGCTTCTTGCGGCGCGCTTAAAAGAAAAAGTTTTGTGAACAGGTGTAGTCAGGTTTCCTCCGCATCAAGAAAATCTGTGATTTTCACGAATCCAAAATCATCTTCATTGATTGTTTGTTGTTCAGCTGAAAATTTCAGAGCAACTTGTTTGAGTTCGGCTTAGTCCTGGCTCCCCTAAGTTCTTCAAATCTACACGAATAAGGCGATCTCTGTTTAAAATAACGTAAGCTTTCGGCCACAATTTGAATCCTTCAAAACTCAGATATAAATGTTAGAGACAACAAACATAAACGCAAAATTAAAACGTAAAAAGAAAAGCTAAAATAATACGCAGTTATTTTTGACGGGAAAGAGTAGAAGACTGCAGGGCACATAAATTATTTACCACCCAATAATGAGAGCATTAGGGAACATTATTCCTGCCAAGAAAATTATGCTAATTTAGCTCGAACATTCTACGGTCTTTGGGGGCGGGTAAGCAATGTCAAAGGAAACCACGGTAGTTTCAAGCAATATGGAACTCTTTCAAGTTAAAACTTAAAACTTCAGAATTTAAATTCTTCTTCTTTCGCAGATTGACTGGTCAATCTTTTCCACCTTTTATTCCGAACATTTTGCCTTTCAAGCTTTAAGTCACATGATAATACAGTTGTTTTCATATTAACATGATAATAAAGTTGTTTTCATATTAATATAAGTTAAGACTGATAATTGCGAACGACATTTGTTAAAGAAAGAGCGCTTTACTTGTGCTTTGCTTCAAATCTTCCGTATTTTTGTTAGCAAGGCCCCTCTCAAGTTACCTCCGCCATCAAATTTTAAGGTTTTCGCAAAATTTCTGGAGAGGGTGACCAGTCAGGGGAAAAAATGTCGTACACTCGTTTCCTCGCTTGGAATTCAACTAAGCTAAGATGGAGGGATTTGAGATCACAGCTTTGTTTTTTCCTTTTCTTATCTGGAAAAGAAAAAGGATATTTCTGAAAACACTGAATGGTTTTTTCTTGCACAGCTTCTTTTTTGGGACAATTGCTGCCTTGTTATGCTCTCGTCCAAGAAAGAAGACCGCGTTTCTGCCACCGCGATTATTAAGTCTTTTGGCAATAAATAAATTGTATGTTTTTCATTGGGGACAGAAAACATTTCTTGGGGTTCCAAAACAAAAATGGCGAAGGGTTCTTATTCATAAGTTTTTTAGCCTTATCCGGGCTGCAGAATTGTAACCGAAAGCTTAGTTTAATCCAAATTTTTTTCAGGGCTGGAATAAAAACTAAATACTTATTATTTGTTTAGTTGAATCCAAATTTTTTTTCAGGGCTGGAATAAATACTAATTACTGATTATTTGCCTTATGGCTGCAATTCGATTTTCGTTTGAGGAATGCTTCTTACATGCCACTGAAAAAAGATTTTCAAAATTGAAGAAGTGCATTGTATCGGCCAGCTTCAGAGCCTACATCCTCCGGTTGTTTAGTTGCACTATTTTGATTAATTTTTGCCACCTCAATCCGACAGTTTCTACTTTACACAATGACAACGCATTAATTATCTTTGTTGACAATATGACAGGTACTCATTTATTGCAGACGAATAATGAAAATGTGTTGAACACACCTGCTCTATTTTAGAAGCTTCAATGGGCGACAAGTTTCTACTCTGATGCTTTCAACACATCGATAAAAAAAATGTGTGTTACAATTTTACAGTTTAAGTTTGACGAATCGTCTAAGAATCTTCTCTATTTTTATGTTTTACTTGCCAACACGTTAATATCATGCTGTTGTTCTGCTGGTAAGTTTTATTTTTCCGCTTTTCACATCGCTGATAATTAAAGCACGTAATGTTCAACATCAACCCAAATTTTTTTTTTTTTTTTTTAAATATGTAAACCAGCGAATAAGAGCTCTGTAAGATAAAGAGTCAATAATGCCTTCCATTTGCACTTAAAGTTGTTTCGGTGATCCCATTATTTTTCCTTGGTTCACCTACTTCAGTAAGCTTTCCAATGTTTCATATTACGCGGCGACGTATTTGGCTGGTCAACTTGAACATGTCTCGATGTAGCGTCATGAATTTACCTTGTTTCCTTTACACTCACGAAAAAACGCCCTCAGAAGCTTTCTATTTCTTCACATAGTTTCTGCTTTTGTATAATTAATTATTAAGGCAAGGAAAGAAACTTGTAGGACTCCCGTGCACAACTAAATTCTAGATTTACTGTTATTTTCAGGTGTGTGCTCAAGTTGTTTTTGTTCAATTCTCTCAGTTGTTTTGTTTCAGAAACCTTTAAGATAATAATAAAAGCAAAAATTTCAGTTCACGCATGTTTGAATTTTATACTTTTTTCACGAAACATGGGTGGAAATAGCAGAACGCATGTTATTCATTCTATAAAGTCAATAACTATCTCTCTCCCGAAAAGGTTGCCTATGATACAACAAATCTGAATGACAATGGTAAAAAAGGATTTTAAATCTTTATCACAATAAATTCATGGGTAGGAGGGGGGGAGGGGAAACGACTTCTCGATGTGACGCTTACATTGCAGCTTACTCCTGAGTATTTTGTTAGGTTCTTAGACAGTGGCTAAACTCATTGACAACCCTGAGATTGAAAAGAACGAATTTGAAATAGAATAGGTAAATTTTTTTCAAGATATAAAAACTCTAACATTGCTCCGTCAGAAATATTAACAACTAATTTTGGTACTTTTGGCTTTCAGTTCCTTCAACAGATGACGAATTTCGCAGCATCGTATTTAAGGAATCATTAACAAATATGGCAATGAGAAATCACGTGATCAGGAGCACTGAGGTGACTAATGAAGGGAGCTGCAGAGTGATGTGTTATATGGAGCCTAATTGTGTGTCCATCAATGTGGGTCATTTGGAAGGAGGAAAACTCATATGCGAGTTGAACAACGCCACGGATGAAGACCAATTTGTCAAATTTCTTGTGAACAAACCAAGTTTCACCTATTCAGCCATAATCGAGGTATTGCTTGGCATAGTACCATGTGTATTTCGTCAGAATTAGTGAGGAGTCTGATCTGTCTTTAAACTTAGAAGTATTGTGTTTATTTTCTTAACAGAATCCATGCAACAACAACCCATGTGCGAACAGAGGCACCTGTCAGGCTGGATTCACCAGTAAAGGTTTTCGTTGTCTCTGTCGACCTGGATTCACCGGGGAAAACTGCCAATTTAAAGGTAAAAATGGTAATGCTCTATCACCAACGGTAAATGTCGTGAGAGTTGTTAAGTTTTTTGGCCAAACAATGACACCCCATATGAATCACCAGAAAGCTTTGCATTTAGATTGTATTAGTGGAAGCGAAAACGAGCGAAGAAAACTGAGATTACCAATCAAAAGTTCCCAAAGTGTTCAAGCAAAAGGCTCTGTGTTACCCCGAAAATTGATTAATCAATTAACATAATCAGCTAAAAGGGGCACAAAAGTGAAGCATTAGGTTCACAACCTGGTTAGTTTGGGGAGACAAAACCTAATGGAGAGCAAAATTATACTTAAAGAACTCATCATTACTTTTTCTCCTTCCCAGCCAAACGAAATTGTGCTGAAATCTACAAATCCGGTCAAACAACTGATGGTGTGTACACCATTAAACCTGATAACATGTCTATCTTTGAGGTATTCTGTGACCAAACAACAGCTGGTGGAGGATGGACAGTGTTCCAGAAGAGACTGGACGGCTCGGTTGATTTTTACCGCCACTGGAACGACTACAAGCACGGCTTTGGTGACCTAAGTGGGGAGTTTTGGCTCGGACTGGACAAGATTCACCTCCTGACCTCATACAGTCACAACATGCTGCGTGTGGACTTAGGAGACTTTGGTGGGAACACTGCTTTCGCTGAATATAACAGCGTTGTTGTTATGAGTGAGGAAGACAAGTACAAGCTGATCATTGGTCCTTACTCAGGTAAAACAGCAGTTTCCTTATTCATTCTGTGAGAGGGGGATTGGTTTAGGGATTAATTATGGTAATAGGACCGAGTGGCGTCCAAGTCGGTCTGTAATCATATGAATGATTGACAAAATCAGACAACTGTGAAGCGGGAGTCCGATTTGTGAATCACGAGTATGATTACAGACTGAATTAGAATCCACTCAGTCCTATTACCAATTAATCAAAACTATGACAAAATTTGAGAAAAAAAAACTAGATATCTGGTATACGTTAAATAGGCGAGATGCGAGATAACAGTGCGCGCACATGACGCCTTCTGTCCACTTACACAGGCATGACCCGTTAGCTGTCCCTTTAACTGTCCTATTACCCTATCCAATTACAAGCATGACGTGCACACTGTCCTGTTATTGCTCAAATCGGGCTGGTGATAGCCCATTACGTTCGAGAATTTTGCTATAGTTTTGATTATCAAGAGTACTGAACGTCTCCGAAAAAAAAAAACAAAAAAAAAAGCAGAAATAACATATTGTCTCAACCACACCGATGTGCAATTTCGACAACGCATTATATAAAGGTATTCACTGATCAATGATGCCCAGTGGGGCCAATACAATTTTTTTATAGTAGTAGTCACATTTCACGGCCCAGCCTCTTCTTCAAACTTTCAAGCACACTTTGAGAAACAAGTTGATGAACGACCACTGGAAGTGTAGTCGTCATCGATTTCATTATCATTATCAATTTCATTGTCTTTTTCATTGATATTTTTATCATAATAATTTATACCATCATCAATATTGATATTATTATTATTTTTGAAATTAAAAAATTAAAAAAAAAATTAATCTTTTTAAGGTTTTCCTTGAAATTAACACTTTACTGAATTATTTTTCAATTCGAATGGTGTTGTTTAAATAGTAGGTGAAATCTAAATGAATCATTTTCAGGAACTGCTAGTGATTCTCTCGCTTATCATCATGACCTGCCATGGAGCACTCACGATCAAGATAATGATGCAGTCGCGGAAAATTGCGCCAAGACGAAGCACGGAGCCTGGTGGTATCGCCGTTGCTATGCCTCCAACCTAAATGGCCTCTATTATCGAGAACAGCACTCTTCCGAAGACGGAGTGGTCTGGTATTACTGGAGGGAAAATTTCGTGTCTCTGAAAAGAACAGAGATGAAAATAAGGCCAACGGATTTCTGACTTTCAAGTCTGAATTTGACGCTTCAGGGTATACCACGTCTGCTGAGCAGATTTCAGTTTTTCTCGTTTGATTGTTTGTTTGCCGGTTTCGCTTGTTAAGCTTAAGATTGTCACGCACATGCGCATCAATAGTTTTAAAGATTTGTGGCACTCGAGTAGGTTTCTATAGTGGATAATTTCTTCTCAAGGTCATTTCAGATCCGATTTAAAAATCCTAAAGTACGTGAGATGGATAAGGATTTTTATTGAGCTATTTTCTAAATTAAAACAGATCGTACCATCAGAAAGATTATTCAATCATCAGCAGTGAGGGATTTTTTTTTACTTAAACTTTCTAACGTATTACAATAGACACATTTGTGCATCTTTATGTTCAAAGGGATGATGCTTCCATTTCCTTTGTCTCCTTGATCATGGGAGCCATTTTGTTAAAAGACAAAATTGCTTTTAATGGAACGTTTCTACGTTTACCATTTAAAAAATGTAACTTAGAAGTTGTTCTTTTCTTGTGGTGTTGGGAGTTAAAGGGAAACGTGTTTTATTTGCTTATCACACTCCGCGAATGGGAAAATATATGTTAAGCGTCTCTTTCTGTCATAAAATAGTGTTTTTTTTAACTCATACATTACTTAAAGCTACTTCATATACTTCCGGTTCCCCTTTCTTATCGTAAATTCGGAGTGGAGAAATTGTTCTATTATTTTGACATTTGCCTTTTTCAGCGAGGTCCGTTTAATGATTGTAGATATAAGAAAATCATATATGTGCACCGCGGTGAAGAAAGGAATATAAGAGATCCTCGCAGCTATAAACACTACTGAACTAGTAGTTGAAATAAGACCTGAAAAAAATTCAGGCCCGCACGGGATTTGAACCCATGACCTCTGCGGTGCAGCGCTCTACCAACTGAGCTAACAAGCCAACTGGGAGTTGGTCAATATGTTGGGTCTAAATAAACTATCCAGGTGATGAATAGTAGGTAGGAAGGGTGGAATGGTGATAAGGGCCCTGAGCCTGTAATCCGGTAGTCCAGAGTTCAAGTTCTCCACTCTGCTACTTACTGGATTTTCTCTCGGTTCCCTTGAGTTCGACTCCTTAACTGCACTTTGTATATTGACAACTCGTCTACTCCAGCCAGTTGGAATTTTGATAGAAAATTTCTGTTTATAACATTTGTTTGTCCTACTAGTTTGTTGTCGTTTGTATTTGGCCCTGAAAGGCCCTATTGAGGGAGTGATAAATTAATGCAAATTATTATTATTATTATTGTTATTATTATAATTAATAATTCTTTTTTCAATATAATCACTAAAAATATTGACTAAAATTATGATAAAATCTTTGAAAAATTTGAAAAAATACATTAAAATGTCTAATAAAAATTCTAAAAAAACCAACGGATACACGTATCAGGTGTCAACACTTCCACGTTTATTTCCTGATGTATAATAATAATTATCACTATTATTATCAAAATTATTAATATTATTATAGCTATTATTTGCGCCAATCACAACAAAAAAAACTTGTCAACAATAGTGAAATGCACAATAAAAACATGAAACGTACTGTATTCCAATAGAAAGTGGTCTACGTTTGTTCTCTTAATGGGGCTTTGTCACGTTTTGTACACCTTTTAAAACAGACTAGGCCTGAAAACAAACTCAAAATCAATTTTTTTAACTTCATCATTAGTTATCAGTGTATATCTCGGCCTTTCCTGACTGAGCCTGCTCCTTTTTGGTTCAACGTTGGCTCTTGGGTCTCATTGTACGTTAGGATTCATATTGCAATATTTGTAGCTCACAACACTAAACACGTGCTCGCCCTTTTTTAATGTCAACAGTATGTACTTCCACTCCCTAAATGCACGGGGCATGAATTCTAATATATTACACTTATGTATTAGTGCACGTTAGGGGCGTAGCCAGTTTATCTATATTTCCTGGACCTACAATTTTTACTGCCCGCTTGACTTTTATAATATAACTCTTGCAAATGTTGAAACAAGAATTGAACTTACTTAGGGAGCAGGTCTACAACAAGTCGTTGACAGTGGCTACGCCCCTACAAGTTTTTTTTAAAAATTTTTTTCTAATTCCTTCCCACTCCATTTGAAATACACACAACACGGAAACATGCTGATTTTGTAAGGTCTCGCTCATTCCATCTCATTCGGCCCTCATAAAAGGATTTTTGTCCATTATTTTCCATAAAAGTGCGCGTAGGGCAATTAGTATTATAGCATTATCATACATTGGACATGTTAGACTTACTATCAAAACTCTGATTGGTCGACGGTATTCAGTCTTTATACAACAGCGTCTGAAGTTGACATGGTAAATTCGATGTCTGCAGCAGATATTGCATTTACTATGTCAAGTTCTAAAACTCATTAATAATTCATAGGTGTGATAATAAATAAAAAAAATGGCTAAATACGTCACGTGCATGAGTTTTGATACCCAATGAAAACAGAGATGAAAACCACACTTTTTTCGGATCACATATCAAACCACGCGTGGTTTTCATTTGTATTCTCAATGGACTTCAAAGTTTTTTTAGTTTCCAAGTCCCCCATCTTTATGGTATCCTCAAAGTTTTGCAAACTCAGATAGAAAAAATGTACGATAAAAAGTTTATTAAATTCAGTTTTCAAATGATATCACGAATTACCAAACCTAGTATTTTTGTTATCTGCGTCAGCTTTCGGCTTCGGCAAGAATATCCGATGATTGCTTTATGTTATGAAACCCATACTGTTGCGTGAAGCACCCATATTGATGTTTCATCTGCCTGGGAATTAAAGGGAAACGAAAATGCGTTTCCTGTATTAAAAAGGAGCCTTGATTGTGCTCTGTTCTGTTGTAAATCACCTAGGAAGCGGCTAGAGCACTCAAGAAGTGGGGAGAAACACTCGACTACCTCTTGTGTTTCTTCCTACACTTCTTTCGTGACTGTGCTCTGTTCTGTTGTAAAGCACGCAGGAAGCGGTTCGAGCACGAAATAAGTGTAGGAAGAAATACAAGACATAGTTGAGTGTTTCTCCCCATTTCTTGAGTGCTCTAGCCGCTTCCTAGGTGCTTTAAAACAGAACAGAGCGCAATCAAGGCTTTTCTATTTGTTTTATAATAAAGAAACCGTTAAATTGTCCTCGCATTACTTTCAATTTTCAAAACAAAGTTTATTTCCAAAGCGAGCAACAGTGTCGTTAGCATGCTCCATACTCTCATAAAGCACGCTACAATAAGCCAATTAGAATCCCTGTTAGAATGGCTCGAATAATCTGATTGGCTGTACAAGACTAAAGTTGTCAAAAATGTCAAACCATCAAAGTTAAAAAACCATCAGAGTTAAAAAACCATCAAAGTTCAAAAACCATCAAAGTTCACATTCTGCAGTAGTTTACAAACTTAACAGTTCGGCAGGTCGAATTTAACATGATGCTTTTCAGTCTCTAACACAGAATCTGAAAGTGAAATGTTCAGTGAAATCCGGCCGAATTGTGGCTTATAATTATAACAACACGCAAGTTTTTTCAAGTGACAATCAGAAAAAAAGCTGTTCAAGCGTATGTTTTATGAATGAACGACAGCTGAATTTACCGAAACATGAAGATTTCTCGGGATGAAAGCGCCGTAAAACTCGACTGACCGGCAGTGACTGATGTGGCCTTCCACTCAACACATCGGAAAGGATATCAGAGCAAGCTCCTAGTTGTTCTCTCGAAGGGCGGCCTATGTAATTTGTGAGGCTTACTTGACTGCGATGACTGGTGATCGTCATGATGAGCTAGCCGCGTTGGACCTCAGCATGATCGCGGTCGCTCTGACACTGTCATGATTAGTATGCATTTTAACAGTTATGCCAGTTCGGCTATATTTTCATCATTCCTGTTTTGTTCTCTTTTGTTTTTCAACACGAAACTATATATACTACACGAATGTTAGCTGTGTTTGATTTTTATTATCGTACGTAAGCTTGCAATCTGAACTGAGTGTGAAAACCTTAAGAACTTGGACTGTTCATTTCGTTTTCTCTTTGAGGATTTTCGTCTCTGCTCACGTTATAATAACGTCGATTACGGCGCCTGGCATGTTCACGAACCTTTGTTTGGTTCTTCTGTTGCTATTTGCCGACTCGCCTGTTCCGAAATTTCGCTTTCAATTAAAGGAAAAAAATTAGAGAAAAGTCCCGGAAAAGGTCGGACATAGAACATTTTGGTAGATGGCCTAACAGCTTTAGCTCGGCTCTCTGCTCTATTTAACAAATAGATTCCAAGTTGCCGTGCGTCTGTTCAGTAATAGATCACAGATGACTTCAAAATGTGGTAAGAACAAAAAAGTGGTATAAAAGTGGTATAAAAATAAAGAAAATATTCTGATGCATCTAAAATTCAGTTTTACAGGTTACTTTGCAATATTATCCGTCCTCTGCGATGTTCCTTAGTAAAGGATTCTGAACTTGATTAATAAGTAGATTGTTCAATGGGGCAAGAAATTTAATTACTCAATAACTTAAACGACATATTACATAAATAAGGAAAAAGTGAATTTTTTTATCGAATGCTTGCACTCTTACCGACGACAATTGTAGATAAAGTTTGAAACCTGATAAAACTCTGGAGTATTCATTATCTTAAGCTGTCTTTTAATTCTTGTGCGTGACTTTTGAATTGTTTAAGCTGTCAATAATTGAAATGTTTCCTCAAGATGTTCTGCAATGCTAGAAATTTCAAATTGAGGTAAATTTATAATGTGTTATTTCTTGCCTAAGGAGAAACTCTGTGTTAACTTATCATCAAGATTTTCTTCCTTTAACAGATGATGAAAATCAGAACATCATTTTAAAGAATCTAATTCCAAACATGGCACTCAAAAATTACGTGATCAAGCGTACTAAGGTACTTAATTAAGGGAGCTGCAGAGTGATGTGTTATATGGAGCCTAACTGTGTGTCCATCAATTTAGAGGACCTTTAGAGGGAGGGAAACATATGTGCGAATCAAACAACGTTTCAGATGAAAGTCAGTTCAGCGGCTTCTTCCTTGAGGATAGCTGTCTTATATCTTTCTGGCCATCGAGGTAAGACTTGCATCGTACCGTTTTTTATGTCGGTAGGTCAGTTTATCGATCTTTGATTTGCACTCTATCTCCTTTGATTTCTACCGTAACAAAATCCCTGCAGCAGCAGCAGCCCTTGTTTGAGGAATGGCACCTGTCAAGCTGGATATACCAGTAAAGGTTTTCGCTGTCTCTGTCGCACAGGATTTACTGGAGAGAGTTGTTGGTTAGGTACCTATAAAAAATTCTCTTTTCGTTGCTTCAATTAAATAATTTCAAAATATGTACTCGAGAAATTGTGATTTTCTTATGCATGCTAACTTAGTTTCTTATACTCTTGTCTTTACATGTTTTTGTTGTATCAGTTTGCAGAAATTGTGCCGAAATTTTCAAGTCCGGAGGAAAAAGAGACGGCTTTTACGCCATTAGACCAAATGGTTTGTCCTCCTTTGATGTATTCTGTGACCAAACAAAAGCCGGTGGAGGACGGATGGTGTTTCAAAAGAGATTTGAGGGTTCGGTTGATTTCTACCTCAGCTGGAACGACTACAAATATGGCTTTGGCGACGTGAATGGTGAATTTTGGTTGGGACTGGAGAAGATTCACGCCCTGACCTCAGATGACAACAACATGCTGCGTGTAGACTTGGAAGACTTTGGAGGGAATACTCGATATGATGAGTATAACATGTTTGGTGTCACGAGTGAGAATGACAAGTGCAAGCTCAACCTTGGCTCATACTCGTGTAATATAGTGAAGTTTTCACCACCAACAACCCATAAACGAATTATTAACGTTATTGGCATAACCAAGGAGTTGAACAGAACGACTCTACCTTCTCCATGTAAACGTTTCTGTTTGCTTCAACTATTAGTGAGTGAGGAGAGCGCAAAGTAAATGGTTACACATTAGGGTTGAACTGAATCAATCTCCGTTAAAAATAGGTTTTTTTTCTTGGGATCTTCCCCATCAGGTTCTAAGGTATTGTGCTGAGGTATATTGACTGGTATAATCCATCAAATATCTTTGCACGCGCGATTGGTCGAAACACTTCATGTGACCGAATATACTCCAAGTGATATTCCCCAATTTTCAAAGTTGTCCGAAGGGTGTTTAGCGCTAACCCAGGGTTAAAATTTTGTTCAAGTTTCTCTATCCTTTTGTTTGAAAGTCTTTCTCTAATAATTTTCTCTCTTCTTTGAAGGGCATCCAGTCATCATATTGTGGACAAAAATAATTGTACTGAATTTCTTTTAGAGCTTTCAGATCTTAAGCTAGATATCACACTAACCCTGAGTGATCTCAACCAGGCTTTGAACAACCAGGCCTAATGAAACAATATCCAACTCGTTATTGTTGCACGGACTGCAAACATTGACTTACTGCCTTTAATTCGAGAAAATTAATCATCGGTATGTGGATGAGAGTTCTCGTTGAACTACATCAGATTTCGTGCAAAGTAGAAATTCTGATATACCTAATAGACACCAAAACCTTAAGACATGTCAGTTCGCGAGCACTTAAAAGGGCCTGCATAAATCCCTGTAAATTAAGCGTCTAAATCAGAGAAGGTTTACAATAGAGAAGAGATCAGTCCAGTTAAAAAAAGTATCGTTGGATAAATCGCTCATGCTCCCATTCTGTTATCTGCTGTCGAAAACTAAAGGCATGACTATCTCCATGGTACAACACATTTAACCCAACTGTTGTAAAGGGGTTTGCAACATAATTTAGCGAGTAGAACCAGTCTCCAGAAACGGAAGTGCATGTTTGTCTTGGTTGGGAAGGCCTGGTACAAAGGTACGCTTGGGAAACGGTCTCAAAAATCTAGACTGAGACGCTTCAGAAATACTATTTAAGCATTCCTTGAGGTGTTCAGCATCAGTTTAAGGTTACTTCCCACCTTCAGAAGCCGAAAATCGATTTTTCTTTTATTTGACTAAACTGAATTCAAACATTCAACCTAACGTTTCCATAAAAAAATATCTGAAGTCTTAAAACGTACCCGAGTTATTTAGAAAAACGTATTTTCAAGTAAAAGTTAATAAATCAGGAAGGTGTCATAATCTCGGACCTGGGCGAGTCCCTTGGGGGAACTTTTTGCGGCAACCGCTCATGTTGGGGCTCGATTTTCATCTTATTTCCATATTTTTTGATATCGCACACTTCACAAAATTTAAACGTGGAAGCTCTTTGTTCATTGAAAAATCTTTGTTCATGGAAAAATCTTTGCTCGTGGAAAAATCAAAAGCGGAAGAAAGTCCTTGGGAAAATATAAGAAAAAAAAATACAGGCCTTAAGAAGAAAGAAAGGGTGCCATTCTGTAAAGAAAAGAAAAAAAAATCCCTTTGTGAAAGTGACTGGTACTGGCGGAGCCCACGCTGGTGTCCAGATTTCGAACAAAGAAGTCACCGTCAAACCCAAATTTGCTATACATGGTGGTCATTATTGTGTCGTCCTCCTCAACCCTTTACCGAGCGATCGAGATTAAAATAAAGCGTGTCTGCAATGGGTTACTTTTCCCAGGAGATCTTGATCCATCGTCATTGACGCTAGGAGGTTCCGTTGTCTTATTGGTTAGCGGTTTCATGAGGCGAGATAATTCCTGGCGTGGCGCGAGTTGTTTGCGGAAAAGTCGCTTAAATTAAATTTTTATCGTAAACTACATTAATTAAGCTTTCTTCTGATATATAGTTTGCTAGGATTTTAGTGAAAGAAGCGCGCGTACGAATTTTTTCCCGATGGACACCCGCGAAGGTGGGAAGTAACCTTAAAGATCGGCGAGTTGATTCTCATCACCGATTAAATGGTAAAGGAGAAGAGGTAACGGTGGCCTGCAGGGCAGGCGTCTTGTGAGTGCGAGCTAACGTTATAAGGTCGCGATTCTTTATCCGACCAGCCATGTTTGATTTGGGGTTAGAGTGGACGGTGGGGGTAGGAGAAGAGGGAAGGGCGCCTGCTCGAAGAGACAAAACACCCCCTGGTTAGTTGCGCGTCACTGCATTTCCGGAAATGAACAGGTAAAGTTAAAGTTAATCAAGTTAAAAACCGGAAGCTCTCTCTCTTCCGTCAAAAACAAACACAGAGCCGATTAGTGAAACGGTGAGGCAGTTTTTTTCCAGCCAGAAAAGAAATGGCTTGGACAAATCCTCCTCCGCGATCACAAATATGAACAGATGTTTGCTGCACTCTATATTTTCCAAACGAAAATCCTTGAGTATAGCTGCCGTTAATCTATTTAATAATTTTCTTTTTTCTTTCATTTGATCATACACTATACTTTGAAGCAACAAACAACATCATTTGATGGTTTACCCGCCATGATGCAAACCGGCTTACTCTGGTGAAACGGTGTGGCTGTTTTTTTCATCAACAAAAAAAATGGCTTCACCAAAACGTTCTCTGCTGACGCAAATATGATTTGAAATTTGTCGCACTCTTTATCCTCCAAATGACAATCCGCGAGCGTACCTACCGTTAATATGATCGAAGATGCTTATTCTATTTGATCATCAACAATACATTGAAGCGGACAAACGACAGCTCCGCTCGAAGGTTCCCGTCATAATTTCTTTTATAGGAACCAACACCTGAAATATCAGGCTTTTCCAAAAGCCAGTTGGCAACATGGCTAGTAAATCCTTTCCAGAAACCAGTATAGAAATTGCTTCTTTTTGTCCCGATTTTATTGCGCGAGACATATTAAATTCCGAAAGACACTTAAGTGCTTCCTCGAGAGCGGAATCGAAACTAATAACTTCACAATCAGAGTTTGCCATCATTCTCCTCCTCCTACAAGAGCGAAATGTCAGGATGACACTCAAATGACTTATTTGGCTTGTGATTGACAGCTGGAGCTTCACCGCACCAATCAGGAACTCCGTTCCTGGGCGAGCGGAGTTTTGCAAAATAACGATGACTTGGGGTAGGCGTAATCTTCACTCCTCCATCCTCGTCCCTCTCCTTATTTTTGATCGTCGACCGCCCCCCTGGTGCCAATTTCTTGCTCTCCCCAGCCTTCTGATGCCATGAAAATCAAAGATGGCGGTCATAATTTTCGTTAAGAAATACTGAGCACACGCTTGCCAAAATTACGCCAGCTCTGCAAACTTAGTTGACGGTTACGAAACAACACTTGGCAAATGTTTGTTCTGATATACGTGCAACAGTGTTGTGTTCTGAAAGTCCTTTATGGGTAGGAGAACATTTAATATAGTAATCTAATGAGAGAATTTTTTGCCTTGACGAGAATAGCTTGTCACTGTTTGAAAACTTTTAAATTATAATAAACAAAGCTTTTCTTTAAAAAACAGCCGCACTAACTGACAGAGTCAAAGCGGCAGACTCGTGAGACTTTCAACTAAAAACTGTTTGACACCCTTACTTAGCAGGGGCATTGACAACGCTTAGAATACTGATTGAATCAATTCATATAAACCAGATGTTTAAAAAAATTGACCTTCCCAAGGAATCACCTGGTTTTCACTGAGTTTATACAAAATAAGACGCAGCCTGATATCATTATAAATAAGGAATCAATAGTCACGTCTGGACCTAAATCCATGACAAACTTTACAGTCTTATTCACTTCTTCTGTATACTCTCTTAAGGTGTAGTCTTTCTTCTTTTTTCAGGTACGTCTATAATTTATAACATTTCAAGTTTTTTCGCTTTGTCTTTTTGTTTTTTACAAAACTGGAACTATTTCTTCACTTGAGTCAATGTTTGGCTTTATTTTGATTACGTATTAGATGGATTAAGAGGTAAAAGGTCGACGGAGGTGTCTTGTTTTTACTTGCTGATGGGTATTGTGGCTACTGGAAAACAATGCAGACAAGAAAGGAGCATAAATAGATTGGCTCTTCAGGGATTTGTTTTCAAAACGTTCTTAGTAACCGCCATCCATGAGTGTGATACAGTTAATGGGAGTTACAGTTACGTAATCGGAGAAAAGTCCTGTGAATTGAATAACCGGACCAAGGAAGCAAGACCTGAGAATTTCCTTCGAGACCCTTCACGGTTTTACCATAAACGTTTGGTAGACAGGGGTATGTAATATATGAGAATTCAATCGTTGTTACGAAATGGGTATTTATTTATTTGTTTCATTCTTCTTCTTTTTTTTACAAAACTGGATCAGATTGATGTCGATTAACCTCGTTAGTCCGCAAATCTTTCAAACCATTTTATGTCCCACTATATTTAATTAAAACAACTCGAACTGGTATTGAGCTATCGGCTACCTTCAAAAGGCTAATAACGATCAAACCTTGAAAGATCATATGATAGTTTTGAATCTTTTGCGCCTGATTTTTGAGTTTTTTCCTTTGCGTTACCCAAAGAAGTAATTTATGGTAGAACATAATCACAGAAATTAGCGCACAATCTGTTCTAATTTTTAGTCGATTTGAACTACAAATGATTGCTAATGAATAACGGTCGTTGTCATCAAGAGAGTTCCTTACTTATTATTCCTCAGTGCTACCAAAGTTCGTGGGAATGCCGTGAAAATTTGAGGGTAATTATCATAGAATAGCAACGATACCATGTCATCTGATATCTTTGTAACATATTTCATCTGATTTTTGAGGTTTTTTTTTTATTGTGTGTTGATACCCATAGAAGTAATTGAACATAATCGCAGAAATTATTGCACAATTCGTTATTTGATATAATGACATGAGTTTCAAACTAACACAACGTTAACACCTTCACGAGAGAAATTAAATTCGACTTTGACTTTACTGTGGTGCAATAATAAGTTTGTGTTTCAGGGAATCGATAGGTTTGATTATGAAAGAAGTAGTGACCTGAAGAACTCGTCGGTAATTTCTATTATTTCTCCGCTTGAGTTAATGTTTGGCTTTATTTCGATTATGTAGGGGATGAATTAAGAAGTAAAATGTCGAGGATGGTGTCTTGTTTTTACTTCGTTGGCTTCTTGATGGCATTGTGGCTACTGGCAAACAATGCAGACAAGAAAGGAGCATAAGTGGATGGGCTCTGCAGGGATTTGTTTTCAAAACGTTCTCAGTAACCGCCATCCATGAGTGTGATATGAGTTGTGAAAGAGAAATCACCTGCCAAAGTTACAACTACGTAATCGGAGAAAAGTCCTGTGAATTTCCTTCGAGACCCTTCACGGTTTTACCATAAACGTTTGGTAGACAGGGGTATGTAATTTTATGAGAATTATTTATTTATTTGTTTGACATCAAGTAGAAACCAATTAAACCTTGGATTAGAATAATTTTCACATCTATCCAGCGGTCACCTCTGTTAAGTAATTAGCATTCTTGAGCAAGTTTTTGTACATTAAGTGGTCAATTAAGGCATCAAATATCGATTTTTGTGGTTATTTTAAAATTCTCTCACTATTCTCTGGAACATGTCCTTAGCGGTCAGCCTATATTTAGCGGTCACCCCTACATTCCTGGTGGGTGACCGCTTATTACAGGTTGGACTGCAGTTCTTTCATCTGCACAGAAGGGTAAATCGAAAATTAACATGTCAAAAATGTCGAGGAATTCACTTTTCATAAAAGTTGAAAAACAACAACTGTGACCAAATCCTTATTCTTTTGAGCATTTTTTCCTTATAAACCCTTGATATGCATAAAAGTCCTGATGCAATTCATAGAGTCCTACAGATATCGACTACAGGGGAAGAATTCAGTTCAAGTTATTCGAGAATCATTGAGCTTTGGAGCAACAACTGATCTCAGAATGTTTCAAAACTGTCAATGCATTGTTTGTTTCTTTGCTTTCTTTCCATCACAGCTGCTTTGGGATCAATTCCTAAGCTGCCCGCAAGGTCTTGCTGGGAAATAAAGGCGAGTGAGGGATTAGACGCCATCAGCAAGAAATATTGGTTGGATCCACTTGGAACTGGAGAGTATGTCTTTGAGGTATTTTGTGATCAAAAGACATCCAGTGGAGGATGGACTGTATTCCAGAGGAGAGTGGACGGCTCGGTTGATTTCTTCCTTGACTGGACTGACTACAAGCATGGCTTCGGTAATTTGAGTGGTGAGTTTTGGCTCGGACTGGACAAGATTCACCGTCTGATCTCTGATCATAACAACGTGCTACGTGTGGACCTTGAAGACTTTGAAGGGAATACTGCTTATGCTGAGTATAATATGTTTGGTGTTATGAGCGAGGAAAACAAGTACAAGCTGATTCTTGGTGCCTGCTCAGGTAAGAAAAAATGTTCTGCTTGCAAGGAGAGTGGAGGTTGGAAAATAAGTAAAGTGGAAGGTACCTAGATTCTGTTACGATGAATCATACTTATGTGCCGATAAATTCAAAGCTTCATCATCCCCACCGGGCACTTCATGGGCGTTAGATTGTCATTCGTACCTGGGGGAGTGGAAATTTGAACAGGAAGTTTCAAGTCTTTCCAGCGGAATACAAGTGTCTTATTTTTTAATATGGAGGTATTTAAAGGTAAAGAGTTCACTTTCACAAGCGAATGGCTCAGAAGGAGAGGTCTACAAGGTCCGGGCTTTAAAGCCTGGTTAACGTATAGAAAGAAAGGGTCGCTAATTTGTTTCTCGACAAACAAATTTGATGAATTAGGTGATGATTTCTTTTCAAAGAGTCGTCAACAACACTATTATTGAATGGATTAATAAGATTTTTCAAGATCAATTATGTTTACCTCATTGAAAATGTTCTCAATAGGGTGGTGACTTTTACGGCTAACGGTTAAAATTTTTGCAAATTTAAGGCTAACGGTTCATATCTTTTCATTGTGGCTACCAAAAAAAAACTTTACGGTTAATTTTTTTACGACTAACAGTTCAAATTTGTATGATTGTTTCGCCTAACGGCTAAATTTTTTGGCCGATAACTGACACCAGGTTAATTCCATCGAGACCCTCATTGAACGGCTGATCGTAAGTCAGTAAAATTATGAATTTGAATTTCGTCATGTATACGGAAACGTTGATGACATTAATTATTTTGTAAGAATATGCTTATGATCTTTTCTCTTTTATCATCGTATCTGACCGTGGAGTCAAGATCAAGATAATGAGTTCAATTATACACCCGCCATTGTGTTTAAATACTCGCTGATGAGATTATGCTTATTATGACTAATAAAGTACAGTGACATACTTGTGACATAACGGCTTACATGGGGGGTCACAGGCACGCCAGGACACCACCCCCTCCCCCTTTAGCTACGCGATTGTCTCAATAATCAGCAAAATGGAAGATGACACATTTAGGATCCATCCATCTAGATGTTAGTAAGTTCTGAAGTTTCCTGATTCTTGCTAACGATTCACTTCTGGGTGAATGACGTTTCATTCGATTTGTTTCACAAATGATCAAAAATGAATAACGTTCTATGTGTAAAGAAGTACTATAATTTGTTGTTCGTTGGTTTTATTTTGAGTTTTTCATTATTTTAATTTTCAAATGCCATACAGGAGTAGGGTAAATATAAATGATTAGCAAGAAGAGTGAGTAGAAGAATTAATCCACCGTTTTAGAAATAGCAGAAGTTAATTTTTATAGAATGGATCATTTATTGATACGGCACATGTCCATAATTTCCTAAGTTTAATGAGCACTGCTGAGCATTTAATTGCGACTGTTTTAATTTTTAGTCGATTTTTACTACAAATGATCGCCAATAAATGGCGGTCATTGTAATCAAGAAGGCTCATTAGTTTTAGTCCTCAGTGCTACCTACCTAAGTTCGCGGGAATACCGTGAAAACTTAAGGGTAATTATCATAGAACGGCAACAATAACATGTCGCCTGATATCTGTGTAGAGGTTTCTCTTGATAAAGGAGAAAAGTGAGAAAACGAAGGAATCGTTTGCAGTGTTAAATCAACATTGTAGAAAGGCGAAAAACTCAATTTGCGTTCTGATATAAATCGTAACTATAATGATGATTATAAAACATTAATAACAATGATTATGCTACCATAATGGTGATGATGATGATGATGATGATGGCAATGTTAACGATGGTAATGATAATTACATTGTTACTTGACGCCAAAGATCTGTATTCTATACTGAAAAGTATCTCTGTATTTGTTGATTTTTAATCATGTCAGGCACTGCGGGTGACTCACTCAGCCGTGAACGAGGCCAGCCATTTACCACCAAAGACAACGATAACAATGGTTCTGTAAATAACTGTGCCACGGAATCCAAAGGAGCCTGGTGGTACCAGTCATGTCATTACTCCAACCTGAATGGCCTGTACCATCATGGACAGCACTCCTTCGCAGGTGATGGTGTGAATTGGTATCACTGGAAAGGATATCGATACTCTTTGAAGAGGACCGAGATGAAATTTAAGCCAGTGGATTTCTGAACTGTTATTTCCTTACATAGTTCAACTAGATGTCTAAAAGATTTAGCTGTCTTTTTGTCAGCTGTCCTCTGCACCTAGTAATGCTGTGTTTTTTTTTTCGGTTACGAACTGATACCTTGAATATTTACTGTTTGCGCATGCAGTCGTCGCTGTTACAACCACATAAATAGTAGGGGAAAAAATTAACGATAGAGCGAGATTCCAAAAACATGAACAGTCTATTTGCAGATAATGGATTTGAACATTTAGTCATAGAGCTACAGATGTTCGGCTGTCTTGCCTGGTGCCTCATGTATTTCATCTTATTTTTAGCATTTATGATTTAGATTCAAATATTCAAACAAGAGCAAACCGAGACTTCAACTTGAAACATTTGTTCTCAAAAAAGGAAAAAAATTTATAATGCTATAATGCACTTTGCGGTGCACAATTTATGATGTGTGTTTTCCATACTTGTTTCTTAAGTAGCTCTGATAAGTAAATGTCTCAAAAATTTCTCCATTGCATGGAACGATGGGAATCTTAGTTGACAGTGGCCCATCGCCTTTCAGCAGTGAGATCTTAGCCGCACTACCTAAACGAGAAGAGTGAGCCACTAAACTACTAAGGCAAATAATTTTCAGTGGACTCTCTGTAAGAACCAGCGAATAATGTTGTTCAAACACAAGAATTTTTTAATAAAGAATTGGGGGGGGGGGGGGTCAAGTTAAAAGTCGTGTGACTCACAAACTAACTACATTATTAAACTCATTGATACGAAGACAATGTGTGGGCTCAAACAAATTAATTGCACTTAGTTGCCTCAAAACATAAGCATTAAGGACATATGAAAGCTGAACAGGTTGAAAATGCTTTTGTTAACAAACTCCTTTCATAGCGGGGTTAAGTTTAATGTTTTGTGTTCAGTGGTAGCTTAATACAACGGCCACCAAAAAAATTGATACATTAGAATAAAATATTCAGTAACACTGTGATGCAGATTGCTTGTAACTATTATTCTCATTGCAATACCATTATTTTCCTTGATAAGCCTAAATACGGAAAAAAATCGCCTGGGAAATCATTTTTCAAGCGATAAAAAGAAAAAAAGACCAACATTTATCCGGCAACGATTATCATCTCAAAAATTTTTGTCACCAGAATCGTGATAACTATGTGTTGTTAGACGACGAAGCAAAAATAAATAAATAAAAAAAAAGATCAGATTTGAACACCTGCTTTTTAAAGAATGATTAGTTTTCGAATTTACGAGGAAACAGGTATTTTAGTTATTCGTTGAAGACACAAATATGATCACACTATCATATTTTTTGGATGAATCATGATATTTCTAGGAAGTGGCAATGCAGCTTAAACTTGTTTTTGCAGGTATGTTTAACTTTCTCTATGCTTTACTTTGAATAACTTTCCCGCCGTGCTTCTGCATTGGTAAGTATAATTCCCCTTTTAAATTTCTTTCCTGTCATTTTTGTGGCGCCGGTCCCAACATTCCGTTCTCTTTGTTCCATTGTAATGAAAACGACCAGCTTTGGGAGCTTCTGGTTTATTGAATCAATTAAATTAGAGAAATCTCTTCTAGTCTCTGGTTTGGTACGAAACATTTACAGTTGTAATCAACAGCGCTTGCCTCAGGAGACCAGTTCTAATTAAAAACTAAAAGCTGTAAATGCGCATATTTACAAACTTCTTATCTCCGTTTTCACCTAAGCCTTCATGGTCTTCAAACCATGCCCATTAAAGAATAAAAGCCAAGACTAGAATATGAAAATCACAGATGCAGCGGAGGGATCGTCTTATGATCATTTCTTTGAGAATAATTCCGTAATTTCTCTCTATATTTATCATAGACTGGTGAACTCACTGACGCAGAAGATAAATATTTGATGAGAAAAAACCTCTCAACTTTAGAATTTTGTTGTCAAGTGGTTAAAGTGAAAATTGCATTTTAGAACGAACACATTCGCTAACGAAATCGACACTTTATGGAAAACGTAATTGTGTGCATCTTAAATTCGGGGTAATGAAGCGTTCATTGAAGACTACACAACTCATAGATTGAAACTGAACTCATGATTAACAAAGATATATTCTAAGTGTATCTGACAACAGGCATTTTAATCATTTGTGGACTACTGAGTTTGGCATAATATAGATAATAATTGTGATACTTACATTTAATTTTATAGCGATGGAGCTCAAACCTGACCTTGCTGCCATGATGGGTATTCTCTTTATTTTACTTGGAATAACTTTCCTTCCGTGTTTCTGTTGCATGGGTGAGTATAATTTCGTCTTAAATTCAAGCTCTTTCACTATAACTTTTTGATCCAAACCATCCGAAGGTCTGAGCTCCGATTCCTCATGGGGACTCAGAATTTTTTCTTTGACCTACGCTCACGAGAAGACGAAAAACATCTTATTTCTTTATTGGGCTCAAAACTTACCATCTCCCTTATTCTTTTTACACAACTTTCTGATGTTTAAATTATTTTCCCCGAAAAGTTTCTTAAAATTTCGGGAGTCATTAACTACTCCGCAAAATCGAACTTTGGGAAAACCAGATTCGTGCCATAGAAAGGTTGCCCTCTCTGAATCTCTAAATGATTTATTCTCGTCCCTTTTTGAGCTTAGGACCATACCATATTCCAGACAGCTTTTGGATTAAAGCAGTCGATATCAGCGATATGTGTAATAAAGAATTGATTCACTCTAGGCGTGCGTATGTCGAGTTATGCGTGCACTTGGGAAATTTGGAGAGCACGAGAGAAGAGTATTAATTGCTCGAGGCGCAACCGAGAGCAAATCTAGCTTCTTGAGGCAAGAACTACCCCCTGGCTAGACAACTCTAGCTTCTTGAGGTTCTTACGGTAAAAACGAACACGAATTTATTTTATGTACGAGATTTTAGTATTTGATCTACCATACTTAAATGTTTGTTTACTAGAATTTACGGCCAGAATGTTATGTAGCTTTGTGTTGAAAATTCTGAAACTGCACGCTTTTTTAGAACACAATCTTCTATTGAACAGTACTGTTAGGAAAATCAATACTTACGCACGTAGATATTGAATTTCTCTTCGAGTGTTTAACTCGATAGCTCACGAATGAGCGCAGCGAACGAGTGAGGTGTCGAGTTGAACGCGAGAAGAGAAATTCCATATCTACAAGTAACCATTTATTGTTTTGTGTATTATATAAACACAATAGCCCTTTACTAGGAAGAAAAGCCGACTTCATTGATGAGTGAAAATAAATGAATCGACAATCCCCAAATAACAATCGTAAAGTGCGTTGGCGCTGACTCTTAAGATGGAAAAATGCGTTGAATCATGATTATAAAAAACAACAATGGTCGTAATTTTCAATTTGCAAAATTCTCATTTATTTACTTTGTCCTTACCGACAGAAAAAGGTGTTTCAGGTAAACGGCCAAAATCGGCCAGTGGCAAATCTTCCAATTGTCCATTTTCATTCTCAGACGTGAGAAATGCTAACACGAAAGCCATTGAATACGCAACTTTCGGTTTTTCTTTTAGTATATTGGTTTTCTTCCCTTTCTAGGAAAGTTTAAACCTTATTGTCTGCCAGCGATACGGATTTTTTTAGTGTTTTAGCCGCCATAATTTGAGAAAGCTCCGACAAACAATTTGTATTGAGAATCGTGAAGGCTTTGCTGTTCATTCATCAACCTGAACGAGTGGCGCCAAATAAAAATTATCACATAACCCAATTTTCAACTGTAGAAATTATATTAGACTCATTCAAGTTTTAACGTGATTGTGGCCTAAGTTGCCAAATAGAACGGCTTCTTGCGCCTTATTTCCCCAACAGATATAAGATACATCAATAATTTTCATTACTTTTGCCTTCTACAGATGGCGGTTTTCGCAACATCATATTCAGGGACCCAATACCAAACATGGTATTAAAAAATTACTCCATTAAAAGTTCAGAGGTACTCAGTGAAGGGAGCTGCAGAGTGATGTGCTATATGGATCCTAATTGTGTGTCCATCAATATTGGACCTTTAGACGAAGGAAAACACAAATGCGAGTTGAACAACGTCACGGAGGAAAACCATGCCCCATTTCTACTGGTGTATAAACCAGGCTACACATATCTTGCAATCGAGGTAACATTTATTTTTTTTTCTCCCAGAGGGTTCGGTAACGAATCCTGCCATCCGTTTAGTTACTAGTGCTTTCGACAGCGCGGTCCGCATTTTCCTATCTCTACTCACGGGCACCGTAACGCTTTCGTAAGTCGTCGAGAACATCCTTACCTTCTTTGCCGTTTTTAATTTTAATGACATATTAGATAGGTTGACATTAAAAATCTTTTGTAATTATTTTTGATCTTTCAAAAAAAGTTACTTAGAAAGTTAAAACGTGTGGTAGTTGCTTACAATTGAATTAATCGATACAATCTTCATTCATAAAATATGTGTAGGCCTACGGCCTCGGGTGACACTCATGCAAGAACCGCACGGTTTTTCTCAATCCGAAGCTTCCGGCTGGTGAATAACATATTTATATTCTCACCAAATTGAGGGGATTAAGACAAAGATGAAGTTGTTTCGTTTTCGATTATTCTTGATTGAGTTGCACGAAGCTCAGCTATTTTTGCTTTCCTCCTACAGAATCCCTGCAGCAGCAGTCCATGTTTGAACAATGGCACTTGTCAAGCTGGATTCACCAGCAAAGGTTTTTTTTGTGTCTGTCAGGATGGATTCATTGGGGAAAACTGCCAAAATTGTACTTGATAATGTTCAGTATAAAGTTAAATTAGCCAAAGTAAATGTCGTGTTAGCAAAAGGTAATCATTAGCCAAACATTATAACCTTAATGATGCTATTTTTTTCGCTGATTTTCAGTCGCAAGAAATTGCGCTGAAATCTACAGATCCGGCAAAAAGACTGACGGCGTGTACATAATTAAACCTTACGATTTGCCTGCCTTTGATGTATTCTGTGACCAAACGACGGAGGGTGGAGGATGGACTGTGTTCCAGAAGAGACTGGACGGCTCGGTTGATTTCTACCTTAAATGGGCCGACTACAAAAGTGGCTTTGGTGACTTGAATGGTGAATTTTGGCTTGGACTGGACAAGATTCACCGCCTGACTTTAGATAATAACAGCATGTTGCGTGTGGACTTGGAAGACTTTGAAGGGGAAACTCGTTATGCTGAGTATAACTTGTTTGGTGTTACAAGTGAGAAAGACAAGTACATGCTGATCCTCGGTGATTATTCAGGTAATGAAATAAGTTCCGTAATCTTTAGATCAGGCGGAGTGTTGGTGTCATAAACAGTGAGTAAGTCTCAACACAGTAAGACTTTGAAGGGAATAATCTTTCTGCTGAGTATAACACGTTTGGTGTCATGAGTGAGAAAGACAAGTTCAGGCTGATCCTCAGTTTCTATTCAGTTAAAACTGGGAAGAGGGACAGCGTCATAAACAATGTGTTAGTAACCTGTTTGGTATTAGCAGCTCTCGATGAAGAAAAATATTAATTACTTCAACATCACCCGAATGCAATTAGGGAGGGTGCATATTGTACATAGATTTAGTGTAAAGGTATTCACCGATAGACTAGAGACATCCTCTTAGACAAAGGAAAATATGGTCAGGCAAGTGAAACAAAAAGCGAGGATGGAACTTTCTCAGTTAACTGACCCATCCATGTTTGATAAGTATCGCATTTCAAATAGTTGTTTAACCAAACACAACAACAATCTCAAGTGGTTTCATGGAATAAAACTTCGTATTGACATTAGTTTGACAAGTATTGACATTTTCATTCAATACTTATATTGCTACATTGAATTGTAGGTTTTATTCAATACTGTCGATTTGAATGTCATGCGTAACTGTATGACACGATTTAATCCGTTAGGATCTGCTGGTGATTCTCTCTCTCATCATCGTGATCGGCCATGGAGCACACCGGATCAAGATAATGATGAGTGGAAGAACAACTGTGCAGAGTCGCGTCACGGAGCCTGGTGGTATGTTAGCTGCTACCACTCTAACCTGAATGGCAGATATCATCATAGAGCTGACTCCTTCAAAGCTTATGGCGTGATTTGGAGAGGCTGGGGGGGACAACAACACTTGCTGAAGAGGACCGAAATGAAATTGAGACCAATAGATTTCTGACTTTCATGACGCTTTACACTAAAACCGCCTTTTGCGGTTCACAGCGCAAGTATTACACAGTTGGAATCAGCAAAAAGCGAGTAATTCTATTTAATTTGTTTGTTTAGTAGTCTATGATAATGTTATTCCCTTCATCAATATCGTGTTTTAGGCCTCTACTTTATATCAAGTGGAATAAAACTATATAGTTTTAATTACTTTCTCTTTTGTGTTAGATTTCCTTTCTTCACATTTTTCACTCTTGGTGCTGGATGGTTGTCGCTTTAGCGTTTTTAAACTGAAAGTATTGATCAGTTCCGTAGAATGGCTCATTAAACTGATACGGCATCGTGAGATAACCTTAGATTACATTCGACCTGTTTTTGAGTTTTATGAGTATTTGTTGCAATTTGCTCGTAGTTGCATTACGGTAATAGATTTTTCACCACAAATTATAGCTGATGAAGAAGACTTTGTGTTCCAAGTCTGAGTTATCAAAAAGTCAGCGTGCCAGTGCCGAGGTCTGGTTCCACTTCTTTAGGTGAAAAGGGATGCTACTTTCTCTCTCGCACTAGAAGTTCAAATTTGTCAAAAACTGCCTCCTTATTTCAATTTCATTACGAAAAAGAAAGAACTCGGCTGCCTTCAGTCTTTCAAGATCGCTGTCTGTAAGTACAGTAAAAACTTCATTTTCCCCCTTAGAATAAAAGAGACTGTTTTTGATCTTTTGGCGTTCACATCGATCACACACATAATATCGGCCCACGTTAATATATAACATTGACTGTTTTATCAACACTTAGGCCAATATCTGTCTAGATAAAGAAGGCCTATAATTCGAAATAATTTCCTCGTATTGTATCACTACTCCGTGCCCGAGGTTTTCAGCGCTCTCCTTGAAAGGATTTTGTAAGTTTTGTAAGTAATGTGGAATAAGGAAGAAAGGAAAAATAAAAAATTCACTCTTTTGAAATTCAAGAATAAATTTGTGGACTGAAAACGGGGAAAAGCAGTGGGTAATTGAAATAAGGAAATCGTTTTTTTAGATTAATTGTTTATAATCCAGAAAAGATATTTTTCTGCAGTCGTTATCGATATCCACGCTATTTTTCTTAACTTCTTGCAGCAAAGTAAGGAGCGGAATAAATTGACGATAAACCATGCAAAAACAAGATCCCCCGACTTATTTCATTATTTTCACTGTCCATGAACTTTTTTTATGCGGGTTATTTAGACTCAAGCTTATTCCTTATCTGTTTAGTGCAAAATCGTAAATTGCGCGGAGAAGAAAACAGATCCCTGTGCACAGGTTTCGTTCAAAACTAGATCAATTTGAAGAATTTACACCAATGTGGCTCAACACGACCAATTTCTTTCAACCCACGCGAGCTTTCAACTTAAATATATTGCAATTTTTTTCTGTCTCGTGAATGTATCTCAGTATCTCAGGACACAGTCAAGCAGAATTTGCCGCGAATTGGCTACTGAAGTAAACAGCATTGCACAGTCTCTTGAAATTAGATATTTATATCATGTTTTCATTCAGAAAAAAGGGTTTTGAAAATCGCAATTTATCTGCCTTTCATTTGCATAAATTGAAATCTAAAATGACTAAAAATACTCATATTTATTTACTTTTTTTATTGGATGGTGATTTCTAGTCGGGTCTTCACCGAAACTATATGAAATGCTATGGCTAAGCCGATGTCACCGTTTTATTTACTTTTCTACCAATTATTAGTATCAGTAGATAAAAATAAGAGAGATGGTAAGCTTTGAGCTCGGTAAAGAAATAGAGAATGATGTTTTTTTCGTCTTGTCTTATATATATATATATATAATCAGTAACGGCAGCAATAAAGTTGTCAAAGCAACAGTTGTAAATTAAGATTTTTTCACCGACGATGATGTTTAATGTCATGTTTGAAATTCAAGATTTTTACCTGATATCCGCTGAATTGTGCTCTGTTTGCAAGACAACTTTTCACTTTGAATACGCAACCATTAAAAGAAAAGAAAGAGAGCCCATAACATGTCATTTACCTTGTTGTTTTAAAAATATAAGATGGGCTTTACACATTGAATTCTGGTTGAGTGGTTACTGATCCCTTGCTTAGTTTGAGTGGTTAACCATTTACACTCTTACATTGTCAGTCATATTCTCCAACCTGTTCTCTTTGCATTCCCTTGAATCCCATTTCTTATGGTACTAACAAGGAGAACTTGTTTCACAATCAGGAGCCTCTCAAATTGGAGATCATTTTCACTATTATCATGACCTTTACATTTGATCCAAGGGTGATACTGTAAGGAGAAAGTAGAAGCCAGTTGCTCTTCGAGGGGTTTAAGGGTTCACTGATGGAAACAGTGAATGATAACCGAAATGTAGCATTCTCATGGACTGTGCCTGAGATGGTGCTGTCAAATTATGCATTTGCTGAACAACAGCAAATACATAATATTTAGTTTGACGGTCATTGAGCCGTGGAAAGTTAGATTTGTGAAAAATACGAAAATTGTTTACAACTAAAGTACAGGCATACAATATTCGTACATTTGATGTGTTTCGGCTTTCATATATCAGCTTGTGTAACCGCGTGTGCCAGGTACACAAAGTTTAAGAGTTTGCTACACAAAGGTATAACGTAACTAGTGCCTAGATTCTATGTGCATACTAGGAGTAAAGATGTCATAACCCTATCTCAACAATCATAGCCTCCAAATCAGTTCTTGCTTCAATAATTGAGAAGAAGTGGTGCCCAACATTTTTGTGAACTGCTAAGTGAACTATTACCCCTTGCCAACCGGGTACTGTGGGAGGTATGGGACGGAGTCAACCCTGGATAATCCGACTCGGAATTGAGGAATTAATCAAACTCGATCGGACACCCGATTAGTGATGTTAATGTTGGTTGTTATAGGCCCTCGATTATTAATAATATTGGGTACGGCACTAAGTCGAAATCCACTTAGTAAATACAAGCATTGAAAATGATATCAAACACGGGAAATAACAGACAATGACGAAGTCAGTAAGAGGCCAACAGTAACGGACCCTGTTAATTGATTTCCGAAATTTGAACGGTATGTTACGCCATACAAAACCTCGGGCATGGAGTAGTGATGCAATACAAGGAAATTACTTCAATTCAGATGGATTGTTTGAAACTAGCAATGGCTGTCAACGTCCCGTTCTTTTCTTTAATTTCTCGATTCATCATTAGTACGCACGTGCGAGTCGTGACGTAGCCCCTTAACTCTTCCTTCGTCTTACGCTCATGTCAATTTAATATGTTTTTTTCTCACATTTTAATCTCTCTCAGTCGTTATTAGTGCAACCAAAAACACCAACTCAATCTCTGAAGTTTGATAAATTATATCCTAAGCGTATTCTTTATTGCACGCAAAGTGTACTTTCTTGCATGTTTATTTGTCGGTGATATTGCAACGAGTCCTCCTTTGTTATAAAAATAAATATAAATATATCTGTGACTTTGGACGCTCAAAGCATGTCGTGTGTCGTGTTGTATGCGTGTATAGCCACAAAATCCCGTGAAAGATCAAAATTTGTTTTTAAGTATTCAAATCCCAACCTCACGACCCTTTAAAAGTTTATTACAACCTTCTGTCCAAAGTCACAAGAAACTCTTTCTTTTTTGTTTCTGTGTACTACCCCCAACTATTCAAAAACAAAACCTCAGTCCTAAAGGTAATCTATTTGTTTCGTTATTTTCTTCTTTTATCAAATAACTGTGTGCATAATTTAGTAAACCTTTGTAAGGAAATCTCGCCGAAAAAGAAATCAGATAATACCTTTCTGAGGCCAACTGACGTCTTAGAAGAAAGCACTCCTGTTTCTTTTGTGCGAATCGCAAAACTTTGTTTAGCTTGCCCAGCTTGGGGTTTAAAAACCGTTAGTTCTGGAGGCTGGAGAGCTTCGTTGTGTGTAATAACACAGAGCAGTTACTCACGCAAAAGTTCTTGAATGTTGGATGCCACTGCTTCAAGGGGCGTTCCTTTAGGATCGATTTGCTTGAAACACGTTTGTGAGATCCGAAAGTTAAACTTAGTGCGCTGGAGTGCTTGGTAAGGAAATTTTCGTTATTCATTAAAACTTACGTTTCCTTTTTTTAGGGGTTATTTAGACTGCTGACGCTTATTCAGCTATAATCTTGTCTGAGCAAAATCGCAATTTTTTTGACGAGAAGAAAATGGATTCGCTGCCATAGACGTGCTCCATTGTCGTTCAAACTTAGTTCAATTCATTTCCCTTCAACCTGTGAGAGCGTCCGTTAGCAATGTTTACCCTTCGTATGATACCTTTGAACACAAATTCCAGTTTCAAAGAAGATCATTTTATGTGCACTCGTTAAAGTTTAGAATCTTCTGCAAGGAATCGCTTTATGTGTTGAGGAGTTAAACTTGCAAATGTGTGTTAACATGACCAATATTATTTATTTCAACCTCCGCAATCACTCTGTTTGAATTTTAATTTAATGTTTTGTCTTGTATATAGATCTCCCCATTCGAAACAATCAATCACAAACAAGCAGACTTCACCACAAAACGAAACAACATTGAGCAGTGTATTTGATATTTATATCACTCGGCATGTTTTTATTAGGCAAAGAGTTTTTGGAAAGTGCAATTAACTGCTTTTAAATTGTTGCTTCGAGTTACATGCCGAAAACACTCATATGTACTTAGTCTTTTTAATAGGTACAACGAGTTATATTTTCGTCTTCTCTCATACTGCATAAAATTTTGTCTGACCATAAGATGGAATCGATAGATTATATTAAAACATGTATAAGTCAATACCGGAGTACAGTTGAAATTTGATATAGCAATAGGTTAATTTCTCTCTTTTTTTGCCTTTTGTAGCAGTTAAAGATGAATATTTGATAAGAATAAGTCTCTACCTAAGACTTGGTTTTCAGCGGAGGAAAGGAATAAGCCCACCAGCCGATATTTCTAATCATATAACTGAACAAAGTAGTTGTCAATGAAAGAAGGTGATCATTAAGATATCCTTGGAAGAAGGCAAAGTCGAAGAATAAAACTGAAGACCTGCCACAGTTTTTGAATCACAGTTATCAACATGATCACGATCATATTTTGACTACAAGTTTTATATTTATAATTCATTTCTAGCGATGAAGCTAAAGCATCTCCTTCTCTTTGTTTTATTTGGTATTATGTTCCAATCATGTTCCTGTTGCACTGGTGAGTATAATTTATAATTTCTCTTTTAAATTTCTGGTGCTTTAATTTTCTAGCGTCGTTTCTACAAAAAGATTAGAAGAGCCGAAGGATACCAACTTAGAGATGTAAATAATTTCAAAGCATCAGAGTACAAAATATAGATTAGAACGAACGATTCACTGTTACAATTCACAGCACGAAAATAATCCCTATATAAACCTTAATATTTCCTTCCTCCTATTAACTCAGCCGCATGGATAAATTTTCCGATAAGGAACCTCTACCAGTTAGCATTTGATTCTCGAGTGATGATTAATTTTGTAAGGTTTTCATGCTACTGAGTTGTAAGGTATTAAAATAGGGTGTTGGTGAAAAGGCAGAAATTTGTTTCAATGATTGCAGAATAAACAATTTAGTTTAGTCCTCCTCCCTCCACCAGGTGATGATTGCCGAAACATCATATTTAGGGAGCCAATACCAGACATGGTGTTAAAAAATCACGTGATCAAGAGTGTTATGGTAACTGATGAAGGGAGCTGCAGAGTGATGTGTTATATGGAGCCTAGTTGTGTGTCCATCAATATTGGTCCATTTGACGGGGAAAAGCAAAAATGCGAGTTGAACAACGCAACGGAGGAAAACCATGCTCCATTTCTTCTCACTAATAAACCAGGTTACAATCATCTTGCAGTCGAGGTAACATTTTACATTCTTACGAAAATATTAGGAGACAGACACAGATAAGATGTTTTCATTTTAGAGTGTTGTTGTTATGAGTCATTGGCAAGAGTAAATTGCACGAAGCTACTTTGTTTCTACCAACAGAATCCATGCAGCAGCAGCCCATGTTTGAACAATGGCACCTGTTTAGCTGGATTCACCAATAAAGGTTTTCGTTGTGTTTGTCGTGATGGATTCACAGGGGAGAACTGCCAATTTCGAGGTATAACAACTTGCGTTTTCTTTCACTAAGTCTCTTGGGTTGATTGAACAACTGACGGTAAGGTGACTAACCAACTGTTTTAAAATCGGTTAATAGAAATATCTTCTGAAATCATACTTAAAAGCATATATGGGAATCTAGAAATTCATCACATTTGACTCCTTGGACAATCTACTATCCACTGAAGATAAATTAGAGAACGTATGATATTGAAACTCCGAATAGACACTATTAGTTTACTTAGACAAATAAAGTGTTTCTGGAACTTGTATCAACACAAATTGATTCTGCGTCGGAAAAAAATTAAATCAACAAAAGCATTATTAAAGGAGGAATCAAAACGCAGCCACTAACGGTGATAAAAGTAATAGCTATCATTTTTATAAATCTTGAACACTTGACTGTAAAAAAGAATTTTGAAATTAAAATAAAGGCATTATCAAAAGAGAAAACAAAACACAACTACTAACGGTGATAGAAAGAATAACTGTGTGTTTTTACAAATCTTGAACACTTCACTTTAAAAAGAAATGTTAAATTTGAATATATTTGGAAAGTAGAAAGAATCTAAGAACATATTTAGTAGACATGCCATGACATTTATAAGTTTTACAGAAATCAGTATCACGACAGACGGAGGGACTGATGGCATTAAACCCGACAATTTTCTCCTTGATTTCCATCTCTCCAGAAATATTGTATTGACATTTTCATTTAGAAGAATAGGCAAAGTTGAATACAGTTGAAAACTAGAAAGAATCGCGAGTTACATTCTTTGCATTTATATTGAGGAGACAAATCATGATTAATATAACACACTTTCAGCGAAAACCAGCGTCACCATAGACCGTGTGTATAGCATTAAACCCGACAATGTTTTCATTCATTTCGCAGCTTTTAAGAAAAATTGTGCTGAGATTTTCAATGCTGGGGAAAGAAGAGATGGTATGTATACCATTAAACCTGATAATCTGCCGGGCTTTGATGTATTCTGTGACCTAACAACAGCTGGTGGAGGGTGGACGGTGTTCCAGAAGAGACTGGATGGTTCGGTTGACTTCTACCTCAATTGGATGGACTATAAACACGGATTCGGAGATCTAAACGGTGAATTCTGGCTGGGACTGGACAAGATTCATCGCCTGACCTCTGATAATAACAACGTGCTGCGTGTAGACTTGGAAGACTTTGAAGGAAGTCATACCTATGCTGAGTATAAGATGTTTGGTGTCAAAAGTGAAAATGATAAGTACAAGCTAATCCTTGGTTCTTATTCAGGTAAATTATCATTCCGTCTCTTCTATTTTAGTCAATCTAAGAAGAAAGGGGGAGGACAGTGCTAAGTTATGTAAATATGCTAAACGTCTTTTACATCAATAGCTTTGGAAGACAAAAAAGAAACGTCAGCTCGTCGATATGCAATCCTGGACAGCGCATACCTGATGTTGTTTAGTCCAAAGGTATTCGCCAGTGGATCATGCGCAGATAACCTGACGAACTTATCCAACTCTGATGAGTGCCTCGGCAAACATATTTATTGACATTGTCATATCGAGCAATTCAGTCCCTTGAACCTTCGACATGAATCACAGACATTACTAAGAATACTTTTAATCCATATTATTAATGTTAAATTGATATACTTATTTGATATTTAAACATTTGTTCAGCCTTATGAACGGCTCATTGTTGGTTAAACGTAGTACTCATAATGCGGCTCATTTTTTCAGGGAATTCTGGTGACTCTCTTGCTGTACATCGCGGTATGCCATTCACCACTAGAGATCAAGATAATGATAAAGGTAATGATAATCATGGAGGTCTCAACTGCGCCATTAAGTTCAAAGGAGCCTGGTGGTACAAGAATTGTCACCGCTCAAATCTTAATGGTTTATATCTTCGTGGAAGTCATTCCTCCTTTGCTGATGGAGTGAACTGGAAAGACTGGAAAGGACATTATTACTCTCTAAAGAGAACCGAGATGAAAGTAAGACCAGTGGATTTCTGAACTGTCACGTTTATGGCACAATAATGATAAAGTATTAACTTCACAAAAAAACGAGTGTCTCGAATAATAATAGCTTAATTAATCTGTATAGCGGTACATTAAAAAAGCTCCTCATCATGGTTGAAAATTGACAGTTACTGATAGGTAGCTCTAAATAAAATGCTTCTTTAATCTTTTCTCAAAAACAGAAACTGATGGACTCAATTTTAAGGTCTATGGGTGAGACATTCTATTGCCTGGGGGCAGCGGCTGAAAAGACCCTGTCTCCATAAAATTTTAGGTGGGTCTTAGGTATTTACAAGAGTTATTGTTGAATCTCAATGGCTTGTATCATTATGGCCATCACGACTCCTATGCTCCTCCTGACTCGGTTATACAAGTTTTGATTATTTAAATTTTTGACTCGTATTTTCACTTAACAGAACACTAAGCGATCACACAGCCTTCATTTTTTCAAAGTCAATATCAGAAGAGTAAATCCCGTTCTTAATTCAGTTCTAGAAACTTCATCCTTTTTGTTTCTGTACTACCCCAACCATTCAAAAACAAAACCTCAGTCCTTAAAGTAATCTATTGGTTTCGTTATTTTCTTCTTTTATCAAATAACTGTGTGCATAATTTAGTACTTTAATTTAGTGTAAGGAAATCTTGCCTAAAAAGGAATCAGATAATGCCTTTGTGAGGCCAACTAACGTCTTAGAAGAAAGCACTCCCGATCCTTTTGTACGAATCGCAAAACTTTGTTTGTTAGCTTGCCTGGCTGAAGGTTTCAAAACCGTATGTTCCGTAGGCTGAAAAGCTTCGTTGTGTGTATTAACACAGAGCAGTTACTCACACAAAAGTTCATGATGTTGGATGCCACTGCTTCAAGGGGCGTTCCATTTTGATCAATTTGCGAAAAACTAGTTTGTGAGATCTGAAAGTTAAACTGAGTGCGTTGGAACGCATAATAAGGAAATTTTTGTCTCCTCTTAAAACTTACGTTTCCCCTTTTTTCGTGATTATTTAGAATGCTGACGGTTATTCAGCTATAATCTTGTCAGAGCAAAATCGCAAATTTTTCGACGAGAAGAAATTGGATTCGCAAGTTTATATTCGTAATTCATTTATAGCGATGAAGCTCAAGCATCGCCCTATCTTTGTTTTATTTGGTTTTATGTTCCAACCACGTTCCCGTTGCACAGGTGAGTATAATTTCTCTTTTAAATGTCTTGTGTTTTAATTGTCTGGCGTCGTTCCGTAAAAAGATTAGAAGAGCCAAAGGAAATACCAGCTGAAAGATGTAAATAATTTCCAAGCAGGGTTTATCGTATTTCTTCACAACATACCCATCAGAGAACGAAACAGAGATTAGAACGAACGATTCACTTCAGTCTTTGAAGAACACAGGTAGAAAAGTGGACATTTCCAGTTTTTAATTTCTTTTACTGATAACTATGACGAAACACCAAAACAGTCTTTAGTCTTTCATGACCTCCATCAGAAGTAAAGGATATTACATGGCCGCACGGAGATATGAAATTGAAATTTAATTTCGAGGTGCATAGTTAAAATGTTCCATACAGCTAACTAGAGAAATATTTTTCAACATTCGAAAAACTCGTACCTCCGGGAGGCCACGTAATGTTCTATTTACTATATAAACACCAATGAAATACTTATTTAACTTTGCGACAGGTGCAATTTATTACGTTATCATAACAATAGTGATCTTTCCCACGGTAAAATTTAACATATTATGAAGCCACGATGTTTTTACGCGAAGGCTTGCCTGTTATTTTATTTGTGTTTCTCTTCTTGAAGTGAATATTATTTTGACCTCTATTGGTAATGATTAAATTTGCTGTATCATATATCATTTGCATAAATTTACTTACCTGATTTTCATGTAAATACCTTGCACCACTATATAAAGACTAGCCTCTATTTCGCGCGAAAATACGCACGGATATTTGTCTGCGGTCATTATCTGTTCCAAGATGCGATGAGTTTTCTGAGATCGAAGCCCGAGGAATCAGGATCCATTTCAAACAAATAAAACTTCATCACACCGAGGACTCCGCGTTGAAGCCCTCGGAAGAGCAGTCATATTTCAATAGTTCAAATATATTCAAATAGAATAAAATCACTTTAAAAAGTAAATAAACAACGACAAATATGACATTTACTTGACCGACGAAACACGGATTGCAATCAAGTTCGCTCCCTACGGATGGACTTTTCAATGTTCGATAATTAACATTTAAAAAACTAGCAAATGAATGACTAAGGTTAAATAATCTCACATTTACGCATACTTTGCACCAAAGATGTTATCCTAGCTAATACCGTAAAGAAGCTGAGTTGGCCAAGAAAAAGGTGTGTTGAGACGTAGCTGAAGTGACGGGTTACCTGTGTAAGTTTCTTTTATATTTTAATTGCTAAGAGTTATCATCAAAACTTCCCTTAAACTGAAGCCAGGATACTCGTCGATAGCGGCTCACCCTACAAATTGTAATTTTAAGACACCGATGAAATTGTACAAGTATACAATCTATAAAGAAGACACAGGCATCAAAAGAAGAAACATAATTTTATATAAACAGTGGAACTTCTCTCACTCAAACTATAATGGGAACGATTGCATTATGATACTAGAGAGTTCAAGTCAGTAGATAAACCGAAAAAAAAACTCTTCAAGGAATTAATGTCAAAGTTACAATAGGCCGGAATTTAGAACTACCTGACTGAATTAGACTTAAACTAATAAGGCACACTAATATCCTTCATTTCAATCTTCAGTGAAGTAAGCAGATGCTTTGAGCATAATAAAGGCCAAGCCACAAATGAGCTCATTGCACTTTCCTTGTAATTTTAATTACATCTTAGAAGATGTGCACTAATCACTAAACAAAATAGAAAAATAATATCCGCACAACCCTGTTAGGGTACTGCGGAACGTGTATCATGGACCTTTACTATTAGATTAAATATTCCCAGATTTTATCGTTACGGTATAATCTTACCGACAGAAAAACACCACAATCCTACAAAATCAACCACTTTATTAAGCAAAGAGTGATATTCTAAATAAGGAGCGACTCCTAAAGGCAATACAGTACTTATGCTAGATAAACTCAGCTCACCATCGAACCAAACTCACAGTTTCCTCCAACGTTTCTTGAAATTAGCAATCTTCCACAATAGCTCTCTCTCACAATATAACTTTCTAAACAGTCGGTCACTCTCGAGAGTGTGAATGGAGAAAGATAAAGATAAAAAGGAGAAGAGTCTATTGGTGAAAGTAAAAAAGAGAAATTCGAAGCGGAATGGCGAAAGAATCTCAGTGAAACGGATAAAGGCTTGTGGTTTAAGCAATCTTTACTGCTCGCACTCGATCAGCAACCATCAAGTTTTGCCGTGGCGTGCTAAAGCCGCTTTTGAGTTAAAAAATAAAGTTGAATTGAAAATTGCTGTTCAGCAGAATTGAACTAAAGGTCTGTCACAGTAACTGATAGATAGCTACCTGCGCAATATGTTCTTGCCGAGAGACTCTTCCGGACGCTTCTGCGGTCGTCATTTCGTGTTTTTCAGAATGTCGACATAATTTGATATGTAGTCACCCAAAGGTGCAAATTGTTGGGAAAACTTTGATAGCGAAAAAAAGCCTACTTCGTTTTTACGCGAATATGTCTTCTTTGCACGAGTCAATAGGGTATATAAAAATTACGGATTGCCTCGAAATTTGGTCAGAAGACTCCCAAGATACCAACAGTGTTGGGGATTCCGTTTTTCAAAATGAATCTCCCGCAATGGCCTCTGACGTACTGCGTATGGATAAAATTTTGATTGGCAAACTTGACAGACTAATTGCAAAGCAGCCGATAAGAATATTGAAAAAATCCCCACACGGTATGAAGACCAACCCCTCAGGATTGAAATTGTGCAGAAGGTCATTTGTGCGGTCAGATTCGATATGCGATTCATTCGCTCAAAGAAACATCGTCCATTTCGAATTGTCACGCCTCATTCGGTTTTCGATTAGATCAAGCAAAAACGACATAATTTTTCCGAATAGCACATTTAATAACCTTTCCACTGATTTATAGTTTATAGTGGTCATACTTCAAATAGCGCGTTAAATGTTTCTTTTGCAAAGGACACCCGCCAAGGTCTACCGTATCCATAAGTGTCAACCTAACTTAGATAGCCCGAACGTTTGGGTGCTCTCGGGATGGTAGGATTTTATGTTCCGAACAAAATTAAACGTGTTCCATAGTGAAAGGTAGTCATGTTCTACTTTCCTTATACTCGGAATGTAATGAAAAACAAATCGCGTAAAAAAATGGTTTTGAAATTAATGACCAACAAATCCAAGGTGCACCATGGTGTTGATGTTTTCAAAATAAATATATTTCAAGTTTCCCTGTCTTTATCTCAGTCTCACCTCATTTATAAAGTCAAAGGGCCTGTAAACATCGTGCGATTGAGTGGTCTTTAAGAATTTTTCCGACAACGAGGAACCGGCTCCGGTTTCCTTGATGATTTTTTGCACACAATATCACGAATTAACCGACATTTTTTAATTTACGTTACCGAGTAAATTACACAACGACGAGAAACCGCCCTTTAAAATAAGTAGTAAGCAATAGATGCAAAAAATTACATGCCTGGCATCTCAAGCAACCACAGGGTAAATAGGAGAAATGTCCTGTCAAATCATAATGGATTTTAGACGGCCCAGAATTCATATTTATCATCTTCGTTACCGTTTCTGAAGAGTGTTCATTTTTGGAACAATTTGAAGATGTCTCATAGGCTTTAGGATGATTTTTAATAATTTTAGCTCTTTCCTTGTCATATGATATGTCGGTCCATCTAATTTGAATTTGATCGACGAGCTCTCAAAGGAAGAAAACATCCATATAATTGCATGCACGTTGCCAGCATTGCATTGTAATTGACGTCATCTTTAGGTAAAAGGAATGTTATGTTTCAAGTGCGAAAGAATCGAGGTACCACATCAGTCAAATGCACATTCGACTATACTTTTTAATTTAGCATTTATTTTGAAAGGCGAGAGAAATGTTTGGACTTTTGGAACACCTCCTGAACGCATTTACTAGTGAGGATAGCTGCAAAGTGATATTTTATAATCACTTGTCAAACAAAATTTTGATCGAGAAGAACATGTTTGAAAAGATGCGATTCCGGAACACATCAGGCTCGGTATAAACTTTGGCTTGCAGTGGATGCTTCTGTGTTGAAAATATAACCTTGAAAGGAATATAATTTTACACTTATGAAACATACTTATGAGAATGGCTACGAAGTACTACTTGTCGATTTTAAAATAAGAATAAATACCGGGAACAAGTTAATGATTGCAGGCTGAACATTTAGAATTAACGAGGATGCTTTCTCTCCATGGGAGACACCAGCGATGAGTGCCTCGCTATTTTTTTGAACACACCGGTTCTGATAAATTCTCGACAGTCTTAATCTCAAATGCTAACGAAACGAAGAGAAGACGGAATGAATGATCGTACAATAAATCTCGAAGAACACAGAGAACATATACTTAACTGAAGGAAAGCGTACAGATACAAACAGTACTGCAACCTCTAACGTCCCTTAACAAGGTGATATGAGGGCGTTTCTCGTTACACCTACTTACATACTACACCCCAATTAAAATTCATCCCAAACATACGCGAAAAATGTGCTTTGCTCAAAAGAATGTATTCATCTTCAAGAAAAATCCGTTTCGCATTTTCATTTCGCGGTTCGGTCGGTAAGCAAACATTACAACTATAAAATCGGGTTGATTGTCACATCATTTCGTTAAAAATTCCTCTCAGCAAGAGGGTTGGGACTTTTGCTGACTTATTCAAGTGCGGGTGACGTCAAATCTCGTTCTTCAAGCCTTGACGCGAAACAGCGCATTTCAAGCACGGATGGGTTAAATTATTAAATAATTTGTACCGGTCCATCTTTGCACAAGGCTAAAGGCCTCGTTGAAAGGAGTTTAACTGATCGATGACAATGAAAAGGATCTTAATAATAACGTGTTGTTTTGGCACGAGCACTCGACCTTCAGCAACACGTCTGTTCGCATTTTTTCCTTTTTGCTGTCCTAAAAGCACATGGATTGGAAAGGTGAAATATCTTGTCGTCTCGATGAAAACTCAGCGATTTATTTTCTCAGCAACTAAGTTCACTTTTCTAAGTCCTTTCTTTTTAACACCATCAAATCAATCCTCTTGATTCCGTAATTTCTCCTCTGATAGTACTATAATAGGGAGGAAGGGGGAGTGTTTTTTTGCAAAATTACTTCCATGTAGAGATCAATTACAATTCTTTCAATTCATGTCAAATTTCTTAAATTTTATCAATCTTATATTTCACCACAGGTTTTGTTTTATGAACAGCTCATTGTTGAAAAAATTGTTAACTTCTCATGTTGAGCGTAAATATTCATAACCTTGCTTATATGCCGTTTATCACTAAAGATCGAGATAATTATTATCTTGGAGCCACCAACAACTTTAATATGGCCACGATCATAATTTTCACCTTGAATTTATGTCTATTAATTTGCAGCGATGCTGTGAAAGCTTTTCCTTAGCAATCTCTATATTTTTCTTGGAACAACTTTTCCCCCATACTTCTCTTGCACTGGTGAGTTTGATTTCCCGCTTTTAAATCTGTTCTGTTTCATCGTTCTTTTCGAAACCATTACACGAACTATGTAACGTTTACCCGCCGATTGAAGCAAATAACCTTTAATAAGTAGACAATCCTTATCTAAATCAATATGTCTCCTATTAGGGAAAGCAGGAGACAAGTTACGATGGGCACCAAACAAGCCATGTATATTTACAAATGAATAAAGGGGGTAAGTTTCTAAAGAAACTGTGCTGCTGCTTCGGTGGGAGTGTGTAGCAGGTAATTTGGTGTTAACAGCTAGGTTGAAAACGTAAGTTGGCCACTTTAAAGAGTAAGAAAGCTAACGTTTCGAGCGTTAGCCCTTCGTCAGAGCAACCATTGCTCTAGTTGTTAACAATAAATTACTTATGTATATTTACAGACTGTAAGCCAACGTGTTTCTTCACCTTGTTGAAAAAGCCATAATTAATATCAAGAAAATATTGCCGAGTTTTCCTTAAATTTCCTTTTCACTGGTAAACTCACACACTAAGACGAATTTGAGGTGGTGAAAACCTCCCAGTTAGATTAAAATTCAAGGAAATGAAAATCGCGTATAGGGAGGACTGTGTAAGATCTTTATGCAGTAAGGTATTAAGAGAGTGTGCTTTGATGTGCTCCTTTACCGAGTCAAAATAAGATATAACTAGTTAGACCAAACCAGTCAGTCTGAGGGTTAACGATGAAAGCTGTGATTTGATGACTGTCAACAATTTGAACAGCTGAACAGCGAAAAGAAAAACATACCGTTTTGTTTTGTAACCATAGTTACAACACTTCAAAAACTTCTGTATAGTGGTTATCAAGACACAATATCCACTTCTGTTTTCATAAACCCCCTACCTTATTGAAGTATTTCAAATATATTCAGGTTTACCAAGATAAAACCAGTCAGTCTGAGGGTTAAATATAAAAGCTACGTTCTGATGACCACAAACAATTTGAACAGCTGAACAGGAAGAAGCAAAATCAAACGCTTATGTTTTCTAACCAGAGTTACAACACTTCAAAAACCTAAGTAGAGGTAAACAATATACGATTTTCACTTCTGTTACGAAACAAACACGAAATCAAATGCGAGAAGCATATTATTGGTCTGAAGGTAAAAAATGTATCTTTGAGCTGCTTATGAATATTGCTTTGAGCAGTTTTGCTGACTGCAGGCGTAGTTCAGAAAAAAAATTGTACAAAATACCGCGAATCTAACCAATTACATTTTATCGCGTTCCATAAGTCAAAGTTGCCACAAACTTAAACTCTATATTAATAACGTAGAATTCTATTCAATCGTACTGGAGAGCTTTGTGACTCCGAAAAAAAGGAAAATAATAAATTAATTTCAGATGCCGTCTGACATTTGATCGGTAGCATGTCTGCTTCATATGAACTGCAAAACTTTATTTGGCCTGCGTAGCAACTCTGTGACAGGCAGAGCCACAAAACTACTTAAGCAAACTTTGGGCCGTCCCTCCGATATTTATCAAAAATTTTCATCGGTGGAGACAAATCGTTGGCGAGTACAAATAAATTCACTCAAATCAGTTGCCGCAAGTTACAACGCAGGCTTAAGAATCTCATGTCATAAGTGCGATATGTTCGGCGATTTCAGTCTTCATCGAACCTTTATAAACTATTACGACTAACCAAGAGATCATTTGGGAGAGCAGAGTAGAAAATTGATAATTTACCGAGGTGTGAACGACTTGTAATAAATTTCTATGATCCTTCATTTTCATCATTATTTTCCTTTGTAGTGGAGCTATTTTGATGAATATTTAATCACGAAAAGTTCCACCTATGATTGAATATATTTAAAGAGAGGAATTGATAAAAGCCCATAAGGAGAATAAAGTCTTCCGATCATTTAACTAAACGAAGTTTTCGTTTTCGTAATATCGTAATAATTAGGAGTTGCTTTAAGTAGAAATAGCTGAGAAATAAAAGCTGAACACCTGCATGACCTTTACTAACATTCAAATTCATCGGTAAACAGAATGTTTAATGACTTAGGACGACTTTGATGAGAACATAATTCTAACCATGAAGTTATACTTTTCGAATCAATTTATAGCGATGCAGTTAAAGTTTTACCTTGAAGCTATCATCGGCAATCTATTTATTTTCCTTGGAATAATCTCTACGCCATGTTTTTGTAGCACTGGTGAGTATGATTCCCATGGTAATTTTTTAAGCTTCACCGCACCTCTATGTTTTCGAAATTATTTCAAGAACTATAATTATACGCTACCTGCTGATCAGAGCGAATAACATAAAAAAATCCCCCTCAGAGAAGACTATGTAAGGTTTACATGCAATAAGATATTGAGATAACATTCTTTAATGCGCTTCTTTACCAAGTTAAAACAGGTTGATTCGTTTTCTCTCGCACAGGTGACGATTGTCGAAATATCATATTTAGGGACCCAAAACCAAATATGGCAATGAGAAATCACGTGATCAAAAGTGCAAAAGTGCCGAACGTTGGGAGCTGCAGGTTGATGTGTTATATGGAGCCTAATTGTGTGTCCATCAATATTGGACCAGTAGAGGGAGAAAACCAAAACTGCGAGTTGAATAACGCAACCGAGAAAAACCAAGCTCCATTTCTTCTTGTGAATAAAGAAGGTTACACATATCTTGCAATCGAGGTAAATTTCACATTCTTATCAAACTGAGGGAAGTCAGACACAGATGAATTTGTTTCAATTTTTAGGCAAAAGCAGCCTCCACTTTTTTAACTTTTGTTTTTGCCAACAGAATCCATGCAGCAGCAGCTCGTGTTTGAACAATGGCACCTGTCAAGCTGGATTCACCAGTAAAGGTTTTCGTTGTGTTTGTCGCGATGGATTTACTGGAGAAAACTGCCAAGGTTAAATCTGCCTTTTCATTTACTCAGCTTCTTACGTTGATCTACTGTTTTTGTTCGAAGTAATTGGTTCATTGCGGTTCATTTGAGGGGATTTGGAAATTCATCAAATTTGACTCCTTAGACAATCAATTATCCACTGAAGACGAATTAATGAACGCGTCATACCCAAACTCCGAATAGATCCTATAAGTTGTGTAGGAAACAAGCCCTAATTTTTAAGGTTCTTGTTCAAGTATCCTCTTGTATTTCTATGTTGCATTGGATTAAAGAACGCATTTTACAGAAAAGAGAGTAAAAAACACAATTTACGGTTATAAAAAAATGTATATCTTTCAGTTTTTTTTAATTCTTAAATACTGGTTTCATGGCAACAAAAAGGCGTTTTAAAAGTTGTAAACATTTAAGAGCCAGATGAAATCTACGATTTTTTTCTCGTTGAGAAATAATGAAGGGAGAATCCTTGGAATAATTCTAGTTCTTCAGAAAAAAAACAATATTACTTTCTTTTGCAGCTAAATGAAAATGCATTGGAATTATAATACAAAAGGACAAACGATGTGTTAGACATCAAACCTGACAATTTTCTCATTTATTCACAGCTCTAAAGAAAAATTGTGCCGACATTTACAAAGCTGGGGAAAGAGAAGATGGTATGTATACTATTAGGACTGATAATTTGCAAGCCTTTGAGGTATTGTGTGACCAAACGACGCTGGGTGGAGGATGGAATGTGTTTCAGAAGAGACTGAACGGCTCGGTTGATTTCTACGTTAACTGGATCGATTACAAACATGGCTTTGGTGACCTGAATGGTGAATTTTGGTTAGGATTGGACAAGATTCACCGCCTGACTTCAGATAATAACAACATGCTACGTGTGGATTTGGAAGACTTTGAAGGGAATACGCGTTATGCCGAGTATTCCAAGTTTGGTGTTATGAGTGAGAATGACATGTACAAGATGACCCTTGGTGATTATTCAGGTGAAACAAAAAGTTTTTTATTTTTAGATTAAGAAGGGAGCGGTAGTGTTAAAATCAGTATGTTAGTAAACTCAAGGGCTTGAACAAATAGAGAAGAATGATCGAGCGTGGGGAAATAAAAGGTGGTTTCGGTTAAACGCGTTAAGCTGATGCTGCCGTTATGGGGAAGTACGAATTTCCGAAAAAGTGGTTAAATCATTTTACATCGATAGCTTGCAATGGACGAAAAAAAAAAAAATGAATCACTAAAACCTCAGTCAGCTCATCAACATGCAATCCTGGACGGCGTACACCAGACAATGATCAAATTTGAATAAAAGCCTTTTTAAGTATCTCGACGAATATACCTATAAGCATTACTACATGAATCAATTCATTTCACAGATATATTTTTTTATTAATTTCATTATCGCTAAATTGATCTGTTTTACTCATTTAACGGTTTACTATAGGCCGTATAAAATTTTGATTTGTAATGTTAATTGTGAATGCTAATAACATTGTTCACTTTGTCAGGAAATGCTGGTGACTCTCTCGCCTTGCATCGGAATATGCCATTCACCACAAGAGATCAAGATAATGATAAACATGCTGATAACTGCGCCATTAAGTACAAAGGAGCCTGGTGGTACAATAAATGCCAGCACTCGAATCTGAATGGGTTTTATTATGGCGGTCAGCATTCCTCTTTTGCTGATGGCGTGAATTGGTTGCACTGGAGAGGGCGGCATTACTCCCTCAAGAGAACCGAGATGAAAACAAGACCAGTGGATTTCTGAACTATCATTTTTATTGCAAAACTTTAGCACAGTACTATTTTGAAAAAAATCAACGACTCAATTATGTTTGAATTTATGTTCTGTATTAACCAATAACTGACTAGGGCCTGTTTATGCAGAGGTGGGGGACTTCAGGTAGGTGATCGGAGGTAACCCGCTTAGGTGGGGTAAATATAACCTCGCTGTCCATGTAATCTCTTATTTCATCTTGATCACGTTTAATCCGCCTAGTCCGCTGGGTAGGGTAACCCTGTCGGCCTAGTATGAATTTATGTTCAGTACTAAATAATCACCAATAAGTTGGTACCTACCGTTTTAATCTTTCAAGCTTGTTTAGACTTCTGTTTGCTTCTGTGTGAGTATAATCTTTTATAATTTCTCTTGGAAGCTTCTGGGGAATTGATTGTGGTCCTTGCTATGTTTTTCAAATCAGGACTTGAAAAGTTGAATCAGTAGAATAGATCATTCAACCGATAAGGATTTTGTTTATGATGTCTCTGACGTTTCATTCGTATTATGTAGTATCAACTCGTTTTGTATTACAACATACTTCATTGAGTTACACATGGTGTATGCACCACGCGAAGGAAACATTGCTAATGTGAAACATTTTGTTCAGTTTCATTGCCTGACTTAGCAAAACGTCAGGGTAATAAACCCAGATACAAGCCCCGCGGTACCCAGTAGAGGATTAAGTTTTCTCTCTGGGTAATACGTGCTCTAATTTTTTAATGTTTGGTCTCAGATTTTTACTAGCTTAAGGAAACAAAAAGCGAATTTTTAACATGTAGCCATCATTCTTTCCAGGACACTCATAGATAATATTTCTAGTATATCATTTTTAGTTTCTGGTTTCCTATTTTCATCATCAGAACGGGAGCAAAACAATTACGCACTCTTTTGTGACATAACAACGCTATCAAAATGAAAATGTTCCTTATCCAATGCAGAGTTACCTCTGCTGGTCACGATTTGAGCGTGCTTGATATGATCAAGATCACCGGGGAGAATTGGAAATGGAATCCTCCAACTTTCTGCCAAACTCTATATTTCGCCAAAACTTAGCGCAGAAAAGTCCAATTCTCCCTAGCGATCTTTGCAACACTAATTTGCAAATATAGACATTGATATTAATGACCGCGTAACAATACAATAAAAAGAATTTAAAAAACGATTAAGACGTAAATAGGACATTGAATGTCATCTGCTATATATGTGCAAAGAAGTTTCTTTTGGTGAGACAAACAAACCTCCTAAAGTAGTAAAATCTCCATCAGTTTATTGATGTGGATTGTAGAAACGAAGAAATCCATCGACAAACAGAGAGAGAATGTAAAGTAGGCAAAGTTTATCATTTTAACCATTAAATGATAAACTGTACCTTTCTCGAATAGACAGCCAGCTTCTTAAGTACATTGTATGTTAAGTGTTGATTTATCATGATCACATCTTACTTTCCTACTTGCATTTGGTGCTGTAGCGTGGACGGACAAGATCACTCCACTAAGACAGAGTCACCGCAGGTTAATATGTAGAGCTGCGGCTAAGAATATATGAAAGTCATATATATATACGACTATATATATATGGAACCAACATAATGACCAGCTCCCAGTTGGCTTGTTGGCTCAGTTGGTAGAACGCTGCACCGGTATCGCAGAGGTCATGGGTTTAAATCCCGTACAGGCCTGAATTTTTTTCAGGCCTTATTTTCACTACTGCTCGAGTAGTGCACATTACTGCGAGGATCACTTTCATTCACATTCATGTAGAGCTGCGTCGGTATAAGGGTTTCACTGGCAATACGAACGGCAAGGTATTGGGGACTATTGTTAGTCTCTACCGGTGTTTTTTTTGTCCCAGCTCAAGGCATTCAAAGAAATTATGTTGATCGACGATGAAAGTGATATCATACATAACATAACATGCTCTTTTACCAGGAGCATTCGACTGGAAGTTGAGACTTTAGTTCGAATTTTGTTCGTCCTCGGGCTCATTTATTCCAAATTGCACCCGAAATCGTGTGATTACCCGTACAAATACGTCATTGTATTAGTAGTATGTTAAGGATCAAATGCTCTATTGGTCTTTGTCACAGCCATAAATTTTTATCTACAATCAACAAGTTCTAGCTCTCCCATTCCCTCCCCCGCGGACGAGAGAATGAGTTGCGTGACAAGCCCACACAAAAGCCACGGAGACAAACGTTTTAGCAATATAAAGCTTATCAATAAGATATATGCGCACTGTGTTTCTGTTCCCCACCATTACTGGCCGCAGTTAGTCAATTGCAGTTTGGTTTAAAAGTTAAACTTTTTTTCCAAAAACACTATACCTTACTGAATTATTTCAGATACATTCAGGGTTGTGATGAGATAAAACCAGGCAGTGTCAGGGTTAACGATAAAAGCAATGATCTAATGACCACTAATAATTTGAACAGCTGAACAGCAAAAAGCAAAACAAACCGTTATGCTTTGTAACCATAGTGACAACACTTCAAAAACTTCTGTAGAGGTTAATAAGACACGATTTCACTCCTGATACGAAGCAAACACGGAATCAAACTACGAAAAACATATTATTGATCAGAAGGTAAGAAATATCTTTTTGAGCTACTTATTAATATCGCTTTGACCAGTTTTGTTAATGGCAGATATAATTTTGAAAAATTCTGAATAATATACCGAGAATCTAACCAATTAACAATTCAGTACATTCTATCGCATTCTTACGGTCAAAGTTGCCACAAACTTATTATTTTCATGTATATAACGAAGGATTCTATTACGTCGTACTGGAGAGGTTGGTTACCTTATAAAAAAGAAAAATAATTAAACTTTGAATTTCAAATGCCAACTAACATTTCATTGGTAGCATGTCTGTTTAACACGAACGGCAAAAATTTATTTGGCCTGCATACCAACTCTGTCTGCTTGTAGACTGACAGACAGAGCCACAAAAATACTGAAGCAAACTTTCGGGGACGTCTCTTTGACATTTATCACATGTTTTGATCAATGGAGAAAAATCGAGTGTAAAATAATTTACGCTCACTTATTGCTGAAAGGCAAAACAAAGGCTAAAGATGACAACAACTTCAAACTTATGTCGTAAGCGTAATGTATTCCATTTCCGTTTTAACCGAAACTTTTTGAAATATTGTGACTAACCTAACGATAAATTGGGAGAGTGGAGTAGAAAATTGATAATTTAATAGGGTTTACATGACTTGTAATTTCTACGGATCCGTTATTTTTTTCTTCTTATGTCTTTTGCAGCGGTTAACTTACTCGCCTAGATAAATATTTAATAGCGTGAAGTTCCACGAAGCTTCCATTTTTCACGTGAGGAAATGAAAAAGCCCGTCAGCATGATGACGTCGATACTTGCGATAATATAACTAAATGAAGTACTCGTTTTCGAAATATCATGATAATTAAGATTTCTGTGAAGTAGAAATAGCTGAGGATAAATGCTGAAGGCCTGCACATTCAAATTCATAGGAAACAGAATGTTTAATTACTCAGGACAAATTTGATATAGCCACTTTTTTTTACCTTGAAACTATATTTTCAATTTATAGCAATGCACTTGAAGTTTATCCTTGAGGTTATTATTGACAATCTCAATAATTTTCTTGGAAAAATCTTTACGCCGTTTTGTTACACAGGTGATCATGAGTATAATTCCGCTTTTAACTTTTTTTTGTCATATTTTTTTAGTGTCACTGTTAGTACTTATGATCAAAGCCAAAATCTCTAAGCAGATAACCTAATCTAATTCACAATGTCTCCTATTATCCGGAATACAAGAAACAAATAACGATTGATGAAAACCAAACAAGCTACAAAACATATATTTATATTGCAGACCATGAGACAACGTGTTTCTTCATCGTGTTTACAAAAAGCCCTCCTCACAATACGCGCATAAAAGGAGCAAATTCATGAATTAAAACAAACCATTCAAATGTATTGGGGTGCGGTTATTAACGCTTTGAAAATATTCCCATAATTATTCGTAACATTTCTTTGCCGTAGGTTAATTCACCCACAAAGATTAAATTTTGAAATGAAAACCAATCACTTAAAATTGAATTTTCAAGGGATGAAAACCCCCTTAAGAGAAGACAATGAAAGGTTTTCATGCAACAAGGTACATTCAGACCTTTAATAAGCGGTCACCCATGGGGAATGGCTTGATGACCGCTTAATACGGGTTGAACGCTAAATACAGGTTCCACGAAATAGGGGAATTATACAGAAACGAGACATACGTCATTTTATGCCATAATTGACCAATTGATGCACCAAACTCGCTCAAAATATTACCAAAATTAAGGATTGCGGGACAAATATGGCTTAAAGTTTAGTTGAACGATTATTCTTTGTTTTGTTTGAGTGATCCCACTATAAATGACTGTTCAGTACAGGTGGAATTCAACACAAACATGCCGTGGAACAGTAATTTAATGGAACAGTGGTGAGTGAGTCAAAATAAGAAATTAGCGCGAGTAAGTGAAAACTAAACAATTAGGTTGATTCGTTTGGGACCCAATACCAAACATGGCCGTGAGAAATCACGTGATGAGGAGTGCAGAAGTGTTCAGTGAAGGTAGCTGCAGAGTGATGTGTTATATGGAGCCTAACTGTGTGTCAATCTATATTGGATTAGTAGAAGGAGGAAACCAACAATGCGAGTTGAATAACGCAACCGAGAAAAACCAAACTCCCTTTCTTCTTGTGAATAAAGAAGGTTACACATATCTTGAAATCGAAGTAAATTGCACATTCTTATCAAACTGAGGGGAGTCACACACAAATGAAATTGTTGCATTTTTTAGGCTGAGGTCTTAAACTTTTTTTTCCCAACAGAATCCATGCAGTAGCAGCCCATGTTTGAACAATGGCACCTGTCAAGCTAGATTCACCAATAAAGGTTTTCGTTGCGTTTGTCGTCATGGATTCAGTGGAGATAACTGCCAGTTTAAAGCTAAACAGTAGAAATGGTGTTTCATTCACTAATCCTCTTGGGTTAGTTGAATTATATATTCACAGTGGAGAGACTGTTTTTTCATTTAGATAATTAATTGACTTACCGGTATTTCGGATCATTTAAGGGGATATGGAAATTCATCAAATCTGACTTCTTGGAAAGTCTATGATCCACTAAAGATGAAGTAATGAACACGTCATACCAAAACTCGGAATGCATCTTGTAAGTTGTCTAGGACGAAAGCCCAGGTTCTTGTATCACAATGTTTAAGGTTCTTGTATCAACAACCTGAGACTGTTTCTGCGTCACATTGGATCAAAGAAACTACTTTACAGAAGAGAGAGCAAAAATACGTCTATTAACGGTGGTAACAAAATAATATCCGTCTGTTTTGAAATGAAAATCCAGTAAAAAGGACGAATGATGTGTAGGACATAAACCTGAAAAGTTTGTCGTTCATTCACAGCTCTAAAGAAAAACTGTGCTGACATTTACAAAGTTGGGGAAGAGGAGACGCTGTGTACATCATTTAAATTGATGATTTGCCTGCCTTTGATGTACTGTATGACCAAACAGCAAAAAAACAAACCAAACAAAAATAACAAATAATCTCAACCACATCGATGTATAATTTCGACAGCGCACTATGTAAAGGTATTCACTGATCGATCATGCCCAGTGGGACACAAATACGAGCTTTTTTTATAATAGTTGTTACATTTGACGGCCCAACCTCTTCTTCAGACTTTAAAGCACTCTGAGAAACAAGCTGGTGAGTAACTACTGGAAGTGTATTCGCCATCAATGTCATTATCATCATCAATTTCATTGTCATTATCACTGTTATTGCTATCATAATTATTTACACCATTATCATTATCAGTATTATCATTATTTTTGAAAATCTTTTTTAAGCTTTTCACACCTCTCTGTGTTTCTCGAAGATGCATCTCCACACTCAAATCAAGATTTTTTTGTGACATATCAGTATTGTTAAAATAAGTTCTTTTAAGGTTTTCTTTGAAATTATCACTTGAATTGTCAATTGTCAATCCGAATGGTGTGGTTGAAAGAGCAAGTGAAATCCAGCACGGAGCCTGGTGGTATCGCAGTTGTTATACCTCCAACCTAAATGGCTTCTATTATCAAGGACAGCACTCTTCCCGAGGCGCAGTGGCCTGATTTTACTGGAAGAACAATTTCGCGTCTCTAAAAAGAAACAGAGATGAAAATAAGACCAACAGAATTGAATTTGACGCTTTCATTTGCAATTTAAACAAATTTAAATATATGATCAGACTTCTGCTTTTATTGCTCGTTATCGTTTATATTTAGTTTGTACCAGTTCATTTTTTGCAAGAGGGTCAAGGTATTCACAAGAGTTTTGTCAATCGACGATGAAAATGATGTCATCAATAACGCTCTCAGTAAGGGGCGTTCGAAAAGGTAGCCTTAGAAACCCTTTACGGAGACCAATTTGCATTATAAACTCTGTTGATAGAACTAAGTTATCTTGTCGTTAATAACAGCCTGTTTTAACAGGAGTACAAGACCGCAACTGATTAGGTTTTCGGGTTTTTAGTAAATGTCAATAATTTCCAAGATATTATTTCTTCATTCTGGTTGCCTAAGGGAAATGAAGTTTTCAGGTAACACAGTAAAGAAGAGAAGTAATACAGAGCGAAAAGAAGGTAGGAAACCCGCTTCAAACTTTGTTGCGGCTTAAAAAATTTGTATCAAGCAAATTAATAAAACATACGAGTGTCATGTTCTCCGATTCGGAATCGCTTTAAATGGCAAAGTGGCAGAAAGTGTTGAGCAAAAGGAGTCCTGGAAAACTTACGCGTCCATGTTTAATACTAACTACTATGCTCTCGTCCAGTGAATATGTAGAGTTATTTGCAGGATTGCTGACCAAGAATCTATATATCATTTCATAACTTTTTTTCATTTTTGCACTTTAGTCAACCTTACCGTTAATCCACAATTTCACAAAGGATTAGAGCTTGAATTTCAAAGTACTTTGTCTGTCTTCGTATAAGGGAGCGTAGCAGGGTGTATTTGTACTGCTCTTCACCATAAGATCATTTTTTTTTTAGTTCTTCAAATTACACTGTTGGAGATACTACTACTACTACTACTATTTACTACTACTTCTACAACTACTATTGATAATTCTACAGGAGGATATCAATATTTCCTTGTACTTCTACTATAATGATCACTATTGCCACTGCTTTTGCTGCTGCTGCAACTATTTCTACAACTAAATTATGTAAGTGGATCATTGTATGATGAATTTTTATTTACTTAGGAGAAGTTCCCCCAATGATCATATTTCCAAAAAGAGGTAATGAAAAAACCCATCAGCAGAACGGCGTCGATACTTCCAAAAATACTACTAAAAATGTATTTGTTATCGAAATTTCGAGGTTACGAAGAGTTCATTTTAGTAGAAATAGCTGACAAATATATGCTGAACAACTGTATGACGTTTATTAGCATTTATAGGAAAACAGAAAGTTTAATAATTTGAGACGACTTTCATAGGGTCATGATCATAATATATACCTTGGAGTTATAATTTTCAATTTCAGTATAGCAATGCAGTTCGGGTTTTTCCTTGAAGCTATCATTGGCAATATCTATATTTTTCTTGGACTAACCTTCCTACAATGTTTTTGTTACACTGGTGAGTATAACTACACTATTATTAAATTTCTTGTGCTTCATTTTCCTGGCGCTGCTCCCTCGAATCCATTAGAAGAACTAGGCCAATGCAAATAATCTGTAGGAAAACACATATTTTCTAACTCATCACTTATGCATATAAAGAGAGACTATTGGATATTTTTTCTTTCACCGTGTTTCAAAAAAGCCCTTAGAATATGCGCTTCTAAGGATCCTATTGATAAATTGAAACAAACGAGTCAAAGATATTGTAGTGTGGTAACTAACGCCATGAAAAATTTTCGGATATTTTCCGTAACAAATCCTTTCCGCAGGTTAGCTCATCTTTGATAAAGCGGGTTTTCATGCAGTAATTTGGTAAAATAGTGTATCAGTTCAATTCAGTTCTAGTTCCCTTTGATTTCTATAACGAAACCTAAAACAATTACCCAATGTTTTGACTCTAAAGAACGCTATCAGAAAAACAAATATTTCAAGTTCTAGTGTACACTGGAATGCGGAAACGTAATGTCGATGATTCTAAAATGCTTCATATATTGCTTTTATTTGTATTTTCTTAGCTTTTGTCAAAGTAAATACCTTGCACTGTTATTAATAAACATATTGCACGTTAAATCATAAGAACATGTTTTCACGGTTAAGGTCCATTTTGTAGATAGGGCTTCTCAGGTAACTATGTTACATACAGAGTTTGTAAAAATACCAAATGTAAGGATGAGTATTTCTCCCCTTGCCTCGGAGCCATATCAGAATTTTAATATATCGAAAGTGGCGTCAATCACTTGCGACCATTGGTTAGCAGGCTAAAAGAGGGATCCTTACAGCTTTGTTTACCTATAAATGATTAAAATTTTCGATTAAAAACTTTTCGATTTTTTTCACAATTTGAATGCGATGGGGGAACGAAATCAAGAAAACGAGACCATTCTTTTGGCTCGTTCTGCGGCTATGGCGTCCAACTCTTGTAAGGATTTTAATTTAGACTAGAGCTTGTCCATATCTTTAGGTGCACGTCCCAGATACTGAAGAATCTGCAGGTAGCTTTCCACCATCCACGCTTTGAAACTCATGATTCTAGTGACAAGAAGATAATTGTTAGTGACGGGTTCAAACGATTCACCTTCGTTTCACCCTTTACACCCTAACATCAGGATACATATTCTCTATACTGCTCTCTATACATTTCCAAAGCTGATGACAGGGAGAATTTGTTTAACAATCAAGAGCTTCATGACCTTAATGTTTGATTGAGGGGTAATAATGTAAGGAGAAATTAACTTCTAGTCATTCTACAAGATCAGCACGGATTCAATGAAAGCTGATTACCGGCGGTGTCTCCCCGCATAAAAAAACTTTTACCGCAGTCTGTTTAGCCTACGAGCTGGCTCTTGTGTTTGGGTTCGTTTAAAACCTATGGTCGGATGTGATGTAGCTGTATCATCCAATAACTGGAAGAACAAAAACCGGAAGTAGATTCGTAACAGAGAACCGGGAGTCAGAACACTTTAAGGACAGGGAAGGTGAAAATGCCATTGAGACTGGCGGCCTCCCTATGCAATAATAACTCGTTTTGCGAACCATAAAAATTCTTTATGGAATGTATAATGAGAACGACAAGAAATCTTACCCCAGGCGATAGCACTGGGAAGAACTTCCCACTTATTTGGAAAACAGAATTACCTTATTTTCTCATCGAGGACGTATGATTCAAAGATTGTCTTCATCTTCGACCATAGACCAATATTCTCTATACGGCGCTGCAAGAAAAGGTAAAATAATTGACGTCTGAACAAGTCGCTACCGTGGAACTTTTGAAATTTTCCAAAATTCGACCTATGTTTATACTGGTAGATTAACTGGGATCCTCTTTTCTCACCTGCAAAGGAATTTCGATAAAAACCAATCAAAAATAGTGAAAAAAAAAGTAAAAACAAAACAGAAAAGGGACCACGGAATACAAATATATTTTCATAGATCGTCTGGCCATGAGAACAAATCTATCCATTGGCTGTGTTTAATTATAAGTTCCTGTAAAAACTAGTGTGATAGGACAAGGTTGAACAAGAAGCAAACATTTTTTAGCAGGGGTAGGCTGGGGGAGAGGAAAGAGGGGAGGGGAAAGGGAAGGATATAGAATATAGTTCTACAGGAAAAAGCTCGAATCTCTAAAACGCCCCACCGGTTGTCGAAGGGGAGAGGGGGGAGGGGGATGGGGCTTCGATCCTGATCGAGAGCTCCGAGTATTTTTCTCTGTTTAACGTCCACGACTAATAAAGCTGCGCAACAATTTTAGGATTTGCTGTTCGGGTTGTTAAATTTAAGGAAATTTACAAATTATGACAGTTTGCTACAATAAAAATACATCAAAAAGTCAACAAAGGAAATTAGGTGAACTTTGCCTCGCTAAAAAATGGTGCCATTAATAGGAAAATGTAAGAAACAATCTGCCTCAAGAATAAATTATTTCGAAGTAAAATAACACTATCCACACCTGAGCACAAGCAGCATGCTCCGGTGGAAACTGTTTAAGAATGATTATCACTTTCTCGAAGTGTCCTTAAGCGATTTTTTTCATGGTTATCAAATCCTCTTCTGTTACTCTTGAAGTAAACAGCATTCCAGCGCTTCCCCACGCGATTGACGTTGAAGAAGAACCTGACAAAACTCTCGAAATCTGGAGGATAAAGCGACATTTAAAACGAAGAGAAGTCTTAATATCTACTTTTTAACTTATTCTTGATGGATATATCCCAATACAATCATAAAAAAAATACATTGTCATGCTCAAGGTCATTATTTGTGTCGAGGCTCATCTGTACATGATGCTTCATAATGAGTTTGAAAAAATACCAAATGTAATTAGTAAGAGTAGGCGAGAACACAATAGAATAACAATAAAACATGAGTTCAGGGGTGAAAATCATTTGCTATGTGTTGAGATATTTCTCTTAATTAGGTGGAAAAGTCACAAAACTAATGGAATCTCCTGAAGCCTATTGATGTGGATTGTAGAAAGGCGAACAAATCAATTGACAAGTAGAGGTAAGAATGATAACCAGGCAAACTTTATCATCACTCTCGCAAATTAAACTGCACCTTTAGCGAATAGTCATAACAAGCTAGCTTTTCAAGTTCGTCGCAAGTCAAGTGTCGATTCATCGCATCCAACTTTCTTACTTGGTGGTTTTACGTAAAGGGAAAGATAACTTCACTAACACAGAGTCATCGCAGATCCTTATGTGTAAAGTTAGGTACGAAGGTTTCTCTGATAAAACAAACAGCGAGTTACAAGGGCCTGTTTCATATTAAGTTTATGTAATATTTAGTTTGTAGCGATCCATTTTTGCACGGGGGTCCAGGTATTCACAAGAGTAATGTCGATCGAGGATGTAAGTGACGTCATCAATAACGCTATGTTGAGGGGCGATCGAAAGGGTAGCCTTAGAAACCCTTTACAGGGACCAATTTGTATGATCAACTCAGTTGATAGAACTAAGTTATCTTGTCGTTAATAACAGCCTGTTTTAATCAGAGTACCCTTCCGCACACTAGGTTTTCACGCACCATGAGAAGTATCGTACAGCGCTTACTTGTAACGGTATATCACTTTCTCTGTAACACCGTATATTTTATCATCACTTAGGCCTATGGCTACCTGGGTAAAAAAAAACCTCAAAGTCAGCATGTTTCCTTTTCTATTTTTTCGCTATTTTCCTGAAGTTTCTGAGCACTTGTTATTAAGATCACTTTTGTTAGCGGACATATATTGAGTCAAAATGTTTAATTTGTGGTGATGTCGTTAATAATTTCGGCATGTACTAAAACCTAAGACCGAAGCGTAACGACCGTTGTGACTGAAACAAAACCACTACAACGATCGAGACGAGTGGATGCTGAAAAGTGGCGGAAATATGTAGACTTCACTTCAGATATTCTCTCGCATTTAAGGATTTTACATATCAAAGCCGTCACACGAAACTTAATTTTTTTTCCTCCACGCGAGCAGCTGAAACTATAATTTGACACTTATAATTATATGTAGTTTCCAGTACGGAACGCCAGCCTCATTGAATACTGAAGCGTATACGGAAAGGAGAGATAACAGATAACGGTATTCAGTGACAACGTCTATGTCCGAGACTCTTTTATTGATTGTCTTTTTTTTAATTGAGGTTCCATCGCCGCTTAAAACTAAGCCGATGGCAATCGCGAGAGATCACTGAATTTTCCCGTGGGGTGGATCAGGAATAGGCCATAATCTAAACGAGAGAAAATGACGACTGACACCTGCATGACACCCGTTCATTTTACCAGGATTGACCCCATTATTTTTTGTATACTTTTTTGATCGTTTCGGTCGTTTGGTTTTGGTCGTTAGGTTCGTTTCGTTTCGATCGTTTAGTTTTGATCATTTCGGTGGTTTCGCTTGTTTCGTTTTGTTTTCCTGTTTCGGGTGTTTGTAAATGTCAATAATTTTCATGATATTATTTCTTCATCCTGGTTGCCTAAGAGAAATGAAGTTTTCAGGTAACACTGTAAAGAAGAGAAGTAACGCAGAGCAAAAAGAGGGTAGCAAACCTGCTTCAAACTTTGTTGCGGCTTAAAAGAATTTGTATCGAGCAAACTTAATAAAACATATGAGTGTCACGCTCTCCGATTCGGAATCGCTTTAAATGGCAAAGTGGCAGAAAGTGTTGAGCAAAACGAGTCCTGGAAAAACTTACGCGTCCGTAAATTTTAGTTAGAATTTGTTCGTGTGCGCCCTAATTTTGCAAATGTAACGATTCACGGCAATTTCAATGACCAGCTTATTAACCACAAATGTGTTAGCTTTCACAGTTTGTCTTTCTGAGAACTCTGACTTGAACACACCACAGGTGCATCTACTTATCCAAGGTGAAGGCGGAGCCAAGAAACTGCTTTCCTAAAAAAAATCAAGGTTTCCGGCCTCAACATTTAGCGTAAACGAAATTACCTCTTACAACACTGCGAAAAGCCGCCAAAAATCTTCAGGGAAACTTGCTCACTCGTTTGGTAATTTTGTCAAGAGCATTTTTTGCAAGATACTTTCTAAATTGGAAAAAGCATAACCTTACATAACACCGTAGTTAACTCCAGAGGAAAATGCGACACATTGTGCTGTTTTAAAAATTTATATTTTCATAAATCTTTAATTTGAAAGACATAAAACTGGCCTAAGTTACCTCCAGCGAAAATGGAAAAACATTGTTTAGTTCTAAAACTTCTTACATGTCCCGCTGAGAGTGTTTTGACCAAATAATTTGCAGCTTTGTTTAAGAGTTAAACTTGCCATATAAGTTTTTCAAAACATTCTCTGTTTTTCATCGAAGTATTTCATTGCCTGTCATATCCAGTGGTACTGAGATGTGAGATCAGTCATTTAGATTTAAACACAAAAGTTATGATCTGATGACTAACAACAATTAGAACAGCTGGATAGGAAGAATGACTGTGGCATGTAGAATAACGGTTTTGTTTTGTAACCATAGTTACAGAAGCTCAAACAGTTCTATAAATTAAAGGAAAGCACGACACCATAAAGTTTTCACTATTGATAATCTCAGGAACAAAATCAAGTAAGAAAACCACTTTTTCGCTTAGGAGGTAAGAAATATCTCTGTGAGGTACATATCTATATTTCTTAGACCAAGCCTTTCTAGCTCAGACCAATTGTGCTAATTGCGGAAATGATCGAGAACAATTTTGAATAAATTTCTGTCAATTCAGCTACACGATATTTCACATTCTGTCACATCCTTCTCGTCAGAGTTGTTACAATTTTTTTTTCTTTTAGTTTGAAGTTCTAAAAAGCCACCCGAATGTCACAGAATGTTTGGGACCAGTCTAACTAAGAAAAAGTCGGGGGATGTTTAATACTAACTACTATGCTCTCGTTCAATGAAATATGTAGAGCTATTTGCAAGATTGCTGACCAAGAACCTAAATATCATTTCATAACTATTTTCATTTTTGCACTTTAGTCAACTATATAGTTGATCCACAATTTCGCAAAGGATTAGAACTTGAATTTTAAAGTACTTTGTCTGTCTTTGTATAAAGGAGCGTATCAGGGTGTAATTGTATTGCTATCCACCATAAGATCAATTTTTCTAGTTGTTCAAATCAGACTTTTGGAGATACAACCACTACTAATACTATTTACTACTATTTCTGCAATTACTATTGACACTTCTACAAGAGGATATCAATATTCTCTTGTACTTCTACTATAATGATTACTATTGCTACCGCTTCTACTACTGCTGCCGCTGTTACTATTTCTACTACTAAATTATGTAAGTAGTTCATTGTATGATGAGGATCCGCTATGTCCCTCGTTTTGTGCCTTTTGCAGTGGTTGACTTACCTATACACGTGAATTTTTATTTACTAAAGAGAAATTCTTCTGATGATTATATTTCCAAAGAGAGTAAATGTAAAAACCCATCAACAGAACGGCGTCGATACTTCCAAAAATACAACAACAAAAAAAAGAGTTTGTTATCGAAATATCGTGGTTATTAAGAGTTCCTTTAAGAAGAAATAGCTGAGAAATTAATGTTGAACAACTGCATGACCTTTATTAGCTTTTAAATTTATAGGAAAACAGAAAGTTTTGGAATTTGAGACAACTTTAATATAGTCACGATAATGATACTTACCTTGAAGTAATTTTTTTAAATTTATAGCAATGCAGTTCAAGTTTTTTCTTAGAGGTATCATTTGCAATATCTATATTTTTCTTGGAATAACCTTCCCACCATGCTATTGTTGCTCTGGTAAGCATATCTATGTTATTATTAAATCTCTTGTGTTTCGCTGCTCCCTCGACAAGGCCATCTGCTGAAAATGCAATAATCTTTAAGCAAATACTTATTTTTTTATATCAAAATATCTCCTTTTATGCACATATACAGAGACTATTGGATACTGTTTTCCTTTACCGTGTTTGCAAAAAGCCCTCAAAATATTCGCATCAAAGGATCATATTGATAAATTGAAACAAACGAGTCAATGATATTGTAGTGTGGTAATGAATTAAAGCCATGAAAATTTTTGGGATATTTTCCGTAACATATCCTTTCCGCTGGTTAGCTCATCTATATCGCTCTGTTTTGATAACCAAAACCTCCCGTTAGAATTGAAGTGCAAAAAGATGAGAATCCCCTTTGGAGAAGACTCTTTGATGAAGGTTTTCGTGCAGTAAGTTGGTAAAACAGCGTGCTTTGATGTGTTTATTCACCAAGTAACGATAAAAAATTGTACGAATAAGCGATAACCTGGACGATTAATTCTATTCGTTTGCCTTTCCCAGGTGACGATTGTCGAAGCATTATATTCAGGGACCGAATACAAAACATGGCCATAAAGGATCGTGTGATCAGGAGTGCAGAAGTGCCCAATGAGGGAAGCTGCAGAGTGATGTGTTATATGGAGCCTAATTGCGTATCCATTAATGTTGGACCTGTAGAAGGAGGAAACCAAAAATGCGAGTTGAACAACGCCACGGAGGAAAACCATGCTCCATTTCTTCTTGTGAATAAACCAGGCTACATATATTTTGCAATCGAGGTAAAATTTCACATTTTTACCAACCTGAGGGGAGTCAGACACAGATGATTTATTTTCATTTCAGGTTAAAGTGATCTTATTCTTGATTCTTGATCTTGGGGAAAGCTACAAGAGCTTTATTTTGTTATTCATCAGAGGAGGTTGTTTGTTTTTTGGCGCTAAAGTGGTTTTATTCTTGATGTAAAAAAAAAAAGTTTGGAAAAAGGTTACTTCCTTTTTATCAGCAGAATCCATGCAGCAGTAGTCCATGTTTGAGTAATGGCACCTGTCAAGCTGGATTCAGCAGTAAAGGTTTTCGTTGTGTTTGTCGTGATGGATTCAGTGGAGAAAACTGCCAGTTGCAAGGTCACGTAAATTGCATTTTCATTCACTTATCCTCTTGGGTCAAATAAATCACTAAAATTGGGTAATTTACAAACTGTTTTTTGAATCTGTTTATAGAAGTAGATTTGGACTCATTCGTAAATTGATTGATGTAGAGTATTTAGAAATTATTGAAATTTTATTCCCTGGACGATCTACTATCAAGTGTTGTGTGCGCGGCATTGAATCCTGCAATTTTTCCCATTTGTTCATAGGCCTGGAAAAAAATTGTGCTGACATTTACAAAGCTGGAAAGAGAGAAGACGGTGTGTACACCATTAAACCTGATAATTTGACTGCCTTTGATGTATTCTGCGACCAAACAACGGACGGTGGAGGATGGACTGTGTTTCAGAAGAGACTGAACGGCTCGATTGATTTCTATCGCTACTGGAATGACTACAAATGTGGGTTTGGTGACCTGAATGGCGAGTTTTGGCTCGGATTGGACAAGATTCATCGCTTGACCTCATGTAATAACAACATGCTACGTGTGGACTTGGAAGACTTTGAAGAAAAAAATACTTATGCTGAGTATAAGATGTTTGGTATTTTGAGTGAGAAAGACAAGTACAAGCTGATCCTTGGTTCTTATTCAGGTAGAACTGTCATTTCGTCTCTTCTATTCTAGTCATTCTAAGAAGGAAGAGGGGAGGAGGAAAGAGCTAAGTAATGTAAATATGCTTAAACTCTTTTCCATCAATAGCTTTGAAAACAAAAAAGTGACCTCTGCTCATCGATACGCAATCCTGGACAGCGCATACCAGACGTTGATTAGTTCAGAGGTATTTGCAGTCGGATCAGTGCAGTGCGTTGTTTACCTGACGAACTAATCCAGCTCTGATGAGTGTCTCGGCAAACATATTTATTGGCATTATCACATTGAATAATTCGATCTCTAGAATCTTCGACATGAATCATAGATATTACTAAGAATACTTTTACTCCATATCATTATCGTTCAATTATACATAAGCTCATTGTTGGTCAAACGTTATACTCATAGTGCGGCTCATTTTTTTTAGGAAATTCTAGTGACTCTCTTGCTTTGCATCGCGGTATGCCATTCACCACTAAAGATCAAGATAATGACAATTCTGAGAGTATCAACTGCGCCCTTAGGTACAAAGGAGCCTGGTGGTACGAGAGGTGTCACCACTCAAATCTCAATGGCTTGTATCTTCATGGCAGTCACTCGTCCCAGGCTGATGGAGTGAACTGGTTTCACTGGAAAGGATATAATTACTCTCTAAAGAGAACCGAGATGAAAATAAGACCAGTGGATTTCTGAACTGTCATGTTTATGGCACAACAATGATACAGTACCAACTTAACCAAAAAGACGAGTGTCCCGATCAAGTCTATTCATTAAATAATCACTCTTAAATTGGAGCTTAGCGAGATGTCGTTCAGGATATTTCTTGCTCCTTTGCGTGTGTTTTTCAAAATAGGAATAGTTGATTGTGTAAAATCTGCCAGTTAGCTGATAATAATAATCACATGATAGTAATAATAATGACTTAATCTATATAGCGGTACATACAAAAAGCTCCTTATCATAGTTGGAAATTGACAGTTAATCATAAGTAGCTCTGAAAAGATGCGTCTTTAATCGTTTCTCAAGAAAAAAAGAAACTAATGGACTCAAGTTAAGGATTATATGTGAGACATTCTATAGCCTGGGGGCAGTGGCTGAAAAGACCCTGTCTCCACACTGATTTTAAATGGGTCTGAAGTATTCACAAGAGTTATACAAGGTTTGATTATTTAATTTTTTTTACTCGTATTTTCACTCAACGGAACACAAAGCAATCACACAGCCTTCATTTTTTCTTAGTCAATATCAGAAGAGTAAACCCAGTCGCTAATTCAGTTCTAGTTCCCTTTAATTTCTATAACGAAACCCCAAGTAATTACCCAATGTTTTGACTTTAGAAGAACGCTTTCATAAAAACAAATATTTCAAGTTCTAGTGTACACTGGAATGCGGTAATGTAATGTCTATGATTCTAAAATGCTTCATTTCTTGCTTTTATTTGTATTTTCTCAGCTTTTTTGAGAGTGAATACCTTGCACTGTTATTGATAGACGTACGACACTTTTAATCATAAGAGCACATTGTCACGCCTAAGGCCCATTTTGTAGATATGGCTCATCAGGTGATTATGTTACATACACAGTTTGTAGAAATACCAAAAATAAGGATAAGAAGGTGAAATTTCTTTTGTTTTGTTCCCCCTAGCCTCGGAGCCATGTTAAAATTTTGTTACTTCGGATCACTTGTGATCATTGGTTCCCAGGCTAAAAGAGAACTCCTTACAGCTTTACTTATAAGTGTTTAAATCTTGATACATAAAAATTTTTCGATTCTTCACAATTTGAATGCGATGGGGAACGAAATTAAGAAACCAAGACCGTTCTTTTGGCTCGTTCTGCGGTTATGGCGTCCAACTCGTGCAAGGTTTTTAATTTAGACGTGAGTTTGTCCATATCGTTAGGAGTGCACCCCGGGTACTGAAGAATCTGCAGGTAGCTTTCCACCATCCACGCTCTGAGACTCATGGCTCTAGTGACAAAAGGAAATTTGTTGATGACGGGTTCAAACGATTCACCTTCGTTTCACCCTTTACACCCTAACATCAGGATGCATATTCTCCATACTGCTCTCTATACATTTCCTAAGATGATGACAGGGAGAATTTGTTTAACAATCAAGAGCTTCTTCAGTTGGTGATCATTTCATTTTTTCTCATGACCTTAATGTTTGATCCAGGGTCAATAATGTGAGGAGAAAGGAGATTTTTCTCTGTTGAACGTCCACGACCAATAATGCTGCGCATTGATTTTTAGGATTTGCTGTTCGGATTGTTAAATTTAAGGAAATTTACAGATTATGACAGTTTGCTACAATAAAATTACATCAAAAAGTCAACAAAGGAAATTAGAGGAACTTTTCGTTAAAAAATGGTGCCATTAATAGGAAAACCTGCAAAGAAAAAAATTTGCCTCAAGAATAAATTATTTCGAAGTAAAATAACACTATCGACACCTGAACACAAGCAGCATGCTCCGGTGGAAACTGTTTAAGAATGATTATCACCATCTCGAAGTGTCCTTGAGCAATTTTTGTCGTGATTGTCAAATCCTCTCTTGTTACTCTTGAAGTAAACAGCATTCCAGCGCTTCCCCACGCGATTGACGTTGAAGAAGAATCTGACATAAACTCTCGAAATCTGGAGGATAAAATGAAATTTAAAACGAAGATAAGTCTTAATATCTACTTTTTAACTTACTCTTGATGGATATATCCCACTACAATTATAAAAAAAGATGTTGTCATGCTCAAGGTCATTATTTGTGTCGAGGCTCATCTGTACATGATGCTATATAATGAGTTTGAAAAAATACCAAATGTAATTAGTAAGAGTAGGCGAGAACACAATAGAATAACAATAAAACATGAGTTCAGGGGTGTGTTGAGATATTTCTCTTAATTAGGTGGAAAAGTCACAAAACTAATGGAATCTCCTGAAGCCTATTGATGTGGATTGTAGAAAGGCGAACAAATCAGTTGAAAAGTATAGAGAATGATAACCAGGAAAACTTAATCATCACAACTCTTGCAAATTAAACTACACCTTTTGCGAATAGTCATTACAAGCTAGCTTTTCAAGTTCATCGCAAGTCAAATGTCGATTCATGACATCCTGCTTTCTTACTTGGTGGTGTTACGTAAAGGGAAAGATCACTCCACTAACACAGAGTTATGATGTGGATTATAGAAAGGCGAACAAATCAATTGACAAGTATAGGGAATGATAAGCAGGCAAACTTTGTCATCACAGCTCTTGCAAATTAAACTACACCTTTTGCGAATAGTCATAACAAGCTAGCTTCTCAAGTTTATCGGAAGTCAATTGTGGATTCATCACATCCCGCTTTCTTACTTGCTGGTGTTACGTAAAGGAGAGATCACTTCACTAAGACAGAGTCATCGCAGGTCATTATGTATAAAGTCAGGTACGAGGGTTTCACTGATAAAACAAACAGCGAGTTACTAGGGCCTGTTTCATAAGTTTATGTAATATTTCGTTTGTAGCGGTCTATTTTTGCGCGGGGGTCGAGGTATTCACAAGAGTAATGTCGGTCGACGATGTAAATGATGTCTTCAATAAAGCTATGTTGAGGGGCGATCGAAAGGGTAGCCTTAAAAACCCTTTACAGGGGCCAATTTGCATTATCAACTCAGTTCATAGAACTAAAGAAGATCTAAGATCGTAAGTCGGGCTACAGTTAGACGCGCTGTTACAAGTGTTGACCATTCACGGTGCGCAGTGGTTCTAAAAGAAATACAGAGGTACCATGGTCCTGGTTTGTGGGCGCGGCGTAAAGTTTTTTCACCCTTGAGAGACACCAATTCTACAACAACACACCGTCACATATTTTTGGAGGCTGCTGCTGTGGACCTTTTGAGGCTGAACAGCCCAAGAGGTACTAAACCAGCCCTTTTAACCTCTAAAGCTATGATGAGCACCTCAGAACGGGTCAATTTTTCGGTGTTTGTTCAAGCGTGAAATATTCAACTTTGTCTGGACAAACTGTCGCGCCTCATCATGTACAGATATGGAAAATCCGTACTGTCAGGCACCAACTTTAATTTGAACGCGTGAGAAGGCTATACAAACGACATTAAACAGGATTTGGCGGAAAATAAATGTTTGCTCTCTCCTGGTGCAATGCTATAAATTTCATTTCCTGATTATTGTTCATTATTATTATCTACCATCACAGGATAGTTATGGATAATGGATTGCAAGGATGTTTGATTGATTGGCATTCTATGCTCATTTAAAGGGTCTTCAATTTCTTCATTATTATCGTTTGAGTCATTTAAGTCATTAATTTGATTTTGGAATAAAGATTTTTCCTGGTTTACTGGTACTGAATCTTCAGTGCCTTCTACACAATCATCTTTAACTGAATTGTTTTTAGAACCTGTTGCTTCATTTACTGTTATAGAATTATCTGTCTCATCTAGTACAGTCAGATTTGTATCAATATTATTAACATCAATTTGTATGTCTTTATACAATGTAATATTTGCCTTAAGCCATTGCAAGGCTTGTAAGACAAAGTGATGCCTTACTGCTTGAAAGTATTGAAAGTAAACATGACCTCTGAATTGAAACTTTCTTCTGAGTTTTAACAGGATTATACCAGATCTCTCAGGAGGGCGTGGCAAAAGACTACTTGTCTGATCACATTCAACCGGTACATTACAAATTGCACCTTTTACTTTCCTCTGTTGACCTTTGGGCATAACAATAATCTTTTCAGATACTCTTCTCTGAGCTATTAGTATCTGCTCTAGTTTTTCAAGAGAGGCAAGCTCAACTGGTTTATTATCAACATACATGTTGTTTATCACAGCTTGACAAGGAACTTTACCTTGTTTAACTTTTGAGTTACATGTGTTACAAATATACTCCTTACCATCAAATGAAGTCTGAATGCTAAAATAGTGTTGATTGGAGTATTTAGTACTTAAGAAGTTTTTAACTGATTTCTTATACAGCATTCTATTGCATACACAGCATACATAATAAGGACCTTCTCTGATTTTCTCTTTGAATTCTTTAATGCAGACATCAATAGTTGGGATTGTCTCACTCTCATGCTGTAGTCTAACTTTGTATTTGATTTTTTTTTAAGAACTTATCTGTTGCAGCCTTTTATTTTTTGGAGAAGGTTCCATGTTGTCATAATTACATTTTTGTCTGTGCTTTTCCATGATGTGCTTGATTTGATGAAGGTCCATGTTAGATGTGCAAGACAAAAATTCCATTTCATAGTGAACAATATCTGTTTTAAGTTTCTTTGTAACAATGTTAGCAATAGCTTGTAGTAATGGTGGTATACCACTTATTTTTATTTGTTGTATTGCAGGTTCACAAGTATCTTCATAGGTCAATAAGGGGAACATGTACTTTGCTCTGACTGTTTGTTAAAAAATACAAGTGATACAGTAACTTACAAGCAAAATTAAGTTTTCCAACTTGTTTTTTGTATTGTTTAAACTAGTGGATAACATCTAGAATGTCCCCTGCTACCGTATAAGATGTATAATGACAGTAGTTCACGATATCTGTTCAGCGCTAAAAAAACAAATTGATGAGATGATGCCGGTTTAGCTAACGTTCGTTGAATTTTCTAAGGTTGTGTATATTGTTTTTCTTTTTGTTTCGTAATGTGTTTCATCTCTCAAAATTTTTTTTTGTATTGGGGGATGATGGATGGATCCTTCTTGCTATACGTTTTAAAAATAAAAATTTAGTGTGTATAAGGTTTGTATCATATTTTCACCAGCTTTACGAAACACGTAACGAATTGGTACACAGCTCCTATTCTTTCAAGAACACTTTCAGAAGAGTAAGTGACCGGTCATCATTTATCACGGGTGGGGGGGGGGGGGAAATCTCGAAGGATTTTGGTTGTGCCTAATCCACCCTAAGGCGCTGTAGTATTCGAAGGATTCCCCTTACTTGCGATCGATGATCTGTAATTTCCGCTCATTATATGAGTACCTATGATTACGTAGCACTCTGTTATTTATGAATACTAAACGTTACTTATATAGCGATACAGTTCAAGCTTTTCCTTAAAGCTATCGATGGGAATCTCTAAATTTTTTCCAGAAACTACTCCCCCCCAATGTTTGTTTTCGCAGTAGTGTCTATGATTCCCTTTTAGTTTTTTTGTGTTAGTCTTCGATTTTTCTTTCGTCTTTCCCTCGAAACTGGCATTAGACGAACTTCAAGATCCACCAGTTAAAGAAGCAAATAATTCTAAGCTATGATATAATAAATTTGTTTTGCTGTCTCACAACAAGGTTACTTGATGTAGAACGCAACGTTCCGACTGCTTACTAAGTCTTCTTCAGGCGATGGAGTCGACTGGTTGTGATAACTTGTGATCATTGTTTCCAGGCTAAAAGAGGGATCCTCACAGCTTTGTTTTCTTATAAATGATTAAAATCTTTGATACATAAAAAGTTTTCGATTTTTCACAATTTGAAACGCGATGGGGAACGAAATCAAGAGACCGAGACCGTTCTTTAGGCTCGCTCTGCGGCTATGGCGTCCAACTTTCGTTAGGTTTTTTATTTAAACGTGAGTTTGTCCATATCTTTAGGTGCACGCCTCGGATACTGAAGAATCTGTAGGTAGGTTTCCACAATCCACGCTCTGAAACTCATGGCTCCAGTGACAACAAGAAATTTGTTGATGACGGGTTCAAACGATTCACCTTCGTTTCACCCTTTACACCCTAACATCAGGATACATATTCTCCATACTGCTCTCTATACATTTCCTAAGAAGATTACAGGGAGAATTTGTTTAACAATCAAGAGCTTCTTCAGTTGGTGATCATTTACTTTCTTCTCATGACCTTAATGTTTAATTCAGGGGCAATAATGTAAGGAGAAATTAAATGCTAGTCATTCTATAAGATCAGCACAGATTCAATGAAAGCCGATTACCGGCGGTGTCTCTCCGCATATAAAACCTCTTACCGCCGTCTGTTTAACCCACGATCTGGCTCTTGTGTTTGGGTTTTGGGTTTAAAAACTATCAAATGCCAGTCGTAAAACGAATGCCGGGTGGGACGTGATGTAGCAATATCATCCAATAACTGGAAGTACATTAATCGGAAGTAGAGTCGTAGCAGAGAACCGGAAGTCAGAACATTTTAAAGACAAGGAATGTAGAAATGTCGTTCGAACTGGCGGGCTCCCTATGCCTAGAGTGGTTTAGCAAGAGGACGGGAACGTCATTTCAGAACGGGAAAGCGCGCGGATAATCTGGACACGACTCTATTTCGACTTCCGGTGTTAGCGTTGCCGTTCTCCCCATCAAGTTCAGGACGTCATTTCGCTGGTTTTCCCGTCGTGATCAAAACGCCAAGTATTTGCGTTCATTGTGTACTCATAAACGAGATGATGCTGTTTGGAATGATTTCAGAACTCATTTCCAATATAACCAGGTTACTTTCTTTATTTTATTCGGTGAATTTGTGAAAGTTTACCGCTACATTTATTCTGGATTCCCGAAAGGAAACACGATCGTCAGCAAGCGATCTAAGATTTTAGGACTCAGTTACCTTTTGTAATTGAGCGTGGCTTTAAGCAACGTAAGGGCTTTTCTTTGATACATTTCTTAAACCATGTATGAAAACTCCAAGAATGGTTGCTGTTAATTTTATCGTGAATCATGTCATCAATAAATTAAGCTTGCTTCATGTTGAAGTTTATCAAAATGAAACAACACGAAGGTTACCTGCTATATTATTCAGTGTTATTTGTTGTCATTGTCATTTTAACCGTGACTAAAAACTGTTCTGCGAATTGAAGTCAGAGATAAAAAAAATTTGAGAATAGCTCGGGTTTTGCACTTTTTTATGTCTTTAGTTTTTGATCAGCGCCGGTGAAAACTAAGACAAGAAAGTCATCTACGAAAGAAAATAACAATCAACTTGATTTCGGCACGGCTTTCTAAATCTATTAATTTGATTCGGTCTTGAACGACTTTATTCGTTAAAAAAAATCAAATTAAACAAAAACAAAATTAAAACAGGAACGAAGTCTGATTCCTCAGTCTAACCGTTTCGTTGGTGACTAGTTTGAGTGCATTTCATTTGTTCATAGTTGAACGGGAACTCATTGTAAACAACTCCATCGTTGGGTCGCTTGATCTCTAAATGTTTTCGTCATAACTTCTGATAACTCCGTTCAAAATGCATTGCAACTCTAAGAGGGTGGTGCTCAAAAGAGGTGTACCGTCATGATTGGGAAGAATATTCAGTAAACAAGGGAAAAAACCGCGACGATTTAAATTCCAAATTATACTTTACAAAATTATGAAGAAAAACGAGTAGTGCTAAAATCTAGAAGCACGAAACGAAATGACAGCGATACAAATCATAGAAAAAAAAATATTTAGTGGGCTTCAAAATCTGATAGACACGAGACTAGAATGGAATAATTTCAAAGTTTAACCGCCCATGTGGATTCATATTAACTACTCACTTGTAGTAAACTATCCTCGGTTTGTGCTTGTTACACCCTCAAAGAGGATAATTTCGTTGTCCTTCGAGTGGTCTACGAAACCGAAAAAATTCAAAGCTGATAATGATCCTAAAGAGCCAAGGTTAGGATATTCAAGAACGAAACAAAAGAACAAATATAGCGTGGACGATTCGTTGAAACGACTGCTAAGTCACTTTTCAACACAACGCGACGGCGTTCTCGACCCAGTTTCTTCTCGGCATTTTTGCTGCGCGTGCCGTTCTGAAATGACGTTCCCGTCCTCTTGCTAAACCACTCTATTTATGAATACTAAACGTTACTTATATAGCGATACAGTTCAAGCTTTTCCTTAAAGCTATCGATGGGAATCTCTAAATTTTTTCCAGAAACTACTCCCCCCCAATGTTTGTTTTCGCAGTAGTGTCTATGATTCCCTTTTAGTTTTTTGTGTTAGTCTTCGATTTTTCTTTCGTCTTTCCCTCGAAACTGGCATTAGACGAACTTCAAGATCCACCAGTTAAAGAAGCAAATAATTCTAAGCTATGATATAATAAATTTGTTTTGCTGTCTCACAACAAGGTTACTTGATGTAGAACGCAACGTTCCGACTGCTTACTAAGTCTTCTTCAGGCGATGGAGTCGACTGGTTGTGATAACTTGTGATCATTGTTTCCAGGCTAAAAGAGGGATCCTCACAGCTTTGTTTTCTTATAAATGATTAAAATCTTTGATACATAAAAAGTTTTCGATTTTTCACAATTTGAAACGCGATGGGGAACGAAATCAAGAGACCGAGACCGTTCTTTTGGCTCGTTCTGCGGCTATGGCGTCCAACTTTCGTTAGGTTTTTTATTTAAACGTGAGTTTGTCCATATCTTTAGGTGCACGCCTCGGATACTGAAGAATCTGTAGGTAGGTTTCCACAATCCACGCTCTGAAACTCATGGCTCCAGTGACAACAAGAAATTTGTTGATGACGGGTTCAAACGATTCACCTTCGTTTCACCCTTTACACCCTAACATCAGGATACATATTCTCCATACTGCTCTCTATACATTTCCTAAGAAGATTACAGGGAGAATTTGTTTAACAATCAAGAGCTTCTTCAGTTGGTGATCATTTACTTTCTTCTCATGACCTTAATGTTTAATTCAGGGGCAATAATGTAAGGAGAAATTAAATGCTAGTCATTCTATAAGATCAGCACAGATTCAATGAAAGCCGATTACCGGCGGTGTCTCTCCGCATATAAAACCTCTTACCGCCGTCTGTTTAACCCACGATCTGGCTCTTGTGTTTGGGTTTTGGGTTTAAAAACTATTAGATGCCAGTCGTAAAACGAATGCCGGGTGGGACGTGATGTAGCAATATCATCCAATAACTGGAAGTACATTAATCGGAAGTAGAGTCGTAGCAGAGAACCGGAAGTCAGAACATTTTAAAGACAAGGAATGTAGAAATGTCGTTCGAACTGGCGGGCTCCCTATGCCTATGCTCCCTATTAACTCGTTTTGCGAACCATAAAAATTCTACATGGAATATATGATGAGAACGACAAGAAATGTTACTTCAGGCGATAGCACTGGGAAGAACTTCCTCCTTATTTGGAAAACATAATTACCTTATTCTCACATCGAGGACGTATATGATTCCAAGATTGTATTTACTTTCGACCATAGACTACTATGCTTTATATGGCCGTAAATTCCCGCAATGGCGCTGCAGTAAAAGGTAAAAAAGTTAACGTCTGAACCAGTCGCTACCGTGGAGACTTTTGAAATTTTCCAGTACTGGACCTATATTTATACTGGTAGATTAACTGGAAATTTCTTTTCTCACCTTCGAAGTACTTCGGTAAAAAAACAATCAAAAACCGTGAAAGAAAAAAAAAACAGAGAGAAGACCGCGCAATACAAATATTTTTTCACAAACTATCTGGCCATGAGAACAAATCTATCCAATGGCTCTCCTAGTTCCTGATTAATGTGTCGCACTGTGTTTAAGTTCCTGAAAAAAATAGTGAGAGAGGACAAGGTTGAATACGAAGCAAACACTTTTCATTGGCGGTAGCCCGGGAGAAAGGGTAGGGAGGAGAAGAAAGGGAAGGATATAGAATTTAGTTCCACAGGAAAAAGCTCGAATCTCTAAAGCATCCCACCAGTTATCGAAGGGGATGTGGGTGGGGTGGGGGTTTGATACGAATCAAGGGCTCCGATATTGTTCTCTGTTCAACGTCCACGACTAATAAAGCTAACCGTATTTATTGACCACGTCTATGTCCATGACTTTCTTATTGATATTTTTTTTTAAACAAAGTTTTCTGAACGCCCCACGCCAAGCCGATAGCAACCGAGAGATAACTTAATATCCCCGTGAAGTAGATCAGAAGTAGATTAAACGATTAGATTAGATTAATCTAAACGAGGTGAATATGACGACTGACATTTGATACTTTTTAGGTAGTTAGGTTCGTTTCGTTTCGATCGTTTTGCTTTGGTCATTTCAGTTCGGGTTTTTTGTAAATGTTAATCATTTTCATGATATTATTTATTCATCCTGGTTGCCCGGGAAACAAGAGTAATTTTGATGAGAGCATTTTTTGTAAGATACTTTTTAAATTGGAAAATCATAACCATATAACTCCGGAGGAAAATGCGACACATTGTGTAGTTGTAAAGATTAATATTTTCACAAATTTTCAATTTGAAAGACATAAAACCGGTCATAACACTCCAATTATCTCCAGGGAAATAGGAAAATATTGTTTAGTTCAAAAACTTCTTGTATGTCCCGCTGTTTGACCAAATAATTTGCAGCTTTGTCAGCGGTATGGTCGCCAAATAATGATCTCTGGGAGAATGGATTAATTCAGTTTTTTTGAATGGTTGGTAGGGAAAACAATAGACTCCACACAGGAAATGTGATTTACGGAAGTGATCGATCGGGCCGGAAATAGAGCATTAACAACGATAAATTTGAAATGTTCTCATTGTTGTTACTGTTGTTTCTGTTTTATTTTGCGTGGAAGGTTAACCTGTAAAAGAACTTGTTTGCAATGTTTTCATTGTTAAGAAGATCAAGGAAAAGTTAGGAAAAGTGTTTTAGGGGTATGTCGATTGTGAGGGGGAAAAAAATGGGTGTTTGAGAGTTTCAAAACATCGCTGTTTCTCTTTGTTTTGTAGTCATCCCGGCTCAAGTGCAGTCAGCTGTGCAATCATCAGCTTTTGTATCGGGAATAGAAGCAGTAGGCCGTCTCTGGAGTCTAAACTAATCGCTCCTAGAGTTTGCCATTGTTCTTTTTCATTTCCTTTGAGCCCAATTCTCTTAAAGGAGATGAAAATGCTCGCTCAAAGTCCATATCTACTAACTAACTAGCTTGCGATCAATTTACCACGCGCCGGAACCTGAAAACAGCGTAAAAGCTGCGTAAAAGGCAATCTCTTATTCCTTTTTCTTTCACTTCCAAACTTGCAGAAGCACTAAAAGCATACTAGAAAAAATATCGGTATTTTCTTCTGGTTTATAAATTACACTTTCGATTAGTTACGATGAGTCGTAAGTTCACTCACACAAAATTAGATTACGTTCTTCGCTTCTTCCGCTGGCGCAGTGGACCATGTGCTCTATTTTGACAGGCATAGAAGTCAACTGGAAGCAATAAATAAATTGAAGAAAGCACGAAACCATAACGTTTTTTCTATTGATACCGCCAAGAACAAAACCAAGTTTGAAAAAAATTTTTCGCTCAGAAGTTAAAAATCTATCCATATTTCTTAGACCAAAAAGCCTTTCTTACTCAGAGCAATTGCGCTGTCTGAAAGATTTTGAATAAAATTCTGTTAATTCAGCCACAGGATATTTCACATTCTGTCACATCCTTCAGAGTTATTACAAATGTTTTTTGTTGTTTTTTTTTGGCTGAAGTTCTCAAATGCCATCCGAAAATCATAGAATGCTTGGGACCAGTCCAACTAAAATAAAATCGAGAATGTTTAATGCAAACTACCGAGCTCAACTACCATGAGCAAAACGATTCATAAAAAACTCAGGCCTCTGCACTTTGCATACATTTTATCGCATTGTTCAATTTCAAGTTGCAACAAAGTTAATCATGACTTGATGTTAATAATGTGCAATACTGTTCTATCGTTCTAGAGAATTTTTTGAGAGAAAGAAGGACAAATTATTAAAAGTTTGTATTTAAGAAGTGATCTGACATCTTTGGCGGCAGTAAGTCTGCAAAATATTTGTTCCTTGATCTCAACTTAATTGCCGCATGTAGAAAGGATAAATTATTGAAAGTTTGTATTTCTGAAGTGATCTGACATCTTTGTCGGCGGCAAGTCTGTAAAAATTTGTTTCGTGCTCTTAGCTTAATGGCAACAAAATTGAACGAAGTATTTGCCTTCGAATTTTTGTGATAATGAAGAGTCTCTTTATGTAGACAAGGCTGGCAAATAAATACCGAACACCTGCCTAACATCAACATTCAAATTCACAGGAAGAATTATATTTTGGGACGCTTACTATCATATTTTTCTACCTTAAATTAACAATTCAGTTTAATTTACAGCGATGCAGTTCAAGTTTTCATTTAAACCGATCATTAATATTCTCTATATCTTCCAAGGAATTATTCTCCCGCCATGTTTCTGTTGCACCGGTGAGTATAAATCCCTTTTTAAATTTCTTGTGTTTCATCTTTCTAGCGTCGTTTCTTCAAAACCATTTCACGAACTACATACGCTACCTGCTTATCAGAGCAAATAATGTTTAAGCAGACAATCTTTATTCAACTATCATGCATGTCTTCTTTTATGGAATAGAAGATACAAAAAAGTCAAATTTCAAAAATACCTCACCACATGCGCATCAATGGCTCATGATCCAAATGACGAAATAAAAAGAATCGGTTCACAGATATCGTGGTATAGTAATGAACGCTATGAAAATAATTCCTGATGTTTTTTTCTTTCCGCTGATCGATTCACAATCTAAGATTAATTTTTGGTAATGAAAGCCTCCCTGTTAATTTGAATTTTCGAGAGATATGATCACCTGTAGGGAAAATTTGTCAGGGTTCTCACGCAGTAAAGTTTTAAAATAAAGTGGTTCAATGTTTCAACAATGAAAATAAGAAACTACCATAAGTGAGTGGAAACTAAGCGATATATTTGTTTTGCCTACCACAGACGACGATTGTCGACACATTATATTCAAGGACCCAATACCGAACATGGCCATGAAAAATCACGCGATCAAAAGTGTAGAGGTGCCCAACGAAGGAAGTTGCCGAGTAATGTGTTATATGGAGCCTAATTGTGTGTCCATCAATATTGGACCTGTTGCAGGAGGAAACCAAAAATGCGAGTTGAATAACGCCACGGAGGAAAACCATGCTCCATTTCTTCTCGTGAAAAATCCGGGTTACACATATCTTGCAATCGAGGTAATAGCCCACATTCTTACGAAACTAAAGGGAGTCAGATACAGAAGAGATTGTTTCATTTTCTAAGGGTAAAGTGATCTTATTCTTGAAATAAGGAAGATCTGCACAAAAGTTTACTTTGTTTTGTCGACAGAATCCATGTAGTAGCAGCCCATGCTTAAACAAGGGCACCTGTCAAGCTGGATTCACCAATAAAGGTTTTCGTTGTGTCTGTCGGGAAAGGTTTACTGGAGAAACCTGCCAAGTTGAAGGTGAAATGGTTGCATTGTATGGGCCGGTGTCTCGTGTAATACGCGAGGAGTTACTCACTAAAGTCCCAAACTTAACTTCAAGAACAAAACATTAACCACTGAGATAAAGCTAAAAAGGAAAAGTCTATTTCTGTAACTTTAAATGAATATAGTTGGTAGATATTAAGGAAAAAGAAATGGTATTTGTCAATGTTCAGAACCAAGTTTTATCAGCCACAGCAATAGTCAGGAAAGCAAACGAAAAGCGTTAACATCCAAACAATTTAAAGTGGGCGTTCTACTTTGTTTTTTGTTTTTAATGATTTTCAGTCAAAAGAAACTGCGCAGAAATCTACAAATCCGCGCAACTTACTGACGGCGTGTATACCATTAAACCTGATAATTTGCCTGCCTTTGATGTATTCTGCGACCAGACAACGGACGGTGGAGGATGGACTGTGTTCCAGAAGAGACTGAACGGCTCGGTTGATTTCTACCGCTACTGGAACGACTACAAATGTGGCTTTGGTGACCTGAAAAGTGAATTTTGGTTGGGATTGGACAAGATTCACCGCCTGACTTCAAATGATAACAACATGCTGCGTGTGGATTTGGAAGACTTTGAAGGAAACACAGCTTATGCCGAGTATAACACGTTTCATGTCAAGAGTGAGAATGACAAGTACAGGCTGATTCGCGGCTCCTATTCAGGTATAACGGTATTTTCCTTTTTATTATTACGGGGGAGGAGAGCGTAAATTGAAGTAAAGAAGCTTAAATTCTTTTACAGCAACAGTTTCCAGAGATGAAAAAAATGATAAGCTAAGCCCATCGAAATGCAATAATCCTAGACAGTGCAGACCAGACGTTGATTAAATCTGAAAGTGTTTGCCGATGGATCTTGTCCTGTTAGCCCGACGGAACAATTCAAGTCTGATCATAATTGATCTATTAGCAATATCAAGCTAGCGTTTTCATTTCACGGGGACGTTTGATAAGAATAATGTAAATTTCTATTTTATTTACTTTTTATTACCGTTAATTCCAATTTTTTTTAGGAAACGCTAGCTCCTCTCTCTCCCATGATCGGCCATTCACCACTAGAGATCGCGATAATGATCATGACACAAAACGCAACTGCGCCATTGTATTCAGAGGAGCCTGGTGGTACAGCGCGTGCCATGCATCAAATCTCAATGGCTTGTATCTTCGTGGCAATCACTCTTCCTATGCTGATGGTGTGAACTGGAAAGGCTGGAAAGGTTATCATTACTCCCTAAAGAGAACTGAGATGAAAATAAGACCAGTGAATTTCTGAACTGTCATATTTATGTCATAATTTTAAATAAGAACCTACTTAGCAAAAACGAGTGATTTTATCAAGTCTATTCAGCGCTAAAAAAAACATTGATGGGTTTGCCGGTTTAGTGAACGTTCGTTGAACTTTCTAATGTTGTACGTATTGTTTTTCTTTTTGTTTCGTTATGAATTTCATCTCGTAATTTTTTTTGTATTGAGGGATGGATGTATCCCTTTGCTATACGTTTTAAAAAACGTAAAAGGTTTGTCTCATATTATCACCAGCTTCTCGAAACATTAAACGATTTAGTACACAGGTGTTATTCTTTCAAAGAGACTTTATGAAGAGTAAGTGACCGTCATTATTTTGGTGGGAAAGGGGGGAGGGGGGATCGAGGGTTCTTGGTTGTGCCTATTCCCCCCTAATAAAATTCCCTGCATTTGCAATCAATGTTCTGTAATTTCCGCTTATTGCATGATTACCTACGATTACGTATCTCACTGTTATTCATGAATGTTAAACGTCACTTTTGTAGGAAAAGGGCTCATAAAGTGCATTATGCTACATTACTTCGTTAAAATACAAAATGTCCGAACGAGTTTTTTCGAACAGAAAAAAAATCAACTTGACTTTCCACATTTTTCAAAGGCCTCTTGCGCGACGGTAACTCAATGAATTCAAATTATTAGATCACAAAGTTAAAACTAGTCTAGCACATAAAAAAGAGAAAACTTGTGAGCTGGAAAACTTCCCTAAATTTGAAAAGCTGCAAATAGCAAGAAGGGCGGTGTCGTTTGTGTTCATCGCTTATAAAGCGGCGGTTTTCTTCTGTAGTCATAGCTACAGCACTTACACACCTGGTTTTTTGACAATAAGATTAATAGAGTAGATTAAAAAATTTCATGTGCTCCAGTACAGACGAATTCTATTAAAATGATCCATTTTTTCCACTAAATGTGCCTTTTTAGCGAGTAACTCATCTGGAAAGATAAAACTTTAATATGAAGAAATTCCACCTGATTCCACCACATTCTTCAAGGAATGAAATAAACCCATTAGCAGGACGGCGTCAATGCTACCAATAACATAACTGAGAGAATTACTCGCTTGCGACTGAGTACCACGATAATTAGGACAAAGCTCAAACATAAATGCCGAAGACCTACCTGGCACTGAATTTGAGAGGGAAAAGGTATTTCAGCTATTATGGAGACCAGTTTTTTTATCAATGTGGTCACGATCAATTCATAGTTTTCAATTATAGCGACACAGTTCAAGCTTTTCCTTGAAGCTGTCAATGGGAATTTCTAATTTTTTTTCAGAAACTATTTCCCCACTATGTTTTTTTCGCACTAGTGTTTATGATTCGCCATTTAATTCTTTTTTCTGTGTTCGTGTTCGATTTTTCTGGCGACGTTTCCTCGAAACCAGCATTAAACGAACTTCATAAGCCACCAATTATAAAAGGAAATAATTTTAAAATTAAACACGATATTAAACTAGAAATATTACTGTTTTCTATTGTCAAACTTGACACTAGTTTCTACTGCGTTTGTGTTCCAATAATTATCATCCACATCTAATCAATTGTGGCTTTTTCATAGAGTTTGACTTTCTGGCATTTTTCAAAAACCCTCTACTGGACTATTCGTTTGAAGATTTTTCCGACGGCTCTGACATTTGGCTTGTTTTGAAATACAACTAATTACTAAATAAACCCCTTCGGGCGGCTGGTAAATCGGCTGATAATGCCCACGGCTGAGATATTGTCCAAAATTAGGAATGCTTGGCCGAGAAGTAGAGCCTCGAGGTAAAATGTGAAGTTTTGAGGACAAACTTTAATTTATAACGTACGGACGGTAAGTTACAAATTTATTTGTATAGATTATTCATTTTTTTTTATATCACGCGAGATCGCTCGCTCTGAGCGTAGTTGCGACCAAGTTTCTAATATTTTACTGGACTATACACCTAGAATTTGTTTTCTTCTGTGTAAGATAATTGAGCTGGCTCTCTTCCACTGGCTATATTTCTTTGCAACGGAAATACCGGGGTTATAGCGTGGTAACTGTCCGGGTTTAACATTTCTCTTGAGACTCGGGAGGCTGATATATCAACTGATAATGTCCAAAATTTGGCCGAGAAGCAAAGCCTCGAGGGAAAATGTGCAGTTTTTGTGGACAATTTTTCAGCCAAGGACATTATCAGCCGAAATACCATCAAGCCAGAAAGGGGGTCTATTTATTTTATAACGTACCCTGTTATTAATTTTCATATGATCCGAAACCGCTCTTAGAAAACAAGTGCTTGTCTGATGCGGATGCGTAGGTGCGACCAGCCTTTTAATATTTTACAACACTCTACAAAAAGAGTGTTTTTCTTCCGTGTAAGATAATTGAGCTGACTCTCTTCCACGAGCCTTGTTTCTTTTCGTCGGAAATAATCCGAGGACAGACCGCGTTTATAGCGAGGTAACTGTCAGGTGATTTTGCACCACGTTATGTAAAGTGGCCATTAAAACGACGCGAAAATGAATGAGTGGATTACAACGATATAGTTTTGAATAACATTTCGCTCGAGACTGCCTCGCTTGTTTGGGTTCCTACAGTTACTGACCATATTTCATAATTTCAAACTTTGTGTAAGAGTTAGACTCGCTGACTTTTTCAAAAATCCTCCCGGTCTTTTATAGAGGTATTTCATTGACTATTACACTTGTCCAATGTTAGTTAGAGAAAACCAACCACCCAGAGTTAACAAAAAAGCAATGATCCGATGACTGAATTTAAGTAGAACAGCTGAACAGGAAGAAGGCCTGAGGCGTTTATGTTCACCACTCATTAAACCGTTCTGTTTTGTAACCATAGTTACAGCACTTTAAACACTTCTCTATAGGGTAACAAAACACGATTGTCACTCCTGACACATCCGAACACAGTATCGAGTACGACAAACATTTTGTCAGCCAGAAGGTAAGAAAAATATTTGTGAGCAACTTATTGCACTTGAATCTGTTGCAGTAAGTTAAAAGACAAACAAGTTTAAGCTAAAAACCATTCACGTTTAAACTCCAGTCATTAGCGTGATGTGTTCTGTTTTCGTCTCTACCGATGCTTTATGAAATATAATGGCTTATTGAAGCATAGAAAACAAAAATTATGTAAGTGGCTCATTGTATGCTGATGTTCCTCTTTTTGTGCCTTGAATGAATGAATTTTTATTTACTAAGGAGAAATTCCCATAATGATTACCTTTCCAAACAGAGGAAATGAAAAAACCCATCAGCAGAACGGCGTCGATAATTCCAATAATACAAATAAAACAAAGTATTTGTTATCGAAATTTCGCGATTACGAAGAGTTCCTTTGAGGAGAAATAGCTGAACAATTGCGTGACCTTTATTAGCATTTCAATCTATAGAAAAACAGGAAGTTTTATAATTTGAGACGACTTTCAATGGTCACGATCATGATTCTTACCTTGGAGTTAATTTTTAATTTATAGCAATGCAGTTGAAGTCTTTCCTTGAAGCTATCATTGGTAATATCTATATTCTTCTTGGAACAACCCTCCCACCGTGTTTTTGTTGCACTGGTGAGTAAAACTACGCTGTTATTAAATTTTTTGCTTTTCATTCTTCTGGCGCTGCTCCCTCGAACCATTAGAAGAACTAGGCCACCGGCGAACAATGCAAACAATCTTTAAGCAAATACTTATTTTCTAACTCAAAATGTCTCCTTTTAGGCACATATACGGAGACTATTGAATACGGTTTCCCTTCATCGTATTTGAAAAAAGCCCTAAAAGATGGGCATATTTATAAATTGAAACAAACGAGTCAAAGATATTGTAGTGTGCTAATTAACGCCATGAAAATTATTATTTTTCGGATATTTTCCGTAACATACATCCTTTACGCTGAATAAATAAAACCTCCTGTTAGAATTGAAGTATGAAAAGATGAAAATATCCTTCAGAGAAAACTCTTCAATAAAAGTTTTCATGCAGTAAGTTGGCAAAATAGCGTGCTTTAATGTGTTTCTCTACCAATTTTTACGAGTAAGCGATAACCTGCATGGACGAGTATGTAATCCTATTCGTTTTGCTTTCCCCAGGCGACGATTGTCGAAACATTATATTTAGGGACCCAATACAAAACATGGCCATGAAGGATCGTGTGATCTGGAGCGCAGAAGTGCCCAATGAGGGGAGCTGCAGAGTCATGTGTTATATGGAGCCTGATTGCGTGTCCATTAATGTTGGACCTGTAGAAGGAGGAAACCAAAAATGCGAGTTGAACAACGCCACTGAGGAAAACCATGCTTTATTTCTTCTTGTGAATAAACCAGGCTTCATATATCTCGCAATCGAGGTAAAAATTTCGCACATTTTACCAACCTGAGAGGAGTCAGACACATGATTTCTTTTCATTTAAGGTCAAAGTGATCTTATTATTGATTCTTGTCTAAGGGGAAAGCTACAAGAGCTTTATTTTGTTATTGATCAGAGGAGGTTGTTTAATTTTTTGGCGCTAAAGTGATTTTATTCTTGATGTAAGGAAAAGTTTCACGAACTTTACTTTGTTTTACCAACAGAATCCCTGCAGTAGCAGTTCATGTTTGAACAATGGCACCTGTCAAGCTGGATTCACCAGTAAAGGTTTTTGTTGTGTTTGTCGTCATGGATTCAGTGGAGAAAATTGCCAGTTGCAAGGTAGCATAAAAAGCGTTTTCGTTCACAAATCCTCTTGGGTTAAATGAACCACTGGAATTAGGGTAATTTACTAACTGTTTTTAGAATCTGGTGTCAGAAGTAGATTTAAACTCATTCTTAAATCGATCATTGTGGAGTATATATTTAGAAATGATTGAATTTTATTCCTTGGACGAGTGTCTGGTGTGCGCGGCGTCGAATTCTACAATTTTCTCATTTATTCATAGGCCTGAAAAAAAATTGTGCTGAAATTTACAAAGCTGGGGAAAGAAAAGATGGTATGTACACTATAAAACCTGATAACTTACATGCCTTTGATGTATTCTGTGACCAAACAACGGAGGGTGGAGGATGGACTGTGTTTCAGAGGAGACTGAACGGCTCGGTTGATTTCTACCGCTACTGGAACGACTACAAATGTGGCTTTGGTGACCTGAATAGTGAATTTTGGCTCGGACTGGACAAGATTCACCGCCTGACCTCTGATGTTAACAATGTGCTGCGTGTAGACTTGGAAGACTTTGAAGGAAAAAATGCTTATGCTGAGTATAATATGTTTCGTGTTATGAGTGAGAATGACAAGTACAAGCTGATTCTTGGTTCTTATTCAGGTAGAACTGTCATTTCGTCTCTTCTACTCTAGTCATTCTAAGAAAGGGGAGTAGGGGGGAGGAGAGTGCTTAGTAATGTAAATATGTTTAAACTATTTAATATCATTCAATAGCTTTGGAAGACAAAAAAAAGGAACCTCAGCTCATCGATATGCAATCATGGACAGCGCATACCGGACGTTGACTAGTCCAAAGGTATTCGCCGGTAGATCATGCGTAGTTAACCTGACGAAATAATCCAACTCAGATGAGTGTCTCGGCAAACATATTTATTGGCATTATCATATTTAGTAATTCAATCCCTAGAATCTTCGACATGAATCATAGATAATACTAAGAATGCTTTTATTCCATATCATTACTGTTAAATTATACGTATCTGATATTTCAAGATTTCTTTTGAATTACAAACGGTTCATTGTTGGTCAAACGTAATACTCATAGTGCGGTTCATTTTGTCAGGAAATTCTGGTGACTCTCTCGCTGTGCATCGCAATATGCCATTTACCACTAGAGATCAAGATAACGACATTTCTAAAACCAACGTTAACTGCGCCATTAAGTTCAAGGGAGCCTGGTGGTACACAAGGTGTCACCAATCAAATCTCAATGGCTTGTATCGTCGTGGAAATCACTCCTCCTTTGCTGATGGAGTGAACTGGCGTCATTGGAAAGGTTATCATTACTCCCTCAAGAGAACCGAGATGAAAATGAGACCAGTGGATTTCTGAACTGTCATGTTCGTGGCACAACAGTGATACAGTATCAACTTAACAAAAAAAACCAGTTCCTCGATCGAGTCCATTCAGCATTTAATAATCACTATTAAATTGCAGCTTAGCGAAAGGTTCGTCGCAATGTTCGAGCTTGTGTAGGGTTTTTCTTGCTTCTTTGTGTGCGTTTTTCAAAATAGGAGTAAATGATTCTGTAGAATCGGCCAGTTAACCGATAATAATAATAATAATAATAATAATAATAATAAGTAGCTCAGGAAAAATACGTCTTTAATCGTTTCTCAGAAACAGAAACTGATGGACTCAATATAAGATTTATGGGTGAGACATTCTGTAGCTTGGGGGCAGCGGCTGAAAAGACCCTGTCTCCATAAAATTTTAGGTGGGTGTTTGGTGTTTACAAAGCTATCCTCGAATCTCAGTGGCTTGTATCATTATAGCCATCACGACTCTATGTTCCTTCTTTATATATAGGTTTTGACTCGTATTTTCACTTAACGGAACACAAAGCGATCACACAGTCTTCATTTTTTCAAAGTTAATCAGAAGACTAAACCCAGTCGCTAATTCAGTTTTAGATACCTTTGATTTCTATAACGAAACCCCAAACAATTACCCAATGTTTTGACCCTAAAGAACGCTATCAGAAAAACAAATATTTCAAGTTGTAGTGTACACTGGAATGCGATAATGTAATGTTGAGGATTCTAAAATGCTTCATATATTGGTTTTATTTGTATTTTCTTAGCTTTTGTTAAAGTAAATACCTTGCACTGTTATTGATAAACACATTGCACTTTGAATTATAAGAACACATCGTCACGCCCAAGCTCCATTTTGTAGATATGGCTCATCAGCTGATTATGTAACGAACTAAGTTTGTAGAAATACCAAATGTGAGGATGAGTAGGTGAGAATATAATGAAATAAAAATAAATCAAAAGTTAAGCATTCAATGTCGTCTGTTCAGAAGTTTTTCTTGATGGGGAAGAAACCTCTTAAAATAATGAAATCTCCTTGCGGTGTAAAAATGCGAACTGCAGCAAAAGAAACAAATCAATGGACAGAAAAAAAATCTTTTAAGAAAGCAGAACTTTCATTATAACCATAGCAAAATTAATTAAACCTCTCTCGTAAACAAGTCATAACAAGCCAACTTTTGAAGGTTATCGCGAGTCAGATGTCGATTAATCACATCCTACTTTCCTACTTGGTGGCGTAATGTGGACGAACAAGATTCCTCCACCAAGACGGAGTTACGGCAGTCAATATTAAGTTTGTACCAGTCCATCTTCGACGAAAGTCAAGGCATTCAAAGGAGCCATATCGATCGACACTGAAAGTAATATTATTTATGTTAAGTTATTCTAGCAGCCGCACTAAATCGCAAGTTAGGACTTCGCTCTTGATGAGAAGTATCGTATAACGCTTGTAGGAAAACAATCTTTCTATATATATGTATATGTATATATATATATATATATAGGAAGTCTGTGTATTGATTTTTCCGTTTTACAGTACTCGATACGAACGAGTAGAGCGCGATATATGTTGCGATAGGGGAAAAAACAGAGAGACTATACTTTCATTCCTACAAGCCTGTTTCGTGATTACTCACTCATCAGGGGATTTTATAATCAATATATATATATATATATATATATATATTGTGGGAGGAAAAAGACAAATAAACTACAAGTTCATCCCTACAGGCCTGTTTCGTGGTTGCCCACTCATCAAGGGATTTTGATCCCCTGATGAGTGGGCAACCACGAAACAGGTCTGTAGGGATGAACTTGTAGTTTATTTTTCCTCCCACAATATAGGCATCACTCTACTCCTATGTATTTAGTACTGTTTTACGAAAGTCAAAATTTTACACTATATATATATATATATATATATATATATATATATATTATTATGAGAGGAAAAAAGGACGCAACTACATTTCCCGACAAGCCTGTTTCGTGAATCGCTTCACTCTTCAGGGGTTTAATATATATATATATATATATATATATATATATATATATATATATGTGCGTGTGTGCGTGTGTGTGTGTATAAGTAAAAGAATCAAAGGGGACGCATCGATCCTCTGTTACTCTGAGTTTCGCGCCTAAGCACTTGTCAGACAGGCTCTGTCTGACGAGCGCTTAGGCGCGAAACTCAGAGTAACAGAGAATCGATGCGGCCTCTTTGATTCTTTCACTTATATATACTCAGCTCTGCTACCACAGCATTGAGCACTTTATGCCAAGGTAGACTCTTCCCCCACATTTATATATATGTGCATGTATATATATATATATATATATATATATATATATATATATATATATAAGCAGCGTAGAATTGGTATACCTGACGATGAACTCTCACTAAGAGGATCCACAAGATACAATGTCTCGACGTGAATTTGTGGTTAAGTGTACTATACGGACGTAACAAAGAGGCCAACTCTTGACTGTCCTGGACGAGTTTAATGCACGACGTTTCGGCTGTTCAGCCTTCTTCAGGTTAAAATTAAAAACTAAAAAGATATTTACAATGTTTGCGACTTATATACAAAATAGAAATTTTAAGATTGAAGTTACGTAATACAACAAAGGTTTAAATTACAAACTGAGAAGGGTTAAACAATGAGAGGCAAATAAAGAACTATAGGTGACATGCGAATACAAATAAGTGACAAAAATTAGAGAGAAAAAAGAATCTAACTTAATTAGTAGTGTTTACTCCGGATTAACAAGCTCCCATCTGGCAAAATTGGATTGTAGTCGAGCACCAATGGAAAAACTTTCTTAGCTGGCTTGACCTTTTTCCTCAACAGTTCGGCTCTTGGTAAACTAAGAGCTTTGTCGAACTGTTTATCAACAAGCTCCGCTGGATAATTTTGCGATTTCAAATACCCTTTGTATTCCTTACCTCTATTTTGCAAGCAATGAGCAGGATTTACCTCGTGCAAGGTGGAATAAGCAAGGGAAGGTAAAATTTTAAGGCTACGTGCTTTTCAAATTGTTTCGAAATCATGCGACTACCTGTGCGAATATATCATTAGTAATACGTTTAGTCCCTAAGTTCTGACGCCCGTTGTCAGAGCGAATGACGAAGGGCTTACGACCGACACTTCAGCTTTGGAAACTCATTAGGGTGGCAATATACATTATGAACTCAGTTGATAAAACTAAATTATCTTGTAAACGGAAATTGAGCTACAGCTGAACCATCCTGTGCGACCATCCTCCGCAAATTGGCCATTTTCGATAAATCAAAACTCAAACGTGGCTCCCTCTGAGGCTTGGGGGACTAAACTAAAAGAAATCACATCGGGGTTGAGAGATGAATAATTAATTTGTTTTATACCCCCTAGCCTCGGAGCCATGTTAGAATTTTGATCTATCGAAAGTGGCCTTTTGGATAGCCTGTGATCATTGCTTTGCAAGCTAAAAGAGGACTCCTTACAGCTCTATTTACTTATAAATGATTAAAATCTTTGATATATTAAAGTTTTTAGTTATTCCCTATTTTAATGCGATGGGGAACGAAATCAAGAAACCGAGACCGTTCTTTTGGCTCGTTCTGCGGCTATGGCGTCCAACTCTCGTTAGGTTTTTTAATTTAAACGTGAGTTCATCCATATCTTTAGGTGCACGCCACGGGTACTGAAGAATCTGCAGGTAGCTTTCCACCATCCACGCTCTGAGACTCATGGCTCTGATGACAACAAGAAATTTATTAGTGACAGGCTCAAACGATTCACCTTCGTTTCACCTTACACATCCTAACATCAGGATGCATATTCTCCATACTGCTCTCTATACATTTCCTAGGATGATGACAGGGAGAATTTGTTTAACAATCAAGAGCTTCTTCAGTTGGTGATCATTTCCTTTTTTCTCATGACCTTAATGTTTGATTCAGGGTCAATAATGTGAGGAGAAATTAGATGCTAGTCATTCTTAAGGGTCAAAGGGTTAATAATCAGCACGGATTAGTTCAGGAACGATTTTTGATTTAAAACCGAATTCTCTACATCAGATAACTGAATGAACAAATAGATAAATAAAAAGATGAATAAATAAAGGAAAAGATAAATTAATCAATTAACTGAATAGGCTTTAATAAAAAACATTTCAACCCTAAACGCGGTTAGACGTTTCGATGTCGTCCTAAACATCACCATCAAGAAAGTTAGAGTCGGAGTCGGAGTAGTGACAAATGAGTGTAAGAGATAAAATGAGCACAATGTTAGCATGATTATGTGAAGAGGGAATGATTACAGCTAACCATGGACAGAGATTAGGAGGCAGCAGGCTCTTGTGTTTGGGTTTGTTTAGAAACTTTCAGGGAGAGGAATCGAACCTCAGACCTTCGGATTCCGTTTTCCGATGCTCTACCACTGAGCCATAGAGACTCAACAGTGAACGAAGTCTATAACGAATTTATATGACACGCGTCCTGCATACTGTTAGGATCAGCAATGGCGATAGCGTCATGTATGTAAATAAAATAAGAGATGGTAAGTTTAGAGCTCGGTAATGAAATAGAGAAAGATGTTTTACGTATAGTCACGAGCATCGGACAAAGAAAAAACTCTGAGTTCCCACGAGGAGTCGAACCTCAGACCTTCGTATTCCACACTCCGATGCTCCACCAATGATGAGCCACACGTTGAGCGAGGTCTATTACGAAGTTCATATGACACGCGTCCAGCGTACTGCTAGGATCAGCAATTCAATAGCGTCATGTTTGTAAATGGAATCAAAGAGATGTTTTGAACTCGGTAAAGAAATAGAGAAAGGTGTTTTTCGTCGTGTCACGAGCGTGGGACTAAGAAAAATTCTGAGTTGTCTGAGGACGTATGACTCAAAGACCATAGACTATATACTATGCTTTATATGGCCGTGAATTCCCGAAATGGCGCTGCAAAAAAAGGTCCAAAATTGGTGTCCGATAGGTTGCGAATGAAAATCTTTGAAATTTTCCAAAATTTGACCCATAGTAATACTGGTAGATTAACTGGAAATCTCTTTTCTCGCATTCGAAGTATTTCCATAAAAACCTATCAAAAAGTGAAAAAGGTAAAAACAAAACAGTAGCCTAGGGGAGAGGGGAGGGGGAAGGGGGCAGGGGAAAGCCGGGGAAGGATATAGAATGTAGTTCTACAAGAAAAAGCTTGAATCTTTAAAGCATCCCATCGGTTATCGAAGCGGAGGTGGGTGAGGTTTGATCCTTATCAAGGGCTCCGATATTTTTATCTGTCCAACGTCCACGATCAATAAAGCTGTACAGAAATTTCAGGATTTGCATTTCGGTCTGTTAAATTTAAGGAAATCTACAAATTATGACAGTTTGCTACAGTAAAAATACATCAAAAAGTCAACAAAGGAAATTAGAGGAAGTGCCCTGCTAAAAAATGGTGCCATTAACAGGAAAACGTGCAAAGAAAAAATCTGCGGCAAGAATAAATTATTTCGAGGTGAAATAACACTATCCACACCTGAACACAAGCAGCGTGCTCCGTGGAAGCTGTTTTAGAATTATTACTTTCTCGAAGTGTCCTTCAGCGAGCTTTGTCATGATTGTCAAATCCTCCTCAGTCACTCTTAAAGTAAAAAGCATTCCAGCGCTTCTCCAAGCGAACGTACGTTGAAGAAGAATCTGACAAAAATTTTCGAAACCTGGGAGATAAAACGACATTTAAAACGAACACAAGTCTAGATAACTACTTTTTAAACTAACTCTTGATGGATATATCCCACTATGATTAAAAAAATGTATATTGTCATGCTCAATGTCATTGTTTGTGTCGAGGCACATCTGTACATGATGCTTCATAATGAGTTTGAAAAAATACCAAATGTAACTAGTAAGAGTAGGTGAGAACACAACAATAAAACATGAGTTTAGGGGTGAATATCATCTGCTATGTGTTGAGATATTTCTCTTAATTAGGTGGAAAAGTCACAGTTAAGGTTCCCTCGCCGCCTAATAATAAGCCGATGGCAATCAAGAGATAATTGAATTTTCCCGTGAAGTAGATCAGGAGTAGACCATAATCTAAACAAGAAGAATATGACGACTGACATCTGACTCCCGAGGGAATTCATTTTATTATTACTGACTGTTATTTTTTTTTTATACTTTTTTGGTCGTTGGGTTCGTTTCGTTTCGATCGTTTTATTTTGGTCATTTCAACTTACGCGTCCATACGTTTTAGTTAGAATTTGCTCGCGTATGCCCTAATTTTGAAATTGTAACAATTCACGGCAATTTCATGAGATCAGCTTATTAAACTCAAATGTCTTAGCTTTCGCAGTCTGTCTTTCGGAGAATTCTGACTCGGGCACATTATAGGTGCATCGATTTATCCACGGTGTAGGCGCAGCCTAGAAACTTCTTTCCTAGAAAAATCAAGATTTCCGGCCTCAACATTAAGTGTAAACAAAACTACCTCTTTCAACACGGCGGAAAGCCGCTCAAAATCTTCAGGGAAACAAATTATTGTACAGAACTGTTGCTTCTGTCTAGCTTATCGGGTAGCTTTAATTTTTCGATAGCATTTTTTGCAAGATACTTTCTAACTTGGAAAAAGCATAACCATATATATAACGCCGCAGTTAACACCGGAGGAAAATGCGACATATTGTGTAGTTCTAAAAATTTATATTTTCATAAATTTTTTTTTTGAAAGTCATAACACCTCAGTTACCTCTAGGGAAAATAGGAAAACATTGTGTAGTTCGCTGAAAGTGTTTTGACCAAATAATTTGCAGCTTTGTTTAAGAGTTAAACTTGCCATATAAGTTTTTCAAAACATTCTCTGTTTTTTATTGAAGTATTTCGTTGACTGTCTTATCCAGTGGTACTGAGATGTGAGATCAGTCATTTAGATTTAAACACAAAAGCTATGAGCTGATGACTAAGAACAATCAGTACAGCTGGACAGGAAGAATGGCTGTGGCGTATAGAGCAGCAATTCTGTTTTGTAACCATAGTTACAGAAGCTCAAACAGTTCTATAAATTAAAGGAAAGCACGACACCATAAAGTTTTCACTTTTGATAATCTCAGGAACAAAACCAAGTGCGAAAAACACTTTTTCGCTCAGAAGGTAAGAAATATCTCTGTGAGCTACTTATCTATATATCTTGGACCAAGCCTTTCTTGCTCAGACCAATTGTGCTGATAGCAGAAATGATCGAGAAAACTTTTGTGTAAAATTCTGTCAATTCAGCCACCGGATATTTCACATTCTGTCAAAGTTGTTGCAAATTTGTTTTTTTTTTATAGGTTGAAGCTCTCAAATACCATCCGAAAGTCAGAATTCTTGCGACCAGTCTAACTAAGATAAAAGCGGGTGATGTTTAATGCTTACTACCATGCTCAACTACCACTAGCAAAACGAGCCATAAAAAAACTTAGGCCTCTGTGCCTTAAGGTTGCTACAAAGTTAATTTTTATTTTAATAATGTGCAATGCAGTTCTATCGTACTGGGAAATGTTCTGAGATAAAAAAAGATAAATTGTTAAAAGTTTGAATTTCAGAAATGATCTGATATCTTTGTCGGTAACAAATCTGCAAAAATTTGTTTCTCGCTCTTAACTTGATTGCCGCAAGTTCAAAGTCAAACAGGCTGAATATAAACATATTGATAAACTCCTGTCACCTCCAATAAGTGTGATGTGCTCTATTCCGTTTTTCTCCGACGCTTTTGAAAATATTATGGCTTATCAGAATAAGATAAAATTTACAACGTAGAGTGAGAATTTTAAAATACTCCAACACAGATAAATTGCGTTACGGCGGTCTATAATTTTGCTGTTTTTGGGCCTTTTGCAGCCGTTAACACATCTTCGAAAATGGATATTTGATATGAAGAAGTTCAAACTAAGTTTTTTTTTTTGTGTAAGGGATGAAACAAGCCTTTTAGCATAAAGACGGGTTTTAGACCAATAACATAACTGAACGAAGTATTTGCCTTTGAAATTTTGTGATAATTAAGAGTTCCTTTAAGTAGATAAAGTTGGCAAATAAATGCCGAACACCTGCCTAATATTTGTCTACATTCAAATTTACGGGAAAACATGACGATTTATAATTTTGGGACGCTCACTATCATATTTTTACCTTGAATTTACAATTATTTATTTACAGCGATGCAGTTCAAGTTTTCATTTAAACCGATCATTAATATTCTCTATATCTTCCACGCATTTATTCTCCCACCATGTTTCTGTTGCACGGGTGAGTATAAATCCCTTTTTAAATTTCTTGTGTTTCATTTTTCTGGTGTCGTTTCCTCAAAACCATTACACAAACTACATATGCTACCTGCTGATCAAAGCAGTTAATCTTTAAGAAGACAATCTTTATCTACGGTAACTCAAAATGTCTACTATTATGAAATAGACGATACAAAAAAAGTCAATTTTCAAAAACACATGCGCATCAATGGTTCAAAATGAGGAATTAAAACAAACGATTCACAGATATCGTGGTGTGGTAATGAATGCTGTGAGAAAAATTCTTGATATTTTCCCTAACATTTTTTTTCCGCTCGTTAATTCGCTATCAAAGATTAATTTTTGTTAAGTTGAATTTTCAAGAGATGACAATCACCTTTAGGGAAAATTTCTCAGGGTTCTCATGCAGTAAAGTTTTAAAATAAAGTGGTTTAATGTGCCTTTTTCATCAGCGAAAATAAGAAAGTACCTCGAATGAATGGAAACTAAACGATATATTTGTTTTGCCTACCACAGACGACGACTGTCGAAACATCATATTCAAGGACCCAATACCAAACATGGCCATGAAAAATCACACCATCATAAGTGTAGAGGTGCCCAACGAAGGAAGTTGCCGAGTAATGTGTTATATGGAGCCCAATTGTGTGTCCATCAATATTGGACCTGTTGCAGGAGGAAACCAAAAATGCGAGTTGAATAACGCCACGATGGAAAACCATGCTCCATTTCTTCTCGTGAAAAATCCGGGTTACACATATCTTGCAATCGAGGTAATACTTCACATTCTTACGAAACTAAGGTGGTAAAAGAGATTCGTTCGTTTTCTTGGGCTAAAGTGATCTTATCCTTGAAATAGAAAGATCTGCACTTTACTTTATTTTGTCAACAGAATCCTTGCAGCAGTAGCCCATGCTCAAACAGTGGCACCTGTCAAGCTGGATTTACCTATAAAGGTTTTCGTTGTGTCTGTTGGGAAAGATTCACTGGAGAAACCTGCCAAGTTGAAGGTGAAATGGCTGCACTGTGTGGGTCAGTCTCTCGTGTAGTAAGCGAGGAGTTACTCACTAAAGTCTGGACTCCAAGAAAACAAATATTAAGCGCTTAGGTGAAAAGCCTATTACTGTAACTTTAAATGAATATAGCTGGGAGATATTAAGGAAGAAATGGTATTTGTTAATGTTCAGAATAAAATTTTATCAGCCGGAGCAATAGTCAGGAAAGCAAATAAAAAGCAGTCAACATCCAAACAGTTTAAAGTTGGCGTTTTTGTTTTTTTTTTTTTTTTTTTTTTAACTGATTTTCAGTCAAAAGAAACTGCGCAGATATCTACAAATCCGCGGGTGAACCAACTGATGGTGTTTACACCATTAAACCTGATGAGTTGCCTGCCTTTGATGTATTCTGTGACCAGACAACGGACGGTGGAGGATGGACTGTGTTCCAGAAGAGACTGAACGGCTCGGTTGATTTCTACCGCTACTGGAACGACTACAAATGTGGCTTTGGTGACCTGAATAGTGAATTTTGGTTGGGACTGGACAAGATTCACCGCCTGACCTCATATAATAGCAACACCCTGGGTGTGGATTTGGAAGACTTTGAAGGGAACACAGCTTATGCTGAGTATAACTTGTTTGGAGTTATGAGTGAGAAAGACAAGTACAAGCTGATCCTTCGTTCTTATTCAGGTAAAACTGTCATTTCGTCGCTGCTATTCTAGTCATTCTAAGAAGAAAGGGGGGAGGAGAGAGCTAAGTAATGTAAATATTCTTAAAGTCTTTTACATCAATAGCTTTGGAAGACAGAAAAGTAACCTCAGCTCATCGACATGCAATCCTGGACAGCGCATAGGTATTCGCCGGTGGATGATGCGCAGTTAACCTGACGAACTAATCCAACATTGAGGAGTGTCTCGGCGAACATATTTTTTGTAGTTATTATATTGAGTATTTTAATCCCTACAATCTTCGAGAAGAAACATAAATATTACTAAGAATGCTTTTAATCCATGTCATAATTGTTAAATTATACCTATCCGACATTTTAAGATTTGTTCTGCCTTACGAACGGCTCATTGTTAGTCAAACGTAATACTCATAGTGCGGCTCATTTTGCCAGGAAATTCTGTTGACTCTCTTGCTTACCATGACGGTATGCCATTCACCACTAGAGGTCAAGATAATGACAATTATGGGGATCACAACTGCGCCATTGAGTACAAAGGAGCCTGGTGGTACAAGAAGTGTCACCTCTCAAATCTCAATGGCTTGTATCTTCGTGGAAATCACTCCTCCTTTGCTGACGGAGTGAACTGGTTTCACTGGAAATGATATAATTACTCTCTAAAGAGAACCGAGATGAAAATAAGACCAGCTGATTTCTGAACTGTCAAGTTTATGGCACAACAGTGAAATAGTACCAACTTAACAAAAAAACGAGTGTCTCGATCAAGTATATTCAGCGTTAAACAATCACTCTTCAATTGGAGCCTAACGAAACGCTGTTCAGGGTTTTTCTTGCTTCTTCGGCCAGTTAACCGATAATAATAGTAATAATGATAACAATAATAATCATAAAAGTATTTTTATGACTTAATTTATTTAGCGGTACAAAAAAGCTCCTTATCAAAGTTGGGAATTGACAGTTAATCATTAGTAGCTCTGAAAAAAAGCGTGTTTAATCTTTTCTCGAAAAACAGAAACTAATGGACCTAATTTAAGGTTTATGGGTGAGACATTTTATAACCTGGGGGCAGCGGCTGAAAAGACCTTGTCTCCATAAAAAGTTTAGGTGGATCTGAGGAATTCACAAGATTTATCTCGAATCTCAATGGCTTGTGTCATCATGGCCATCGTATAGTAGCTAATTCATTTTTAGTTCCCTTTGATTTCTTTAACGAACCCCAAACAATTACCCAATGCTTTGACTCTAAAGAACGCTATCAGAAAAACAAATATTTCAAGTTCTTGTGTACAATGGAATGCAGTAACGTAATGTCGATGATTCTAAAATGCTTCATATAATGCCTTTGTTTGTATTATTTTAGCTTTTGTTAAAGTAAACATCTTGCACTGTTATTGATAAACATATTGCACTTTTAACCATGAGATCACATTGTCACGCCCAAGGTACATTTTGTAGATAGGGCTCATCACGTAATTATCTTACAAACCGAGTTTGTAGAAATAGCAAATGTAAGGATGAGTAAGTGTAATTTTGTTTTATTGCCACTAGCCTCGAAGCCATATCAGAATTTTAGTATTGGATCACTTGTGATCATTGGCTTGCAGCCTACAAGAGGACTCCTTACAGCTTTGTTTACTTATAAATGATAAAAATCTTTGATATATAAAAAGTTTTCGATTTTTCACAATTTGAATGCGATAGGGAACGAAATCAAGAAACCGAGACCATTCTTTTGGCTCGTTCTTCTGCTATGGCGTCCAACTCGTGTAGATTTTTAATTTAGACGTAAGTTTTCCCATATCTTTAGGTGCACGCCCCAGCTACTGAAGAATACAATACAATACAATACAATACTTTATTTATACACGTAACACCAAGGAGCTCCTGAGTGCTCGTTAAAACGTGTACGTGTGTATTAATGTAAAACAATAAAATTGTACAAAATGTAAAAGGATAAAATTAATCAATTAATTAATAAACACTACCTAATTACTAACTAGTAATAATCTATGTACAAAATTTAACAACTCTAAAAATTTAAAAAGCTCTTCAAGTCATATGAACATTAAGAGCCCGCTTAAAAGATACAGTGTCTTTGGACTCTCTAATCGTTGGAGGCAACGCATTCCACAGTTTACTGACCAAAAAGATAAAAGATCTATGCATGTACTCCAAGTTGAATGGGGGAAGTTCCAACCTGTTGCTGAGCCCTCGTAAGTTATATTTAACATTCTTAAGATTGAAAAACTTACTAATATAGGGTGCTCCGTAGCTATACAAGCACTTGTATAACATAACTAGCGACTGGAATTGCCTGCGTTGTTCCAAAGACTTGATATTAACTATTTTTAGGAGGTAGTCGTATGAAACAGACTTCGAAAAGCCTAAGATACTTCTTAATAAATAGTAATTAGTGTTCTCCATTTTGGTAGTCTCAGCATTACCTATACCCAGCAAAAGAGGGCCGCAATACTCAAGATGTGGTAGAACATATGCCTTGTAGAGACGTACCATTACATACTTCGGAATAAACTTGCGTAGTCTCCGCAAGGCCGAAGCCTTTGCGCATGCTTTTTTCAGCTGTTCCTTTGTGTACACCTAAAAGGTTAGTTTACCGTCTAAGACTACCCCTAAGATCTTAAGTGCGTCTTGCTTCTCAACCTTCACATTATTGAGATGAAATTCATATTCATATAATGACGGCTCGATGGCAACAGCTTGCGTTTTAGCGGCATTAATCTTTAAGTAATTTAATCCGAACCATCTTGATAGCACGCTGAGATCAGAGTTAATAACACACTGCAGAACCGTCGGTGAGACATCCGAGGCATATTCCGTCGTGTCGTCAGCATGCAGCCTTAAGGACGTATTAGAAACGAAGTAATTAAGATCATTAACGTACATATTAAATAAGAGTGGACTTAACAAGGATCCCTATGGTACTCCGTTTGTTATAGTTCTCCGCGGAGAATATACTCCATCAAGTTTAACACTTTGTCTTCTACCTAAAAGATAGGCTGTCATAAGTTCCAAGGCATCATCTGTAAAACCATACGCTTTCAGTTTGGCCAGCAGAAGTGGGTGACAAACAGAATCAAATGCCTTACTTAAGTCAACAGCTACTACTACAGATAGAAGATAGAATTCCACCATCCACGCTCTAAAACTCATGGCTCTAGTAACAACAAGAAGATAATTGTTAGTGACGGGCTCAAACGATTCACCTTCGTTTCACCCTTTACACCCTAACATCAGGATGCATATTCTCCATACTGCTCTCTATACATTTCCTAAGATGATGACAGGGAGAATTTGTTTAACAATCAAGAGCTTGTTCAGTTGGTGATCATTTACTTTCTTCTCATGACCTTAATGTTTAATTCAGGGCAATAATGTGAGGAGAAATTAACTTCTAGTCATTCTACAAGATCAACACGGATTCAATGAGAGCCGATTACCGGCGGTGTTTCTCCGCATATAAAACCTCTTACCACCGTCTGTTTAGCCCACGACCTGGCTCTTGTGTTTGGGCTTTGGGTTTAAAAACTATCAGATGCCAGTCGTAAAACGTATGCCCGGATGTGATGTAGCAGTATCATCCAATTACTGGAAGTACAATAATCGGAATTAGATTCGTAACAGTGATCACTCAGTGATTTGCTCCCTCGGCGGTCCGCTGTCGCACGGCTCTCCTGTTGTTGTGTTTTTTTTGATCGTGGGCATCCACGCTTCTGGAATTTCTATTCCAATATCCCTGTTGATGTTGTTAGGGTCCAAGCTCGCACGCTACACCAACCATCTCACCTTCCTAACAAGGTGCATCAGGAACCGCGTTGTTCCTTGTTTTATTAAAACAGAAAGAAGACCACGGGATACAAATATTTTTCACCAACCATCTGGCCATGAGAACAAATTTATCCACTGGTTCTCCTAGTTCCTGATTAATGTGTAGAACTGTGTTTCAGTTCCTGAAAAAAAAGAGAGAGAGAGAGAGAGAGAGAGAGAGAGAGAGAGAGAGAGAGAGAGAGAGAGAGAGAGAGAGAGAGAGAGAGAGAGAGATGGGACAAGGTTGAATACGAAGCAAACAGTTTTCAACAGCGGTAGGCTGGGGGAGAGGGGAGGGGGGAGGGGAAAGAAAAGGATAGAGAATGTAGTTCTCCAGGAAAAAACTCGAATCTCTAAAGCATCCCACCGGTTATCGAAGGGGAGGTGGGTGAGGATCGGATGGTAGGTTCGATCCGAATCAAGGGCTCAGAGTCTTTTACTCTGTTCAACGTCTACGACTACTAAAGCTGCGCAACAATTTTAGGATTTGCTATTCGGTCTGTTAACTTTAAGGAAATCCACAAATTAATGACAGTTTGTAACAGTAAAAATACATAAAAAATTCAACAAAGCCAATTAGGTGAACTTGGCCTCGCTAAAGAATGGTGCCATTAACAGGAAAACGTGCAAAAATATCTGCGGCAAGAACAAGTTATTTCGAAGTGAAATAAAACTATCTGCACCTGAACACAAGTAGCATGCTCCGTAGAAGCTGTTTAAGAATGATCGTCACTTTCTTGAAATGTCTTTTAACGAGCTTTGTCATGAATGTCAAATCCTAGCGTTTCTCCAAGCGAATGGACGTTGAAGAAGAATCTGACAAAAATTCTCGAAACCTGGGAGATAAAACGACATTTAAAACGAACATAAGTCTTAATACCTACTTTTTAAACTTACTCTAGATGGATATATCCCACTTTAATTATAAAAATATATATTGTCACGCTCAATGTCGTTGTTTATGTCTAGGCTCATCTATACATAATGCTTCATAATGACTTTGAAAAAATTCCAAATGTAATTATAATAAAGTTCGGATATAACGCGCGCTGTCATTGGTTAAAAGAGCGTGCTCTATAAGAGTTTATAATAAAGTTCGGATATAACACGCGCTCTCATTGGTTGAAAGAGCGTGCTCTATGAGAGTATAGAGCATAGAGCTGAGCTAAAGCCGTCACGCCGTCTGCCAAATTGTACTATGTTCGACCTTCTCCGGGATTTCTTTTAGCTTTTTTTCGATAATTGAAAGTGAAATTTCGGAATAAGCGACCCGGCGAGTAGCGACAGAAGTACCAAACAATGGTTTGTAAACATACCAGGCGCCGTAATTTACGTTATTAAAACGTGCGCAGATACAAAAATCCTCAAAGGGAAAAACAAAATAGACATTCCGAGTTTTAAAGATTTTCACGCTCAGTTAGATTGCAAGCTTACGCACGGTAATAAAAATCAAACACAACTAACACTCGTATAGTATATAAAGTTCAGTGTTCAAAAACAAAACAGAACAAAACAGAAATGATGAAAAATATAACCAAACTGGCATAACCTTTCAAATTCGTACTAATCATGACGATGTCTGAGCGAATATGATCATGCTGAAGTCCATCGCGGCTTGCTCATCATGGCGATCTCCGGTCATCACAGTAAAGCAAGCCTCAGAAACTAAATCGGCCGCCCTTCGAGTGAAAAGATTAGAGCTTGCTCTGATATCCTTTCCCATGCGTTGAGTGGAAAGTCACATCAGTCACTGCACCGAACTATTTTAGTTTGTAAACTATCGCAGATTGTGAACTTTGATGGTTGGACACTTTTGACAGTTTTTGTCCTGTACAGCCAATTAGATTATTTGAACCATTCTAACAGGGATTCTGATTGGCTTCTCCCTAAACTTCTTTCGTGCTCTAGCCGCTTCCTGCGTGCTTTATACCAGAGCAGAGCACAGTCAAGGCTTCTCTATTTGTTAATTGGTAAGAGTAGGCGAGAACACAATAGCAAGTCAGTATGTGGAAAGTTAAGTGCGAGGGTTTCACTTACAATATGAAGAGCGAGTTACTGGGGCCTATTTCGTAAGTCCATTTTTGCATGAGGGTCAAAGTATTTACAGGAGTTATGTCGATCGACGATGTAAATGATGTCATCAATAAAGCTCTGTTGAGGGGCGTTCGAAATGATAGCCTTTGAAAACCCTTACCGGGACCAATTTGCATTATCAACACATTTAAGAGAACTAAGTTTTCTTGTCATTAATAACAGCCTGTTTTTAACAAGAGTACAAGAAGTATCGTACAGTGCTTACTTGTAACAGTATATGACATTCTCTGTAACACCGCATATTTTATCATCACTCTGGCCTATGGCTTCCTGAGTAAAAAAAACCTCAAAGTCGACATGACCCTTGCATTTTATCGCCATTTTCCCTAAGTTTGTGAGCACTTTTTGTCAAGATCACTTTTGTTAGCGGACAGATATTGAGCCAAAATGTTGAATGTGTGATGATATCGTTAATAATTTTTGCATGTGCTAAAACCCGAAACAGCAAAACGAAACGACCAAACCGTAACGACCGTTATGACAAAAACAACACCACTACAACGATCGAGACGAGTAGATGATAAAAAGTTGACTTCACCTCAGATATTCTCTCGCATTTAAGGATTTTACATATCAAGGCCGTCTCACGAAACTTAATTTTTTCCGCCACGCGAGCAACTGAAACTTTAACTTGACACTTATATGTAGTTTCCAGAACGGAACGCCAGCCTCATTGAATACTGAAGCGTATACGGAAAGGAGAGAAAGAAACAGATTACGGTATTCATTGACAACGTCTATGTCCGTGACTCTTTTATTGACTGTTTTTTTCTTTAATTAAGGTTCCCTCGCCGCCTAATGCTAAGCCAATGGCAATCAAGAGATAACTGAATTTCCCTGTGAGGTAGATCAGGACTCCCAAGTAGTTTCGGTCTTTGACTTTTAAAACATTTTTTAGTGACACTTGAGTTCATTTGGCTCTGATTTCCTCCATTTTCCCCGTAAATTTTGAGCTTTTCATTCACAGTTGTCGGTTAACTGGTTCAATTGTTCTCGCTCAAAGCGAACTATAAAATGTGGCGTGTCACAGTTTTTGACCAGCCAATCGGGACGTTTGTTTACTTTTTTTCGTGCGTTGTGAGAATTTTGCACTGTATCACAATAAAAGGCTTCTTCGCGCAGATCCTTGTCGTCGCTCCGCTATAAAAGAATTTGCTTTTTCTTTTTTACAAACAGGAACTTTTTTCCCCATATAAGAAAGGTGACAAACAGGACCCGTGGCGTATATCGAACGTTATAAGATCTTAGAGAATGCCGTTCATGCACGATCAGGGGAAGTTTGGGGCCGTTTTTTACCTGACGAGAGTTCACACCGTGAATCTTCCAAAAACTGTCCCGCTTTGGTGTGGATGATACTGCTATAGTTGCCCTCGGTTGACCTTTCCTTTCCAGAAACCAAGTTAATTGTTGTGGTAGAGCCCAATCTGACCCTGCCTCGAGCTACTCTTACGCATTTTTTGTCTTTCCTCCAAACTCATTTCAGAAATCGAAACTACGCATTTTTCCAAACTTCCCGCGTGCATCCATAACTCGATATACGCACGCTAAGCATGAACAAATTCTTAAATTCACGGAGATTTCAATTATCAGTTTATTAAACACAAATGTCTTAGCTTTCGCAGTCTGTCTTTCGGAGAATTCTGTCCCAAACACATCACAGGTGCATCGATTTATCCAAGGTGGAGGCGGAGCCTAGAAACTTCTTTCCTAGAAAAATCAAGGTTTCCGGCCTCAACATTCAGCGTAAACAAAATTACCTCCTACAACACAGCGAAAAGCCGCTCAAAATATCCAGAGAAACAAATTATTGTACAGTACTGTTCCTTCCGTCTAACTTATCGGGTAATTTTGTCGCGAGCATTTTTTGCAAGATACTTTCTAAATTGGAAAAAGCATAACCTTATATATAACACCATAGTTAACTCCGAAAGGAAAATGCGACATATATTGTGTGGTTCTAAAAATTAATATTTTCATAAATTTTTCATTTGAGACACAAAACTGGTCATAACACCTTAGTTACATCCAGGGAAAACAGGAAAACATTGTGTAGTTCTAAGACTTCTTACATGTCCCGCTGAAAGTGTTTTGATAAAATAATTTGCAGCTTTGTTTAAGAGTTGTCATATAAGTTTTTCAAAACATTCTCTGTTTTTCACTGCAGTATTTCGTTGACTGTCATATCCAGTGGTACTGAGATGTGAGATCAGTCGTTAATTAGGATTGAAAAGCTATGAGCTGATGACTAACACAATTAGAACAGTTGGACAGGAAGAAGGACTGTGGCGTATGGAACAGCGGTTTTGTTTCGTAACCATAGTTACAGAAGTTCAAACAGTTCTATAAATTAAAGGAAAGCACGTAAGTAAGTTTTCACTTTTGATAATCTCAGGAACAAAACCAAATACGAAAAACACTTTTTCGCTCAGAAGGTAAGAAATATCTCTGTGAGCTACTTATCTATATATCTTGGACCGAGCCTTTCTTGCTCAGACCAATTGCGCTGATAGCAGAAATGATCGAGAAAACTTTTGTGTAAAATTCTGTCAATTCAGCCACGCAGTTTCACATTCTGTCAAACTTGTTACAAATTTTTTTTTTATAGGTTGAAGCTCTCAAATACCATCCGAAAGTCAGAATGCTTGCGACCAGTCTAACTAAGATAAAATCGGGTGATGTTTAATGCTAACTACCATGCTCAACTACCATTAGCAAAACGAGCCATAAAAAAATTAGGCCTCTGTACCGTTGCTACAAAGTTAATTTTCATTTTAATAATGTGCAGTGCTGCTCTATCGTATTGGAGAATGCTTTGAGATGAAAAAGGATAAATTGTTAAAAGTTTGTATTTCAGAAGTGATCTGACATCTTTGTTGGTAGCAAGTCTGCAAAAATTTGTTTCTCGCTCTTAACTTGATTGCCGAAAGTTCAAAGTTAAACAGGCTGAATATAACATATTGATAAACTCCTGTCAGCTCCAAAAAGTGTAATGTGCTCTATTCCGTTTTTCACCGATGCTTTTTAAAATATTATGGCTTATCAGAATAAGATGAAATTTACAAGGTAGAATAAGAATTTAAAAATACTCTATTGCAGATAAATTGCGTTACGGCGGTCTATTATTTTCCCTTTTTTGCGCCTTTTGCAGTCGTTAACACAGCTTAAAAAATGAATATTTAATAAGAAGAAATTTAAACTAAGTTTTTTTCGTGCAAGGGATGAAACAAGCCTATTAGCATAAAAACGTTTTTTAGAACAATTACATGAGGGAACGAATTACAAACGTATTTACCTTCGAGATGTTGGGCTAGTTAAGAATCCCTTTAAGTAGACAAAGCTGGCAAATAAATGCCGAACACCTGTCTTACATTTGTCTACATTCAAATTTACAGGAAAACTGGACGATTCATATTTTGGGACGCTCACTGTCATATTTTTACCTTGAATTTACAATTATTTATTGATGGCGATGCAGTTCAAGTTTTCTATTCAACCGATCATTAATATTCTCTATATCTTCCATGGAATTATTCTCCCACCATGTTTCTGTTGCACCGGTGAGTATAAATCCCTTTTTAAATTTCTTGTATTTAATCTTTTTGGTGTCGTTTCCTCAAAACCATTACACAAACTATATATGCTACCTGCTTATCAGAGCAAATAATCTTTAAGCAGACAATCTTTATCTAACGATTATGTCTACTGTTATAGAATAGGCGATACAAAAAAAGCCAAATTTCAAAAAGACCCCATCACATGCGCATCAATGGTTCAAAATGATGAATTTAAACAAACGATTCACAGATATCGTGGTGTGGTAATGAACGCTGTGAAAATACTCTTGATATTTTCCTTAATATTTTCTTTCCGCGCGTTAATTCACGATCAAAGATTGATTTTTGTTAAGTTTAATTTTCAAGAGATGACAGTCACCTTTAGGGAAAATTCGTCAGGATTCTCGTGCAGTAAAGTTTTGAAAGAAAGTGGTCTAATGTGCCTTTTTCATGAGTGAAAATAAAAGAGTACCTCGAGTGAGTGGAAACTAAACGATATATTTGTTTTGCCTACCACAGACGACGACTATCGAAACATCATATTCAAGGACCCAATACCAAACATGATCATGAAAAATCACGCCATCATAAGTGTAGAGGTGCCCAACGAAGGAAGTTGCAGAGTAATGTGTTATTTGGAGCCTAATTGTGTGTCCATCAATATTGGACCTGTTGCAGGAGGAAACCAAAAATGCGAGTTGAATAACGCCACAGAGGAAAACCATGCTCCATTTCTTCTCGTGAAAAATCCGGGTTACACATATCTTGCAATCGAGGTGCCAGAAGAGATTGTTTCGTTTTCGTAGGCTAAAGACATAACATAAGGAAGATCTGCACTATAGCTTACTTTCTTTTGTCAACAGAATTTATGCAGCAGCAGCCCATGCTTAAACAATGGCACCTGTCAAGCTGGATTCACCAATAAAGGATTTCGTTGTGTCTGTCAGGAAAAATTCACTGGAGAAACCTGCCAAGTTGAAGGTAAAATGGCTGGATTCTGTAGACCAGTCTCTCGTGTAGTACGCGAGGAGTTACTCACTAAAGTTTCAAAATTGACTTCAAGAAAAAAATATTAACCACTGAATGAAAGCTAAAAAGGAAAAGCCACCTACGGTCACTTTAAATGAATATAGCTGGTAGATATTAAGGAAGAATAAATGGTATTTGTTAATGTTCAGAATCAAGTTTTATCAGCCAGATCAATAGTCAGGAAAGCAAACAAAAAGCACTCAATATCCAAACAATTTAAAGTAGGAGTGTTGTTTTGTTTTTTGTTTTTTGTTTTAACTGATTTTCAGTCAAAAGAAACTGCGCAGAAATCTAAAAATCCGCGGGTAAACCAGCTGACGGTGTCTACCCTATTGAACCTGATAATTTGCCTGCCTTTGATGTATTCTGTGACCAAACAACGGAGGGTGGAGGATGGACTGTGTTCCAGAAGAGACTGGACGGCTCGGTTGATTTCTACCGCTACTGGAACGACTACAAACGTGGCTTTGGTGACCTGTGTGGTGAGTTTTGGCTCGGACTGGACAAAATTCACCGCTTGACCTCAGATGATAATAACACGCTGCGTGTGGATTTGGAAGACTTTGAAGGAAACACAGCTTATGCTGAGTATAACTTGTTTGGTGTTATGAGTGAGAAAGACAAGTACAAGCTGATCCTTGGTTCTTATTCAGGTAGAACTGTCATTTTGTCTGCTCTATTCTAGTCATTCTAAGAAGTTAGGGGTCAGGGGAGGAGGAGGAGAGAGCTAAGTAATGTAAGTATGCTTAAACTCTTTTACATCAATAGCTTTGGAAGACAAAGAAGTAACCTCAGCTCATCGCCATGCAATCCTGGACAGTGCATACCGGACATTGATTAGTCCAAATCTATTCGTCGGTGGATCTTTCGAAGTTAACCTGACCAACTAATCCAAATCTGCGGAGTTCTCGGCGAACATATTAATTGTAATTATTATATTGAGTATTTTAATCCTTACAATCATCGACAAGAATCATAGATATTACTAAGAATGCTTTTAATCCATATTATCATTGTTAAATTATACTTATCTTATATTTTAAGATTTCTTTTGAATTACGAACGGCTCATTGTTGGTCAAACGTAATACTCATAGTGCGGCTCATTTTGTCAGGAAATTCTGGTGACTCTCTTACCAAGCATCGCGATATGCCATTCACCACTAGAGATCAAGATAATGACATTCGGAAGGATCACAACTGCGCCGTTAAGTTCAAAGGAGCCTGGTGGTACCGTTCGTGTCACCGCTCAAATCTCAATGGCTTGTATCTTCGTGGCAGTCACTCCTCTTCTGCTGATGGAGTGAGCTGGAAAGACTGGAAGGGTTATCATTACTCTCTCAAGAGAACCGAGATGAAAATAAGACCAGAGGATTTCTGAACTGTCATGTTTGTGGCACAACAAACAGCGCCAACTTAACAAAATAACCGAGTGTCTCGATCAAGTATATTCAGCATTAGACAATCACTCTTAAATTGGAGCTTAGCGGAACGTTGTTCAGGGTTTTTCTTGCTTCTTTGTGCATGTTTTTCAAAATAGGAACAGTTGATACTGTGGAATCGGCCAGTTAATCAATAATAATAATCATCATAATAGTAATAATGACTTAATCTATATAGCGGTACATACAAAAAGCTTCTTATCATAGTTGGAAATTGACAGTTAATCATAAGAAGCTCTGAAAAAATGCGCTTTAATCTTTTCTCGAAAAACTGAAACCAATGTACTCAATTCAAGGTCTATGGGTGAGACATTTTACAGACTGGGGGCAGCGGCTGAATAGACCCTGTCTCCATAAAATTTTAGGTGGGTCCTAGGTATTCACAAAAGTTATTCGCGAATCTCAATGGCTTGTGTCATCATGGCCATCACGACTCCTATGCTCCTTCTGTCTGGATTATACAAGTTTTGATTCTTTAAATTTTTGACTCGTATTTTCACTTAACAGAACACAAAGCGATCGCACAGCCTTCATTTTTTCGTAGTCAATATCAGAAGAGTAACAACAGTCGCTAATTCAGTTCTAGTTCCCTTTGATTTCTATAACGAAACCCCAAACAATTACCCAATGTTTTGACTCTAAAGAACGCTATCAGAAAAACAAATATTTCAAGTTTTAGTGTACAATGTAACGTAATGTCGATGATTCTAAAATGCTTCATATATTGGTTTTATTTGTATTTTCTTAGCTTTTGAAAGTGAATACCTTGCACTGTTATTGATAAACATATTACACTTTAAACCATAAAAACACATTGTCAAGCCCAAGGTCCATTTTGTAGATATGGCTCATCAGGTGAATATGATGTTCGTCATTCTTAAGGGTCAAAGGGTTAATAATCAGCACGGATTAGTTTAGGAACGATTTTCGTTTTAAAACCGAATTTCTACGCCAGATAACTCAATGAACAAATAGATAAATAAATAGATAAAGAAATAAAGAAAAAGATAAACAGATAAATTAACTGAATAGGCTTTGAAAATACTTCAACAAAAATATCAAAAATTAGCGTAGTTAGACGTTTCGATGTGGTCCTAAACATCACCATCAAAAAAATTAGAGTCGCACTCAGAGCAGTGACAAATGAGTGTTAGAGATAAAATAAGCACAATGTTAGCATGCTTATGTGAAGAGAGGATGATTACAGCTAACCATGGACAGAGGTTTCTTTGAAAGCTGGTTACCGGCGGTGTCTCTCCTCATATAAGACCTCTTACCGCCGTCTGTTTAGCCTGAGAGCAGGCTCTTGTGTTTGGGTTTGTTTAAAAACTATCAGAAGGAGGAATCGAACCTCAGACCTTCGGATTCCGTTTTCCGATGCTCTACCTCTCAGAGCCACAGAGACTCGACGGTGAGCGAGGTCTATTACGGATTTATATGACACGGGGACCAATTTACATTATCGACTCAGTTGATAGAACTTAGTTATCTTGTCGTTAATAACAGTCTGTTTTAACAAGAATACAAGACCGCAAATTAGCTTTTCGCGCACGATGAGAAGTATCGTGCTACATTTATTTGTAACAGTATATTACATTCTCTGTAACACTGTATATTATGTTCTTAGTCAGGCCAATGGCTTCCCTTGCATTTTATGACCATTTTCTCCAAGTTTCTGAGCACTTTCTAGTAAAATCGCTTTTGTCAGCGGAAAGATATTGAGTCAAAATGTTAAGTTTGTGATGATATCGTTAATGATTTCAGCGTGTACTAAGACCCGAAACAGTAAAACGAAAGGACCAAAACTAAAACAAGCGAAACGGCCAAAACAAAACGACCTTTATTACCAAAACAAAACCACTACAACGATCGAGCGGAGTGGAGGATGCAATGTCACGTAAAATGTATATTAAATTTCACTTCAGATATTCTCTCGCATTTAAGGGTTTTAGATATTAAAGCCGTCACACGAAACTTTATTTTTATCTACCACGCGAGCAGCTGAAACTATAATTTGACGCTTTTTCAGGGTTTTAATTAATATCACTAATTTTCATGATATTATTTCTTCTTCGTGGTTGTCAAAGAAAATGAGAGTAATTTTGACAAAATTTTCCTCACGGTTAACTCCGGAGGAAAATGCGACACACTGTGTAGTTCTAAAAGTTCATATTTCCATAAATTTTCAATTTGAAAGACACAAAACCGATCATAACACTTTAATTATCTCCAGGTAAAATAGAACGACATAGTGTAATTCTAAAACTTCTTACGTGTCCTGCGGAAAGTGTTTTGACCAAATAATTTGCAGCTTTATTTAAGAGTTAGACTTGCCATAAAAGTTTTTCAAAACATTCTACTGGATTTTCATCGAAGGATTTCATTGACTGTCATATCCAGTGGTATTAGGATGAGACCAGTCATTTAGATTTAGACACAGCAGCTATGATCTGATGTCTGACAACAATTAGAACAGGAAGAATGACTGTGGCCTATAAAACAGCGGTTTTGTTTTGTAACCATAGTTACAGAAGCTCAAACAGTTCTATAAATTAAAGGAAAGCACGACACCATAAAGTTTTCACTTTTGATAATCCTAGGAACAAAACCAAATACGAAAAACACTTTTTCGCTCGGAAGGTAAGAAGTATCTCTGTGAACTACTTATCTATATATCTTAGGCTAAGCCTTTATTGCTCAGACCAATTGCGCTGATTGCAGAAATGATGGAGGAGAATTTTGTGTAAAATTCTGTCAATTCAGCCACACGATCTTTCGCATTCTGTCACATCCTCTTGGTCTAAGTTGTTACAAATTTGAAATTTTTAGGTTGAAGCTCTCAAATACCATCCGAAAGTCATAGAATGCTTACGACCAGTCTAACGAGGATGAAATCGGGTGATGTTTAATGCTAACTACCATGCTCAACTACCATTAGCAAAACGAGCCATAAAAAACTTAGGCCTCTGTACTTAAAGTTGCTACAAAGTAACTTTTCATGTTAATAATGTGCCATGCCGTTTTATCGTATTTGAGAATTTTTTGAGATAAAAATGGATAAATTGTTAAAAGTTTGTATTTCAGAAGTGACCTAACACCCTTGCCGGTAGCAAGTCTGCAAAAATTTGTTTCTTGGTCTTAACGTAATTGCCACAAGTTCAAAGTTAAACAGACTGAAAATAAATATATTGATAAACTCCTGTCACTTCTGATAAGTGTGATGTGCTCTATTTTGTTCTTCTCTGGTACTTTTGAAAATATTATGGCTTATCAGAATGAGATGAAATTTACAAGGTAGAGTAAGAATTTAAAAAATACTCCAATGCAGACAAAATGCGTTACACCGGTCTATTATATCTTCCTCTTTTTGCGGCTTTTGCAGCTGTTAACTCACCTTCGAGAATGAATATTTAATATGAAGAAATTCGTACTAAGTTTTCTTTGAGCAAGGGATGACACAGGCCTGTTAGCATAACAACGTGTTGTAGAACAATTACATAACTGAACAAGGTATTTGCCTTGAATTTACAATTATTTATTTATAGCGATGCAGTTCAAGTTTTCTCTTCAACCGATCATTAATATTCTCTATATCTTCCTTGGAATTATTCTCCCACCATGCTTCTGTTGCACAGGTGAGTATAAATCCCTTTTTAAATTTCTTGTGTTTTATCTTTCTGGCGTCGTTTCCTCAAAACCGTTACATGAACTACATATGCTACCTGCTGATCAAAGCAAATAATCTTCAAGCAGGCAATTTTTTATCCAACCCAAAATGTCTTCTATTATGAAATAGAAGATACAAAAAAAGTCAAATTTCAAAAAGATCCCACCAACTGCGCATCAATGTTTCAAAATGACGAATTTAAACAAACGATTCACAGATATCGTGGTGTGGTAATGAGCCCTGTGAAAATATTCTTGATACTGATTATTTTTAATATTTCTTTGCGCTCATCAATTCACAATCAAAGATTAAATTTTGTTAATGAAAGCCTCCCTGTTGAGTTGAATTTTCAAGAGATGACAATCACCTTTACGGCAAATTCGTCAGGGTTCTCGTGCAGTAAAGTTTTGAAAGAAAGTGTTGTAATGTGCCTTTTTCATCAATGAAAATAAAAAATTACTTCGAGTGAGTGGAAACTAAACGATATATTTGTTTGCCTACCACAGACGACGACTATCGAAACATCATATTCAAGGACCCAATACCAAACATGACCATGAAAAATCACACCATCATAAGCGTAGAGGTGCCCAACGAAGGAAGTTGCAGAGTAATGTGTTATATGGAGCCTAATTGTGTGTCCATCAATATTGGACCTGTTGTAGGAAGAAACCAAAAATGCGAGTTGAATAACGCTACAGAGGAAAACCATGCTCCATTTCTTCTCGTGAAAAATCCGGGTTACACATATCTTGCAATTGAGGTAACATTTCACATTCTTACAAAACTACGGTGGTAGAAGATATTGTATCATTTTCTCATGGTAAAGTGATCTTATTCTTGGTATAAGGAAGATCTGCACACAAGTTTACTTTATTTTGTCAACAGAATCCTTGCAGCAGTAGCCCATGCTCAAACAGTGGCACGTGTCAAGCTGGATTTACCTATAAAGGATTTCGTTGTGTCTGTTGGGAAAGATTCACTGGAGAAACCTGCCAAGTTGAAGGTGAAATGGCTGCACTGTGTGGGTCAGTCTCTCGTGTAGTAAGCGAGGAGTTACTTGCTAAAGTCTGGACTCCAAGAAAACAAATATTAAGCGCTTAGGTGAAAAGCCTATTACTGTAACTTTAAATGAATATAGCTGGGAGATATTAAGGAAGAAATGGTATTTGTTAAAGTTCAGAATCAAATTTTATCAGCCGGAGCAATAGTCAGGAAAGCAAATAAAAAGCAGTTAACATCCAAACAGTTTAAAGTTGGCGTTTTTGTTTTTTTGTGTTTTTTTTTAACTGATTTTCAGTCAAAATAAACTGCGCAGATATCTACAAATCCGCGGGTGAACCAACTGATGGTGTTTACACCATTAAACCTGATGAGTTGCCTGCCTTTGATGTATTCTGTGACCAGACAACGGACGGTGGAGGATGGACTGTGTTCCAGAAGAGACTGAACGGCTCGGTTGATTTCTACCGCTACTGGAACGACTACAAATGTGGCTTTGGTGACCTGAATAGTGAATTTTGGTTGGGACTGGACAAGATTCACCGCCTGACCTCATATATTGACAACACGCTGCGTGTGGATTTGGAAGACTTTGAAGGGAACACAGCTTATGCCAAGTATAACTTGTTTGGAGTTATGAGCGAGAAAGACAAGTACAAGCTGATCCTTGGTTCTTATTCAGGTAGAACTGTAAGTCTTGTGATTTTTAGATTAAGAAGGGAGGAGTTGACTGATAATCAGTGCGTTAGTGAGCTCTAGGGCTTACACGTAAAGAGGAAAGTGATTGAGCATGAAGAAAATATACAGAAAAAAAATTTTAATGATGACGTCATCTATACATCTGTCCTCCAATAGATCATATGTGAGAACCAATCAGAATGCGTGCATGACTGAACTTATTATATAAACCGTTATATTTGTTTTCATTATCGTCTTTATACTTTGATTTTACAGATTCGTTTAAATATAACCTTTTGAAACGGTTTCTTAACGTTAAGTTTCTTATGGAGCTTATCTTATTAACCATCGTAATTACTATCGTATTTATCTGATGTTTCTTGAAATGCATTGATTAAGCAGATGAACTTTTAAGTTTCAGTCACCGTACGGCTACTTGGAGGTGGGCAATATTTCCACATTGAATCTCTTCATGTTTTGCGCAAATATTAGTGACATGAGTAATTTTCTTTGTCAGGAACTACTCCTGATTCTCTCTCTTACCATCGTGATCGTCCATGGAGCACGCAAGATCAAGATAATGATGAGAATATACGGGATAATTGTGCAATTTTGTACAAAGGAGCCTGGTGGTACAACAATTGCCATCACGCGAATCTCAATGGTTTATATTTTCGTGGAAATCACCCCTCTTACGCTGATGGAGTGAACTGGGCTGCGTGGAAGGGAAATTACTACTCGCTGAAGAGGACAGAGATGAAAATAAGACCAGTAGATTTCTGACTTCAATTCATGACTAACTATTCCCATAGTCTTTGGCCAACAGCATAACTTTAACACAGTTGAAGTTTAAAAGAATTGATTGATTCGAACAAATCTGTTTAATAGTCTCAAATGTGTGGCTTATTTTCCGTGTAAATCATGTAGTTCAAACCAACTATTGTAAATTTTGGTAGTTTTAATTGCTTCCTTGCGTTTTTTATTGTTTTCGTCTGAGTTTCGATGTTTGCGTTTTGCCTTTGGTGCTGGATGGCGGTTTCTATTACGTTTTCAGTTCAGGAAAAATTGATTCCGTAGAGTGGTTCATTTACCTGATACGGGCGATTCGATTGCCTTTGACATGTTTCTGAACTTTTATGAACGCTGTGTAGTATTAACTCGTGTTTGTATTGCTATATGGTAGATGAAAAAAAGTCGCTGATGTAACGATTTTACATTCTCGTTTAAAGTTAACAAAAAGTTAGCGGACGCGCACTAACTTTTTATTTACTACTTTAACGAAACACAAAACAAAACGGGGTATTTTAAAGTATTTCAAGAATTCAGCCAGAAAAGTAGATATTTCAAGTTTCATATTCTTTTGATTTATTGCTTGCATTTATCTCCTTGCTTCTTTTTCAAGTTATTAAACATTCAACTCACAATCTCTTTTCTGATTAACCAAGAGCATACAGTAAATTTTCAGCATCAGCCGTCGGCTTCGGCTGATAACGCCTGCCTATACCTCGATTATTCTGGATGTCAAAATACTTCATCCAATGATTGTTGAGAAACAGCTCGCAATGTTAATGATCGAGATATCCCGCTATAATTATAAAAAACACATCTTCATGCTCAAGGTCATTGTTTGTGTCGAGGCTAATCTGTTCATAATACTTCATAATGACTTTGAAAAATACCAAATGTAACTAGTAAGAGTAGACGAGAATACAATGGAATAACAGTAGAACACGAGTTAAGGAGTAAATATCATCTGCTATATGTTGAGATATTTCTCTTAATTAGGTGGAAAAGTCACAAAACTAATGGAATCTCCTGAAGCCTATTGATGTGAATCGTAGAAAGGAGAACAAATCAGTTGACAAGTATATAGAGTGATAACCAGAAACTTTATCATTACAACTCTTGCAAATTAAACAACACCTTTTCCGAATAGTCGTAACAAGCTAGCTTTTCAAGTTCATCGCAAGTCGAATGTCGATTAATCACATCCTGCTTTCTTACTTGGTGGCATTACGCGGAGAGAAAGATTTCATGAGTTTATGTAATATTTAGTTTCTACAGGTCCATTTTTTGCACGAGGGTCAAGGTATTCACAAGAGCTACGTCGATTGAAGATGAAAATAATATCATCAATAACGCTCTGTTTGGAGGCGTTCGGAATGATAGCCTTAGAAACCCTTACGGGGACCAATTTGCATTTTCAACACAGTTGATAGAACAAGTTATCTTGTCCTTAATAAAAGTCTGTTTTGACAAGAGTACAAGACCGCAAATTGGGTTTTCGCACACGATGAAAAGCATCGTACAGCGCTTACTTGTAACAGTGTATCACATACTCTGTAACACCGTATATTTTATCATCACTCGGGCCTGTATGGCTTCCTGGATGAAAAAAGTAACCTCAAAGTCGACATGTTTCCCTTGCATTTTATCGCCATTTTCCCCAAGTTTGTGAGCACTTTCTGTTAAGATCACTTTTGTTAAGATCACTTTTGTAAGCGGACAGATATTGAGTCAAAATGTTGAATTTGTGATGACGTCGTTAATAATTTCGGCATGTGCTAAAACCTGAAACAGCAAAACGAAACTACCAAAACGTAATGACCGTTAAGAATAAAACAAAACCACTACAGTGATCCAGACGAGTGGACGATGAAAAGTCGAGCAAAATGTAGACTTCACTTCAGATATTCTCTCGTATTTAAGGATTTTACATATCAAGGGCGTCTCACGAAACTTAATTTTTTTCCACCAAGCGAGCAGCTGAAACTACAATTTGACACTAACATGTAATCTCCAGTTCGGAACGTCAGCCTCATTGAATACCGAAGCGTATACGTAAAGGAGAGGAAAAAAGAGATTACGGTATTCATTTACAACGTCTATGTCCGTGATTATTTTATTGAATGTTTTGTTTAATTAAGGTTCCCTCGAAGCCTAATGCTAAGCCGATGGCAATCAAGAGATAACTGAATTTCTCCGTGAGGTAGATCAGGAGTAGACCATAAGGGCATTCATTTTATTACTACTGACTGTTATTTTCTGTAAACTTTTTTGGTCGTTAGGCTCGTTTCATTTCGATCGTTTTGTTTTGGTCATTTCAACGTCCTATTTTTGAAAATGTAACAATTCACGGCAATTTCATGTGATCAGCCTATTAATTAGAATTCTCAGACATATCACAGGTGCATCGATTTATCCACGGTGTAGGCGGAGCCAAGAAACTGCTTTCCTAGGAAAACCAAGGTTTCTGGCTTCAACATTCAGCGTAAACAAAATTACCTCTTACAACACTGCAAAAAGCCGCTCAAACTCTTTAGGGATACAAATTATTGTACAGTACTGTTGCTTCTGTCTAACTTATCGGGGAATTTTTAATTTGTCGAGAGCATTTTTTTGCAAGATACTTTCTAAATTGGAAAAAATATAACCGCATATATAACACCGCAGTTAACACCGGAGGAAAATGCGACATGTTGTATAGTTTTAAAATTTATATTTTCATAAATTTTTATTTGAAAGACATAAAACTGGTCATAACACCTTAGTTACCTCCAGGGAAAATAGGAAAACATTGTGTAGTTCTAAAACTTCTTACATGTCCCGCTGAGAGTGTTTTGACCAAATAATTTGCAGCTTTGTTTAAGAGTTAGACTTGCCATATAAGTTTTTGAAAACATTCTCTGTTTTTCATTAAAGTATTTCATTGACTGTCATATCCAGTGGTACTGAGATGTGAGACCAGTCATTTAGATTTAAACACAAAAGCTATGAGCTGATGACTAAGAACAATCAGTACAGCTGGACAGGAAGAATGACTGTGGCGTATAGAACAGCGGTTTTGCGTTGTAACCATAGTTACAAAAGCTCAAACAGTTCTATAAATTAAAGGAAAGCACGACACCATAAAGTTTTCACTTTTGATAATCTCAGGAACAAAACCAACTGCGAAAAACACTTTTTCGCTCAGAAGGTAAGAAATGTCTCTGTGAGCTACTTATCTATATATCTTGGACCGAGCCTTTCTTGCTCAGACCAATTGCGTTGATAGCAGAAATGATCGAGAAAACTTTTGTGTAAAATTCTGTCAATTCAGCCACACGATGTTTCACATTCTGTCAAAGTTGTTTCAAACTGTTGTTTTTTTTTTATAGGTTGAAGCTCTCAAATACCATCCGAAAGTCAGAATTCTTGCGACCAGTCTAACTAAGATGAAATCGGGTGATGTTTAATGCTTACTACCATGCTCGACTACCATTAGCAAAACGAGCCATAAGAAACTTAGGCCTCTGTACCTTAAGGTTGCTACAAAGTTAATTTTCATTTTAATAATGTGCAATGCTGTTCTATCGTATTGGAGAATGTTTTGAGATGAAAAAGGATAAATTGTTAAAGTTTGTATTTTAGAAGTGATCTGACATCTTTGTCGGTAGCAAATTAACACACCTTCGAAAATGAATATTTAATAGGAAGAAATTCAAACTAAGTTTTTTTGTGTGCAAGGGATGAAACAAGCCTGTTAGCATAGAAAAGTGTTTTAGAACAATTACATGACTGAACGAAGTATTTGCCTTTGATCTAGATGTTGGGCTAGTTAAGAGTTCCTTTAAGTAGACAAAGCTGGCAAATAAATGCCGAACACCTGTCTTACATTTGTCTACATTCAAATTTATAGGAAAACAAGATGATTTATATTTTGGGACGCTCGCTATCATATATTTACCTTGAATTTACAATTATTTATTTATAGCGATGCAGTTCAAGTTTTCTATTCAACCGATCATTAATATTCTCTATATCTTCCATGGAATTATTCTCCCACCATGTTTCTGTTGCACAGGTGAGTATAAATCCCTTTTTAAATTTCTTGCGTTTTATCTTTCTGGTGTCGTTTCCTCAAAACCATTACACAAACTATATATGCTATCTGCTTATCAGAGCAAATAATCTTTAGGCAGACAATCTTAACTTTATCTAACTATTATATCTACTATTATGGAATAGACGATACAAAAAAAGCTAAATTTCAAAAAGACCCCATTACATGCGCATCAGTGGTTCAAAATGATGAATTTAAGCAAACGATTCACAGATATAGTGGTGTGGTAATGAACGCTGTGAAAATACTCTTGATATTTTCCTTAATATTTTCTTTCCGCGCGTTAATTCACAATCAATCACCTTTAGGGACCTCGAGTGAGTGGAAACTAAACGATATATTTGTTTTGCCTACCGCAGACGATGATTGTCGAAACATCATATTCAAGCACCCAATACCAAACATGACCATGAAAAATCACGCCATCATAAGTGTAGAGGTGCCCAACGAAGGAAGTTGCAAAGTAATGTGTTATTTGGAGCCTAATTGCGTGTCCATCAATATTGGACCTGTTGCAGGAGGAAACCAAAAATGCGAGTTGAATAACGCCACAGAGGAAAACCATGCTCCATTTCTTCTCGTGAAAAGTCCGGGTTACACATATCTTGCAGTCGAGGTAACATTTCACATTCTTACGAAACTCTGGTGCCAGAAGAGATTGTTTCGTTTTCTCAGGCTAAAGACATAACATAAGGAAGACCTGCACTATAGCTTACTTTGTTTTGTCAACAGAATCCATGCAGCAGCAGCCCATGCTTAAACAATGGCACCTGTCAAGCTGGATTCACCAATAAAGGATTTCGTTGTGTCTGTCAGGAAAAATTCACTGGAGAAACCTGTCAAGTTGAAGGTAAAATGGCTGGATTCTGTAGACCAGTCTCTCGTGTAGTACGCGAAGAGTTACTCACTAAAGTTTCAAAATTGACTTCAAGAACAAAATATTAACCACTGAATGAAAGCTAAAAAGAAAAAGCCACGTACGGTCACTTTAAATGAATATGGCTGGTAGATATTAAGGAAGAAGAAATAGTATTTATTAATGTTCAGAATCAAGTTTTATCAGCCAGAGCAATAGTCAGGAAAGCAAACAAAAAGCACTCAATATGCAAATAATTTAAAGTAGGCATGTTGTTTTGTTGTTTTTTTTTTAACCTTATTTTCAGTCAAAAGAAACTGCGCAGAAATCTACAAATCCGCGGGTAAACCAGCTGACGGTGTCTACGCCATTAAACCTGATAATTTGCCTGCCTTTGATGTATTCTGTGACCAAACAACGGAGGGTGGAGGATGGACTGTGTTCCAGAAGAGACTGGACGGCTCGGTTGATTTCTACCGCTACTGGAACGACTACAAACGTGGCTTTGGTGAACTATGTGGTGAATTTTGGCTCGGACTGGACAAGATTCACCGCTTGACCTCAGATGATAAAAACGTGCTGCGTGTAGACTTGGAAGACTTTGAAGGGAACACAACTTATGCTGAGTATAACTTGTTTAGTGTTATGAGTGAGAAAGACAAGTACAGGCTTATCGTTGGTTTTTATTCAGGTAGAACTGTCATTTCGTCTCTTCTATTCTAGTCATTATAGGAAGGCGGAGGGGAGGAGAGGGGAGGGGAGGGAGGGGAGGGGAGGAGAGTGCTAACTAAAGTAGATATGCTCAAACTATTTAATATCATTCAATAGCTTTGGAAGACAAAAAAGTAACCTCAGCTCATCGATATGCATATCCTGGACAGCACATACTGGACGTTGGTTAGTCCAAAGGTATTCGCCGGTGGATCATGCGCAGTTAAACTGACGAACTAATCCAACTCTGATGAGTGTCTCGGCAAACATATTTATTGGCATTATCATATTGAGTAATTAAATCCCTAGAATCTTTTACATGAATCATTGCTAAGAATGCCTTTCATCCATATTATTATTGTTAAATTATACTTATCTGACATTTCAAGATTTGTTCTGCCATACGAACGGCTCATTGTTGGTCAAACGTAATACTCATACTGCTGCTCATTTTGTCAGGAAATTCTGGTGACTCTATTGCTTTCCATCGCGGCATGCCATTCACCACTAGAGATCAAGATAGTGATAATCATGGGGATCTTAACTGCGCCATTAAGTTCAAAGGAGCTAAGAGGTGTCACCGCTCAAATCTCAATGGCTTGTATCTTCGTGGAAATCATTCCTCCCATGCTGATGGAGTGAACTGGTTTCACTGGAAAGGATATAATTACTCTCTAAAGAGAACCGAGATGAAAATAAGACCAGTGGATTTCTGAACTGTCATGTTTATGGCACAACAATCAAACAGTACCAACTTAACAAAAAAACGAGTGTCTCGATCGAGTATATTCAGCATTACACAATCACTCTTAAATTGGAGCTTAGCGAAACGTTGTTCAGGGTTTTTCTTGCTTCTTTCTGCGTTTTTCAAAATAGGAATAATTGATTCTGTAGAATCGCCCAGTTAACCAATGATAATAATAATCATAATAGTAATAATGACTTAATATATTTAGTGATACATACAAAAATCTCCTTATCATAGTTGGAAATTGACAGTTAATCATAAGTAACTGTGAAAAAATGTGTCTTCAATCTTGTGTCAAAAAACAGAAACTAATGGTTCTATTTAAGGTTTATGGGTGAGACATTTAATAGCCTGGGTGCAGCGGCTGAAAAGACCCAGTCTCCATAAAGTTTTTAGGGTGGGTTTGAGGAATTCACAAGAGTTATCCTCGAATCTTAATGGCTTGTGTCATCATGGCTATCCTATACTCTTCCTATCTCGGTTATACAAGTTTTGATTCTTTATATTTTTAACTCGTATTTTCACTTAACGGAACACAAAGCGATCACACAGCCTTCATTTTTTCAAAGTCAATATCAGAAGAGTAAACTCAGTTGCTAATTCAGTTCTAGTTCCCTTTGATTTCTATAACGAGACCTAAAACAATTACCCAATGTTTTGACTCTGAATAACGCTCTCAGAAAAACAAATATTTCAAGTTCTAGTGTACAATGGATTGCAGTAACGTAATGTAGACGATTCTAAAATGCTTCATATATTGCATTTATTTGTATTTTCTAACAAAGTTTGAAGTAATACCCTGCACTTTTATTGATAAACATATTGCACTTTTAATAATAAGAACACCTTGTCACGCCCAAGCTCCATTTTGTAGATATGGCTCATCAGGTGATTATCTGAGTTTGAACTGAGTTTGTAGAAATACCAAATGTAAGAATGAGTAAGTGAAATTTCTTTTGTTTTATTCCCCCCTAGCCTCAGAGCCATGTTAGAATCTTGATATATCAAAAGTGGCGTATTGGATCACTTGTGACCATTGGTTAGCAGGCTAAAAGAGGGATCCTTACAGCTTTGTTTACTTATAAATGATTAAAATCTTTGATACATAAAAAGTTTTCGATTTTTCACAATTTTAATGTGATGGGGAACGAAATCAAGAAACCAAGACCGTTCTTTTGGCTCGTTCTGCGGCTATGGCGTCCAACTCGTGTAAGGTTTTTAATTTAGACGTGAGTTTGTCCATATCTTTGGGTGCACGCCCCAGGTACTGAAGAATCTGCAGGTAGCTTTCCACCATCCACGCTCTAAAACTCATGGCTCTAGTGACAACAAGAAATTTGTTAGTGACAGGCTCAAACGATTCACCTTCGTTTCACCCTTTACACCCTAACATCAGGATACATATTCTCCATACTGCTCTCTATACATTTCCTAAGATGATGACAGGGAGAATTTGTTTAACAATCAAGAGCTTCTTCAGTTGGTGATCATTTCCTTTCTTCTCATGACCTTAATGTTTGATTCAGGGTCAATAATGTGAGGAGAAACTAAATGGTCGTCATTCTTAGGGGTCAGCGCGGATTCCATGAAAGCCGATTACCGGCGATGTATCTCCGCATATAAAACCTCTTACCGCCGTCCGTTTAGCCTACTAGCTGGTTCTTGTGTTTGTGTTTGTTTAATAACTATAAAATTCCAGTCGTAAAACGTATGGTCGGATGTGATGTAGCAGTATCATCCAATGACTGGATGTAAAATAATCGGAAGTAGAGTCGTAACAGAGAACCGGAAGTCAGAACACTTTAAGGACAGGGAAGGTAGAAACGTCGTTGGAACTGGCGGCCTCACTATGCGATGATAACTCGTTCTGCGAACCATAAAAATTCTACATGGAATATATGATGAGAACGACAAGAAAACTTATCTCAAGCGGTAGCACTGGGAAGAACTTCCCACTTATTTGGAAAACATAATTACCTTATTTTCACATCGAGGACGTATGATTCAAAGATTGTCTTCATCTTCGACCATAGACTTCTATGCTTTATATGGCCGTGAATTCCCGCGATGGCGCTGCAAGAAAAGGTAAAAAAATTGACGTCTAAACCAGTCGCTATCGTGGAAACTTTTGAAATTTTCCAAAACTGGACCTATATTTATACTGAAAACCTCTTTTCTCGCCTTCGAACTATTTCGATAAAAACAATCAAAAACCGTGAAAAAAGTAAAACTAAACAGAAGGAAGACCACGGAATACAAATATTTTTTCACAAACCATCTGGCCATGAGAACAAATCTATCCACTGGCTCTCCTAGTTCCTGATTAATGTGTCGAACTGTGTTTAAGTTCCTAAAAAAAAAATGAGATAGTACAAGGTTGAACACGAAGCAATTTTTCATCAGCGGTAGGCTGGGGGAGAGGGGAGGGAGGAGAGGAAAGGAAAGGATATAGAATGTAGTTCTACAGGAAAAAGCTCGAATCTCTAAAGCATCCCATCGGTTGTTGAAAGGGAGGAGGGAGGAGGGGGTGGGGCTTCGATCCTAATCTAGGGCTCCGAGTATTTTCCTCTGTTCAACGTCCACGACTCTACAAGCTGCGCAACAAGTTCAGGAGTTGCTTTTCGGGCTGTTAAATTGAAGGAAATCTACAAATTATGACAGTTTGCTACGGTAAAAATACATAAAAAAGTCAACAAAGGAAATTAAAAATAGGTGAACTTGGCTAAAGAATGCTAAAGAATGGTGCCACTTAACAGGAAAACGTGCAAAAAAAATCTGCGGCACGAATAAACTATTTCGAAGTGAAATAACACTATCCACACCTGAACACAAGCAGCATGCTCCGTGGAAGTTGTTTAAGAATGATTATCACTTTCTCGAAGTGTCCTTGAGCGAGTTTTGTCATGATTGTCAAATCCTCTTCTGTTACTCTTGAAGTAAACAGCATTCCAGCGCTTCCCCATGCGAACGGACGTTGAAGAAGAATCTGACAAAAATTCTCGAAATCTGGAAGATAAAACGACATTTAAAACGAAAACAAGTCTCATAATACCTACTTTTTTAACTTACTTTTGATAAGGTAAACCCTATCAAGATTTAACCTCATCTTGTTACTCGTAAGGTTGACCCTAACGGGTTACTTTACATTCTGCTACATGCTCGTATTATTAAAACAATCATCCAGTGAAATCATACGAGGCATCGCGTGATACTCAACCAACGTCAGGCCGTATTCCGCCTGATTAAGGGTGATAATTGCTTCCTAATTAAATTGAAGAACAACGAATCGCAAGTTACGTGCTTATTGTTTACACTGGCTTTTCCTTTTGGAGTTATCTCGACTTGACTAAAAAAAAAACTGCGCATAATGCAGAGCGTGATATAACTAGCAATGACAGGTTTTGAAAATAATTGATATGACGAGATTAAATTCTGTGGCATTTGTTTTGGATAAATCATATCCTTCATTACTACCATGGCTAACACAAAATACTCTCTTTTTCATAGAAAGAATAAAGGAACAGTTGGTGCATAAATTTACACAATAAAAAGAAAAAGCTACAGCCGAGTTTTTATTTACAAGAAGATAAAATCCTGTACCACTTTATACACATCACGTTTTTGGAGACCAAAATCTGACGTGTTAATTTACCATCAACTCCGAGTTGTTTACTAAAATATTGCATCTTCTCCTGGTCATTGAGTATGATGGACTTCCACAGTTGACACAAGGCTATCCTGTCTCTGAGGAAAAATTTGAAAACAAAGTCATATTCTAAAACGTATTATGATAAATTAAGAGATCTATGCATAAACGTATTGAGCTAATAGCTGAGGGCCGAATTGGTTTTTCTGCGCGTTTTTTTCTGGCCTATTTATACCATTAGCTTAACGGTCGGCATTGAGAATTACTATTAACAAAAACAATTGTTGACAATGTCTACTAATTTCGTGGCGCATCCTAATTCCAGCGTTTTAGGCTCTTGGCCAACTTTTCTGTGCAAGACACAGGGCACTCACACGGCATCTACTGCTAACAGTGTGAAAGGGGGGTTTCGGTGCACAATAGCATCTTTCAATTGACTGGTATCAGTAAGTGAGAATTATCCTAGAGGCTCTTTCACCTTTCCCCGCCCTAACGCACCTCATTTGCTTTCTGCTGGAAAAAAGACAGATTGTCTTCAAGCTACAGTCCTTTCCAACAAACACCAAACAAAAAGATAATTGCTTACTTTTGCTGGAGAGTTTCGTAAAGCCCGTGGTCAATGATGACTATTTCAGCTTTCCCATCTTTGCCTTTCCTAACGAGAACTTCAACAGAAAAGAGAACAGGAATCAGTATGCGCTTTCTCCATACTGGTCCCTATACATTTCCTGAGGTGCTGACGGGGAGAATTTGTCCAACAATCACGAGCTTCTACGTTTGATGATGATTTCCTTTTTCCTCATAACATTAAAGTTTCATTCAGGGGTGATATTGTAAGGAGAAATTAGATGTTAGTCACTCTTAGAGATCAAAGGGTTGGATCAATATCGGACCAAGCTACAGAAAACCAATAGGATTGCGAGTTTTCATCGAGGACTAGAGCCTTTGATATATTCCGATCGAACAGGTTTTCTTTGCTGCTTTCTTTGCTGCTTTCTTTGCTGGGTGGCCCATTCTTTTACAGTGGATCAAACAGCATTAATTTAGCTTTGGGCTACGTATGCTGTCCAGGGAAAGGGGACTGACATCCAGGGTGAAGACCTGGGAAATGAGAATAAATGAGCTCACCCTAGGAAAGTGTCCCAAATGTTATGTGCAAAGGGTCGATTGTGTGCCCTGACCGGCCAATTTTGTTGAGTTCTGAGGCAACACACTTTGCTCTCAACAGTGCCTCTCTCTTCTTACGAGCGGAAACTATCATCCCGTCCAGGAATAATACCAGCGATACCCCACGTTACTTCATGATAGAGAAAAACTTCGACAGGAATAAGCCCACGATATAAGTGGACTAGTATCACTTAACTTTATTCCTTATCATGTACAGTAAAATAACTTACCATTTGCGGGATGAGGATCGCCGTGAATAAAACCGCTACGAAACAACTGCTCGCCAAACGCTTTGATCATTTTCTCGTCAACCTTAGGATCGTGAATAAGACAGAAAAACAGTTTTTCATCTATCTATCACAAAAGACACAATGAAATTCTCAAACTCCAAATTGATCAATTTCCAAGCAAATGTTCTTGGTATTGGGACAGGCTGAACTCTCAAAGCCCAAGAGTTAACATGAACAGGATTCACCTTTCTTCTCCAAAGTCCGTTAAAACGGCTTTGAGCCTTTGCGATATTTTTCTCAAAACTTTTCAACCTGTAGTTTGTGACTAGGTATATAGTATTGCAAACTTACATCAGCCACGTCCAGTCCTCTGCGTCTAAGATCTTCAACGTCATCCACCTTACAAGCATCCACATACTCTGCAGTCAACACACGCTGAAAGACAATCACAAAGATTCTGAGATGGCAAGAACGTATTTCTTACAACAGTTTACAGTGTTGCTCCTGAAACCCGGATGGCAAAATCGTAGCTTGTTGTTCTAATCTCCGCGTGGAGTGACCCTTTCACGTTTCCTGCTGACCATAGAAGTGAAGATGCGGGACACGAGGTTTTCGGTTTTTTGTCCTCATCCGAAAAACTAGAACGTCTAAGTATTTTCAGGGCAACACATGTTCCTTGACTATTTAAGCCTTGTACTCTCAACCTCCGCACAACAGTGCAGCTCTTTACCTGACTCGACACGTAGACCGGACTGCATGTCAAAGGAACCAGTCCAAGAATCAGCTACCCTTGGTGCTGACAACCATTTTATCAAAACTGATTAGCCTCGTTAATCCCATCAAAAGATCTACTTCCGTTATTTGCATAAATTTCACGTTTCTCTCAAATAGTAACAAAGGTAGATAGATTGAGTAACCCTTTATAGTAATCAAGCACAAGGACTTGACCAAAATGTTACCACTAAGTCGCGAATACAGCAGAACTTACGGCAACTGGAAAGAGGGTGCAACAACCGTTTCGAGTGAACTTTGAGAAACACCCCCCTCCCCACCAACAAACTGTTGAAAACGTACATTCCTAGCCGGAAGTGAACATTCGATCACCGAGTGTTGTTGAAGGCCTAAAGAATTGTTTGTTTATCCTACCCAGTAACGACTGGTAGACGACTCTTACCTTGGTAGTAAGATCCCAGTGTATTTTAGGCACATAAACATAACTGAGATGCTTCAGTTCATCTGCGCATCTTTCCCCATTGTGACCTTCGTGTACAAAATCAAGCTCCTGCCTTAAAGTCGCCTGAATGTCCTGCATGTTGTTAAATAGGAAACTATCATCACCAAGTTCAATAAGGTTTCACAGCATTGGGTCATCAGGACTCGCCATCGAGTTCTCTTTAACTCTGTGCTAAAGCACCAAAGCATGGAACCTGAAGGCCTGTGGTTCGTTTCCTCATGAGAACTTAGACTTCTTCTTTGTCTCATGCTCGTAACAAGACGAAAATATCTTTCAACAAATGAATCAACTATTCAAGCAGTATTGCTTTTTTGGTATTAACCCTCTTTTGATGCAATGAATTAACAAGGAGAATCGGCAATTAATCTGTACCAGGTTTTGTTTTCTATCACCCTCAGAACTTACGTCTAAAACCCAAGCAAACTCAAAAGAAGGATGCATCCACGCAATCACTTGAAGTAAGCGTTTTAATGTCCACAGATCTCCATCATATCTGTCCAGAAGGTCAATGTATTGAATCTATCAGACATAAAAATCATAATTGAAAAGGCATGGCTGGACACCCCTATGAATAACATGCACAAAACAAGGCAGTAAGTAAATATACTGGCTGTCAGGCTCAAGCTCAAGAAAATGTGATCAATTAAGCAGCTATTACAACTAGTTTTGCATCCAATTGGTTGCTAGAGGGGCATGATTCTTTTTTCAACCAATCACAATTCCGGATTACTTTCAAAACTCAATTAGAAAATTTCTAATATGCACAAAATAACCAAAGCACACCAAACAGAGTGGCCAGTCAGGTGGTAATAACAATAATTATTGCCTACCTTCACAGCCACCTCTCTCCCATCATGTGTAACAGCTCTGTGCACCTGTGCCAGACTTGCGGCAGCTATGGGGTTGTGATCAAACTTCAGAAATAAATCATCAGCTTTCTTGCCAAAGTCCTCAAGAAATAACTCATCTACCTAAGTAGAAATTTTCGACAGTTATTCAGTATCGAGAGAATTAAATGTAGTATTAATAACTGCATAATGAATTTCATGTTCCAGATCACCTTTTTGCCATGTCACTCGTTAAATTAGAGTCAACTGCTAAGGCTCACTTTGGAAATGAACAATGGCATGGGAACCAAAGTTTCAGCACAAGTGCTAATGGGATTGTTTGGGGAACAAGGGTTATCTGGCTACTTCCCATGGTTAAATGCCTGTGCTAATAGAGGTTTGACAGTCTTTTGTAATAAGAACAATTTTGAATAACTAACCTCACCATGTTTCCTTCGAAGAGCCTACAAAAGAGTAACAAAATTGTATCAAAGAAAGAATTAACCTATGTCCTTCCTTTTTAATGACCGTCTTATAATGATCTTAATATCTACTCTCATTATTCTCTGCTGTACATTTCTTGTAATGCAAGTTTTAAGAATTTAATCATAAGTCACATGTCAAATAATTGACATTTTTCTTTAACCTAATCATCTGTCTGCTTGGAAAGTTCATGTATTTGCATTGAAAAGGGGACATCATTCATCAATTACTCCTGGTTGTGAAAAAGTTAATGTAGGAAATGATACCACACTTCCCGATTAGAAGAGCACATCCCAGATAATAGATTTGGAAACTTCCATAAATAAAATGTAAAAAAATTACTTTGATAGAGGTCAACAGAGAGATGGCCAAAAACGAAAAAGAAAAATGAACAAATGGAATAGTCATTAAGAATTAGTATTCTGGATTTCTGTGTGTTGATATCTTGGAGAAGGTTTGTCAGAGTTTCTCTCCTTATACCTTATCTTGTAATACTGGTAGAGTTTCTGTATACTCCCGTGGCAAGATATGGTTAAAGCAAGCAAGACCTTGTCCTAACTTGACATAAATCCCTCCATTGTCAATTGCACCAACCACAATCCTGTCTGCTGCTCTCTGGTGACATCCTTTAATGGCTTGGGCATATTCCTCTCCTTCCTTATCAACATTTAGATAAAACATGTTAATTTGTGTAATAAGAAGCATAGATTATGTGCTTCTGGAGCAACTTCAAAGCAAAATTATTCAGAAAGGATTTAATTACCTTAAAGTTTGTTTCAAGTTCCAACAGTTTTGAAAGAGAAGTTAAGATGAGACAAAATTCACAAGGTAGAATGCACTACTCACAGGATCTAAGTTGTGCAGGGTCCACCAGTAATCTAATGATATTTTCATTCCAAAATAAAAACACCTAATCAGCAAAAAGAAAAGTAGATCAACATAAGAGATGCATTATTCTAATTTACTATCAAAGTAGTCTGCAGACCTACACACATGCATACTGTAAAGTATAACTGTTTCTTTGAGATGTTTGTCCCCACTCAGTCAGAATGATTTCTGTGTCAATAGCATCATACCAAAGTTGATAAGGGTCAAAAGATCACAGGTTCTAATCCTGCAGAGATTCTTAACCTTTTTCAGGCTTCTTCTGTTATATTAAACTTTTACACCCTAACATCAAAATCAATTATCTTCATACTGTTCTCTGTACATTTCCTATGGTGCTGACAAGGAGAATTTGTTTAACAATCAAGAGCTTCTTTAGTTTGTGATTATTTTCTTTATTCTCATGACCTTAATGTGTGATTCTGGGGGATATTGTAAGGAGAATTAGATGCTATTCATCCTTAGGGGTTAAAGGATTTAAAAGAGTACCAGTCATTGTCTACTAGAACATGGGGAAATAAGCAGGAGCCATTCTATAGACTGATTATGTCCTTTTCTAACCCATCTGGAGACATCTTGTCAAAGAGATGGGGCATTTTTCCTAGAGGGATTCAATACTTTTCTTCAAAGAACTCAACATTAAAATAAAATTATGACCCTTATAGTAGGGTGAGGACAAAGAAAAAAATTTTTGGATTTTATCTCTCAAAGCTGACAAAAAAATTCAGAAGTTCGGCTTTCAATCGTTTTAATGGGAGGAGGCAGGGTAGGGTTTGGGATTAAAAATAGAAAGTCGCCTCCCCCTCTCCCTAAACTGTTAAATTCAGTCAGGCCTATACAAGCCTTCAATTCCTTACTCGACTAAATATTGGGAATTATTTTTCTTACCTGAAGAATCTTCCTATCCCCTCTAGTGAAACTCGCAGTCTTCTACGCTGTCCGGCCTCCCACAGTCTGTTATGGTAAACGTTCATCGCCAGTAGAGATGCACCGCTACCAAATAAGAGCCAAAACCATTTTCTCTGGAACAGTCGTTTTCTTCCAACGTGTACCATGGCCTGTGAACTCATGGGTCGTAATTTCCAGTGGCATTTTTTGCACATTAACGAAAAGTTACTCCTTGAGGTAGCAAAAGGTCGACCAAGGCTCGCCCAAATAATTCGTGAGGTTGCTGCCATCGTGAAAGTGGTTTTAGGCGAATAGTTCATGTAATTTACTTGAAGTATTTGGTGATAGAGAAGAAGGTGAATGTTCGCAAGAAGTCTGGGGTCGAAAGAAAATAAATATGGCGGCCAACGCGAACGCACGAGGTTGGCCGAGAAGTCGGGCGGCTAGTAATGCTGGCAAATACATGACGGGGCCGCAGGGAATACCAGGGGAACGGACCGTACGACTGTAAGATTTTAAATAGGTCATATACTTGATTTTTGTGTTTGTTATTTTTATAACACACCTATTATTGACAGCAACAACAACTTCAAATTATGTAGTCGTGTTTCCATGCCAGCAAGCAGAGCGTACCTTACCTACCGAAAATAAGAAAGATTAATGGAGGGAACAAGGCCTCTCCGTTCTAAAAGCTAATAAGATTAACACTGAAGATGATCGATAGTCGGGGTGACCGAGCAGTATATTTATCATATACAGTGCAGCTGATTTGATTCTTTTTAAAAATATGTCAGATACGTGCACCGTACCGACCTCTGTCAGCGTCAGTTTCACAGCGGGTAATTAGACTTAAAGTTTGAAAGATTATATATAGTTTATGTTCCTTTCGTTAGCTATATGTCTGTTACATCTATGTATTAATTTTTTCAGGTATCCATTGACGAATTACACGTTCGGAACCAAAGAAGCGTTGTATGAAAAGGACAGGTAATAAATATGATCTAGTCTGGAGGTTCAAATTTTCCTTGGTCTAAACATTTTCTAACCAGTTTGATTTGAGTTTTCTTTTGTGTTAGATTATCATGATAAATGCAAATAAGTAAAAAAAAGAGTCTTAAAACCATCTGGTTGAAAAATTTTAAACCCTAACTGAAATTAAACTATAACATCAGTGCACCCCACAAGGAACTAGCACATTATGTAGACCTGCAAACTTTTTCAGAGGTTAATACATGATATTTTCCCAAACTTGATTTTAATTTTAAATTTTGCAGCTCTGTTCAAGCCAGATTTACTCGAATGAGGTAAGAAAAAATCAGTCTACATATTCAGGGTTACAATACAATAATAGCTAGTGTAATTGTGTACTTTTTCAATACCAAGTATTATATTTATGGCTTCATTTTCTTTTAATATCAAGGGAGGAATATGAAAAATTTGGAATGAGGAAGACTGTTGAAGGTGTACTGATTGTTCATGAACATGGATTGCCACATGTGCTTCTTTTACAGTTAGGAACAACATTCTTCAAATTGTAAGTCACCTACTACTTTCTTGTTTAATGGTGGTGGTTTATATGGCAAGCACAAAATGCGGTTACACTTTTTTTAACTGAAAGTACAATTGAAATGATGTAAAATGTGTTAAATAGTCTACTTTTGAATAAATAAACTGTAATTGATATTTTATCAGACCTGGAGGGGAACTTGTTGCTGGGGAAGATGAAATTGATGGACTTAAAAGATCAATGACTGAGGTAAAAAAGAATTATTTTAGACTGATTACTATTAATAATTGTTTGTGACTGCAATGTTTTTGGTTAAAAAATTGCAGTGAAATGCCATTTCATTGCAAAAATACACAAAAAATTTTGCACCATTTGCAAAGAGAAGCAGGTCTTTGAACAGCGTTCAAACTTGCTCTCATTAGTAACAAAGCCTACCGGATTCATGGTAAGGGGCAAGGTGAGTGGCAAGACATCTTTAAGGAATTTGCTAAAACACCTGCAGACCCCTTGCATACTCATGTTGCTTCAAGGTCTGCTTCTCTGTGCTGTTTTTATTTTCTATTTTTTTGGCAATTTCTTGTACTATGTTTCAAGCCACATAATTTTATAATTAATGTTTGATGTTACCATCAATTTACCAGAATTTTAATGCAGTAAAAGATTTCTTTTACAGTGTATATCTTAATGTTTTCCTGTTCTTCAGATCTTAGGCCGCCCTGAACAAGGAATCGAGGTAGACTGGGTTGTGGAAGACACCTTAGGAAACTGGTGGAGACCAAACTTTGAAGCACCTCAGGTAATTCACCCAATGTAGGAGAATCACCGCTCACCTTTCTTCGTAAATTAATAATCTTCATTTGATTTGGTACACATGCGCAATAATACTCTTTTTTCCCAAATTGAGGAGTCTTTTGACATGTCACTCCCTCTCTATCTACATGTAGTTCAGTATTTCTGGAAAGGAATATTTGATGGTATTGTACTCAAGTGATAATCTTAAATGTTAATTTTTTTTTCTCTGCAGTATCCATATATTCCTGCTCATATAACAAAGCCAAAAGAACAAAGAAAACTCTTTCTAGTTCAACTTGGAGAAAAAGGTAGACTTGAATTGAATTAGTTTTCACAAAAGTGCAAACTCTCCATACGAATCTAAGTGGAAGGTTCACAGCAGTCATAGGAAATCTGGAAAATCAAATTGTTTTCTTTCTCATTAAAGGTACTTTAAATCAATTCAAAGCCCTTCAATTTTTTTTTCAGCTAACTTTGCTGTGCCTCGTAACTACAAGTTAGTGGCAGCACCATTGTTTGAACTGTATGATAACTCTCCTGGTTATGGTCCAGTCATAGCCAGTCTTCCGCAAGCGCTTAGTAGGTGAGTGGCCTGAAGTGTCATGTGACTTTTTACCTGTATTTGGTTTAAGACAACTATTAACTATGAATTGGTGGAAGCAAAATTAATAACAGAGGTGAAAAATCACCAGCAGGAGAAATACATTTTATTGTAAGGAGTTCTGTTAGTCCTCAGCCTCATCCTTAGCAAGACGGGCTGTAGAACCAGCCCTTAGTGTTTATAATTCTGAGAAATTGTCAACTTGTAACCTCTCCCCTCAATTTGGATGCAATATTCAGCAATCAGGTTATGAGAGTTGGTAATCTTATCAGTGAGAGGCTGCGTCCTTGCTAAAGCACCCAATTCTCATAACTGATTTACATTGAAATGTATAGCAGCTAGAAAGGAGAATTACAAATTGGATCAACAGATGTGAAGGGTTTATAAACACTCAGTAGACAGCTGATACCTACAATCAGCAAAAAAACTGTTGATGCATAGTTCTTTTCAACCCTCTATTACTTCAGTTTTATTTCTTTTACCCTCCTTAAGTTAACCTATTTGCCCCCTTCCCCCCCCTAAAAAAAAGATATTGAATCGTGATTCAGTGAACTTCAGTTTTGCCAACTTTGAATTGGAAAGGGGGGTCTTATCAATGATTTAGAGAGTGGTAGAAACAGGGAGTGTTATTCTACCCATAAATAGAACTCTTCAAACATGCTGTGTCAATCAATTTTGTGGCTGATCGTAGCTAAGGGTTCATTTTGCTTCTAAGGATGTTTATTTATCTTACTCCTTGCACCCATTTGTTCTTGAGAAATTTGGTTTGTTTTTGGTTTGGTGAGAAATTTGGTTTGTATCAGCTTACCGGGCATTACGTTTTCTTTTTCAGGTTTAGTTTTATATATTTATAAATTAAGTGACGGTGCAAGTCGCGACGTGAAGAAGAATGACTAAGTTTTATCTCACTTTCTTTTTCTGCAATTTCTCTCTGTAATTACCTCGTAAAGTTTATTCGCTGTATGTCTTTTTAGAAATAAAATCACTTCAAAATGTCAGCAACTAATCTGTTCCTCTGTGAAATGAGTGTGACCTATAGCCTCTCGCGGTATACGAGATATTTGTAGCCGTCAAAATTTGAATTAAATCTGATCCTCAAGAGAGGCAGTGCTTGAAGAAAAGAACGATTTAAGTCAGTTTTTTTTAAGCTTGGGACAGAGGAGAAATCTCTAGAAATGGTGTAGTTCCTAAGGAAATGCGATTACATTGCACAAATTTGACTTGGGTTTTATAGGAAGCGTTTTCCATAAGTAATGTAATATGGACATAAAACGAAGATGGTAAAAAAAGGGAAAGCAAGATACTTCAGGTCCTTCAAAGGCTGTCTCCATGACGAATTGGAGATTTGGGGGCAGTTAACGAAGTCTACGTTTACGTACCTTAGGCCCTCGAACTAATGGATTTTTATATCTGATTTCATTAATTGCTTTCGAAGGAAATCAAAGCTTTTCAGGGTTAGTCATCAACTTTGCTAACACTGCAACCCGGTGAAATGACACTAGGACCAGTCCTCGTATGCAGGCCATACATAGAAATATTGCCAAAAGGTTTAAAGATAGGCTCAATGTAGTGAATCAACTTAACAGAACATTTTTAATGTCGACAATCTTGAATAAACTCCACGTCTTTTCCTCTTCTTATCCTGAGGGGAAGGTGAGTGAGCGAAGACGAAACAATATATTTATGAACGTTGCGTATGCCACAGCGTTCAGGGTCGTTTTCCTTTACGCTTTTTTTTTTTTTTTTTTTTTACAAATTTTTTTAATGACGACTTAAGTTAAGGCAATCAGGTGTACATAGCACCTTTACGTCAGTCAAGGGTTACCAGAAAAATAAAGACCTGTCGCTGTGTGAATGGCGAAGACCCGTAACTTCGAGATCAAAATGAAAGCTACTTTAGGTCATTTTTATTCCATCTTTCCAATGTTTCGTTCTTCGAAGGAGTGATCTGGTCTCGATTTCGCAAGCTAAGAGTGAATAAAAATATGTTGGATGATCGGGTTTTTACTCGAAATGGAAAAAAAAGTCTGAACTGAACAGGTTCCTAATTGTTTAAGGGCTTTGTTTGACGCCGCACAACAAAGTTTAAAGATATTGAATAACTGCTCAGAGAGAAAGAAAAGCGTCTGAGGGGATGACCATGTTTTTACATCTAAGGTTAATCAGAACTGGATTCCTTCTTTTCATTTTGATCAAGACTAGTTTAGCAGTCCTCAACCATGGTAAAAAGCCGCACATTGTATTCATCTTAGCTGACGATCTGGGATTTAATGACATTGGCTACCACAACTCAAAATTCAAAACCAAAATTTTGGATGAGTTGGCTCGCACCGGGGTTCGACTGGATAACTATTACGTTCAACCGATTTGTACTCCAACGAGAGCGCAGCTTTTAACGGGACGATACGACATACATACTGGACTGCAACATGGAATAATTTGGCCCTCGCAGGCGAACGCGCTGCCGAGTAACGAAACTACAATCGCAGAAAAATTGAAAGACAGTGGCTACAGGACCCACGTGGTCGGAAAATGGCACCTCGGGTTCTATCGTAAGAAGTTTATACCAACAAGAAGGGGATTCGATTCGTTTTACGGTTTTCTAACCGGTGGACAAGATTACTACACGCATCGGAATCGACTTGGGTTTCCTGCATCGGGTTACAAGTTTCTCAACGGTTATGATTTTTGGCGGGATGAAAAGCTTGAGCGAGATGTAGTCGGGAAGTACACCACCAATCTCTTCGCCAGAGAAGCCGAAAGGATAATTCAAGAACATGACCCCCAAAACCCACTTTTTTTGTTTTTATCATTCCAAGCTCCCCACTCGCCGCTACAGGTACCTGAACGATTTTTGAAGCAGTACAAAAACATTAAGGATCACAATAGACGCGTGTACGCTGCCATGGTTTCTTGCATGGATGAGGCGGTTGGAAACGTGACACGAGTGCTCAAGAAACGCGGTTTGTGGGAAGACACTGTGCTCATTTTTAGCAGCGATAACGGAGGACAAGTCACGGCGGGGGGAAACAACTGGCCGCTGCGCGGTTGGAAAGCTTCGCTGTGGGAAGGAGGCATAAGAGGCGTCGGGTTTGTAAACAGTGATCTGATTCAAAAGCCGGGGAGAGTTTATAAGGGACTGATGCACGTGTCTGACTGGTTTCCCACCATTTTGCACTTGGCCAAGGTATCGGTTGAGGGCATTCCTCTGGACGGGGTAAATCAGTGGGCGAGCATCAGCGAGAACTTGACGCCACCGAGGAACGAGATCTTACATAATATTGACCCTGTAGATACATTCTGGGGAAATCCGGACGGATATTCTCACTGTCGTAGCGCCGCTTTCAGAAGAGGGGATTGGAAACTCTTACTTGGTTGTCCAGGAAACGGAGATTGGGTTGCGGCGCCGGAATCCGGCTCCAAGACCCAGTCTTCCTCCAACCAACATAACGCAAATAGCGTGTTTCTTTTTAACATCACGGGCGATCCCCAAGAGAAGAGAGAAATTTCAGAACAGTTCCCAGATGTAGTGCGCGATTTACTCGGTATGATAGAAAAGTATAATACTACTGCGGTGCCTGCTAGATTCCCGGACCCCGATCTCAAATCCAAGCCAGTAAATCATGAAGGGGTCTGGGGACCTTGGATGGACTGAGTAATCAGGAAGAATATCAAATCGTTTTTGTTTCGGTGTTGCGAATTATGCTAATAATAATTCATTATTTTTGCTCGCGCGTGATTGGTCTAAGTGCAGCACGTGACCGAACACTGAGCGATATCCGATAATAACACCCAAGTGCTATTCCCTAGTTTTCAAACCTCACGTCCACTACCACAGGTCTTCTTTTAAAGATTAAATTCAAGACGAGATAACGTTTTGTGATGGTTACAGAAGAAGGGAGATGTTTTATTGTTTATAAAGTTTGTACTCCAAAGAATACATCTCACGCTTGATACAGTTCGTAAGCTGTTCGTAAACAATTTTCCACGCGCGTTGCAAAATCTTTTAAGGATAATAAACATAATAGCATCTATTTTGCGCGAAAGTGTGCCTGTACATTTTCCCTTGACACTATTTGTTCCTCGAAGTTCACAGTTTTCCTCGGGCTTCGCTCTCGGTAAACTGTTCGCATAATGGAACAGATAATGTCCGCGGACAAATATTCGTGCATATTTTCGCGCCACATAAAGGTTATTGTTTGTATATCGTAACCTCATTTTGTTTTGAACGGTATAGCCTATTTAGCTCGGTGATTTAGTCGTGCTTTCCTTCGTGAAGCTACACGAAATCTGCGCACACACTTTTGCAAAGAGCCTCTTCTGGCTTTCTGATGTCAGGTGTTTAAAAATATTTAACTTGATCCATCAAAAGTACGTATAATATTTTGTCACTGGCGTGGGAGGGGGTTTTAGAAGGACTACAATGATAATATCCCCTTAACACAGAAACAACGTAATTTTAAAACATTTCAATTTAGTGTTTATTGAAGTAAATCGCAACAAAAAGGAATAAAATATCATTTGGATTACCTCACAGCTTTTTAAAGAGGCTATTCATAGAGAGTAAGCTAAAAGCAGCAACACCTCAGCAACAAACACCATAACTCACGAAATTTAAGGAGGCACTCTGATCAACAGAATTTTTTTACAGTAAGCCTTGGTCAATATCACAACAGAATATTTGCACTTAATTAGGTGTGCAAGGCCTAAATGATGCTATCACCCTCTTAAAGCACAGATCAAATAGTACCTGCTCTTTTTTTTTTTCATCTTATGCTGACATTATCTTCGTAAAAAGTAGTTTAAATTTGTTCAGTTGTTGAGCCCCTCAGGAGTGGGGTGAGGGACGATACACGATCTTGCGGCTCTTTAACACTGACCACTTGTGACGCTTGTAGTAGTATGAGGCAAACGTAAGGAACCCGAGAATCGTCATGGCCTTAGGAAAAACAAACAAACACAAGAGAAGAAGTAAATAAGTACACGAATTTGAACATAGTCTTTCAAAGAATGCTTCAGGAGACTTCTCTTTTAAAACGACAACTTCTACAAGAAACAAGGTTTTACTTCAGATCGACGATGGAGTTCACACCAAGCATTGTGAAGAAAAACAAAGGATCCAACAGGCTTAATAAAACATACATGAAGATCTTGTTACTTTAGTAAGAAAAAGTCAACTCATCCAATTTATCACAAAAACTTATTGAAAAATGTGATGTGCACTTTGCAGCTAAGTGCTCAAAACACGTTATATAGATCTATATACACACAGCTGCATGGAAAGAAAGGAATACCATGGTGGCACTAAAGGAAAATTTACAAAATACTAAAACCGCAACCTACATGTATGTTTTAATTGTTCTTCACCCTTCTACTTTGGTGAAGCAGAATACATGTCTGGTTTGGTTTGTTGTTTAAGTATAACGAATGAAGATTTGAATATACATTATACCTTCATTCCCATTCTTTTGCGGTCATCATGTTCAGGTTCTACAAAGACAACGCAATAACATCAAGGTATTAACAACTATTTGCTGACTGTAACTCCTAATACCCCAATTTCATCATACAGTAGCTCTGGAGTACACACCAGCTGTGATGAAATGCTGCAGATGGAAACAAACTTTAGAATAAACCCAGTAATGCTACACTGAATTAGAAGAATAATTATGATGTTAACTAGTACCTTTCAAAGAGCAAAAATGACAAGTTGGATACAACTAAGTGATCTGTACCACCATTATTGAACCTAAGGTGCCAGGCAACTAAAATCTGTCTTGGCTAAAAAGTGAGACACTAGAATGGATGACATGTCTTTTTTTTTTACATAATACTACCACATGATCTATTGCAATCATTGTTAGTGATAAAGGAAACATTATTTTGAAGTAAACATAATTTGGAAGTAAAAACACAGCAGCATTTAACCGCGTTAATACAGTACTGTAGAAAATAAATTCTCACCTGCAGCCCACTTAAGGAAAGTACACACATCTTTAGCCAGCTGGCTGACTGTCGCAGGTGTACCTAAATTTCAACATGCACCAACATTAGTAAGAGATAAATAAACCATTAACACCCTAACATTAAAATGCATATTCTCCATAATGTTCATTATGCATTTCCTAGGGCACTGAAAAAGGGAATTTGTTTAACAATCCTGAGCTTCTTAAGTTGATAATCATTTCATTAATTCTCGTGAATTTTCTGTTGACTTAGCAGTGATACTGCAAGGAAAAATAAGAAACCTGTCTTTCCTACGAGTAACCCTTCTCATTCCCAATTTCTCATTAAGAATTATCCTTACTGTCTGCCATAAAATTCTTAAGATGTTAGTTCAGAGAATTTTTCATCAGATCAACTTTTAATCCCCTCACTGACACTTTTTTCTAACTATCATCACTTGTCTGTTTGATATTACATTGATATTGTAAGGAGAAATTCTTTCTTGGGTCACTAGTGGGAGTTGAAGAATTAATAAGAGAGATTAAACAGTTTAATAGGAATTGGCTGGTAAGTTGGCTATAGGGAATCTTCCTCTACATTTCAATGCAATCTTACCATCCTCATATTCAATGATTTCATTGTACAATGCTGGTGCCATGGCAATATTTTGCCCTGGGAAGTATGGATTGTAGTACAAGTCATCCTTGACTTCTGCTCCAGCAGGAGGATCTGTGTAACCTGTCAAGATACTGAATACATAGTCCTGTGGCAAGAGATGAAAAACAACCTGTTACCTACAGGGGAATGCTGATTTCTGATGACACCCCCTATAATCCATCGTATATTTTCACTCTTGCATGATTGGTCTAAATGAGTTACATGACCAAATATGCCCCAACTAAACTGTGGAATATCCACTAATATTCCCCAAGTGACATTCCCCCAAATTTTATACCTTACAACCAATATAATGAAAGTCTTTGTTTAAAATTTAATTCAAACACAACTCCTTTTCTCCTTGCGCTTGGACGCAAATCAAAAAGCCATGACAAAGTTACTAATCTGGGACCAGTTGAATGAAGGTTGGATGACATTATCCAATAGATAGATTACTATCCAGTGGATAAGTGATAGCAAAACGTACTACACTATCCACCCAATAGAGATTTATCCAGTTGATTCCAGTCAATTCTATCGCATTAGATCATATCCACATGTATTTTGCACTATATAAGTAATAAATTATTATTATTATTAGTTATTAAATTATTAATTATTATTGATAGCATTATCCAACCTTTGCACAACCAGGGCCTAATGGATAACCAATTTATCACCATGTGTAAACAAGAATGCTTAGGGTGCTTGAAAATTTAACACACTGACAAGATGTGTCAAATAAGTCAATTCATGGTGCAAGCACCCAATACACCAAAAAGTAATACCAAAAAAACTGGAAGGAAATAAATGTGTAAATTCTACCTCTCCACCATGTCTTGCAGATGTAATAAGGCTCAGGTCTGGGGGATAAGCACCTAAGATGTGGTAAAAAATCACAAGAAATGAGTACTCCTCACAACACAAGTATACATCTTTATACAATGGTTTAAAACACAAATAATGGATGTATAATAAAATATGTAACATTACACATTTTCCAAAACATTTCTTACCAGCATTAGCAGCTCTTGCAGCCTGTTCATTAGGATATGGCTTAGGGAAGGAGTCTGACAACTGAAAAATGCAACAATGGGTTTTACACCAAGTCACCAAGCCAACATATGCAGCAATACACATAAATTTACAATGTCCTTGAAAATCAAAACAGATTTTGTTCTAAGTTGACTGATTGCTGTATCCATAAGCTTTACCAGGTATCTCACCTTTCCTGGTCTGGTGAACATGTTTCCATCATCATCAGGACCATCTTCAATCTGCGCCTGTGAAAAACAAACAATTCACCTCCTTCAGTTAAATGTCATAGTCATGTGCACAATGAAAAAAAAACAGAAACACTAAAATAGCATCAACAGTGACAATAACAATAACATCATCTATGAAGATATTTAGAGGCAACCTGGTTTATTTATCAAAGGGGAACATGTATATGGTCAGCTTGCTTAAACTTTGTCTGGTAGATTATAGGGGAGAATATTTCATTTACACCACTTAATAACATTGTGTTAAACATCACAATATAGCGTCCAGGCAATACATTGACACTCTTAGCTAATTTATTGCGTACCTCTGATGCAATAGCTTTCATTTCTTCTTCTGTGTAAGCCACATCCACAAGATGTCGATATGCCAATTGCTCCATTGAGTGGCAAGCAGCACAGACCTGTCTGTACACTTCATAACCTCGTCGGATGCTAGAAAAAATAAAACATTGCCAGTGCTGGTACCTCAGTACTGTGAGAAATAAACTGGGTACCTCTATATTGGGTATTCGGCAAAACATATATACTCTATGCCTCATACCACATCAATCACAATTATTAAATTATTGTTTCCCTTCAAACATACCTTGCATGGTCAAGTGAACTCAAAAAGCCTTTGTGAGCCCAAGGGTAGTGGGGAGGGTGAAGTTCAAGTTCTGCAGCATCAACAGTTGGTTGAAGGATGTAACCTGTGGCAAGCCCTCCTGCAGCAAGAGCACCAAATGCAAACCACATCTGAAAGAGTCGTAATCGGATAATAAATAAAATGGTAAACACTTTCTTTCCAAAGAGTGACCAAAAATTTATGATTCCCTAAAACATTAGCACCTTTTCAAGGAGCTAGACAAACTATCTAAAAGCACAATTTCAATTCATAAGTAACTGATTTTGGCCCAACTTACTTTTGCATTACTTTTCCCTCCTTCAACTGTGGCTGTTGTTGTTAGCCTGGTCTGTACCTAATGATGAGAAATAGACCTCTAAATTCAAACAGACTTTAATTCTAAGTTTCTAAAGTATTTCTATAATGGATGAAATTCACTAACTAAGACAATCCTAATTCTGAAAAGCCCTCAGGGTTAAGAGTAATTTCCCATTATTTAGTAACACAGTGAGTCACCCAGCATCAGAGGGCTGGAATCAAGGGGATAACACATATATCAATGGGGTGCCAATTTTGCCAAACATATACTCTTAGAATGCTTGGGAGCAACGTCGTAAACTGATGTACCAGAGTATATGTTGGTAGATGTATTTTGTACATTTTGATGAGCAAAAAAATTAGTCACAAAAAACATTTGCATGGGTACTTGAAGATCCAATTCTTCCAAAAGAAAAGAAATTCAAGCCAAATCCAGGAGGTGCTCACTGCTAAAGTTACTTTTACCAACAACAATCCCGAAACTTTACAATATCAAAACGCGAATTCAAGTCAACGGTTAAGAAATGAGAACTATACTTAAATTGACCTTACAAAAAACATACCAGAGTTTTATAAAATCGAAACAAGTTCAGTTTATAGGAGAATACTTGGAACATGATTAATCATCAACACAGATTTTCTGTTCGTGAGCAAAACTTTAGTACTACGTAACGAACAAAGTACGTACATTTACATCAAACTCAGTGGCCACGATCTCAGGTACTCTTCAAATATATTCTGTACAGTCTATTGTTAGATCTTTTAGGTGATAACTTTCAGCATAATACCAAGATGATTTCACCAATACAATCATTTCTTACCTTAAATACATCTTGTAATCGTTTTGATAATCCATGCGACCGGCACAATCTAAACGCCATCTTGAAATGGATGTGGGTTATTACCCAGAACGCAACGCGGTAGTATTGCATAACTTTCTCACTGCGCATGACTGCTATTTCGAGCCTGTAGCCGCGCCATCGATACTTACCGTGTGCATGCTTCAGAGCCTGGAAAAGAAATTATTCAAGATGGCGAAAAATATTTGACTCTTGAGGAACATTTCCATAGGTAAGCGCATTTGTTGGAAAGGAACTATTGTTTAAGCCCATTAAAACATAATTAAAATTGCGTTCAGTCTTTTCCCTCGAAGCTTTGCATTCTGTGGCGCGTGTTGTGGTGGTAATCAAAGTTCATTGCAGTATGTGAGTTATTACTTGACGAATTTTAAAGCTTGCTAACTTAAAAGTGTCTTTATCTGTTTCAACTTCAGCCTTAAAATACACCTCATATCCAGCTCTTCTGTGTGGAGTCAGTGCGAGAGAAATGGGTCTCTTGTCAGATGTTCGAGGACGGAAGAAAATTGTGGATGTTTTAGTAACTCATTGCTCAAAGCTGTGGTAACGAGGCTTTAAATTTTTGCAAGATTTTTCTCTTAGTATTATTAGGGATTATACTTGTAATACGCTTTCAATTGATGTTCTTATGTTTTATTTGACAAATTTGCGAAATTTTTGTGCACAGATGTACGGTGTACCACCATGCCAAAATTATAAGGAGATTTACGTTTAAGAGACTAATTGTATCTATGTCGTCCTATTTTCATTTTGACTTTTCCTTTCTTTGGATTTTGCCGATGCATGGTAATGAAAGTAGACAACAGCACAAAGTAAAATGTCAACCACAGCAAATTCTCGCCCACACTGATTGGCAATGATCTATTGATTCATTTATCAATTTTATCGTTCTCTTCCTTTTTCCAGTGTTCTCAGTTACATTATTGGTATCATCTGGCTGTGTGCTTTATCTGATCGCACATTCAATGGTCGTGTTTATTTCTCTGAGAATGCATTGTTGCCTGGTTTGGTTGAAGCAGAATTCAAGAATCACAGACTTGCTTCAGAGTTATTTGGGAAGTTATCAACTCTTCCAGAGGGGGATATTAGGTACCCATCATTACAGTTCTTCTCTGCTTTTATAATTTAAGGGGAGCATGGAAAAAAGACTTACAGACTGATTGAATACTTTCACGCAGAATCCTGCAAAATTGTCACCTAATGGTTCCTTTGTGAAACACAGAATTAAATTAAGGTCTTATCCACAGGTAGTAAGAGCTTTGTTATACTCCCCTTAGATTTAATTTCTTTATAATTATGAGAAACAAAATGGCTTTTTCCATCAGTAGTTTGTATAAGAAAAATAGAAGATTTATATGTAGCCATGGTTAGCTTTCTTTCTGTAAAAACATCTTATTTGAGATGTGCTTCATACCCATGCTGGTTTGTCTTGCATGTAAAATAATATAACTTTTTCGCTGGTTTCTGACAATTTTATTTGAAATTGTTTTCCTGTGAAAGTACATTTATAAAAGAAATGTTTAGGCAAACCTCTATAATTTTCCTGTTGATGTGTGGCGTGACTATTACTGACGATAACCATCCCTCTCCCTCTTGTTTTTGGATCTGGACGTACTGGACCATAATTTCCTTCAATTACCATGTGCATTATTTATTATTCAACATAATGTCCATTTTTCTTTAGCAATGCTGCATCACAGATGATCACAAACACAATGGAAAACATTGGTCTTTACACTTACCAACAGAACTTCACAGTTTACACACCATTTCCTGGCATTTCTGAGCCACGCGTGATAAATGGCATAAACATTTATGGGATTCTTAGAGCTCCCAGGATTGCAGGCACTGAGGCACTGGTTATCAGTGTTCCATACAATCAAGGGAACAATAAAGGAGCTTTAGCACTAATGTTGTCATTTGCTGACCATTGTAGAAGTGAGTATAAAGTGGTATTCAAAGTTTGAAAAATGTCTTTTAAGAAGCTTCAAATTAATGCAACTTTGCTTCCTAAGACTTAAATTAAATGGGAATGACTTCTATTAAATGACATTTAAAAAACACCAGCATATAGTGCTGAAGGATTTAAGAGAATTTTTCTATCTCTGATGGTAATGACTCTGCCCTCTGTGGAGTCAGTGTTTTTAAGGGACTATTGCTTTTCTCCAGCAAATCTTGAGCTGCTTTAATATCCCGCACATGGAGTGGTATTACAGTGTTAAGAACAGTGCTGTGATTTTCCTCTGGATGGACACTTTCATTGGTGTGTCTCCAGAAAGCTTAAGATATTGAAACATTCATTCTTGATCAAAGAAGACTTTGTGTGAGAGCTTTACAAACATTATGAAGTAAAATATAATGTTATACAGGATGAGAAGTGTATACTTCTTCTTCATGCCCACCCGTTTATGTTCCTCATGCATGGTTTCTGTTGAGAAAAAGGGAAGTCCACTGTTATCCTCAAATTGTGTACTGTACATTTTTCTAGTCACCCTGCTCTGCCTAATTGTAATGTACAATGTAACTGTCTAGTTGAGAGGGGAGATTCTGTGCAATTTTCTTTTCTTTTCTTGTTTTCTTTTTACTTTTTCAGTATTTGATTTTGATAAATTAAAAAGAAATATCTTTTTTCACAGGGAAAAGTTACTGGTCAAAGGATATCATTTTTCTTGTGACTGATAGAGATCAACTTGGTATGCAAGCTTGGCTTGATGCATACCATGGTGTTACAAATTCTTGTAGGTATTAGTTTCCTGCACTTTCTTTGTTGATATAATCAACTCAAACACTTTGATTTAACAGGTTGAAATAACTCCCCTTGAGTAAATACCAAGTAAAGAGCTCAGAACTTACCTTCTCTATTATTTTGTTTACCAAACTTGATGCCATTGACATTTCTGATCCTAGCAGTATGCAGGATGTGTTTCATAAATGTGTTTCTCTGTGGCTCTGTGTATCGGAGCACAGAAATCAGAAGGTCTGAAGTTCAGTTCCTCATGGGGACTCAGAATTTTTTTTGTTCCAGGCTCATGATAAGATGAAATAACATCTTTCTCTATTTCTTCACTGAGCTCAAAACTTACCACCTTTCTTATTGTACTTGAAACAACTTGTTTTTCCATTTGCAGATATTTCTTCTGCTCCTCTTGAGGGACATTCTGGTTCCATACAAGCTGCACTGAACTTGGAATTTCTGCATGAGAAAGTGAACTTCTTTAAGATTGCCATTGAAGGAATTAATGGACAGCTTCCTAATCTTGATCTAGTAAATACCGTGTTCAGGATGTGTCGCAAAGAGCATGTTCCAGTTTCTCTACACACAGAGGTGAATTGGATTTTTTATTTAGTGGGAACAAAGAGTGTATTAGTATATGACTTTTTTTGTTAAAAAATCATTTTCCTGGAATTCATTTTAATCTAAAAGATAGCTATTGTGTCTCTGATAATTAAACAGATATTCAAAATCAATAGAAACATGATTAGAAAACTTTTCTAGTACAGTGACAGAGGCAAACCAGTTGGGTATTTAATTATAATGGGCTGTTGGATCACAAGTTGAACGTGGTTACCTGTTACATGGTCCATCTTGAGCAAAAGTCATCTTAAGGGTCAATCTTTATGACTTTGACTTATCAGTGATGACTTCTGCTCAGATTTTTCACATTTTATACTTTTTCACTGACAAAATCTTTTCCAGGGCTGCCCCACTGGGAAAATCATCACTACAAATGAAATAATTGAGTACATAGTGGTTATTTTTATTCAAGTCCTCATTAAGCCTTTCACTCTCAAGTTCTACAAATGAATTCTCTGCATTATCTGTCATGAATTTCTACCAATCATAGCTTTGAGAATTTGGTGATTAATTGGTCAACTTGCCCTTGTTGATATTTTTCTTCCTGATCACTTTTCTGCACAGAAATGTATCTAGGTACTTTGTAGTAAGACATTTATTTTTACTCACTACCTAGAGTGATTGAAAAAAAGCTCAGGCCCTTAAAATTTAGCAAAAAGATTGTGCATTGTAGGCTAAGAATTCTCTGATCTACAGTTTCTCATTAGCACCATGTTACACCCCTCTAAGGAGTTTTCTCCAGCATGTTTGGATGCATTTTGTCATTTAGTTGCCGTACAGTGTTTGTGTCATTTGATGTTGACAGGGATATCATGAACACCTGGGACCCTGGGCAGATTCTGTGCAATCCCTTGTTACCATGGTGATAATGATGTTTTACCAGGCCTCAGGAAGGGCTTCTGGCAATCATGGCCTATTTCACAGATATCGTATTGAAGCTGTTACAATGAGGGGTGGTGGAGAAACCTTTCAGTATGGGCGTGGATTTCAGGAGACTGGAAGGTGGGCAGGTGTTGGTAGGATTCCATTTAACCCTTTAAATTCCAAAAGTGATTAAAATGTAAGTTCTCCCTGAATTATCCATACATTATCCAGCTAACAGGTAATGAGAATAATCAAACTTTTCAGGTAGAAGTTATTATCTTGATCTAACCCCAAATTCTCATAACTGATTTACATGGAAATGTGCAGTAGCTAGAGGGGAGAATTAGCAATCAGATCTTGGGAGTTAAGGGGTTAATAAAACTTCATTGATTCTCAAAGAACCAATTAGAGCAGATAATATTGTTTTGAAGTCTGCTCTCAAGCCGGTTTGCCCATCCAGCTAGAATTGAGCCTGGTTTCCATTGCATGACACATTAACCCCTGAATTTCATCAGGCTTCCATGACAGATCACTGGTACCCATTTTATACTCCTGGGTGGAGAGAGAGAGAGAGAGACTGGAAGACTTAAGTGTCTTACCCAAGAACATAGTACAGTGACTTTGCTAGTACTCACCCGTTTACAGGAAGAGAGTAGCTAAGATGAAAGCCAAAATAGTTAATAAGGTACTGAATGGCACTGAATGGCATGCTGCCGCATTATATCTCTGAAAAGGTTAAAAAATTCAGCACTGTTCGCTTGTCTTTCACGAGGGCCAAATGTGGATTATTTTGTGATAATTCGTACTATCATCAATAAAGAAAGACTCACCTTTCAACCCAGTGTTCAGCGTGCTAGTCATAACGCATCACTGGCATAATTTTGTTTTACTGTAGACGTGATTTAACCGTAAGTTCATCGTAAGTTTCCCCGGATTAAGTTAAGTTTCCCTTTCAACACAGTCATACTGGAATCTTTTCTATCGACTCTTAAATATTTGCTCCTTGCTTCGACAGAGTCATTGAGGGTATATTCCGCAGTTTGAACAACCTCCTGGAGCAATTTCACCAATCGTTCTTCTTCTACCTTCTACCTGAGTCTAATCGCTATGTATCAATTGGCCTGTACATGCCTCCCTTTGGCTGCCTTCTGTTAGGTCCTCTGATCATGGCTATCGTGATGTGGGTATTAGCCGGGTCTGCTCCAGAAAACGGCTCAAAAGTTGACACCTCACAAGACGAAGCATCGAAGGAAGAAGCTAAATGTAAAACAGCTGAGGTGGAAAGTCGTGAAGAAAAAAGTGGTGATACTGAAAAGGAAATCCCTAATTTAGAAGTTGAGGTTTGTTGAGGTTTCAATTTAATTTTCAACCCTGTTGAATTTAATTTAAAATGAAATCAAAATTGTTGGAAAAAGGAAAGAGAAATACGAGAGGCGGACCTTCTCACGGTCACATGTAACATGCGCATTTTATAATGATGAAGGAACTACTGTTGGTCGCGGTATTTAGAGTCATTTTTAGCTCCGCAGAGAATTGCCTTTCAAGTGAATTTCCTTTTAAAATATTAGTTGGTTAGGTTTGATAAACAGCCGAGAGAAAAGAGTAGGCTATAAAGAAACCAGGCTGATAATGGATGAAGAAGATTGACTTACATTACAAATGATGGGAATTAAAAGTTTTAAGCGAAACTTTTCAAGATGTACCAGCCGCGACGCAGCTCCTGAAACTGTCGTGTATGATGAAAAAATCCGCTGAAGCCTATCATGATCGCATGTAATATGCTCAGAATGTCTTAATTTTGCAGGTAGCATTTTTGAAGTATCCTCCTGACATCGGAAGCGTCGTGCCTATTGCCATGGCAACACACGTGGCAGGTGTCGTGGTGTTTTATTCTCCAGAGCTAAGTTATAAACTGGGACAAGCGACAGGACTAGACCCTTTGTTATGTACATACATTGGAATGGCTTTCTCCTTCTTTGTAGTAATACTTCTGCCTTTTATCACAAGGTAAGAGACGTGTTTTCACGTTACTAGGAGAGATTACTGAATGAAATAAAGAGTAGATGGATAAATGACGCTTGCAGAAACGAAAAGTAGTAAGAATGAACTCACATTTTGAGCTATTTTCAACTGGTCGAAAGTAAGCTGAGATTGCATTGTTTTGCCCTACTTTGCTCTGCTACTTGCGCCACCCTCTCCACCAATCAGATGCAAAACAAAAACCAATCACGACTTGGTCGCCCGCGTTTTCCCGCGCTTCAGGCAGTTTGGTTGCCTTTACTTTGAGTTCTGATAGCCTCTTAAAGGTATTTCCCTTTCATCTGATTGGCCGATCGGAAAGCATTATAACTCAATTTTCCTTTAATCCTTAAATCGATCCTGCGAAAAAATGTTTCAAGTCTCTTGTTCCAGGTTGATGTAGATATTTTAATTTTAAAGCACAAATAGCCAAAAGCAGAGAGCGAGTACACTGTACACTGTACACTGTACGGACATTACCGTCCAAGCACAATTAGCTACTTGTAATCTTGATTAATTACCACTGCTACAAAAGCTGCGGCGTTACAGAACTTAAAAGGTATAATACGCAAACCGGTTCCTATATACTGGTCGGATGTTGTAGTTACTGGGCTACAGAGGAATACTTGGCAAGCCTTAATTACTTAGTTGCCACTAAAGTTTATATGGAAACAAAATCTACCGGCATTCTATCACTTATGTTACCATCTGTTCTGCGCGATGGTTGTTTTCTCTTCCATGACAGAAAGCGAGAAAAGTAGAAAGCACGTGGCCGGCTTGGGCTACATGTATATGTACTAGTATTTAATTAAAAAAAAAAGATTAAAAAGCCTGTCTTGTTAAGGTTTAGAAGACTACTAAATTTACTATAAAATAATTGGACTATTGGTGCGAGAGATAGCTGAATCGGGTTCGCCCTCGTAAACGATCTCGCGATAGAAATCTCATGCTTGTAGTTAAAATGTTTCATGCCCAGAAAATACCAATATTTTACAAAAACTGAGTGGGTTGTTTATATAGCCTGACAGTACTGTTCAGAGGTAAGTTTATCAATCTCGTTTTTGGAGCATCTCGAAAGCCAAAAGATTGAAATAGTTTCCAAGTAAGTCTGAGAGAAATGTTGAATAGAGCGATGTTTTTAGTGGAGCGAGGGCATAGACATATTCAGACCAGCCCGACGCCGTTATGTCAGCCTGACGCCGTTACAATGTTCGTTTTTTTTAACCGTTACCAAGTGCACCGCTGTATTTTGCCGTTGTAAACGTATAATTAACAACTTGTGCTCTAGAAACAAACACTGTATTTTGTCTCGGCTTAAACAGGATTATATAAATTCTCGGTGCGAAAATACAGAGTAAGAAGCCTAAGGCACTGGTGATGTTTGTGGCGCATTCAAGCACAGTTATGTACCATCCTTCGATCGCGAACGCTACAGGATAATATGATATTACGGAAAGAAATAAAATATACATGGAGAAACCGATGCGCCTCGCTTCATTGAAGTTTTCGGGGATATTTCTCACCCTGAAAGCGTAGTACGCACAAAACAGCCACAGAAAAACTCCGAACGTGATGTTTGCGAGTAAGATGTTTTTTCCATTAAGGGTAGAATATGCCTTGCATACAATCGAAATGTGCTGCAGATGAATGATGGTGATTTTCTTGTAAGGCGGGCCAGTAATGAGCCAAGCTACCGTTAAACCTATCTGAACAGCGGTAAGAGTCGCCAGGAGAGCTCTCTGTGTACTGGCTTTGGCGGTAAAACACGCTGACAATACGCATCGTCTTTACAAGAAGTACGGCAACGCACATGATCCAAATCGTCATCCGTCCACAGTGACTGAAGCAGCAGATTGTGTTGGCCGATTCGGAGAGATTCAACAGAGGTATGACAAACAGAGAAGTGATCCCTACCAAGAGGATCAAACTCATTTCTCTGTCGGCCGCCTTAGCTACGGGTGTGTTGAAATACCTCGCCAAGGTGCCCCAGGTGATGAATGTCAGGACGAGTCCGACAGCAGAGAAAACTGCTACAAGTACACCACTCACACTGTTCATTTGCATACGTAGTATTGGTAAATCAACACAGCGCGTTCGTTCTTCGTTCGATTTCTGTGTTTGTGAGCATTCGGTGCAATTACGAGAGTTGTGACGCGTGCTTATGCTGCCCAGCGGGCACCTGATACACTTCCAGCAGCAAGGCGTGGTTAGCGACTGCCTGGTTCCTGGAGAACAGTCTTTAGCGCAGATTGACCGCGGAGCACTTTGATTTAAAAGTGTGTTCCATACTACATTTGATTTTAGTGTTAGTTGTGGATTCTTGTCTTTTATCCAAGACCCAACCAAAACTTTTTCGTACTTTTTCTCTCGCTGTTTGTTTCGCTGAAAATTGATGATATCGTAGGAGGCCACTAATCGATCTCCAAAATGGTTGAATTGCACTTTGCCAGTGGCTCCGTGAAAACTTACGTTCTTAAGGTAGTTTGGGAGGCTTTTTCTAACATTCACGGGTATAACACCAGGACATTTTCCTTCAGGCAGAAGACCGTTCGGTTCAACGCATTTGTAGATGTTGTCGAGAGCATGAGCTACTGCGTACACGGCATCTAAAAGGTACGGAACAAATGAGCTGCGAAATTGCCCAATCAAATGATGTGAAGAAATGTTGTCTTTACAATCAGACAGTGTTTGGTTACAGATCTGTGTCCAAAACTCATCCCACCATGCCGAATTTCTCTTCAATGTTGCGTTTCGTGTTAAGTGCTTCAAATGTTCATCAAAGGGTAAGTGTCGGAAGTCTTGAGGCTGAACTCCAAGTGACCCATCGAGTCCTGCAAAGCGCGGGTCAAGATGCACGCTTTCCTCGGCGGTCATAGCGTCGCTAAATAGCCAAGTACGGTCGCGAACGCCTTGTTTGTGTGTCTCGTGGAGAAAAGCTCTTGCATACCCGCCTGATAACCACACAAGTACGACTCCAATGTTCTGCTGTTGTTTGAGCTTAATAACAATTTGAACGAGCTTTTCCTGGTAGTCTAGTCTTGGAATAAACTCGGAAAAAGCGATGCAAAAGGTTCTTCGTCGGTATACCTCTTTTTCCACAGCCCAAACACCCTGACGTCCGTACGAGTCATCGATAGCGACAGCGGCGATGTAGGTCCATTTGAAATGCTCGATAATGTCGGCCATGACTCTCGCCTGCCACATATCGCAAGGGATTGTGCGAAAAAAATCCTGGTACATTTTGGAGCTGAGTTCGTGGCTTGTGGCTGTAGGGCTGATTGCAGCAATTTCGTGCACTTGGAGAAGACTTCCTACCAGAACAGCGCCTGCCGAGTCGTGCGGGCCTATCAGAGCAACCACTGGCTGCGTAGGTGAAGAATTGTCATCCAACGTGCGGTTCTTATCTGCCCGACAGACTGCATCAGTGTTTTGAACCAAGTCGTTCGCCATTCGCATGGCTATTGCTGCGTTTTCGCAGTAATCTCGAATGTCATAACCGATAGTGACGTTTGGTAAGATGGTAGAGTCGTTGTTGACGCGTTCAATGGCGAACAACATGGTCTCGACATGGCCAAGACCCATAGTAAACAACTCGCCGCAGTCATCGTTGGGTCCATTGAAGTGGACATCAAAAAGACCCCCTAATGTAACATCTGCTGGCTTGAAAATTCGATTCTGATAAAACTTGGTGTCCGTTTGATGTTTGGGATCTATCACGCTGAAAATGGATAAGAAGGAGACGATTCCTAGACGTTGCATGTTCAAAAGCTCGCAGCTATGCAGTCGTACTTCCTCCTTCATGTAGCCTGGTAGGGCTTAATTGAATGCGAGAATTATTTGTTAAGAAACTTACTGCTTCACAAGAACCATTCGAGATATTTTGACGCGTATTTGTTGACACAAATATTTCCTTTCGTCAAACAGGAAAAGTCTGTGTAAGCAGCTAGGTTATTGATTCTTGTCGGTCCCGTGTTTGCACTATATGTGAGTCCCCAAACTTAATCAAATAAAACGGCGACTCAATTTTACTCTCAAAACGGGTTTTGATATCGTAAAAGCTTCTTTGGTTTGCTAATTCTATTTCCATACAGAGGAAGTGGAAAAGTCAACGGATGCCTCTTATCAGATTCTATCGACATGGACCATTAATTATTTATTTTTTTCACACCTTTCCATTAAGAAGTCGATTACCTTTATCTGTGAGGTATAATATTCGAGTACTGGTGAACTTAACACAACAGATAAATTGGAAAAAATGCTCTTCACAAATGAGAAAAGGGAAATGTAACTATTTTCTCGCTTGCATTGCTTCCTGTCCTTCAACTGATAGATACAATAGAGAAATAGAAACATTGTACTCGTCATCTTCATAACAATAGCAATCTTTCCATATCATTACTCAAACAGGTGTAGGGTAAACAGCAGTGGTGTTCATGCCATTCGCGTAAAAAAAAGGTTCTAAAAAAATCCCTCTGTATTTACTTGATTAAGGAGAACTTGTCTGAAGATGAATTGGTCGAACAAGATTGTTGAGAATTTATGCCCTCTGTTTCTGAAATGGAGGAAATATTTTTAACTAACTCATGCGTCAAGTTATTGTGTCAGCAAATTTTAAGTAAATACTTTTGTAAATGTGAAGTACCATTGTAAACACTAATGATCTGAATTTATATCCTTGAATTGTTGCTGCAAAAGGAGTTACAAAGCGTGTTTTTATGGTTTACTTTGTATTCCCGTTTTGATTCTCTAGTTCAGGACTCGCAAGAGTCATTTCGTATTTCTTTCTAATTTTAGACAGAGTGCACTTTATTAAATATGATTCAATGCGCAGGTGAACTTCGAATGGCGATAAACTAAAGAAAACAGAAATTTAGTTGTCACATTTGATTAAATTTGATGAATGTGCATATATTTTGTATTAGAACTTCTCAACTTATGCTCCCTTGCATCTGCCGGCAGGCTTTTCAACGCTAGTGAAATAATTGTACTGTTTTTTGTTTTTTGTTTAAAGAAATTTTTAGGTTTCTTTCATTTGATGAATAATTTCAATTGCTTTTTTGTGAAATGACCGTCCTTTTCTTCGCTTTACCCGTGTTTACACTGGAACTCTTTCCTTGCCAAATTAAGTTGTATGAGTGAAATTGCTTGCCAAGGTCGCCTCCAAAGAGAAAACCGAAACAATTTACATAAACCCGTCAAATGTTTCATGGCAAGTGTACTTGTCAAGAAAATTTTGTCGTTGTCAAATTTTTCTTTGGGAGGATACCTGTTAAAACTCCTATTAAAAGGGACAAAGATAAAGCTACAAATTTCCCAAGTAAACACAGCCAAAAATAGGCTTGTCAAACGAAAATTGATGGTGTAAGGCAGATCCATGATATAAGCCACTAATTTCACTATTATGCTCCATTGAAGGTATTCGAGTGACGTAAGCTCTCATCATGTGACCCTTCGAAGCCATTATATGCTCAAATGTGGAGCTTTGATACTCTTCTCTGTTCTCATGGGAGCAATGGCGGCCATAAATTTCTCTCTGGCCTTTTTGGTTAGCATGTTCCAAGTGCCTGTATACCTGTTGGTGGCCCCTTGGGGGAGGAGGTTAGTAGTTCATTCATTTATTGGTTAATTGCGGAAATTGTAAATGTCCAAATTTTTTTTGCCTCATTGTTGCGCATATCAAAAACATTGTACACTACTACTGACCAGAATCCACCTGGTTTTTCTAGCATGAGGCGACCACGTGTGTCACTACTCCTGCTGAACGTTATTCTTGATCATCGCTTACCCTTTCACAACACCTCCACTTTGTCGAAGTGGCTACCTGAAATTTTCCTAGTACCGTCAGTGCAATGTTTCAAAGTCTTTCTTACTTTGTATTGTTTGTTGTCTCAAATCAATATCATTTTTCAGTAACATTCTCTTGGCAAATGCTATTATCACTGATGTTCAAAGTCTCTCAAGGTTTACTTCTTCATCCAAAAATTACCCATTAGTGTAAGAAGATCAAAGACTAATTGAAATGGAAAATTAAATCTTCAGCTGGAACTCCTCTCATTTTTTAAAGAAACTCTTCAAAGCTGATGTAATCAGTAAACTTCAATAATGACTTGTCATTGATTTGCAAAAACTTTATACGTTCATTTTAAGATGATGATTAAAATTCTTGTTCGCATTTTGTTGACAGGAGTCGCCGTCTTCTCCAAGCAGTGCTACTAGTTTTGGTATCGCCGCCGATGATTCTATTTCTCCTTTCGCTGGCCTATAACGTAATTGTCTCACAAACCGAAGCTAACATCAACATCATACTTCAATCCACTCTTACAACTGTCTACCAAACCGTGACGTCATCAATAAAAGAAGCCCGGATGTTGGGCACGTGGTCCTTTGCGATGACGTGTCTTGGGATTTTGCCCAACTGGCTTATGTTTTGGTGTTTAGCGTGGCGCTGAATTATGAACTAAATTACCTAACGTCTTACGTTTGATTCTTCATGGGAACTCAGACTGTTTTCTTTGTCTCATGCTGGCGATAAGAAGAAATTAAAACTTCTTGGGAGTCTTTTCAAATCCTTTTTAAGATATTTACCGGGAAAGTTCTGACTTATGAAGTCATTTCGAAACATGGGCAACTGGGTAACAGAATTTGTGCTGAGAAAATTTTTTTTATTAAATTAGAGTCGTCTACCCATTTACATTTAAGAAGTTTGTTTTGTTTTAAGATTAAATCTTCTCCCTGATACTAAAGCTTGTATACTTTCACTACCTTTTTTTTCCTGAAGAATGTATTGGTATTGTAAGGAGAAGTAGCATGTTAGTCACTCCTAAAAGTTGACGGGTTGAAAGTGAAACCATTATCGCAGTATCCTGTATCCCATGTGTGAGGTTTACCGCTTCCTTAGTCAAATTCTTTTCCGGTTAGATAAGCCTATTCGTTCTATTTTCGCTTTTCTTGTATAGTAATTGTACTTGGTATTGCGGTTTGCGGTAGTCATCGAATTAGTTTAGTTTAAAGTGTCCCGTTCACTTCAAAGAAACTTTAAAATGCAGATATATGGAATTCACCGAGTATTACTAACGAATAATTATTAACTACAACCACATTTATTGAGAGCAATTTCTTTTTTCTTTGTGCTAAATTGTTGATAGTGCATATCAAATGACCTGGACCCTCTAACAGGTGTACACATGAAGATGTGTAGTTTCAAAACTTACGCGGTCTAAAAATATCAACGACATTTGAGACCTTCGAAATATTCCTTTTCAATTGGCAAAGTCACATCCCAATCAAAACTCATCACGTATCCATGAAATCTTTGAGGTGTAGGCGTGTTTTCGGTTAATGGAACAGTCCATGTTCACTCGTCCTTACTAAATAAGCTGAAATCATCAGAGTGATTTAATATTCTGTGTACAAGATATTGATGAAAGAGTTTCACGCCGGATAATTTTTTATAATTTTTAAGGTTTCCAATTTTCTTATCAATTTACTTTCCACTCAGGTGAATTTATAACGTCATGTTCAATATTTCACGATATCAAATACCCAACCACATTTATTCGATGCCTTTCAGTCGGATCTGTCATGGTCGTGGTTTCGAACCTTCTATGCAATATCTATTATTATTGAACTCAAGACTTGTTGTACCATACACTATCATTACATAGTAGCGTTGTTTGTTGTTGTGCGTGTCTCATAACACTCGCAATGGAATGGAAATGGGTGGCGAGATCCAAATGATAAAATGCTCAAGGTGTCAGGGGAACTCAAACAGGCAAATCATGGGGACCGAAAACAAACGTTGAATAAAATGATCACTAATGTCCCTCTCACGGACTTAACCTGTTTGAGTAATGATGTGGAAAGATTGCTATTGTTATGAAGATGACGAGTACAGTGTTTCTATTTCTCTATTGGATCTATCAGTTGAAGGATAGGAAGCAACGCAAGCGAGGAAAGAGTAAAATTTCCTTTTTCTCATTTGTGAAGAGCATTTTTTCCAATTTATCTGTTGTCTTAAGGTAATCGACTTCTTAATGGAAAGGTATAAAAAAAAAAATAATTGATAGTCCATGTCGATAGAATCTGATAAAAGGCGTCCGTTGACTTTTCCACTTCCTCTGTCTATGGAAATAGAATTAGCAAACCAAAGAAGTTTTTACGTTATCAAAACCCGTTTTGAGAGTAAAATTGAGTCGCCGTTTTATTTGATTAAGTTTGGGGACTCACATATAGTGCAAACACGGGACCGACAAGAATTAATAACCTAGCTGCTTACACGGGCTTCCCTTGACTATGATTGTATAAAATCATGGTTGGAAGAAAAGCTAGTCAGTACAAGTCAAAACAGACTTGGAAATATCTTTAACCCCGCATCATGATTGTGATTTAGTTTGGTATTTTTAGGTTCGCGGGACAAACCTTTATCACCATGATCAGGTTCACTTTAGAAATTATGCGTTTTCTTTACGTAAAAGCACTTACAGGTTTCGAAACTGTTCTTCAGTTGTTCCAGAACATATTTATTTTGGGATAAGGGTCGAAAAAAACACAACACAAAGTGCACCTCAGTTGTGGAAGGCGGACGACATTAAAAATTCTTGATTACCTGCTGGAGGTTTCTCTTCTTCTCGGAATTAAAAGGAAAGGAAAGGAAAAGAAAGAAAAAAGGTTGGTAAGAAAGTACACCTCTTGGGAGTTAAGAGAGGTCATTTGCCTTGAAAAAATTCCAAAAAATTCCAGTTATTTGAAATTTGTCATCAAGACATGTCTTCTCCATCCTTACTCATCTTCACGGCCTCACAAGATTGCACTCGGTGATCTCACGAAGAAAAACCATTCTGATAATAGAAAACTACCAATCCAAGTCTAAATAGGTAATTTGTCGGGTGCGCTGAAGCTCAATTAGTCCGCACTAGATAGACAAATGAACATTTGAAGAGTTTCAATCGATAAACAATAATTTGCATTGAAAACGTCTGAAATTTACCTTAACAAATGACCAGTTCATTCCTTGGACTTATCTCCGAGAGAAATTTAAATAACATAGTTGATGTTTATATCAGGCGCAAAAAGAAGAAGAACAAAACGAACAAAGAAACCGGCAAGTTCACATCACAAATCAACTAGAAGAGAGTAAGCACGTAAAGGTGGAAAATGCTTTCATCACATGAGTGCATCGCCTGGACAACGGTTCACATCATAGGATGTGTTGCCATAGTAACGCTCAATATCATAACCATCATTGTTTTCACGAAGAACTACAGCCTGCGTAAGCGCAGTATTTATTTGCTCGTAAATCTGGCAGTAGTTGATATGCTGGTTGGATTGGTAGGAACCTTCACAGTTTATGAACTTGGAACATACTGTAAACTTTGGGAGAATTCACTGGGTTTATTGGAAGATTATTTTTTGAGGGTGCTCCGCTTGCTTTATTCAATTTCCTCGCTCGTCAATATTGCACTTATTTCTGTGGAGAGGCTGCACGCCACTGCTCGACCATTCAGGCATCGCTTCCTTAAAAGAAGATCTTACCTAATAGCAATAGTCTCCAGTTATTTGATATCTGCGCTGTTTTCCATTACATCCTTGGTAATTCCTCGTATTTATCCGTTTGAAAAGTCTCATAATGTAGCAACTTCATTGATCTCAATATGTATCGTGATTATAGTTTTCTCCTATTCGCTCATCTTCATCAAAGTCAAATGTGGTTCTCAGCCTCGTCATCGTACTGCAGCTGGCATGGAAGGTAGGCTGACGGTGACTCTGTTGATTGTGACTGTAGTCTCGCTGATGATGTGGTTACCATTTATAGTGCAATCTTTCCTTTGGTACATAACTAAGATATTTAGCACATATCCGTCGCACTTAACCTGCTTCATCATCTTTTTAGTTGGAGCTAATTCTTTAGTAAACCCCTTATTATACGCGATCAGAATACCAGAATTCAGGAGAACGGCGAAGGCGATGTTTTGCTAGGAAGTGACGTACAGATTCGGGCGATATTAGTTCAAAATAAGTCCTATGTACTTGGTCAGGGTGGGCAGAAAGGGAAGTTTTCCTCCCTAATCCCCCCCCCCTTCCGCGTCAAGAGCAGTTAATTTAAAATTAAATCAATACTACACCTGTCTAAGGAGGAAGGCATATAGGGAAATATTCCCTCCTACCCCCTCTTCCCCCCCCCCTCCCCCCACCTCGGCGTGAAAGGAAATTGGTCAAAATCACAGTATTATCTGTCCAGGGTGGGCAGATAGGGAAGTATTCACTCCTTCACCACCCCCACTCCCACCCCGCATCAAGAACAATAAATAATAAAGCTGTTAGTTTTGATATGCATCGATCGAACTCAAAGTAAAGTACAGTAGACATACTATAGGACTAAAATGCTGATGAACGTGAGTGGTTTGTGCATATCTCGGCTCTATATCATTGACGTGTAGTGCAATAGATTAGCAAATAAAGGACAAAGGTTAGACAACAATGTCTTGTGAGTACATCCGGTAAATTGATTAAAATGGTGGGGATTTCACACTAAGTGAAGTTAATAAAGAGTCAAACGGGTAAACTACGAGTAAATGTCTCCAGTATTATGTACAAACGGCCTAACAACTTAGCCCGTAGGCGTAAAAACTGACAAATTTTGACCTATTGTTGTGAAAAAAAAGATAAAAGAAAATTCTGGCGACAACAATGGGATTATATTAACTGTTAGCCGTAAAGTGGCCAAAATTTTAATCGTAAGTCGTAAAAGCTATCACCTCGTTGAGACCCTCTGACAGGGTATCAGTGGTCTTAGCTGAGCATGAATCGACTTAGTACGAAGCGTCTGTGGGTTTTAAAACAAGCTCTAGATGGACACGTGGCGAAATACCCTTCTCTAATATTTGTACACTCTATCAATTAAACAGTAAGAGGATTTCTACTCAGCACTTTGCTTGTCGCACAAAAACACTGAGGAGGTGTATCTTTGCTTTTAGTGATTAACCCACCCGTTAGATGAAAGCTTTTCCGGTTTCCAAAGCTAATGCGGTTGTTATCGCTCGCCTTTCAGTTGATGAGATCATTGCCAGGGGTTATTTACGACAGTAAGTGAGTGTAAAAGTTATTGAGATGACTGTCCAGAGGCTGTCAGTCGTTTAGGGCAGGAAATCCTTGCTCATCCACGTTCCTTACATTGTCGATTCCTTGAAGTAGTACTGAAGCTTGTGAAACCCACCCGTTAGATGAAAGCTTTTCCGGTTTCCAAAGCTAATGCGGTTGTTATCGCTCGCCTTTCAGTTGATGAGATCATTGCCAGGGGTTATTTACGACAGTAAGTGAGTGTAAAAGTTATTGAGATGACTGTCCAGAGGCTGTCAGTCGTTTAGGGCAGGAAATCCTTGCTCATCCACGTTCCTTACATTGTCGATTCCTTGAAGTAGTACTGAAGCTTAGAAATTACCCTGGTTCTCTAAAATGGATGTAACATAATACGTACTTGTCATATGACCACTATGAGTTGAAAATTTTTAAAATTTTGTGTGAACCTGAATAGGACGCGGAAGACGGACGCAAGAGAGACAACCACGAAAATAAAAACTACAATAAAAACTGTACTTTTCCCGTGTGTTTTCGAGTCAGAAAAAAAACTTACAACTAATTTATCGAAAAACGGCGACCCCTTTTAATATTTCCATTTCTCCTTTAAGGTTTTTCAACAAAGTATTGTGAGTGCAGGGACGGACGGGTTTTTCCGGATCGGCTCACGTCAGCCCGTCCGGCTCTACACCTATTAAGTTACACGATTGCTTTCGATGAGATTATGCAGGCGAGTCCATACGGGTCTCTACGGGTCATATGATAACAGACTTAAGACATTAAGAGAGAATAACGACACCAATAGAACAGCTTAATTTTAACTGGTCTTGTATTTTCCTGAACTAGACGAACCACACAATCCCAATATTCATTGGTGTTATCTTTAAATATCTCCATCTGTATCAGACTTCATGAAGCAGGCACATTCAAGCGGTCATGGTTGGGATATTGACATCACAGCACTATGTTTAGCGCTAAACTTAAATAACAGGAGTGAATCTGAAAAGAAGTCACTGTGAAGAGATACCGAGAACGTTCCAAGACGTTGGCGTCGACTAGTAATCTCAAAATTTATGAGTTTTATACTATCCACTCCCTAGTTCGTAATGTTTATCGCCATTACACACCCCAGGCTCTTTTTAATTCTAACGATGAGAATTCGGTTTTAAATAAAAAAAATATATTCCTTAAGTGACTTTTTCCCTTTTTTTCTCTTTCCTCATCGCCTTTCGACTTAAAAATTTATTTCATCGTAAGGAGAAATCAATTTTTGGTCATTGCTTGGAGTGAAAGCGTTAATAAATACGCCGTTCAAGCGAAATGATGGTATCCCATAAGCATACAAAGCGTTGAGAAAAAACTTTTTTATCTTTGCCGCAATCGATTGCGTGTCAGTGACTTAAAACTTGCCTTTGCCTCGAGCATCACTTCCTAATTTCAATTCAATTTTTAACCGACTGTAAAAGTGGTACAACATTGCTGTTCTTTCCTTCGCTTTGTGATTGATGTAAAAATGCGTTACCTTGTTAACCAATGAATTGCAACCAATCCCCAGTTACTTAGCCGTCACTCGCGTTTTCTCACGCTTCTAGCGGCCTATTGTTTTTAATTTGCGTTCCTCTGATTCTTTGTGGTATTTTTTTTTCTGACGGGTCGTTGTTAAATGATGTCTATTTCAGGAGATCTTAAGACCCAAGGTCAAAAAAAAAAAAAAGGAATTACGTCTTCATTCGGTTGACCGACAAAAGATTGTCGCTGATTGGACAAAAAGGTTTTACCGTAAATTTGTACAATTCATGAAGGATCATCTTAAATATAAACAAATTCTAATTTGAACACAGGATTTTCATTGCTTTAAAACTTGTTTATTTTGAGAAGTTTACTTTATTTTTAATATCGAAAAGAAGATTAATCCAAAGGTGTTTAATGGAAAAAAAGTTGTGTGAAATACGGCACTTAGCAGCTGTTATTTAGGTTATATGTCTGGAAGCATTACGCAAATTTTACACTTGTCATCTTAAACTCTTAAACATTACATCACAATTTTTGACGCAGAAATCTCAAAAGTGTTTCGAATGATTCCTTACGAAGAAGCTCTTTTACCCGTGGAAATTTATAAGAGAGATTACCTTTGATTTGCCTCATGAATAATAATACTCCGGAAAAAAAATTTTAATAAATAATTTTTTCAGGCTGTTATCATTCGAGGTTAGAAAATTGGCTTTAAACAATCCCAGAATTTGGATATTTTTTGCACCTGTGACATCAACATAATTTATGCATCAGAACAGCTTGGAAGAATTTTAACGCTTTAATAACGAGTGTTAGCTTCAGTGAATTAAGAAGCTTAAAATCCAATCAGATTTGCTCTGATTCAAGGAAAGCATATTTAATTTACGGGACATCTTTGAGACCAATTGAAAACTGGCGAAATTTTGTGTCAGCGAGCGGCGGTGTATCAGAGAATTATTGTTAAAATTGAAAAGAACTTCATAGCATATTTTCCAGATTTTGATATCAATTCCCGCTGAGGAGGACGCGTGGGTTTAAAAAGTGGTAGGAGACAAAAAAAACCACGAATTGAAAAAAAATTCCTTTCCGCCATGCTGCTAAAAGCTGAGTGATATCAAAACAGAGAGTGACTCAGATACAAAAACCAAAGCACTTTAGGTAAGACAGAAATGAAGTCAATAATTCAAGAACATATCTATGGAGCTTACAAATTTCTCCGAAATGTCTCAGACGACGAAAGCGATCAAGAAGCTGCAGAAGAAGATAAAGAAAATAATCATGCCATTTCGTCCATGGAAGAGGATGACCACAACAAGACGACCAACTTGCAAACTTTCTGGAACATTTTTAATTCAAACCAAGGAGTTGCCATATTGGCAATGCCATATGTTGTCAAAAGTGGAGGTTATATGGCTCTTTTCAGCATACTTGCCATAGCCTTTATTTCCAACTTTACCAATAAGATTCTGGTGCAGTGTCTGTACGAATATTCACCAGAGCAGATCCCATTCCGAGTTCGAAACAGCTATGTCGAAATCGGAGAAGCGTTTTCGCCGAAAATCGGGCGACACCTGGTCAACGCGGCGCAAATGTTTGAACAGCTCTCGTACTGCACGGTGCTGTTGATTCTGTGCGGTTCCATTTTGGCCTCCACGTTTCCCTTCGTGCCGCTTTATCAAAGCCATTGGACAGCGTTAGGAGCCATGCTTCTGCTTCCAAACATCTTTCTCAAATCTGTCAAAGAAGTGTCGTGGGTAAGTTTCCTGACGGTCATGATCGGAGGAATCATTTACCTCACGGTCACAATGTACGGCGTCCTTCATCACGAGCGCTGGAATTTTGCATCACTACCCGATTTCAAGCTGAAGAGCTTCGGTGCAGCTGTCGGGATCGTTGTTGTGAGTTATTCATCGCAGCCTTACATGCCAGCAATTGAAGGTAGCATGAAAGAGCCCCAAAAATTTAGCGTTATAATGAACGTCACCTACATGGCCATAACCTTAGTGAAGGTCAGCTTTGGCCTCATCGGATATCTCACGTTCACTCAAGACACAGACCAAGTCATAACCAACAATCTCCCCATCGGTGGACTTCATATGTGCGTTAACCTACTCGTCCTTCTTCTGGCCGTTACATCGTTCACAATACCAGTGTACACAGCATTCGACACTCTGGAAAACATTGAGTTTCCCTGGTGTAAAGTAGACAGTCCCAGCCAGGCAAAAGACACAATTTCCTACGCACAGGCGCTTGCAGCGCGCTTGTGTATAGTTTCCTTTACTTTATTCGTAGGAGTGTTAGTTCCTCACTTTGGTTTATATCTAGCTTTAGTCGGTAGCTTTACAGGAATGTGTCTAGCATTTATTTTTCCGGCGATTTTCCACATGAAAATCTGTTTTTCTAGAATGCAATGGTACGATTTTGTTGTCGATTCAGCAGTCGCCTTCTTTGGGCTGGTTGGGGCAATTATAGGTTGTCATTTTTCAGTTTTAGCTCTGATCGCAGAGTATCAAAAACACGAACTTTAAGGAATGGCCCTTTCAAAAAGGGAAAGAAGAAATTTTTTTTTCTTCGTAAGCGTCAAAGTACTCAAATAAGCTTGTGTTATACCATTCATCTGAATTTTATATTACAGCTGATTAATTTTAACTGTCGCCTAAATTGACTTTTTTGCCCTTAAAGATCTCGCGCCAAAATTCTGTGGTTTTTAGGGTAAAGAAAAACTAGACATTGCAACCAATGATGCCTTTTTATGGATCCAAGAATATTTCAAATGAAACCAATATTATTGCAGTTAATTATTGACCGCAAAAACCGACAACCTTCTTGAACTTGCCAAATTCAAATTTCAGCAATGAATTGAAAAATTCAACAGGGGATTAAAGTTCTATGAAAAGTAAACTTAAAATTTTTTTAACCATAGCTATTGTTGCTTTTGACCCTAAAAAAACTTCATTTAAGCATATGGGAAAAGGAATTATGACAACTCGTTAACGACGTATGTTCGAATTTCGCAAATGAATTAAATCATATCTCTTCGCAAGCAAACAGATATATAAATATAAGGAATTTCTTCTCGAAATAACAGATAACTTCTGTAATTTATACCATATTCAATAGCAGTGTTAGTATCATTGACTGAAGTATAATTCTGATCGATGAAAGCTAACTCAGGAAAGTGCCGGCTGCCAATTCAAGTGCATATTTAGTATATGTGTATTTACCGGGAGACACAACATAAAATATTTCTCGTTTGAAAATATTGTTAGTGTTCTCTGTGCAATACCAAAAAGGTTGCGTGAAGTAAAGTTTAAATCTTCTTCTTAGTTAGATAATTTTTCTTTTATCTCATCGCTAAAAGGTGACCACGAACCCTCTGACCGAGAGTAGAAATAAAAAGTACAGATAAGATTATCTAAGCGATAGACTCATGTAAAAGGCACAAGCTATGGGTTTTTGCCACTCGCAAGCCGCAAGGAAAATATATCATGAGAAAGATTTTTTGGGTCAGTTTTCTGTTTTTTGTTTTTTTTGTTTTTAAGATGTTCTCGTTTCCAACTGAAATCGCCTGCTTGCCTGAAAGTAACTTTTCTTTTCAGCCCCTTACTCAATCAAACGCCTAATTCCAAGGCCAGTCTCTCTTAATTTTGCTTCTTCAGATTTCTCCCGATCGTGGAGATTTCATTTGGATCATGAAACAACCGATCCTACTACGAATTTTGCTTACGTGAACATACTGCCAAAAAGACTTCTTCCATCCAGCCTCTTGTTTGATTCGTTACCCATCGGTAACCCAAAATTAAACTCCCCGACCGCACCTTGGGCCAGAGGATCGACTGGGTTCTAGTTCGTTTGAACGTCATTACACAGGTACAAAAGAGAATAAGGGATATTGTTAAGGCTTCCCTGGGATTATGAAATAAAAATATAAAGGGGAAAGAGGTATCGAAACGAATAGGGTCATCTTTGGTAAAATTACACTATTCTGAAAATGGCCCTCTGTGCTGATTTTCACTAACCAGGAGAAAATAACATGGAATGTTCCATTATGTTCTCTTGCCCGACGCACAAGCACATATAAACAAAAACAAAAGCAGAGTATCAAAAACACGAACTTTAAGGACTGGCTCTTTGAAAAAGAAAAGAAAAACGTATTTGTTCGTTGAGCTTCCTTCCTTGAAGAACTCAGATAAGGTTTTGTTATCAGTACCACTCTTTTTAATTTTACATCATAGCTGATTGATTTTAAATGTCGCCGAAATCTATCCTTACCTGAAGGATCTTGAGGTAAAATCCTGCAGTTTTTAAGGTAATGGTAACGTGATATTGCAACAAATGGTGACTACATGTTGATAAATTGCACTTAATTGTCGACCAAAAATACTGTTAACCTTCTTGAACTTGCCCATGTACCGATTCAATAGTACTCTATTTCTATTTAGCAAAGGAGGAGAAATGTGAGCGGAACGAGAGTCACGCGAACGCATTAGACGAATAGGAGCTAAGGTTGAGAGGTCAGCTTAGGTCACAAGATGAAATTGTGCAAAGCAACTGAATCTACCATTCTCGCCTCATTTTAAGGTCAATTCCTCTGGACGTCTTTACTTAGATTACTCCTAAATCGGGAGATTTCGGATGGATTTGGAAAGAACCATTCCTATTGCGAACCTTTCAAGTGTGAAAATGCTGCGACGAAGACTTCCTCCGGACACTGTCACCTTTGTTTTTTTCTGTTACCGATCGATATCCCGAGATTGACTCCTTTACCACACTTTATCAACAGAAGTTCTATTATTGTGCACATAATCACACATGTGACTAACAAAAATAGAGATGAGAAAAAGTTAAAAAAAAACGTCTTTAGGATGATTAAATATCGATTTAAAGAAGAGAGAGAAAACGACACGAGTTGGCCTTGCTTTGGTCTAATGACGCCATTCTGAACAAGGCGTTGTTAAATACGTAAAGGGCGGAAGTTTCTAAAGAAACTGTGGTGCTGCGTCAGTGGGAGGTATTGCAAGATGAATTTGGTTTGGTCAACTTAGTTGACACTGTAAATTAGCCACCGTGGAGAGTTTCTAAAGCCAACGCTCGAAATGACAGCTTTAGAAACTATTTAGGGTGGCCAATTTACATTACCACTCAGTTGATAAAACCAAATTATCTTTTAAATATAGTCATAAAGAGCCACAACAACAGAATCTGACGAGTTATGTGTAGGTTGTTCGTAAGTGTTCTGAACACTGTAAGTGCTGCGCTTGATTTGTTGCTTGATGATGAGGACATTACATGGTGTTCTATTGAGGAATTGCAAAATCAACGACTTTAAGAAACAAGTAAACAAATGAACTGGGTAACAATCACAACACTCCATGAATCACGTTTATTGGTCAACAAAATTTAAAGCTGTAAATCTAACCACACGGTAGTGGTGATAACGATACGTTTAGACAGCCCATAGTCCATAGATATTAATATTGGTAATAACATGATTTTGAGTGCAATTGGGTTTTAATATGGACAGGTAAATTTCTCAAAGACCACAAAATTGCATGAGCCCTTAGGGCGAGCGCAATTTCTCACTAGTCTGAAACATTTACGAGCGCTCATTTACACCAAATTGCACAAGAAATCAGGTTACTATAATTTACACGATAAAGCATCACGAAAAATCAAGACAGACAAAATTTTGACAGTGCGCACACTATTCGTAATTTGCACTCGTAATACAACTTATTACACGTACTACAACTTTGCACTCGTGTTACAACTTTGTATAACGGGGTAATTTAGTGTTGTACTCTCCCACCGACGCAGCACCACAGTTTCTTTAGAAACTTACCCTTTTTACAACTTTGTACACTTAATACAACTTTGCACTCGTATTACAACTTTGGACTCATGTTCCGTAAAAAATGCACACGTTTTCAGCCAATCAGAAGCGCGTAATTTTTTAATGTATATCATTATTGCATCAAGAAAATAGTGCTCCGTGGTAGGCGACAATACTCCTCAAGAAGCAGTTAGTTTTTGTTTTTTTTCTCCTCATTACCTGTTTACTAAAGAAATGCACTTTTTTAGAATTTGAATGTTAAAAAGCATACAATTTTTTTATAAACTTCCTTTGCTTTTGTAACGTCATTAAATACAAAATAAGTATTTCACAGAGTTTTACATTGGCTTGGAAAGGAATTAATCATATTTGCATTAATTAAGCATACTTCCTATTCTATCGTTGTTGGTTTATTGCCAAAGAATCAGTTCGCCTGTAATAATCTGAGAATGTTCAACTGTGTAATTCTTTAGATCATCATAAATCTTACTCACAATAATGACAAACTATTTACAATTTTTTTTCATGATAGATGTATTTTCTCATTTATTTCAAATCTTTCTGATATTAAAATTAATTGATAAACGATTTATTTTGATACTTTAAATTATGTAACATCTGTATAATTTGTATTTCATCACGTTTGTACCGCATTTCTGCAAAAATACTACTACTACACGCGTGCTACACGTTATAAAGAGGACTTAACCCTATAAATTTCAAGATCTCACTAGTAATTCTCCTTACTGTCTGCCATACAGTTCTTGTGATGTTAGTTTGGAGAATTTGGTACTGGATCAACTTATAATCTGTCTTGGTCATTCATGGGAGTTAAAGGGTTAACCCTAAAAGTGGAACCGAAACGAAGAGAATTATCGGTTCATTCAGATATAAATATTCTGCAGACCAGGCTCTCATTGGCGCCATTACACGAGCATGTTCCGAGCATCTTCGGAGCATCTCTCCGAGAGACGAGCTAGTCCGCAGGCTACGTTACATACTTAGCTTATCAATTTGCGCGCGCGGAATGAATCGAACTCTTAAAAAGGAAATCTCCGTGAGCTTAAATCTAATTGAGAATAATTAGTGAATATTTCTTAAGGATTTTCTGGTCATTTTTACATGATATAAATCATGATAATAACATTTTTTATTTACTAATTTCTTCATCTATATTAATTGAATGACAGTTGCTTCATGGCTTTACCATTTGGCGTTATTTCGTAGTTAATTAGAAAACACACGTATATAAGTAAGCTGACATTCTTTCCATTTGTTATGCAGGTCAATAAATGGTTTTTGTTAAAGCGTGATCAAATCGATTCATAGATCCATCCAAAGGTATCTCTCTGATGTGTAGGGATTGTGATTGTTATATTTCTGATGAGATGGAAGCTAAAACGGTCGATGTGCGTGACACGGTGGCGTGGCAGGCGCGTTGGTCACACCATACCTAACCAAATGCCCAGACTTCCACTCCGATACAAATGAAGTCCTCTGTCGCGGAGAGCATTTCACTGTTGTAAGTGTCACACGCAGTGCTTCTACCATGGTAAAGTTCACTGTCCAGCCACAGGCCAAATTTCCCCCTGAAAGTTATAAACATGTCTCCCTGATAATTGTCCCGTGTCTCCCTGGAACTATAGAATCAACTGTCTCTTCACTGGGGCGTTTTCAATCACGTACTGAGCGGCTAAGTTTCAGGTTGCCGTAAAGTCAAGCTTTACATGAATTATTTTATAAGGTCACCTTTGCACCCGTTCTTTGGTAAGTCGAGCGACTCCTCCCCCCCCGCCATTCTTCCCTTATAGAAGCGGGGAGAGTTATATTACATCCCAAAGAATAGAATGATAGGCACTTGTTGGAGTTTGGTTGGGGCCAAACTGAAAGAACTCGTTTCTGCCGGATAAAATGGAACCCAAACCCCACTTTCCGCTAGTAAGCACCGGTGAGTTAATGCTGTAGCGCGCGTGAAATTAGTCGAGCCGGGATCTATTGGGACAACGCTCAAAAAAAATTTTTTTACGTGCCACATCGTTGGTTGGGGAGATAAATTGTATTAATAAACATTCACAATTGGTTTTTTAGACCAACGGAAAGCGCCTTGGATCTCCCATCGTTTATTTCAGGTGCTCAAATAGATGGTCATAGATGGCTGTGAACAGTCTAGAGAGGCGACTATGAACTGAACATCATTCACACAATGTCTAAAATAACAACATAAACAACAACAAAGAAAGAGAGAACCCAACTGGTATTCAACTTTTAAACAATGCCGTCCTCTCTGCACAGCTCACCAGCTTCTGAACCACTTAGATCAAATAGGTAACCGCGTTTAATTCTTTAAACATTATTTTAAGTACTTACTCGCTACATCCAAATGCAAGGTTTGTGTTGTCTCCTGTCATGTAATAATTATTCTTTCCACTGCATGGATAGATCTGAGGAAATCAACATCGTAAATAAATTTAAATTTAGGTTGTTAACTCAAGTGAACTATGCGCTAAGTCAAAAACAAAGACAAGGAACAGAAACACTGAAGTACACCTTGATAGAGTCTCCTAACACTAAAACCACAGTAATCAGCAAAAGCCAATCAAGAACTCGCCCGTTTCCCAACATATAATGATCATCTACTATATAACCCGAAGAACTAAAAAAATTGTTGACAGACGAAAGTAATGCAGCATTCCTTTCGCGATTGTTCAGAGATTGATATAAACTTTTTATCATATCGGGGCAAATATATTCTTATAAAAAACACAAAACAAAAAAACTAATTGACATAAATGTTATACACAGCTGATGGGAAATCAAAGACAATACATGAAAACAGCCAAAGGCGCGTTGATACGCGAGAGACTAGTGTGAGTTTGTGTCTGATTGACAGTGTGGTGAAGCAAAACTAGCCTACTACCGCATAAGTTTCGAATAAAAATTCCTTTCAATTGTTTTCATACCTCGAATTTCGGTTTACAAGTGAAGAAAAATGATTTTCCAACGCCAAAGAATTTGTCAGGACCAATCCTGGGTGCCACTGGAGAAAACACACCAAACACCTGCCACAGAAAAATGCACATTTCGTTGGGCTTCCAAGGCTAAGTCATCGATATTTCGTTAAATACTATGAGAAACGTTCTCTAACCCTAACCCTTTTTAACTATTTAGCTTCCTTCCGCCAGGAAACTCATTGAAACGCGTATTTTAGAGGCAACTTATTTAGGAGGTTGGCAATCTTTGGATAAAAAGGTCTTATCTGCAGATGGTCTGTTACCCTTCATCGCATTTTTGGATTTTATCTTGACAGGGTAAATTCCGCCTCGCAAACGATGAAAGAAAAAATGACACAAAATACTTACAAATCCATTGCTATCCTCGACCACAAGAAGAACAGGAGTTTCAACTTCTCTGACCCGGTGATATAATGTATTAAGACTCATACCATGTTGAAATGTGCTGTAGGCCAAGATCCACGTTGTTGATCGGAGATTAAGGGCCAGCTGAAAACAATCAAACCGGGTTAAACCTTAAGTTCCCAGGACCTGATTAGCAAGTCTCCTTTTCTAACTACTGTACATTTCCTTGTCAATCAGTTAAGAGATTTTGGTATCGAAAACCATGTTTGGTCAGAATTTATTGAAACCGCGGAAGAGTTGGTACAGACCCTGTTACATTATATGAGCTCGTTTCACATAGCCACTGAGAAATATTCACGCGAGAGTTTCGAGGCGCGTGTAAAAACACGCGAGATTTGTCAACGCTTCACTCCTCCCTCGCTCGCGATAAGGAATTGATTACACACTCTAGATGAAACGGTGGAAACATTTTCTGTGCCAACTTGCAGAAGATCTGATTGAATTAAGAAAACTTAAGACACTTGATACCTTGTCGATGTCTTCCTCAGACAGTATATGGGATTCTTCTGCAAAGCTTTGATGTGAAGAGATGCTTAGAGTTCTAAAAGAGAAATGAAATTGAACTATCAATTGCACCAAATCATCTTTTGAACAACTGTTAGACAAGAAAGTCACATGAAATGGTATTTTTCTCAAATTGATCTGGACACGGGAAGTTCAACGTGTCCGTCTAATCCCAGTTGTTCAAAAGGTGGATAACACTATCCAACGGATAAACCGCTATCCTAAGGATAAGGGATTACAAAATGAACTACTCTTTCCACCAGATAGCGATTTATCCAATATATAGCGTTATTCGACCTTCGAACAACTGGGGCCTGGTGTCCAGAACACCTGTTCTGTTTTCTTTATTTGCCGCACGACCTGTTTTGACTACCTTCATCAGCCAGCTTAAATACAACTAGGTAATCTCACTTACTTCCTTTTTGCGTCTTCGTAACTCAGCATCTGTTAAGAAAAACGTAAATATCTTTACAATGGCACGTTGCCACCAGAATTGGTTCCTCACTGAAGAACCGTGGAGTTGTAAACTTCACTTACTGATTGTGAATATATGAAAATCATATATGCGTACTGAGGATTAATAACTAAATATGAAATAGATCTTCGCAGTAATGAACACTATTTAAGCAGTAGTGAAAATAAGGCCTGGAAAAAATTCAGGCCTTTACGGAAGTGTAACCCATGACCTATGCGATACCGGTGCAGTCCTCTACCAACTAAGCTGACAAGCCAACTGGAAGCTGGTCATTTTGTGGGTTCGTTATAATACCAGTTGGGCTAACCAGCTTAGTTTTTATTTACCGAACAAGGTTTTTGTGAGAATGAGGGTATTGTATTTAAGAAGGCTACGGTCAACTACTCTCATACCTCCCAATGTGAGGTTTGAGACACGCGATCAAACGATACCTCCCAACTTTGACGAAGTTTCTGAGAAAGGAAAAAACTGTGAATTAGATAAACATTTTCTAAAAAAGAGGAAGTTCTCACGGAAAAAAGGCGTTCATTTCTTACCGCGTCTTCGTCGCATCTCGCATCATTGACTGTGTTTTCAGTACTTTCCGTCATTTCAACTTGCTGTGATCTTCGATTCGTCGTTCTTCTTCGATAAAATTTTGGACTCCTCTCTTTTAAACCATCAATTTCCGTGCTATCTTCAAAGGTCTCAATTTCCCTGCCTTTGGTTTTGGGAAGAAAAAATTGACATAAAAAACCAGTTGTCAGAGAGAGGAGTCCCATCACACCGAGCGGCACTACGGCTTGAGTCAGCAATTGGAGCTTCATGATCAGAGGAGCCAGCGCTTCGCCCAAGTAGGCAAAACTAAATACCAAGCAAACGGCCGAGCATCTGTAGATATGAATTGAAACTAGGGGTAAAAACCGTATTCTAAAATTCAATTGTAATTTCTAACGGAGAGACTGATAAACTAACACCATAAAGCTAAGAACTGAATCCGCATTATAGAATTGCTCTAACATATTTATTCATTCAAGATCTCCGACACTCTGGAACGCTACAGTCATACACCTCGCCTTTTGCTGGGATTTGCTCTTCTGTGCCACCTGGTTACCGTATCCCGCGGATCGTACGGCTCAATCAGTATTAAAGTAACTAACATAAAGTATAATCACCTGCCTACTGTCGGGAACAATTCGATGGAATATAAATTGAGCGAAGCCTGGGAAGCCATCATACATACACGGCCTGTTAACTGAATCACTAACGTGACTGCATGACGCTCTGAAAAAAAAGACCCAAAAAAACGCATACATATTTATATCAATAAGTGTAAGAATCAGGGGCGCCGCTAGCATTTTACGCGAGGTAGACACGGACGAAAAAATGAATTTTCCCGCGCTTTCTTGTTTTCATTTTGAGTCCTTGTAATAATTTCTTTCATTCTGATTGGTTGTTGTGATTGCCTTACTATTGGTCAAATGACACTCAAAAGAAAAGCGAAGGTCAGTTACCTGCTTTCAAAAATTCACGAGAAGCGAGAGAGAACAGCAAACAGAAAACACCGGCGAACATCATGGAAAGAACCGTGCATGCACGTCGACCGATCCTGAAAAAAGTTTAACACATGACACTTACACGACATGTCTGGCGGAGGGGAAGGGGGAAGGGAGGGGGGAAGCGGAGGGGAACTGGGGGAGAGGGAGTAAGAGACAAATGCTGGGGGAATAAGGGAGGGGAGAGTAAACATTTTACCTTGTGACCATAAAGAAGAATAAAGCAACTCCAAGCAGGTGGACAATTTCTCGCACTGCATAGTTCGCATAGAAATTCGGAAGAAGCTGTATAGAACTTATGTTCAGTCCACGGTACAATATTCCCAAGGAAAACCTGTCATGAAAAATAGTAAGAAAAGTTAGACCTTAGGAAACGAATACTAGTGTAATTTAGTAAGTTTCTGCTTGCGACAACTCGACTGCTAGGATCGTTGTTTTCGTTTATTTCTTTCATTATTCATCGATAACGCCATGACCGTCGTTGTCGTCAACAACATCTTCACCAACCTAGTTCCTAGGCACTCTCTCATCCTTGGAACGAGGTTGCATCAAACAGCAAAATCATGATCACTACAATCAACATACTATTGTCATTGTCAACGTCCACTTCATCGTCATCAAATTGATTGCCAAATCACCAAACCATCACCTTCATTCCCCAGCAGGGTGCTTTTGCATTATCGCCACCGCCATTTTTGTCTCAAACTACCAAGATTATGATTACCTCCCTGACTTTCAAACCCAATTCAAATGTAGTAAAAGAAAACTCTCATTAGAATAAAGGAGGTAAATTTTTATAGAAACTGTGATGCTGCGTCGGTGGGAGGTATAACCAGATATATATCAATAGTATAAGTCTCCTAGCATTTTATTACAAACGCTGCAAACTGATTGGCTACGCTGCTCGCTATACATTCCCTGATAGACAATGGGTGAACGGCTTAACAGTGTGCAATGGTAAAATAATAATAAAAAAATGGGATAGAAAAACACGTGCCATGTTTTGCTATAAAAAAATTGGCACATGTTAATTTGATTGGCAGTTATCTATCACCTAATATATAACGATAGCGAATCATCATTATTATTCGTCAAACAGCAACCCCTGCTCCTCTAACGGTTCAAGAACTTTCTTTACTCACCATGCAAACGCCAACACAATTGTTTTTCTTCGAGGATCCTTGCGTCGTAGAAAAGCAAAGCATCGGTTGTTCGACTCCACGTTTGGTGGGGTATAAAATTTTCTCCACATCGATAAACAGTCTCTAAATTTTGAGGTTTTCCTTTGACGTTCGTCAACTGCTCGCTCCAACAGCACATGCGCCTCGTTTATTTCTTCATCGGAGGAGGAATTGAGTAGAAACCAACGGGGAGACTCCGGAGCGAACCTAAGAGAGGCAAAATGCTTGTCCTTTAGATACGAACTGTGTCAGTGAGTCACAACTCCGAGATTTCAAGCAACGTGATTAGGCTTCGCCCACAGGAGCGTTGGTAAATTTGAAAAAAAGAAATGCTGCTTCGGTTTTTGTTGAAAGCGAAATTATTCCCTCCCTGAGGCTCCAGCAACATTCAAACTGACGTTCAATTGAGGAGTGTGTTGGTAGTTGGCGGACTGTAGCCTCGACAACAAGCTGATGTTCGGAAGGGGAACTTTCAGGCCTGTAAAGGTCGAACGACAAGAAAAGAAAATCAGAAAGTCCCGGCTTTCAAGTCCGCATATTCACAAAGTTGAGTTTTCCACCCACCGAAAGACAACACCTAACTGCGGTATCAAATTCCTTAACTCCGAAGAAGTATTTTAGAAGCCCCGCCTTTGGTAACGGTAAACCTGCTATATAATTATAATTATAATTTATTACTTATATAGCGCAAAATACATGTGGATATGATCTAATGCGCTATAAAGTGGTCAGGCAAAAACTGGCATTTTAGTACTAAAAATGAACATACTTCCACAGCAGAACGGTCAGTAGTAATGGAAGCGTCATTCCAAGAATGAACATTTGGATATTTTGCAGCGCATAGGCGAGCCCAGCTGCTGACATGTAGGCCAGAGTTGTGGTAATCCAAAAAAAGGACAGTAAGGTTGGTCGATGAGTCGAACTGACGTATTCAGCCACCAGAATCAACGTGATTTGAATGGCGCCAGCTAGAACAAAAACAAACTGGTTACCCAGAGTGTGGAAAACCTTGTATTAGGTTTTGATGATGGTTTCACTACTTGAGGTGTCAGCTCAGACTGCACCATACAGAATAAATTCTTTAACCCCAAGATCTGATTGTTATGTCTCCCCTCTAGATGTTACACATTTCATCGTAAATTAGTTACAACAATGTGGTATTAGATCAAGATGTATGGATATGATAGGGAGAGGTTACATGTTAATCACTTTTGGGAGTTAAAAGATTAAAAATGTTGCTGTTCAGCTTTAACTTTATGTACCTGCTGCAAATCCAATCACACCTCGCAGGAAAATAAATATCCAAAGAAAATGAAAAGCAAGAGAACTTGCTATCCCTGCTATAAAAATCACAAAAACAGAAGCAAGGAGAGTCTTCAGTCTGCCACTGGCATCTGCTGCAAGTCCTAGGATCAAAGTTCCCAACAACATGCAGACTGTATGTGTTGTAACCAGGATAAGTACAACTTTCTCCACAGGGTCAGTACTAGTCTGAAAAAAGTTAAACAAAGACAAAAATTAGTAATACTAATGAAATTAATAATAGTGATAATAATAATTATAATAATAATATTAATAGCAATGATAATAGTAGTTTAGTTTGACATGAGGTCATACCAATGAATCCTGCAATCTGATTGGTTCTTAGGCAGTCTAGAATTTCCTTACTCTGCTCGCAGCCACAATAATGCTTTTGTGACTTGGAAATGCAGCACAACCTTTGTCAACATTTTTAATTATACCGACCTCCCAGCCATCAAATAACATCTACTCTATATAGATACATATATACATATAAGTGGATGTTAGTCTTCTGTGACATATAACTAAAAATAAGGGTCTTTCAAACATCTGCAAGATTCTGAACATTGTCGTGCTTTGTGTTCAGCAGATAGCTTCCATGTTTTGGATCATGCCTTTACCAGTTTTCAACTTAAGATAAAAGAGGTTATTCATATTCAAAGAGAACAACCCTCTTTGAATCAACAATTACTTCATTTCAATCTAAAACTATCCTTTTAATTCTCACACTTTCATGCTTTGCATCTTTCTTGTTATCACCATTTATCATAATTAGCATTTTTCTAATTATTATAAATTCAACTTCCAATGCTTTGTACAGTAATTAACTGAAGATGATAGAAGTTTCTGTTGAAATATGTTTTACAAACTCAAAATTTTTGTCGTTTTCTTCAAAAAAAGTAAAAGTTGCTGATGGCAAAATCATCCAAGCATCAGTCCTATAATAGATCACTACTGATAACCAATCAAAGTGAATGTAATATTCAGTATATCCTATTTACTGGTATATATTTATTCATCTACCCGTATTTACATTTATACCTGGTGTCTCTAGCATTCATCACACATTAAAAAAAAAAAGTGAAAAATTTGACTCCAGGTGCCACAGACACTGATGGCAAATAAAATATCGATAAATTAGAAGGAATTTTTACTAGGCAGAGAAAACTCAAGCATGACCAGAGATGAGAAATCTTAACTTCTGAGAATGACCCCGACTGATGAAAGCATGATTGGAAACTGGGGCCAAAATGAACATAGCCTAATGAAAATCACTATTGCCATTTTCAAGTAAGTTGAGATAATTTTTCAAGCATTAAGGACACAGAGATTATTCAATGGAAAGTGACCAAGAATGATTTTTATTTACAAGGTATGATACATCAAGAAAACAAACAATTGAAAACAAGCAAGTCAGTTTTTATGCATCAAGTGATAGAGTAAAAATTATTCAAGCACTTATCATGGTATGATGTTTTTATTTACACTATGAAGTACCAAGCAAATGATTGTGAAAATACATCATTCATCCAATCAGAGACATGACTGATAGTACTTCACAGAGTAAATCTCAATATAAATGAAATAAAAAGCATTGTTTTCATTCTTCAGCTCCTATTTATAGTAATCCTGCTCTGAAGGTTTTCCTAATGTCTTCCCAAATAAGTGAGAAGAGGTTTAATGTTACATTAATCCTCTATACCCTAAGATCAGTATGCATGTTCTCCATACTGTTCTCTGTACAATTGCTAAGGTGCTGACAAGGAGAATTTGTTCAACAATCAACGGCTTCTTCATTTTGTAATAATTTCCTTTCTTTTCCTGACCTCAATATTTAATTGAAGGGTGATATTATGGAAAGAAATTGGATGTTGGTCACTCTTACAAGGTGAAAGGGTTAAGACAACAATTAGGATCATGATTTTGCTTTTCTCATCATTGTTGTACGTAACATCGTCATTTGCTATATAAGGGAGAAGTCACAGGTTAATCAATAACTGCAATTGGTGCCGGAAGTCGTAAAGATGAACTGAATAAATTCTCAACGCGAAAAATGGGAACTACAAACTTGCTCTACGTACGGGTCTGCTAATACCAACATCTACTCTGAACGCTTGATTCAGAAACTATCACTCAACCTGTTGTGACAAAAATTGTTCCCCCTTACGACATCATCGTTAACAAACATCATTGACATTGATGATGAAAACTGTTAAGTGACTATCCACACACACCCTGATCAAAAATTACACTCGAAAAGGAACTGACAAAACCAGAGATTTGCAATCATTTGTGAGGATTCGCTTTGCATTCAAATAAAAAAGGCAATTTCAGTACCATACGGCGAAAATTTCTCAGAGACGTTCACAACCATAGGAACGAAAATATAAATTTTTGGCAAAAATATCATACCTCGGTAGAGTTTGTCGGTAGACTCGAATTGTTCAGCGGCTGAACATCAACGCTTTTATATACCAGACAGTTCTCTGGAAATGAAGAAATATAAGTTCACATCACACCAGTGGGGAAAAATTGTTAAGATACAAATATATATAGCAACATCACCCGAAAAATGTGACCATGAATTGAAAACCCAAAGAGCCACGTGAAGCGGAATTCGCACTAACAAATTGTAATTTCTTTCGTCAATAGCAATTTCCTATGCAGTTTTCATGGTCATCACAAGATTACACCTGTATTAAAGAAATCATTCCCTCTTCGTTCGTGTCAAACGAGCAAAATTAGACTGTAAAAGTGACCGATTAAAGACAAACGTAGAAAAAGTGAAAGCCTGTTTGAAATGCGTAACACAAAGAAGAAATTCGAATAGTGCTTACTTGCTGAAATACAGACACCCTTCTCTTGTTCGTCGATTAAGAATTCCAAAATGGCCATTTGATATGTGAGGAAGAAAAGAATGAAAGCTAATATCGACGTACTCCGATAAAGAACAGATTTAAGTCTCGGAAAAGTCGCATAGAAACTATCAACTGGAGAAGGACCAGCCATGTTTGTTGTGATGTTACGCTTTTAAATCTGTCACGAGATATCACAACGACCGTGACGTAACGCAATTCGCTGTAACATCTCAAATGAATGTCTACACAAAGGCGCATTCTCTCAATGAGTAGCAACACTCGGTTAAAGTGTATTGCTTCTGTTCAGGCTTGGCGTCTCTGTACTTCCTTTATGCTAGACAGAGAACGTAGATTTTCACTTTGTAAGGCATTTTAAAATAGTGTAGTCTCCCTGATGTATAGGCGACAGTCAGAGGTACTCGTGATCGACTCGTGAAAGAAATTGAATCAAAATGCTATGCATGCAAGAGTTACTCTCAAAATTGGGTGGGGCTGGACAGTTACTCGCCTCTTACACGTCCCTTCCCCCCACACCTATTAATTTTAAAAGCAACAGCAGATATTTTCATTTTTGTCAAAAAAAAGAAGCATCAAATTTAAGATATTCCCACGAAAAAAGTCAAAGAAAATGGAAAAAGAGAGAAATCAAAAAAGACACTAATCCTAATGTTAACTCCAAGATTCATTTCATTACTATAATATACATGAAAAAAATTAAGTACGTATGATCGACTGAAAACGAGTACATTTTTCATGCAACACGAGTGCAGATTACAAATAGGGCGCAAGCGCTGCCAGAATTTTGTCCGTCTCGACCTTCTGTGATGCGTTTTTCATGTAAATTATCAACAAGTAACGACGTGATTTCTCGTGAAATTTGGCGTAAATAAGCACTTATAATTTTTCAAAGACAACAAAATTGCACCCGCCCTACGGGCTCGTGCAATTTTGTTGTCTTTGAAAAAATCGCCATCAGTACCAAATTGCACTCGAAATCATGTTGTTATCTATACTAAGCGATGTCTGTAGCTATCGAGGATCGAGCCGTTAAAGTACTGGCACTACTTTCCTATTGGACTACCCAGAGTCCTGCTTATTAAACACAAATTTCGGCTCCTGCATTCAGTGTCGCTTTACCGTTAAAGCAAGAAACAACATGCAAGTGCTCTTTTTCAGCCGTATAATTCACTTTGCCTTCTTGACCCTCTGCATTCACAGTGAGCTAGCCAGCTCTACGATGAATGATGGCAACTGCAGTAATGGTAACTGAGATCATTTTTCATTCATATATTAATAGTAGTTTCCCATTAGCTATTGAGAACGATAGACTTTGCTTTCCGGGCTAAAAAAAAAAACAATTTCAGTTCCAGGCAAAACTAAAAGCATATTGGATAGCGCGCTTACAAAGTACTCTTGCGGTCGAAATATCACTTCATTCGTATACGTGAAGTGCTTGCTTGTTGATTCATAAGCGATCGCTAGCTACAGCTGTACGCTTTGAGTTCCGCCTTTACTGACACTTAAAAAAGAAAGTCTTCCTTCAGCACGGTTTGAATCCTTGAACACCCAAATACGATATACTATATTAATAGTAGTTTCCCATTAGCTATTGAGAACGATATACTTTGCTCAAATATTCCTTCCCTATAAGATGACTTTTGCGCTCTTGGCAGGTTAGTGTGTTTTCTTACTAATCGTACTGTACTATATTTCGCAGTTTCGAAAGCAGAATCTGAAGATACTCTCGTTCTTTTGTTATTTCTTACCCACTCTCTCGTTCAGACTTATCTCCGTTGATTCATAAGCGATTTCCCTTTTTCACCCGGTTCTGTCTCTCTTGGGTAGCCTGTTTGGGCTGTTGTTATCAGCTTTCCTTTTTTCACCCGTACGCCTTTTGGGCTGAGTTCCCCGGTTCTGTCTCTTTGGGTAGTCAGTCCTGTTTGGGCTGTTGTTACACTTTCCCTTTTTTTCAAAAAGAAAGAACCTTTCTTTTCCCCGGTTCAGCAAATAACAAAAGGCAGAACCTTTCCCTTTTTTTCAACTGTCCGGGCTAAAAAAAAAAAAATAGATTGTAAAAAGAGATATTTCAGTTCCAAGCAAAACTAAAAGCATATTGGATAGCGCGCTTACAAAGTACTCTTGCGGTTGAAATATCACTTCATTCGTTTACGTGAAGTGCTTGCTTGTTGATTCATAAGCGATCGCTAGCTACAGCTGTACGCTTTGAGTTCCGCCTTTACTGACACTTAAAAAAGAAAGTCTTCCTTCAGCAAATAACAAAAAGTTCTATCAGTAAAAACAAACACCACTTATTAGTTTCTATTTATTAGTTTCCATTTAGAGACCAGACGGAGGATTTTCATGCTATGCACTCCTGTTGCCTAATCTCTTATTAATCTTCTCCTTCGTTGTTTCTCCTCCCAAAGCGAACTTTTTTCACACCATCAGAAAGTTACTCAAAATTTCGATACATTTACCCTAAACAGGATCTCTGATATTCATATCCATTTTGGGGCACTGACACAGGGAGTTATACAAACTAAAAATGATTTCAAGCTTTTACAATCCTCTAAGCTGGATGTATTCTTATAGGGGAAGTAAATTACAGGGTTTCGCTTCCTTTTTCTGTTCGGGCGCTGAAAAGGAGAAAGGTGAATGGGTTAGATCTAAAAAGAAAATGACAGGGACACGCTAAGTAGTAGCTGGTAGCGTGTAGATGATTGATTTTAGCCATACACATACTTTTTTAAACTAATGCTTATTTCATAATCGTTCAAATTTAGACCGGGACAAGTTTTCCCTGTCCACGGTGGCACACTGTACAAGAGTGATGAAATCATCTTCAAGTAGTCAATACAAATTGGACGCAATGGGTTCAGACAAAATGTCCATGTGTCGTGTTCTCGCCCAACCGACTCTTGAATCACAGGCGTATACAGTATCAGCAGAGTTACTCAACCAAGCAGGTTGGCAGGGAATAAACAGCGGCCATCTTGGATTGCTTTTTAACGCAAGGGATGAGAACAACTTTGATTTTGTCTACTTTAGGTGAGTTTTGTCCCCTAGCTTTAACGGGGCGCGAATGCGCGATGATCAGAGTGAACGATCTCTAGCTCGCGCGCGTGTTACTCGCGCGTGTTGGTCACATGCGTGTTACTCGCGCACATGTTGCTCAAACGCGTGTTGCTTTCTCGCTGAACGCCATTTGTGCAGGGAATTCTTCGGGAGACCATTTCAAGAGTGTGCGCAACGCGGCCCTTCGTATCATGAAAACTGGTATACTGTTGCCAAGATTTCTCAAGTATAGGATCCAGCTTGGCAAGCAAAATGGAGCTTTAAAGATTGCTTTTAATTACGATGGATAATCTAAACTTTTCCATCTGAACGGCACAATTTTCAATCTGAAATTTCAACTCTATAGGCGATATGAAATTTTTCTAAATGAGTCTCAGACATGATATGTCCGTTCATTTATACCAAGCGGGTCATATGCCAAGGGCGAAGGACGTTATTTCATTTGTTAAGTTTTCCATTCTTCATGCACACAGACCTCATAGTGCAGGCGGCTGTTATCAGACAGGATTCATGAAAAGCGGAAACCTGAACTTTATCGAGAGTAAAGCGTGTCCTAAAGGTCCACCCAAAGGTGGGGTCTGGTTCCAAGTGTCAGTTAAGGCTCACGATCAAGATGCACAGATCTATTTCAATGGAGACTTGGTGACGACTATCAAGACCCATCATACCCTGCAGGCTCGTGCAGGAGTTTTCACCTTCCATGGATACCAAAACGTGGTTCTTTTTAGAAACTTCCAAATCGACCCTCAGCTCTACGTCTCTAAAAGATGCGCGAGAACAGTCGAATTTCCGGGGTATGTCAAACTCGATGCAGATCACGGAAGCTGGCCGAAGGATGGCTTTTGTCAAGTATCGTACTTGAATGGCTGTGGAACGGGGAACTACCAGATAAGTGTGGACATGTATAACTTTATTGGGCGAGATGGAGTAAACTTCGGGCATTTAGGTGTATTTTTCAACGCTGAAGATGGGGACAACTATGACTTCGTGTACTTCAGGTTTGGAATAGCTATTTTTGTCTCAGAGAATAGATTAAACTGACACAAATCTAGTTTAATTCTCGAATGATTGGACTGATCGCTCTGAAACCAGCCCTGTCTAATCGTCTATAGGGAAGTGGTTGCCCATCGTTCTCTGAAAACTGCTTGACGAGGCCAAAATGCCATTCCAGCTCCAAAACTGCCAAAAACTGAAATATAATTTGTGGGGGAGAAAAAAATGAAAAGAAAGCTCTATTTATCACGATCAATTTGAGTGAGTATAACTCGGCAGAGTAATATTCCATATACCATAGTGATTCCTTTGAGTGAGACTTATGGGTAAAAATGTTTTTCACGGGTAAACAAAAGATTATGGGAAGAAGAAGGGCCTTACACCCCATGCTTCCTCATCAGAGAGGACTTGAAAAGTCTGAGAATCAGTTAAATTCACCATAGCTTTCAAAAACTTTTACGATAAGCGGCTGCCGATGGTATTATAAGCGGCAACACCCACGAAACCCAAAAAAACAATGGCCCGTTCGGGGGCTGAACAGACGGCCATAAGAGGTCTCCTAGGCGGCGGTGGACCACCAGTATCCGACTTTACTGAAACTGGCCTTGATTCTTATCACGCTTCCTTTGCAGAAGCACTGACAAAATCAGAAATACACATTAAGTGCGAGGGAATGGACGGAATATGAAAAAATTGCAGAAATATTGTGGAAACATAAACTGAAAGACTTAAAACTAAACGTGTGTCTCGAGCGTGCAACAAAGTAAGAAGCGATAACCTACCCGAGAAGATTTGGAGTCCACTGGCTGATCCGATTTGGCTTTCGGATGCTTTTATTAGTCAAAAGGCTTAGAAATTTACTTGCCTGCCTCTTCACAGATGCATAAAGTACTGACTATTGCAGAGCCATTTTATCCCACTGTCGATTAAGATATGCCATAATTACCTCTAATTTTCCCTATTTCTTTTTCTCAGGCTGCACAATGTTCGCGGTTGTTTTCAAACAGGTTACGTTTACAAAGCCGAACCAAAGTTTGACGGAGCCAAAAGCAGTACTTGCCCTGCCGGTCCCCCCAAGGGAGCAGAGTGGTTCAGTGTCAAGGTGACCATATCAACAGCCCTTCCTGCAGGGAAAGTCAATGTATACCTTAACGACAATCTGGTGACGTCATGGAATCCCCGTTATGTTGTCAAAAGTCATGGAGGTGTTTTGGTTGCAAATGGTTATAAGAATGTGGCGTACTTCAGGAACTTCCGAATCTTTTGAGAAAAAAATTCAGATGGTTCTCTGTTTCTATCTCGAGGGATTGTAGATTTCTCGGGAATTCAGTTCAAATCGTATGCCGGCAGGCAAGCGTTGTAGTTGTCATTTAGATTAAAGAAAGAGTCATGGGCAATATGCAATCTTTTTTTCCTTAGTGTCTCTTCTCCTAATGCTAAGATTCGACCGTTCACAGCGTCTTTAACAAAAATTCTCCTATCGTGGTGTGGACGAAAAACCAAGTGCTTTTAAGGAAAAGTGACCAAACCGAAATCTGCTCTGAATAGGATCTTGGCGCCACCCCCACTCTTTATTTTATCTTTTTTGTTTGTTTTCTATTGCAACAAGAGGAGGTTTCCTTCGATTCCCAGCTATCTCCAAACACCAAGTTTATTTAATGACAAGAGACCAAACTGAGATGTGTTCGAAATTGGAACTAAGAGCCACCTACACTCCTTCGTATATTTTTTCTTTTCAATATTGCAACATGAAAAAAGGGACAAAGTATTCAATCCTCATTTGAAGATAAGAAATAATTATAAATCGAAGGGGAATCTTTGAACTGATAGATTTTAAACAGTTTATAAGCTCTGATGTATTACATCGTCCTGAAGGAGGAAAGTACTAATAAGTCCCTTTGATATCGTTGACCTTCATATCTCAGCTCAACACTTTCAAATAAGTCTAAAAATATTCCCCTTCCGCCAGCTCTCACAAAAAAATTGGAAATCACAGTTTAAAATACGTTATGTCGTGACAAGAGAGAATTCGAGGTTGATGTTTCTTTCGTCGAGACCACACTAGCATCACGGAAAGCTTGCGTTATGTAGCTTTTGTCACGCAAATTATTGAGTCACCTGATCTCGAGTGAGCCGGTTTATTTACGTTGTGTGCTTTGTGAGCTGTTGAGAAAATGGAAGTAATTTATTTCTTTCTCACTCTCTGTTCCTTTCTGAATTTAGCATCATCACATCAAGCAGTGAAACACCTTTTTATGTCTGATTTGGCACCGTATGATTCTCCTCATGGGCCCGAGCAAATTCACATTTCCTTCGGAAATATTCCGAGTGAAATGACAATAATGTGGTCGACCTCGAATTCATCGGAGTTTGCCAGTTCGGTCGTCCTCTATGGCTTAGCGCCGAAGAATTATTCTCTTGAAGGCAGGGGAAAATTTGTTTTATTTACTGAAGGAAATCCGGATGGACTGAAATACATTCATCGCGTTGTTCTTCAGGTAAGAGCCACAGAAGTGTTTTAAAACAATGGTGACTTAATTCCCAATCGATCGAGCGTAATTTCAAAGTTTTCAGTTTTGAAGCGGTTTTCAATAGCCTATGATGGTAACTGTTTTTAGACACAAAGTATTGTACTGGCTCTGTCTGAAGGTCTTTTGCAGTCAGTTAGTTTATTTTGTTAAGACTGGCCTCAACAGGAAATGGACCAGTTGTTGACGATTCATCAAGCGATAGTTTACACTTTCCATCGCGTGGGGTGCTTTATGTAATTGCATGAAGTAAATAAGTGATTGGTGATAAAGTTACCAACACGTGATTTAAACCGTTTTAGTAAAGGTAATATGCGGCTTCTTTGAAAACAGCAATTTGAAACATTCTACTTTTGGCAATTGGTTCTGATCAGATTCAATATGTATTAGTATACATTTAGAAGGCCGCAAAGCACATTGTGTAACTCGTTCTTGAATTTGGCGAATTTATCAGGCTGCTACTGGCTACGCATTGGTAATCCTCTTCTCAGTTTTAAGAAGATTTATTGCCAATGTCAATATAACAAGTAGTCAAATGAAAAAAGGGGGTAACTTTCTGAAGAAATTGTGTTTGATCTGTGTAACAAAGTTTGGTTTTAACAACCGATTGAATAATGTAAATTGACCACCGTAAAGAGTTTCTCAGCTAAGAAACTCTTTACGGAGGCTAAGTTTCATTATCAACTCGTTTTATAAAACCGAAATACTCAGAGCCTTCCTTACTTAATGGTTGTGTAGAGTAATGGTTGCGTTGACTAAAACTCCAGGTTAATCCTACATCAGAAAAAGTATAATTTTAGCTAAGGTATGGGTTGCACCTTGAATATTTTTAAAGGACTGTATTTACTTTTTAATAAAAATCTGTTTTCAATTGTTCCCCAAATTTCCAGTCAACAAAAACATTAATGGTGTTGTAGTGCTTTAGTGGGGCAAATTTTGAAAAAATTGAGCTAAACAATAACAATAACAGCAGTATTACTGACAGTGCTTGCTAATAAAGCATTATTGATATAACCCTTTAACTCCCAAGATCTAATTGTTAATTCTCCCCTCTAGCTGTTACACATTTCCTTGTAACTTAGTTATGAGACCTTAGTGCTAGATCAAGATGGCAGCTTCTACATGATAAGTTGGATTATTCTCATAACCTGTTTGCTGAATAGTGTATGGATATTATAGGGAGAAGTTTTATGTTGATAACTTCTGGGAGTTAAATGGTTAACATGAATGGAGATCAGTTTTATTTTGTCAGACAATGTTGATGTTTTTACACAAATTATGTCAATACTTGAATGGGGAGCTAAATGACCCAGATGTATGAAAAAGGTAGATAGCAAGCCAATTTTTGTCTACAGGTTTTAAGTTAGATTTTCAACTATTACCTCTGTTCAAGCTACCAACCAAATGCAGGCTTCATTTACTTATCTTTTCTACACTAAACAGAATATAATAAACTGCCTCTGATTGAATAAAAGGATTAGCACAGTGGTTGAGCAAACTGTTCAATGGGATACAAAGCCATGATATCCTATCATTGGAGAACATGAATATTAGCCATCATGTACTTACTTTCTGGTGTACTCCAGCTTTCAATGTGTCAAAACATTTATAGTTACTTATAGTAATATAACCACTAGCACAACCCTACTTGGTTGACTAACAGTTTTGGCATTTTACTCAGCAGAGTAGAAAAATCTTCTCAAGTAAGACCAATGTTGTAATTTAACAAATATTTCTTATTTCAGTAAATTACAATTATGGAACTTATTTTTGAACTTCCTAAGTTTATGTTTTGTCAATTCTCCTCACATGTTTGCTGGATGTTGTATTGAAATTGTTGTGTGGAATTTATGTGTTGATCATGATTATTTTCTTACATCTAATGTTGATATTTTTTCACTCTTTCAGGGTTTAATTCCTGGGATGAAATACTCATACCGTGTACAAAGTGGTAGTAACATTAGTGATGGGTTTGAATTCACAGCTAAAAGAGATGATGAGGTAAGGTGCTAAATATCTCTTGAGCCCCCTCACTCTCAAGATCTCATAAGTAATTCTCCCTACTGAATGCCATTCAATTCTTATGATGTTATGGTGGAGAATTTGGTATTCAATCAACTTTTAATCACCTTATTGATGTTTTTCTTTATTCTCATTGCTTATCAGTATTGATATTGTAAGGAGAAATTCTGTCTTGGTTACTCAAGAGAGGATTTATAAAAATAAGTAAACAAAGACAACTAAATAAAACTTTATCCTATTTGAATTGTCTTTCAAGAAATCTGAATGCCATGCAAGTAATTGACTTGATTCACATGTGTTTGGAATGAGATTTTGTCCTTTCTCTAAAACACTTACCAAACAAAATGTTTTGTGTGATTTTGTCATTTCTGTTAAGGATAAAAGACATTTTATTAAAAACGTACAGGAAAAAAATTGGTTGCAACAAAATAGTTTTGATTGGTGATTAGTGCATTTTAGATATTTTATGTGGCATGTCCAACTATTTAACAATGTGCCCCACTGAAAATGTATTTCTGCCTTGTATCCTTGTGGCATAAATTTTTCCAGAGTCTATGAAAAGTCGAAGAGAGGGTTGATGTGTTAGTGTGGTGCTCATCTGTATACATGTAGCTTCAGAGCTCTAGGTGACTTATGAAATCCCTCTATCTGCCATTGTTGCCTGAACAGTTGGAACAGGTATAACCAAGTTATGGCTGCTACAAAACAGTATGGCAAATGGCTTGTTACCTTATAATTAATGTTTGGCACAATTTCCTTTGTTTGGCATTAAAACAGCCTTAAATTAGACAGTTGTAATTTTGAATTGATAATTCTCTTATTTGATTTGTTAAATAGGAAGAATACTTGACTTTTGATATCTACAGGCTTGAAAAGAAAATCTGTAAACATCATTTTGATAAGTGTCAAGAGTTGCTGCTGCTTTGTATGAAACCTTTTTTCCTTCCCTTCCCATCAGACCATTTTATTATGTATTACTATTAATTATTAATTATTATTATTATTTATTTATGTAACCTTTATCAGTCAACAACTATGATAGTCAAAAAGCTTCTCCATGAGGATTTTAAAAACATTGAGTCTCATTTGCAGTAAACATTTCCATTGTTTGTATCTAAGTGATAGTTGAGACACTCTTCTTCAGCCATCACTGACAAAAAATTGAGAATTAGCACAGAACATTTGGAACCAACCCACTTTCGATACTTGGTGCAGAGAATGGAACGTAATGAATTGCCTAAGCTTTGGTTAACTTTTCATTTCTCACCACTAGTAAACTCTAGAATCATTCCTAAACACATATTTTTTATTATTATTATCTTGAATTTTTTTGTTGGTTTACTCATTTTTTCGTGTTGTACTTAGTAAGATTGCATTACTTGTTTAATCATAACCATTACAATTTCCTCAACTGTGATTGGCGCATCAGCTGCTTTGAATATCACTAATCACTTTGAACAGCTGTTATTGAACAGTGTAATCGGACAGTCAAAGCAGCCAATCATACTAAGTCCACTCAGCTAAATCCACCACTCACAGAATTGATCACAATGACCATAGCAACAATCACTTACCCTGAAAAAAAACTGGGAAATTTCCAAATTTTTTGCTTTAGACATTGTTCCTACTGGAGATGTTTGTCCTAAATGTATTTTTTTTCGCTTCGCGGTCGTCCGATTTTGTTAATCACTCGTATGATTAAAGACCGAATTGAACTCCACTCAATCCTATCACCATTATTATAATTAGTAAAGAAGAAACTTTCGTGTGCGTTGTACCAGCAACAACAAAGTGACCTAAGTTTTGTTTTGAGGCGAATGGATATCTCTCTGTCAATTTCACGAGCACGTAAGTAACACCTTACCCAATCACGAGCGAGAGTTTTTATTTTACTGACATGTGCTTGTCAGTGACTTCGTAGCCACCTTGGCAACACATTTCGCTCAATTTGCTCGGCGATGATCGAGGCATCTAGGGCGTCGTCTCCAAAGAACGAAACTCTTCTGGTAGACAACTTTTTAACAAAATACTGTCAGGACAAATGAGCGAGACTTCTAGAAAAAAACAGACACACGACAGAAAAGAGCGCAATCCTACGTGTACGCTCTGCATCAATCATGGAGTCCGATCGAAATTCAAGGGTCACAAACGCCTTGGTTGTCCGTTTTTGAGCTGCCACTGTGAGCTGTGTGTAAACGGTCGTCAAAAACGAGTCACTATGAAAAAGCAAGTTCGTCTTCGGCGAAAGCAAATGAAAGATATCGGAAGAAGGAATAATCAGTGCATTTCACCCGCCGTGGAGCCCACTCGAGGTAACAGAACAATTTTTATGTGTTGTTTTTCATTTCACCGAATGTCATTTTTCCTTTGGTGTAAATCAAGCATTATCTTTATGTACCTTCATGTCTACAGTTAAAACAGTTAGAGAGTCTAGCGCTTTTGGCTTTGTTTCCTTGGATTTAAGCTGATCATTTAAATAAACAACATTCTTTCGGACGTGCTAGTGAAGTTGTTGCAACTTCCAACTTGTTCTCTTTTTAAAATTGTTTATTTGAAACTCAGAAGAAATATCAGAAACGCATTTTGTTAATGGTTTTATACGCTTAAGGAAAGTTTCTTTCTCTGTTATTAAAAGTTTTCTTTAATGGCTATCAAATGGTTTTCCAAATGAACCAATTTTTTTTTAAACGAAGCTGTTTGATCAAATTTGCAGTGAGTTTCTTTCCTACGGTTGTTAAAACTGGATCGCCTTTCACCGAAGAATACAGCACCGTCAACGGACTTGAAAAGACAACGAAAAACGGAAATGGAGGATTGATTCAGAGTGTGTCCAACATTTTGCATTCTCAGTTCGGGGTCGTTGGACAACATCCACTCAACTGTAGTGCTTACTTGTCTACACCTTACCAGCCTCAATGGACCGTAGGGGATGTTTACCTGGGCGGCTTTCATTACAACAACTGGCAGGCATCAGAACGGACAGCCTCTCACTCTGTGATCGAACCTCTAACAAGCCCTAACTTGGCCTTTTCGGACAACAGCGCTATTTTGAAGTACCGCAATCTTTCCCCGAGAACGGAAAGCAACTCCTTCAGTCTCAGTACGTCTTTGGAAGCCGCCGCCGTTTTGGCGTCATTTGCGGGAAATCAGAAACACCGAGTGCCGAAACTTTGAGGGCGTTTTAAAAACTTTTTTTCTTCTCATACTTGCCCTCACTTGTTTCCTTCACTGTTTGTGGTTCTTGTGGGCTGCAAAGGAACTGTTAGCTTTCTGAAATTGTGGTTTCCGCGAAACAGGAAATTTTTACTACACCGTTTTTATGATATGTGCACCGTTTTTTTGTCAATCATATAAGAAAATTCATTACCTGACGAGGGAATTCCGTATTAAATTGCACGCGAAAACCGATACGAATCGTTAAGTTATATCGGTTTTCATGTGCAATTTAACGCGGAATTCACGAGTTAGGTAATAGATTTTCCTTGAATCGCATAATTGAATAAAAATAAGAAAAAAAGAAAACAGTAATAATATTGTTTGTTTTTATCCTGAGCGCGCGCCTCAGAAAGCCATTTCAAAGTCAATTGTCAGAACTGTCACTGCGTTAGCGAATAGGAAGCAAGGTCAGTCATACACGTTGGAATCTTCGACAAATTTGTTTGTACCTTTTGCTTGTTTTTACATTTGTTGTCAAACTTTTAAACAAGCTTCACACTATTTTAAGGATGATAGTGGTATTTCACTGAATTTAAAAGCTGTTTATCTCTAACATCTTTTTTCAAATTTCCAAATCATTTGCTCGAGAAGGAAAATAATTTACACCTTTACCTCTTTGGTGGCAATACTGAAAGAAATGAAGTGTTCAAGCGAAAGCACTGAAAGTTTGACATCGCGATTAAAGGTATTTATTTCTTCTTCTGTGTATATGACAATCGACCCAGACACTTCTTCCGTTGTCGATTCTTCGTCTTGTTTGGTTGAACTTTTGCTTGCCATTCTCGTTGTCGCGAGCGAAAGAGGGTTTTTATGCCTCTCCAAGAATTTTAGTTCATTTTAAAACAGGGAAGAGCCTCTGGCTTACTTTAAAAAACGCTTTTGTTTGTTTTTAGCTCTTCAAAAGGTGACGATGGTTTTGAAAACACTTTAAAATGACATTGTAGATAACTTTGTTACAATATGACGATAGTTGTTATGATTACGTAGATGCGAATCAATATCACTTAGCCTCCTTTTCAACTCCCAATTCTACGCTAATCCTTCGCTTCGTTGACCAATCAGAATGCGAGATTATATTCAATTGTGCGATTCCATTAGACATTTTTATGATAAAGTTTCGACGTAATGCTGAATATTTCTTTCAGACAAGTATGATTGTTTACCAAATTTGAACCGCAGCACTGTCTTCCAACAAACACTTGTTGACTACTTTGTTATTTGCTATTTGTTTCATGCCTTTCAAATGGAAAATCTAGTCTTAGTTCTAACCATTTCTCCGGTAGACAGATCTAACTATGCGTCAACTGATTTTTACTTTTTTCATAGATTGGCGAAAATTTTCGGTTTATAACGTTCCCGAAACTAATGATAATTATATGATATTGTTTAAGGAAGTTTACAGGTAGACTAGAAAAGCTATTTGTAACTATCTTGTTTGTAGCTTCTGTAAGTAGTTGGTAATTTTTGCGAAAGCAGTCTCTGTTGATTTTGAAAACCCTTTTTAAGGCTTCTTTTTCCCTGGGAACAGACGTAGACGATTAAAAGACAGCTCGGCGTCCGTTGGGAGTTTCGCGCGACCCCTGGAAAGTAATGTATGTTGACATGTTCACATTCAACCCAAGATTAAAGATAAACAATCCTCACGTATCAATAGCTGATTAACGAAGTAAAAAACGTTTGTGCAAATATGTTCTTTGTATGATGCAATCTTTCAATGTGAGTACACTTCCCCAGTCAAACCTTAAGTTCTGAGTGATAAGTGCTCTTATTTCAGTTCCCACGAACACCTCAAGACAGATTTGTCCTCTACACCTGAACAGATCGCGCCATTTGAGTACCATCATTTCAGTGCTGTGCTTTCACGTTTCCAGGTCGTGTCCGGTGCAAGGATCGGCAGCAATTTTTCGAGGCACTTTTCTGGGAAATTCGTTACAATCTATTCGTAGTTTAACCGAATTTCCGAAAATTTTTATGCAGTTCTGTTTGGAAGATTAAAATTCAGTTCAGTTTGTAATAATAACAAACCAGCTTTTAACTCGCAGATGTATATTGCAAAATAGCCGGCACTTCACTGTAATTAAACATTTCTTGCTCTTCGGCCTTAACTCAGTCTCGCCTAAATCGAGAATCTTTATATCTCTTCTTGACAAACTTAGCAATTCAGTAAAAGTTGTCAATTAATAGATTCGCAATTTTTGTAAGGCTCTTGGAGTGAATGTGGTACAATCAAAGCCCCCCCCCTTCCCCCTTCCCCCTCCCCTGAGGGGGGAAAATTGGGCTCAGTCGAAATAACGTAAGAAATTCAGCTTAGAAAGTGGCGTATAGTTTAGCGAAACCGGAGCCATTTGAGACTACACCCTACACATATTTAAAAATAGTTAAAGGTGATGATAATTTTACCAATCTAATCTGCGAAGGGAACTTAGTCTGATCAGGTTGGTACCAGACAACGATGATGAAAGAAATTTTTTTTCACAATTTTTTGTCCTTTGCAGGATTGGTCGCCGCAGTTCTTGGTTTATGGAGACATGGGTCGAATTGGAGGAGCTCCCAGTCTCAAACGGCTTATTATGGAAGCTAGGTCCGGACACAACACGGCCGCATTGCATGTTGGGGACTTCGCCTACGACCTTCAAACTGATGGAGGACTTGTAAGTAATGATGCAGCTTTTTCTATTCCCTCGATGTTATAACCATAGGCACCCTAAAAGTACACGGTGCGAGTGAAATTCAAGCAATAGGAAATTGTCAGCATTAAGATCGGAGATTTTCTAATAAACTGTTTCAAACCAACACCATGTGCCTCCCAAGGCGCTGAGGTATTAAATTATTCTCATTAAATGTTATTGTTTTGGATCTCTTTTTAGTTTTCCCCTCCTTTTAAATCCTTTCATCTCTTTCTAGAATTTTTTCATCGTTAACTTGATTTTTTTCGGCTGATTTTGTCTTGTTTTGTGATAAACAGGAATAAAATGAACAATTAAAGGGCCAGATTCGGGTTGCAAATCGATGAATTGATACCCAATCGAGGCGCACTGATTAAGATCACTGTCATGAAAGTGTAGAGCAGCGGAAAACTGTCTGTCGTAGTTCAAAGCTTTCCTTGGCTACCGTTCATGTGGCTCGAAGCCTCAGTTTCAAGCCTTTCTCGGCAGTTTCGTAGCCTGAGATCAGTATTTTCTCTCTTCGGTTTTTCGTTTGTGACATGCTCACTTGGAAATTCTTAGTCTCTCTTATTCTTTACCTACCTCAGAATGGTGACGCGTTTATGAACAGAATTCAGGACATGGCCGCGTGGATTCCTTACATGACATGTGTTGGAAATCACGGTAAGAGTTTACTCTTGGTTCTGTAGGAAAACTTCTCAAATTGTAGATTGAAAGAGGCTTAGGAAAGTCATTTAAATTCATGAAGAGAACGAACGTTGTCACCAATAGCCTGTAATGCAAGCGTCGTATTAGGACGAGTTAGCGCGGTTACAAGCTTGCGATCGTTTATCGGGCTGGAGTGGACGGGTGGGTGGAGAAGGTGGGGAAAGATGAGACTGCCCTCTTTTGACCGTCGCTTACGCTGTTGTGACAAACTTCTTTCTCTCCCATCCTCCCCTGTAAAAATCAAAGCTCTAAAAATCAAAGATGGCAGCTATAGTTTTCATCAAGAAAATACTCTGCTCTCACTTGCCAAAATCACGCCTTCTCTACAGTCCATATCACTTATTATGAGATTTACTTCAGTTTTTTCCTTTTGTTGCAGAGATTCCTTTCAACTTCAGTCATTACCGATACAGGTTTTCCATGCCGCAACTTCAGTGGCCCACTGAAATCGACAGAATGTGGTACAGCTTTGACGTCGCTAGAGCTCACTTCATCGCGTATGTTTATCTCATATTTTACATTACTTTTTGAACCCGTTAAGGTAAAAAATCACGGAGTGGTTCGTGCGTTATCTGCGTCATAAAATTCAGCGCCAAAAAAAAAACCCGAGGTCGTTGTCAGGTCATGGAAAATGTCTTCTCTGATCAACCTCACCAGAATACTGAAACATCATGACAGCTTCTTGTTTTACGGACAGCCCCCTTCATTTCATGCGGTAGTCCCCCATCTTTATTTTTCCCCCCCTCCCCCCTCCCCCCCCCCTCACCAGGTACAGCAACTTGTGCTGAGTTGGGAACTCTAAACCATAAATCAGATTCATTGGATGGAATTCGAACGAATTTTATTTTTATTTTCTCTTGATTTTTTATTTCCATTTGTTTTCCTCACAGTTACTCGTCTGAAGTATACTTCACCAACGGCTCCATTCAGGGTCAACTCGAGTGGTTAACCAACGACCTTAAAAAGGCGAATCAGCCCGAGAACCGTGCTAAGCGTCCTTGGATAATTGCATTTGGTCACAGACCAATGTACTGTTCAAATATTGATAAAGATGATTGTACCACGCTTCACTCTGTGGTTAGACACAGGTTGGTTACGCCCCTCCCCCCATTTTTTTTTCTCTCTGCGACATGTGAAATAACATTTTAGTACGAGGTCCCGGAGGTCTCGAATGCGATATAGTTTTAGGTAGTTTTTTTTTTCAAGATGTTAAAATCCTGACCCAGTTCCTTTTGAAAAGAATAATGGAAACTTAAAACAGGTTAATCTAAACAAGCGTAAATGAAGGCTAAGGTTAGCGCAGAGGACAACGGGCGTCGATGATATTGCCAACAGAACAGCGTTTGAAGGAGTGAAAGTCTTTAGAGAGAGGTGATCAAAGAATCCTACAGCATAGAAGGTACAGATCATGCGTGCAAAGAAAAAGCCTTTTGAAAAAAACCAAACAGCAAGCAAAGTATACGCGTGGAAACATTTAACGGGAAGTAAGCTTGGAAAACACAGAGATCATGGTGACATCGGTGAACTTTTAAGGTATCAAATTGTCCCAAAAAACAATTTTATGGGTCAAAACTTTCCCTTGCTTGACGATGCTTGAGTTAATGTAATGCACAATACTTCTACGATAACGGAGAGCGAACAATTAGATGGTGAATTCGAACCAGTTTTGTGTTTGTGTTTTTCTTTAGCTTGGAACCGTTGTTTTTCCAGTACGGTGTAGACATTATCATCGAAGCGCATGAACACTCGTACGAACGCCTCTGGCCAGTGTTCAACGACACAGTAACAGCCCACAACTACAGCAATCCAAAGGCCCCAGTCCACCTGATATCGGGCGCAGCAGGCTGCAATGAGGCTTATGGAATATGCGTGAATCCCATGTTAGGACCTAGAGGTATGCAATATTTTATTAGCTGGTATGAATGAGTGTGTTTTCCTTGGTTGTGGATTTCCAAATCAAGGGCGGTTTAATATATAATAGGTAGCACTGTTGCCCTTCAAGAAAATCGAGGGTCGCCGTGCTAAATCTTCATAGTATAGTCTCGCTATCCAGAACTTAAGCCGCTGCTTCTTTTTGCGGTCGTAAAGTTGTGGTTTGTTCTAAATAATTCGCGTCCTTGGTACCTCAAACCGTTTTCACCAGCTCTACCGCAGTTTCCTAATAATTATCCTATCTTAAAATATGCTTCGGTTTCGAAATTTAGAAAGAGTCTCATGCAATTAAAACTGCTCGGGAAGCCGCTTTCTATTTATTAAAGGCATCACTTCAAAAACGTGTCAGGCTTTAGTCAAGAGCGTCTCGTTATTTGTGCTGCTAAGGGTCAAGATCTGAAATCCTTGTGAACTTTGTGGATCCAGCCAATACAAATTAGAGGTAATACGTTTGGTAGAGTTTTTTTCTAGTTTGTTAAATTTAGGACGCGGCTATTTCGTTAGTTAAAGAATAGTACTTTATCGCATACTATCTTGCTTGTAAAACTTTACTTCGGAGAAGAATTACCACCTCTATATTCTACATTCGACAAGAACTTTCGTCGATAAGCTGCAACCCCTCTGCATTCGTGGTTCTTCGAACGACCACCAGTACATTTAAAATGGTGGTCGTTCAGAACAAAACGCCAGTATAGCAACGAAAATGGAGACGTAGTATCCACTTGTGCAGATTTTTGACGTTGGAGGTCCATCTTTGGTCAAAAATAATTTTATCTTTCTTGACAAGGAAATCAACTATTCGCTGAGTTCCGCCTCTAGTTTTTTTTTTTTCAAGAAATAAACTCAGCAGAAGGCATCTGGAAAGTCATTTCGTGATCTGCTAAAGCTCTACCAAAAAAGAGTAACAGAGCGTCCTTTGTTGAAGATACCATGCGCCTGGCTGGTTATCAACCTCTGTAGAGTTTCTGGAGAAGTGATTTTTATAAGTGTGGAATAACTTATTTCAGAAAAGAATCGGCGGCGTCTGCATTTGAAATGCTGGACAGAGGAAGTATCTTGGTAATCTTACCGTTCACTTGGTCACCACACCTTCATTTATTGACAAATTAATCCCGTGCAGTGGGGGTCTGGTGCTAACATTCGTTTACCTTCAAAACTGCATCGTACTGTGATTTCTGTTCAAGATTTGTTGGAAAGTGCAAGATATTGAGGAAGTCCTGAGTAAATTCATTTTAATAGGTGGCATTCATTTGTGACTAGCAAAGTCTCGTCATGGATTCCAGATCAGCTGAACCACTCGCAGGACAACGTGCTGTTTTTCAAACAGATTAGAACTGGCGCCATTCTTGTTTTGATTGTTTGTTTGTTTTTTAAGCAATTTTATACATTTTGTAAATATGTTTGCGATTTCATTTTTGGACTCCAGTCTCAGCCTTAATTTCAGTTTGAATTATGGGTCAACTGTAGATTTGGTGTTAACTACAATCGACACATTTAACGTGAATCAATCTTAAGAAGATGTCTACTCCTTCTTCAATATCAAAACAAAAAAAAACTTTCTCTATGTTATGCAATTTTCCGAGTTAACGTGACTGTGGAATGAAAAAAAAGTTGCAAGGTGAATTCCTTTCTTTGCAGATCACCACTGCTTGCTTCTCGAGGCTTTCCTTATTTTTATATTTCTAGATAACACGAATTGATCTTTTAATAACATGGTGCCTTAAGGGGCTACATCGTAGATTGTTCTACTTGAAAACTGTAGATTTCAGCGCATAATCCTCGCTCATCTTCCCTCTCCAACATAATGAAATGTCCCGACGTAGACTCTTGGAATAGATTACAAGTGTTAATCGTCGTCTTTCGTCAGGTCCCTGGTCCGCCTTCCGCAAGTGGTTTCCAGGCAATGCTGGTTACGGTAAACTGAGGATTGAGAACTCTACTCATGTGTACTGGGAACAAATTGAAGCTTATGATGGTTCGGTTACAGACAGTATATGGATTAAACAGGAACACCACGGGCCTTTCAAACCCCTGGATCCGTGATTATAGTAGGAGACAGAGGGTAACAGCACAAAGTACAGGACACTGTATATTTAAACTAGAATTTCGCTGACCAGCTACTTTACGAGGAATCATTCAATGGAACTCAAAATGTTATTTATTCCAAAACATACAGTACAACGTTTATATTTTTAGCACTCTTTAACTGCTTAACAAAATTTTGGAGAGATTTCGAAGTTTCTATTCTTCAAAAATGTTCGCACTGAATGTAATAAAATTTAAGTAGTATCATATTGAACTGGAGCTCCAAAAGTCATCTGGATGGTGTCAGATTGAACGAAAAATATTTCTTATTTAAGACTATAATCTCGAACTGCTACGATCATGTACTCTCGAACTGCTACGATCATGTACGGGACTCTTATTGTAAGAATTGAATTTTAAATACATTTAAGATTCTTTTTCGGCTTCGTATATATATGTAACCACCTTTCCACCGCCTTAGTGCACTCGTGTGCGGGCGTTTGATATTTTAGATGTGTAAGACGCGATGCATTACTTCGATGTGTGATGGTGGGTCAAAGGGGAGCAAAGTCATTTGACGGGGAACTAATAGATAATAAACATGGATTGTGCTGTTGTGTCGGGTTTTAAGGAACAAATGGCGACATCGCAGTCATTTAAACGATCTTAGGAGCATGTAAAATCATTCTATTTCTCGTACAGTATATGAAGCAGGTTTTTACCAAAGAAATTGTGTATGAAAGGTGGAGTTTTTTTTAATAAAGTACTCGTTTGTCAGGAGCTGTTTTAGTGCAGGGTCTCCATATGTAAACAAATCAGTTCACCGCTAGATTAACTGAGCAGACATATTTTACCACCTGCAGTGCATGACTTTCCGTGCGTGTTCTATGACTTGTTTGTCAACGTGACGGAAAACAGTGTCTACTTTTTATTTGAGTTGAGACACAGCAAAACGAGCTTTAATAACCTTTTGAGCAATGTGTGTTTGCTTAAGTTAGTCCAAAGGCGTTCCATTGTTCGCGTTTATTAAAACTGTCAAAGCGAGCGAGGTGTAATGTATCTCCAAGTAAACCCATTCAAAGCGTTTTGTTTTCCTCCAAGATCAAACAACATGTTATTGTCAGCCGCTTTGCGAGTCAAAAGAACTCGTACTTGGTAACTGTACAGGCAGTTGTTCTCAAAAGTAATTATCTAGAACTCTTTGTTCACTTGTAAAGTGAGACAAAACTTAACAAAAGGCACGAAGAATTGCTTCGCGTGCGATTGCCCAAAAACGATGTTTACCAAACTCCGCGCCCTCTTCCTTCCGTCAAAAGAAATCGTTCTCTGTCATTCACCACCAAAACTTTTCATGAAACTGACTTATTTTTAATTTTATACAGTCGTCAAGAATTGCTAAGATTTTATCGCTACTGGATGGTGAAATGATAAGCGAATCGTTGGCGCGATTGTTACCGGTGGAAATCTTGAAGCGAAAATCAATGGAGCAATACTTTGTGCTAATAATGTGTTGTTAACAAAACCAATAACAAGCTGCTAAATATTGCAGTTCCTCCAACGCTCGTACTAACACCTAATTAAACAGTCCCACATCTTGTTAATTAAAAGGAAGTATATGAATTGATAAGATCACAAGCAACGCAGTTCACATCAGATTCAACTGAGATAAAACGATTTTAATGTGTGGAGAATATATTAGAAAGTTCTGTTCATCCACCTTTTGCTTCCCTTGTTAACCGTAGGAAAACGAATATAAGTAGTTTCCCATTTCCTTTAATGAAAGATCGAGGTAAACAAAAAAAGTGTAATGAGATTTGTCGTTCTTTGGTATGTCTTTGAAGGTATTGTGAAACTGGTTACTTTTTTAAAAATATATATATTTTTTTGGTGCAAAAGAAAGGAGTGCTTTTGTTGTCAAATTCCCCAGTTTTTTCGTGATCTGACAATCAATAGTGTGGCTTTGAAAGAGAACACGCGAAAACTCTGTTGAATAAAGGAATGAACTCAGTTATGAAGTAGGTTGAATACAATCGCGCAACTTGAGGGGATGTCATTATCAGGCGAAACTTCCAGCATCAATGAAAACTCTTTGAAAACACACCGTGTGCTCCCACATGGCTAATAAAAATGACAATGATACCCAACATGGTCCCACAACAATACACTGTTTTCACATGTTGTAAGCTATTGTTTACGCCTTTCTTTGCGGTAACCGGTATTGTCAAGCTATCTTTTGTTGTAAGCTCTCTACGACCCGCAAAGTTCACGTTTCTTGTGCGTTTGTGCCATAGGAAGTATTTTAACTTTGCGCTCGGCGCTGACGGCACATGCAAGATAATAACAATTTCTTTCTCGGGTGTAGAGAGTCTTGGTCTTGCATTACTTCCTCTTTCACAAAAAGTGGTTAAAAATTATGCCTTTTTTGGCACAAATAAACTACACCGGTGATTAAGTAAGTCAGAAATAAACGGTATGATGAGTCAAAATAAATGTGCGATGAAAATCTTATCTAACACCCACGCTGAAAACATGAATGGTTTCTCCAACGGTGGAATATCTTCCTCAAAGGGCTAGACGATACAGGGAAAATTACCTTTCTCTGGCCAGGAGAATTAAATTTACAGATTAGGCCGACGGAATTGAACTCCTAATAAGACAAATGTGTATTTGAGCGCGCTCATTTGAGAAGTGCTTCGAATCACAGAGTAATGAGCTTGTTGCCTAATTTGTCTCTCAGACTAGAGGTTTGTACCGTGAGTAAAAAAGGGGGAAAAGTTATATTGTCGGTTGAGTGTACAAAAGTTGAATGTTTCACACTTTCTTCTCACTAGAGCGCGAACAATACTTTTATTGTTATGATCTCTGGGCGTTAAGGGCATTTCGATAAACAAAACATTTTTTGTCGGTTTTCTCGATTCTGGTTAAACTTTTGCCATTTACCACTTACACTAAAACGATATGGCAGCAAAGGGGACATTCGTTTCAATTCCAAAAATTTTCAGTGAGAGTTATGCATAGTAAATGGGAATTAACTTATTTTGAGCAACATTAAATAACTTTCCATTTGACTCGTCAGTGCTGCATTCAAACTGAAAAGCCTAAACAAGGCAGAAAGGGGGAAAATTGTCAGAATGAGTCATGCTTAAAAACTTGAATTTCACTTTTGTTTTCTGAAAAAAGGTTCCATTTGTTACTTCAGTGCTGTATTCAATCTAGAAAGCTTGAACGCGGCAAAATTTGCTTTAGACGGTACGAAGTTTGCACAACTGTATAAACCAAAATTTCGTTAATTATCTTAACCTCATGTGCAACTTACGAACAATTTAAAATTCAAGCATGTACGATAACTCAAATGTAGAGTAGACGGTTATGGCTAAGGTGAATTTAAAATCGATTTCAAGCTTTGTATGCACCAGTTTCGATTTTCGCGTCAAGTGCTTACATGATGACAAATACAAGGCGAAGATTCTTCACGTTCACTCTTTTATTTACTCTTATATTACACAGATAAGAATTTTACATACTTCTTTTCAAATATCAGCACATTTCTGATATGTAATAATTTGCTACGTATTCAACAGAAAAAAATGAAGACTTTTACAAAAATTTTCATTTACAAACTTGAAATTTGTAATACTTGTTCAACAAAATTCGTACCTACTAATACATAGGGTGTCGCAAGTCACTTTAGTATTATACATTTCGATCCATGTAACAAAAAGAAAAATATTTTCCTCAAGGGATTGTTTTGAACGCCACAATTTGTGGCGCTGCTCGCTACTGTATAAAAAAATGTTTATTCTTAAGTGAAGTCTGACTAATTTTCAGGCAATCACTATGCAGAAAACTTAAAGCGTATGGCAAAAATAACACTGAGATATACATTAATTCTCAAATATCGAAATGTATACAACTAGGCAAAATTGAAATGGGCTGGAAAACGGACTTTACTCTTCATAGTTATCTGAAATGAATAGAAAAGAAACTTTAAACTTGTTCGTTATAAATGAACTTTGCAACATATTTTACAGTATTTTTAAGTACCGCGTAGCGTAGACATAAAAATAACCACAATGATGATGTTCTATTACAAACGAAGTTTTAACATATTTTTGAAAGAAAGTGAATTGGTTTGTCGAAGTCTTTTTATTTTTTTTTTCCTATCAATGTTGATGTTTGAATTATGATAACTTTTTCGACCGGTGAACTTTTTTTTCCACAACTCTAATTCATTTTAAAGTCGTAAATATTCGCGGTCATTATATATACAAAGTTGAGGTCTCTATTCCGGCGAACTACGGTCAACAATACCTCAAAGAGCTCATTAATTTATAAAGAGTATTTGGAAAAGACTAGGCAATCCAATAAATCATTTCTAATTTACTAGACTCTTGGTAAAATAAGCGATGATGCTTTCACGCCGTGTGGCCTTCGTTGGGTTGCCTATCCCAGACTTCACATTTTTCGGTCGTGTGTTTGTTTGAACAAATTGGACAGCCTAGAACTTTCGTTTCTCAGTTTGCTTATCGAAGTTGGCATGTGACTAAATCGACCACCGAGGCATGAATTAAATTTCCGTAGTCTACCATGCGTTCGGCATGTGGGTTTGGATCTCATAATTTACAATTTGTCAAAAACAAAATGACGATAACTTGAATGCGAACGTGTCGTGTTACTTTGACTGTTTCATGTAATAGAGTAGAAAAACTTCCTTAAACTCTCTAGCTTGCCATTAAGGGCGAAATTAACTTAATGGAAACTACCTCAGCGAGCGACATGAAAGCTTTTGATCGCACCGCGCCATAAATATGCAAAAACGTGAAAAAAATAAATATTTCAAGTAATCTTTCGCTCCTTTCGTACTTTGAGCGCGGAATTGCACGCTGGCGACAGAGGCGATGAACATTATGTAAACATTGGTATCTCTTCATTGATCGTACTAAAAAGAAAGTTGTACCTAGATATTTAGAAATTGTTTTGTTCTCGTCTTTGACGTGGCCACTTGTTTTATCGCATTAAGTGAATTACAATCTTTGCATAACAATGACCTAAACAGAATGTTGGTTTGAATCCCGAGATTAGAGTATTGTTCCGCTATATAACAAGATGCCGTAGTGTCAAATACATGCCCGGCCGATTGAGTTTATAATCAGAGCCAAACTCTTAAACTTCCTTCGAGATAAAACAGTTAAAGCATTGTGCCCTTGTTTGTTCACAACATACGTATGCACCAGATAATGCGCATATATTAAAACGAAAAAAATTAGAACTTCATTTTCGATTTCGTTTGATCGCTCTAGAATAGTTTCAGATCAAGAAGACATCAAACCGTTACAGCAAATTGAATGTCTGTGATACCGAGGGATATGTTGTTACACTATATTAACCGAGTTATTGTACCGTTTGACAAGACTTCGTCATTATTCATTGTAAACTCAAAATTGTTCCTCATTAATCCATATTTATCACAAGCCCGCGTTCTTTGTGCTAAACGGAAATTTGCTGCTAGAAATAATACAGAATTCAACTGACATGGACTGAAAAGGCGTCTGTAAGACGCATTATCACATGCTTCTAATGTACTCGTCGGCGCTAATAAACTTTATACTTAAGCAAAAGAAAAAAAACTAGCGAAAACATTCGAGATAAAGTGATCTTCGTTCATTATTATAGAAACTGAATGATTTAACTTGGTAACGTATGTTGACAATGAGTTTCATGCGGTAAGTTTCTGGTATGATCGAATCTTTAATGATATACTATCAGTTTATGGGTTAGTCCTTAAATTAAAAGGTGTGGCAAATACATAAGAAATTTAAAGCAATACCGGGACATAGGCCACTGGTCGGGACAGATCCTGTTGAGGCTGCCAAACGCGTTGTCCGTTCAGTTCAGCAGTGGAAACTGTATAACCACTCGACTTGCTCGGTGCGTCACTGCTTGAAGCAGTCGGACTGGAAGACGCTCCACTACTGATAGAGGCGCCTCGTGTTTCGTCCACGCTAGAAATTCTCTGCTGCATTTGGGAAGGTAGCGCAGTTTGGAAGGCTTGACTGGTGTACAACGCTCTGTTGTGGCTCATGACATCGGCGGCGCGGAATGAATGTGTCGTGTCCAAGGAACTAGCGAATAGCTGACGCGATGGTGGAGTCACCGAATGGTGAGTGTTCACTGCGGTTACGTTTGGATAAATCACTGGATATCCTGGTGAAACCGAGTGATGAAACGCTGCTGCTCCATTTATTTTGGAATACATTGGGTCCGCGGACAAAGCCGTTGAATGAGCTATTGTTTGAGGCAATTGATTCGTTGAGAATTTATCGACCGCCATCATTGGGGCGCTGTATGGCGAAAACATCGGGGCCGCAAGCTCTTTCTTCTGCAGTGATTTCGGTTTGCGTCGCTTCGGCTTGTACTTATAATCGGGGTGCTCTTGGATGTGGATGGCCTGCAGTCGCTTCGCTTCCGCCACGAACGGTTCTTTTTCCTCTTGTGAAAGCATTTTCCACTCGGCTCCGAGTCGCTTGCTGATTTCAGAGTTGTGCATTCGAGGATTTATCGCAGCATACTGCTTTCTCTTACCACGACTCCACACCATAAACGCGTTCATGGGTCTTTTAATGTGGCCTTCTTCTTGCTTGCCCATGTCGTTGAAGTTGTTAATAGGATTGATCCCTGTTGTCTTGGCAGTCGGTGACGGACGGAGTTAGGCGATGTTCACGCGAGGATGAGTACGGTCAAACTGTTCTCAAAGGAGCAACCTCAATCTGTTATTTGCCTGGTCGACCGGCTCAACAGCTACAACACCTCACAGGCGTGATTATGGCTGATGGGTATAATGATATAATAGGACAATGCTAATATTTCATTTCAATAATAATACAAGAAGTAAACAATAGGTGTTAATTATTTGTGCATGAATTATGTATATTTCCGTTGTCGGCCAATCAATGCGCGGGAAAGTTCGGCGGCAATTCTTGTGCCATAACTCTGAAGCACGTGCGCTAGAGCGGTGAAACTTTCGCTTGTAGCCCAGAGATCGATATTCTGAGAATTACACGAGGATCGCACAAGTGGGAACACTTAGCGGCGGATTATAACGCAATGATCACTGAGTTATTGGAAGTTTTCGGTTCTGTTTGCTCTCTCATTCAAACATTGTTCTAATCACAGTGGCGCGACACCTGCACGGCTCAGGCAGGTGCGCTTTTCAAACTATTTCAATATAATAATGTTTTCCGTTCAATGCCTTCACCACATCTGCGGCATTCGCTATTGTTAGCTTTGCACGTGTTTCATTAAGGGCTTACCTTGCCTTTCTGTGCGTCATTGTCGCTTTTTTAAAGAGATTTACAAACTTTTCAGCTTTTCTGTATTTAATGGACTGCTTGGAGCGATTTACATAATGAAAACAGTATTGTGTGATCCTTTCGCGAATAATCATAGCGAACTTCGCATATTCGAGGTCAATTGGTTTTCATTGAACGGCACAATAAATGAAAAGAGAAAAAGCTTTTCAAACAGTGGCCTAGAGGTCTTCGTTTATTGTACTCTAGATGTAAAAAACTAAGAGGGCAAAACACAGTTTTAAAAATCCTCAACGCTGATTTTCCGTGCATGAGTGCGCCTTGAAGTGCGAACGCTTTCGATACTTGATGATTGCATTACCTACGAGAGAACATTGACAAATTAGATCCAATCTGCTGATAGACCGTCGTATTTGCAGAGTCATTAAGAACTAGGGTTACAGGCGATTTGCACCGCTAGATAAATATTTCCGAATTGAGAATTGGCAAATTTTATTGTGATCATTGTAAGTACTATTGTCCTAGCCGAAAGTTTAAACATGTACTTTTCTTTAGCGTGTGTGCGCCGAATTCAATATAGCAAAGCGATTCAATTTTTACGTGCTTTTTTTTTGTCTTAAAAATCCAGGAGACTCCTGCGAAGAAGTCGCTTTTTTATTCTTTGTCGGGTGCTTTCCGAGCGATCTGAAGCAGTTTTCAATCATATTTTTAAAATTCTGGGGCGAACCCGTGGGAGTTGAGTCGAACAGAATATTCGAGCTGCATGGCTTGCGACGTGGAATTATGTTTAGAAAAATTCTCTACACTTGCATTTGTATTTGTATTCCAATTGATTTCCTCTCTGTTTACACTGCTAATCGAGGGACAAAAACTGGCTTTAATTACGTTATTTAGCACGAAGGACAGCTTCAATTGTTGACGGCACAAAAATGGAGGAAAAGGGATTTTCGCTGCAAACTATTTCCAATTAGACAAAGTTGAAAATTTACTTGTGTCCCACTGTGAAGTTTACCACGAGAGAACGAAAGGTAGAAAATGAATGCTGCACAAAAGAGATAAAGCTTACCAAAACAGCGCTCTTTGTTCTCTTTTTTATCTTTTGTTTCTTGTGGATATATCGGTGATTGTGATTGTCTTAGGGAGCAGCGAGCAGGAAGGAGCGCTGCCCACCCGTGAAATGCCTTGGATAATTGGATAGCAAATAACAGAGATCGCTTTTTTCTAAAACAACCTAATGTTGCGAAGTTAACATTTCTCGACGTGCGACTTTTAATTATGGCCCCTTCTGCTCGGGGCTAAGATAACAAACTTTTCACTAAATTAACGTTCCTCGCAAAAATTAGGATAAATGAAAAATGATGGTATTTATTACTGTGAGGCTGGCGTTAAGCGATGTGATATCTTTTCCTGGTTGTGTAAATAAACTTTGACCGCTGAATTAATCCAACTAGCGAGACAAAGATGGGAGAAAGACGATCTCTTGAGAAAAATAAACATTCTGTTGAAATATAGCTAGAGGCAAGTTTAAATGCTAGTTAAAATTGTTAGACACCTGTCTACGGCTCGAGAAAGCAATTTAGATCTTATGTGGAATTTTTAGTCTAAGATTGTACTCAAGATAACTATCAGGGCGGGCGGAAAAAAAAGATTGAAAATAAGTCTATTTTTTTTCCAAGAAACCACGCTCCTTTCAGTTGAATTTTTTGTTCTTCGCGGGAAAATATTTTGATGTATGAATTGGGTTATCACCGTTGGAGACTACCAAAGCACTCCCATTAACTTTACCGAGCTCTAAAATACCAGAAGAAAACAATTCTTTTCGCTTCTCAATAACGGCATGAGAATAGAGCGATAGTTGTTGACATTTAGAAGTGAATTTGTTCTAGCACCTTTATGAGCGGGCATCAATGAAGAATTACCGAGCAGTCTTTTAAAATTATCACTTACTTCGCTCAGAAGGAGTCAAGAAATTGTCATGACTGCGTGCATGGCTTGTTATTCTATAGCAGTGGATTCAGCCCTGTCTAAAATAAACCTTTCTTTTTGGTCTTCAAAACAACGCACAATGGAGAGCCGTTGAAATGGCTATAGAGAAAAATGAGATGAAAATAAATGTTTACCCCGCATAGAATAGGCGAATACAGCGATTTGTTCGCTAATACGACCATAGTTTTGCCAATTTGCATTTCTAGCAAGTAAAATTTGCCGTCTTTACAAAAGACATGCTAATAAGGAACAGAGAAAACACTGGCTATATAGATATCGCGGTTTTCGTGCTCAATAAATTGGTAGGTTGGTTTGAATGACTTTAAGTTATTCGCGAGGACAGCAGTGGGATAAGTTTCTGTGAACGCACAACTGGTAATTGAGCGAACGTCTTACGGAAAAGGAAGAGAAAATATTGCTTTAACAAACCAAGTGTGACAGACGAAAGCGGAAAATTCATTACTTCAAGTAAGTTTAAGTGCTTCAAAAATGCTCGCAGTAGTGGACGTTTGAAATTTTCCCTGAATCTTTTAAAGTCTTTTTTAAGTCTAGGAAATGGAGGAAATGTACCATTTTTTGGAAATACATAATGACACCTGCTCTAGTTAGATGGAAGTATAACGAGCGTTTGCGGGTCACTGAGAAAAAAAGTTCTTCAAAATTTTGATTGTATCTCCAATAAATGGCTCTCTTTTCTCTTTAAAACTTAAAAGAATGCGCTATCAGATCGACAAATCCATTAATGTGAAAATATTATATTTTTTCGTTGAATGTTGGAAGCAGAGTTTAAGCAAAATAAAACTAGTCAATTTGGCAGTGAATTAAAATGATAAACATGGATGCTGAGAAAAAAAAAATGATTCGCACGAGAAAGTAATCTTAATGTCCATCTCCTCTGACCTGCACTATAAAAATGTAGTTCGATATGATATCGCAAATTCGCTCCGTCATCGCTGTTTTAATGGTCAAACAAAATGATCGCTAATCGACGAACGAAAGGCAAGGAAGGGCTGTAGTGATCATCACAAATTTGCGGTGCGCGAAGAAAATTATTTGTGGTTTTGAAACAACGTTACATAAAGTATCTTTCGTCCTTAATTTCATAAATAAACAAGAGTTTTACTCGGCAAACATTTCTAAGGTCTTGAAAAGAAACAAATGATATAATAAGGGAAATGAAAATGTTAAAAATGCTCCCCCGCTATGCGTCAATTGAAAACATTGAGTTCATAACATCAACGTTATGTTAGGAAAAACGCGGGGAATGAAAATTGCCTGGGTTACTCAGTATAAGCATGCACTTTTGAATTTTCCAGTCTATTAATTTGCCTTTTTGGCTATAAAATTATTTTCCTCTTGAAAATTTGGAGGGGAAATAATTATTTTCTACCTGAGCAGTGGCTTGTAAGTGTTATCTTGCACCACTCGAACCTGAGCGGAATTTCACTGCCAATACGTTGAAGTGATTAAAACTTCAAGCAAAACCGCCCGCAAGTTAAAAAAGCGTTTCTTGTTAAATTATTCCTGTGAAACCCAAGTCAGCTGACCGACTCTGAAGAGCTGTTAGAAATTCAGAAAAATTAACTTCAGGGAAAAAGGAAGAAAAAAAGAGGAAACAAATACTTAAAATATTTATTACCTTTGGGATATGGTTTTGATGATGTTCGCCCTCCGCCTTCCACTTAGTAAGCTGTGACTGGTGTTTGTTTATCGCTTTTGGCTATCCAATGCAGGATAATAACACTACGGTTAATTTGTATCCTGTTATTTTATTTCAAGGTTTGGCCATCATCCTGTTTTAAATGGCAGAAATTAAAACATATTTTGTCGGTGTATTTCGTGCTAGTTAATGTTCACATGTTTCATTTCGCATGCTCTCTTCGTGGGATTACAATTTCGCATGATCCTTTTTTTTTTCTTCGTTGAGAATAGTCTCAGATTCAAAGCATCTCAAGTGTCAAAGGAAAAGTTGCAGCTTAATCAAAACGTTTTCCGCCATTTGGGTAGAAGATCGGTAATTTAAACTGTCAATTATCATATCCAAACACTTGTGTATGGATGGTGTTTTCCCAGAGGCAATCGGCTTAAACATTTCATGGTTTTGTAAAGGTAAAAATACGCGAACTTTCCTTTCCTAAATTTTGCCATCGGCAAATTCAAAGGTTAAAATTTTCAAAGCGGCTTTCCCTTTTTACTTTCCATTAGTCCTTTGAATGAATAAAGAAACTCTAAAAGTCATGCACACAGAAATATTTCTTGTACTATTAAAATAGTTTGAAATAATAGCGTATACCTAATTCTATATAATGGTTTTCTGGATTCTATTCTATATCTTAGCTTTTATCTTTTCCATAACAGGGAATTCACTTTGACAAAACTAAACTGTTTTCAGTTTTTGTTTTGAAAA